GATGACGCCGAACGCCAGCGCCGTCTTATCGGCATGCTGGAACCATTCTCCGGCGACGACCGCCGGGCCGCTTTCGTCGAAGCCCTGGCCATCGCCGACGGGGGCAAAACCGTAGCCTCCTGGGAAGTATCCGGCGCTACCGGGCACATCGTGGATTCCCTGGCGGGCCGTGGTGGCGACACTGACGGCGACGGTTTCTGGGTCTTTCCCCTGTGGTATTTCCCCGAGTTCGGCCGCACCTACGACCGTATGACCGAAACCGAACGGGCCAGCTTGGGCGATCACTGGCTGGCGCTCCGTACCCACGTGCAGAGTTTTTTACCCCATTGGTTGAACGGCATTTCCGCCCCACCAAATCGGCTACAATAATCCGGCCAAAGTCTACCGCCCACGGAGCTATCCTTGACTGCCCTGCACGCCGAGCACGAATCAATCGCCCCCGCCTCAGTGGAAGATGTCCAGGGTCTGTTGCGGGACCAGGCATACATCACCGACCGGGGATTGGCGATCGCCATCTTCCTGGCTTTGAAATTGCGCCGCCCCCTGTTCTTGGAGGGCGAGGCCGGCGTCGGCAAGACCGAAATCGCCCGCGCGCTCGCGACGGGCCTCGGTACCGACCTAATCCGCCTGCAGTGCTACGAGGGCTTGGACATCAACCACGCGGTCTACGAATGGAATCACACCCGCCAACTCCTCGAAATCCGCTTGATGGAAGCCCGGCGGGATGCGGACGACGGCCCCTCTAATGGCGATATCGATCTATTCAGCCCGAAATTTCTGATCAAGCGTCCGCTGTTGGAGGCCATCGACGAGAGCCGGGACCGCGCCCCGGTGCTCCTGATCGACGAGCTCGACCGATCCGATGAGGAGTTTGAGGGATTCCTGCTCGAACTTCTCTCCGACTACCAAATCACGATACCCGAACTCGGTACGTTTCACGCCGCCTTCCCTCCCGTCGTCGTGATCACATCCAATCGTACCCGCGAGGTACACGACGCCCTGAAGCGTCGTTGCCTGTACTACTGGGTCGATTACCCTGACTACCAGAGAGAGCTTCAGATCGTCACTGCGCGTCTTCCTGATGCCCCCCGCCAGTTGGCTCAGCAGGTCACCGGGTTCATCCAGGAACTGCGCGAAACCGAGCTCTACAAGATCCCCGGCGTCTCCGAGACCCTGGACTGGACGTCCGCGCTGATGGCGTTGAACATGCGTGAGCTTGAACCGGAGGTCATCGACGACACCCTGGGCATTATGCTCAAGTACCAGGACGACATCGAAGCGGTTCGTGGCGAGCCGGCCCGTGCCCTGCTGGAACGCTCGCGCAACCGCGGCCCTCGTCGCGGCGGACGGAGAGGCTAATCATGGACGCAAAACACGTCGTTGTTATCGGCGCCGGCATCGTCGGTGCGTCCATCGCCTGGCGCGTAGCCTCCCGCGGCGCCCGCGTCACCATCGTCGACCAGGGCGAACCCGGCGGCGGAGCCTCCAGCCACAGCTTTGCCTGGATCAACGCCGGCGCCAAGGAACCCGTCGGCTATCACAACCTCAACCGCCGCTCGCTGGAGATGTGGACCCGTTTCGCCGACGCTCTGGGCGAAGACGTTGGCCTGCGCTGGGGCGGCAAGGTCGCGTGGGAAAATGACCCGCAAGCGGCCAAGGCTCTCGCCGGGCGCGTTGAGCAACTCCAGTCGTGGGGATACCCGAGCCGCCTGATCTCCAGGGAAGAATTGCAAGAACTCGAGCCGGCCTTGCAAATCGGCGCGGTAGCCGCAGCGGATTACAACGAGAACGAGGGACAGGTCGAGCCTCAGTTAGTGGTCGACGCCTGCGTGCGCCGGTTGAGGGAACGGGAGGCCGGCGTGTTGACTGGCGTTGAGGTGCTAGGCTTGAGCAAGGACTCGAAAGACCGGGTCCGCGCCGTACAAACCACTACCGGCGACATCGACGCTGATATCGTGGTGGTCGCCGCCGGCGCTGCCACCACCGCCGTGGCAAGTTTGGCGGGCGTCAATGTGCCCCAGGCCGAAAGCCCCGGAGTTGTCATCCGCACCACGCCCATGCCGCGCCTGCTGCACAACGTTCCCGTGGTCTACGCGCCTCCGCTGGAAGACGGTCGTCGCGAGATCCATCTGAGGCAGTGCCCCGATGGCCGTTTCATGATCGGGGAGGGCGATCAGGAAAGTCTCGCCGAGGACGACAGCCAGGCCCACGCCGATGACCTGCTCGCCAGAGCATGCCAGCACCTGCCCGAATTGGCGGGTGCCCAAGCCGTTCCTGTACCCGTAGGCTGGCGTCCCATGCCCCTGGACGGCTACCCGGTCATGGGTTTCGCCACCGCAGTCCCCAACCTCTACGTCGTCCTTACCCACAGCGGTGTCACGCTCGCCCCGGCCTTGAGCCAACTCGCCGCTCTCGAGATCTGCGACGGTGCCCGGGCTGACGCCGTCCTCGGCCCGTACCGCCCGGAGCGCTTCGTCGGCGTCACACCGGACACGGCGTCCCAAATGGAACACCCGCGCGCCCGGCACCGTTAGCGGCACTCCCGCTCAGCCCCCTCCTCATCCGGGCCCGATGCCTGCCGCTCGACCCCGCTCGTTGTCGGGCGTTTAGCTTCGTGTCTTGCGCCGGGTCATTAGATTTCCCCAAAAAGTCATTGCGAGCGCAGCGTGGCAATCCCGTCGCCGTGGCACGGGGCTCTTGCCGAAGGCGGCTGCATGGCTCCGTGTCGGCCCCGTGGTGTCATTCCCGACAACAACAGTCGAACGGCCCCGAAGTGCCACTGTGCCGGCGTCCACCCGGGCCAAGATATAGGGCCAACGGACCTAATTGTCCGCTGGCCCTTGGGTCGGCTTATGCGCCGGGTTCGAGTTGTTATTAGCGGCTGCGTCTTGCGACGCCACGGACTCCAGACCGGAAATGGAGTTATCGTCTCCGTCAATATGGCCGCGCCCTCGGTCCGCTTGGAACCCTATTCGTCAATCCAGTGTGAATAGCCTGGGCGGATCGCCCGGTGAGTCCTATGGGACCCTTGCACGTTATGGCTCTGGATCAATGGTTCAGGTTGTACTGAATTGGTTCTGTTGCTCCCCTCCAATCGCTGAGTTCGGGTTTCTGGTCCCTGCCGTTGTTCGGCCTGCGACGACTTATCGCGCCCCGAAATGTATGTACGTTGCCGCCGGAAGGCTTCCCACATCCTGACCGTAGGGGTTGCCGCCGATCACGTGACTCGCAAACAGGGAAGTCGTCGCCGGATTGACCTCCGCGGTGGGTTCGGCCGACCATACCTGTGTCGCCCCGTAGGGAGTCTGGTCTGCCGACGCAATCATCAGTCCCATCACGGCGACCAGTGCCATTGCGGTCACGACCAACATCCACAGTCCGGCGCGTCCTCCGGCACCCGGGGCCTTCGTTCTGTGCTCATGCATCTTTATCCCAATCATGATGACCTCCTCCCCAATCTGCCCTGCTGACCTTTTTATGGTTCCAACCGCAGTTACACATATAATATATATCATTATTCGTGATAATGCACTTATCCGCTTTTAGTGTTGGTCCCAGTACCCGGTGGCGTGGCTGTACAGCGGTGTGCTGATGGGGAAATCTCACACGCTATGTGCGTGGCCTTGCTGGGTTCGGTTTTCGTGAGGCTGTCGTCGTTGTCGACCATCGGAAGTCTGGTGTGTCCCGCGTTTCGAAAAACGGACGAGGTCGGGCATACCGCACCACCCAGCTGACTGGACCCGCGCCAATTCCTCGTCCACGCATGAATGTTACCGATCAGTTGTGAAAATCGAGTGAAAATCAGGCACATATATATGAACATAACGTGAAAGTCCGCCCATAATCGCGGATACTGCCTTACTTTCCGCCATTTCTGCATTTCATTCTCCGGACAAAAAGGATTTCGATTTGCATGCCGACAAACGAGACGCCCCTTTGACGCATCTTGAGCCGACACTCTGCCTCATCCGTCAACTCTTCCGCCCGAGCAAACGCGACGCGACGCTACTACCTCCCACAGAGCGGTCAACCCCAGGTTGGTCCGTCATTTGGTGTTGAAATTCCCTCGGCCGTCGCCCCAGACGCGTGCTGGTTGCACGGCGGTCCTCCAGGGTTATGACCGTGACGGTTCGCCCTCATGTCCCCGCTGCCCGGCTTCCCGCTGTTTCGTGGCAGTCGTCGTCCGTCTGTGGCATCAAAAAGGGCCAACGAGGGTTGATACTCGCTGGCCCCGGTTGCGGCGCGCTTATATGGATGTTTGGTTATACCGGCTCTTTCGTTATGTGCGGCGGAGCCCTGGACTCGCGTTAATGTTGCTGCGCTTATTCACGCCTGTCGATTTTGGTTTGGCGGGTCCCGGTCCTGGCAAATTATGGTGCCACCGGAGCCAACCGTTGGTTTTTGCTTTCGGCCCGATTTGGGCCGCTTCCGCCGCTATGCTGCGGCGCCTCTCCGGGTGTCGCGCCGCGGTCCGATATCATGCCGCAATCACCAAGAGCGCGGGGCCAGTATGGCCACAGGTAAAGCCCCTATCGCCATGATTGTAAGGAGTTCCTTCCGATCCAGACTGTAGATTCGGATTTTCTGAGTGACCATGATAGGGTCTGCTCCTATTGTGTGATTGCTTTGGGAACGATCAGGGAGACTTTCCCTTCCGGTGTTGCTGAGCCCGTGTGGCCTCGTTCCCTTGGGTGAATCCAGAATAGCAACCGGCTGTGAGAATCGAGTGAAAACGCGGGCAAAAATAGTGAACAAATTGTGAAGATGTTTTAAATTTGTTACACGCGCGGTTGCGCTCCCCGAAGCTCACATCCCATAGCGCCGGATGCGCCGGCCCGTTCTGGATCCGTGTAATAAACCACCCTCGGACGCATCGGCTCACCCTCGTCCCACGGTGCCGCGCGGCCCGGCGCTCGCTTGCCCAATAAAGCCTCCCGGCGTAGAATGGCGAAACTTCATTCGTAATCCCGATGTACCCTGTCGATTGAGGAGAATCTGTTATGCCAGAAGCTAAAGGCCCTCTGGACGGTATACGCGTCATTGACCTTGGTCGGCACCAGGCCGGCCCCCGCTGCGCCCAGGTTTTGGCCCGTTTGGGTGCCGAAGTCATCAAGGTGGAACGCCTCGGAGGCGAGGAGACCCGCTACCACGCACCCTGGGTCCGCAAGCAGTCCGCCTACTGGGTTCAGTACAACAGCGGCAAGAAGAGCCTGAGCATCGACCTCCGCAAGGAGGACGGCAAGGAAGTCCTCCGCAAGCTGGTCAAGGTTTCCGATGTCCTGCTGCAGAACTTCCGCCCCGGCACCATCGACACCATGGGTTTCGGGTACGATGTTCTCTACGAACTGAACCCACGCATCATCATGGTCAACGTTTCCGCCTACGGCCAATTCGGCCCTTACCGGGAACAGATCGGCTACGACCCCATTGGCCAGACCATGTCCGGAATCGCCATGGTGACCGGTGAGGAGGGAATGCCTCCCATCCGCGCCGGCGTACCCATCATCGACCGCACAACCGCGCTCCACGCTGCCATTGGAACCCTGGCTGCCCTCCATGAGCGCGAGACCTCCGGCGTTGGTCAGACCATTGACGCCTGCTTGGCCGACACCGGTTACAGCTATACCGAAATTCCCATCACTGCCTACCACGGCGCCGGCATCGAACCCAGGCGCGGCGAGTCCGCAGCCCCTCCGTCGGGCACCTACCCCTGCAAGGACGGTTGGGTGCTGATCTCCGCTGGCGACCAGCACCACTGGCATCGCGTCTGTAACGCCCTTGGCAAGCCCGAGTGGCTGGAGGACCCCCGGTTCACCACCCGCCACGAGCGCGGCGCCAACGGTGAATTGGTCAACCAGGCCATGCAAGACCTGATGGCCGACATGACCATGCGTGAAGCCATCGCGCACTTCACTCACCACGACGTGGTTGCCGCCCCCGTCAACACCATCGCCCAGGCCGCGGCCGACCCGCATCCGTGGGAGCGTCGCGCAATGGTTGAGGTGGACGACTGGTTGGCTGGTTCCATCGCGGTCTCCGGCGACTTCTGGCACTTCAGCCGCACGCCTGCCGTGATCGGCACTACCCCACAGGTGGGAGAGCACAACGAAGACGTGCTCACCGGCATCCTCGACTACACCGAGGACCAAGTCCAGGCAATGTACGAGGCCAACGTCATCGGCACCTTCCACCACTACGACGAAGTCCCCGGCTAACCCAGCCAATACGGCGCACTACGTAGGGGCGAATGGTGATTCGCCCCTATTTCTGTTGATACACCAACAGCAGTACGGTGATGCCCCACTACGAATTAGACGAAACCAAACGGCAGGAAACCCTGGACCGGCGCGAACTGGATTTTGCGGATATAGAAACTGGATTTGAGCGGGATACCGCCACCATAGCGCCAAGCGGTTATCCAGGCGAGGCGCGCTTGGTAGCGTATGAATACTTTCGTACCCGGCTCCATGTTGTCGTATTCACAGTCCGCATCGGCGTTACGCGTATCGTCAGTTTGCGACGCGCTAGCCAACCGGCGGTGAACCAATATGGCTGATGGATATGAGCCCAGCGGTCTTAGAGGGATGTCTAAAAAGGTTGAAATTGGGGTAGAGGTATCCAGGCGTGATAAGGGGGTTGGTCGTAACGTGGGGGCATGAAACGACCAGCCTATCCCAGCGACCTCAGCGACCGAGAATGGCAACTGCTGGAACCATTGCTGCCACCGCCCAAACCGGGCGGCCGACCCATCACCTACCCCCGGCGGGAGATCGTCAACGCCATCCGCTACGTGCTGCGCACTGGGTGCTCCTGGCGGATGCTGCCCCACGACCTGCCGCCGTGGCGCATTGTCTTCCACTACTTCCGGACCTGGCGTCGTGATGGCACCTGGCAACGGGTACATGGCGTCCTGCACGCCGAGCTGCGCCAGGCTCAGGGTCGCCAGGCCAGTCCCAGCGCGGCCATCATCGACAGTCAGTCGGTGAAGACCACGGAAAAAGGGGGCCCAGAGGCTACGACGCCGGCAAGAAGGTGAAGGGCCGCAAACGCCACATCGTGGTGGATACCCTGGGGCTGCCGCTGGCGGTGGCAGTGCATCCCGCCGACATTCAGGACCGGGACGGCGCCCGGTTGGTACTGACCCGGCTGCTGGGCCGTTTCCCTCGACTACAGCTGATCTGGGCTGATGGGGCCTACGGCGGCAAATTGGTAGAGTGGGCCAGGACGGTGGGCGGCTGGACCCTGGAGTTGGTGCGGCGCCCAGCACAGCAGCATACCTTTCAGGTGCTGCCTCGGCGGTGGGTCGTGGAACGCACCTTTGGTTGGCTGAACCTGCAACGACGGTTGAGCAAGGACTACGAAGCATTGTGTGAAACCACCGAAACCTGGATTTACATCGCAATGACCGGCCTCACCCTGCGCAGACTGGCCCGCCTTCCCCATTTTTAGACACCCTCTTACCACTGAGGAAATTGCCTCATTGCCTCCTTTCGCAGAGATAGCCGGAAAAAGATTCTCGGAAGTCGCAGCCATCTACGGCGAGGAAATTGCCATCAGGGTCACCATCGCCACCGATCCTGATTGCTGGGTGCCTACCGACGAAGAGTTCGCTCGAGCCCGCCCTGCCAGCGAGGCGGTCCCCGAAATTGTTGCGGCCTACCATGCTGCCAAGACTGAAGAACCAAATCGGGTCAACATCGAGATTGCTCTCGATGCCGATGTTCTGCAATATTTCAGGGATTCTGGTCCTGGTTGGCAGGCCCGTATCAACGACATCCTGCGCCGTACAATGAACAATCCTATCGCCATTACGGGAGACCACGACACCTGAAACCCTCTGCACGAAAGTAAAATCAGCCGCCCTGCTACTGTCGATTGAAAATTCATCGACCCGTCCCCCGTATGGCATAATACCCAGACCCATCCCACCATCCCCAACGGAGGTACCTCCCCCATGGTTGACCTCAGGCGCGCCGCCGCCATCGTGGGCATCCACGAGCACGTCACCCGCTACGCTCCCGACAAGAGCGAGCTCCAGATCCAGGGCGAGAGCGTCATCAAGGCCCTTGCCGATGCCGGTCTATCCAAGAACGACGTCGACGGGCTTTTCACCGCCTCCAGCAGCGCCCGCAACAGCGGCATGAACCTCGCCGACTACCTCAACATGTACCCCAGCTACGTGGACAACACCACCGTCGGCGGGGGATCCTTTGAGTTCCACCTGTCCCACGCCCTCACCGCCATCGCGGCCGGCCGCATCAACGTGGCCGTGATCACCTACAGCAGCCTCGCCCGTTCCGGCGGTGTGTCCGTCGGCACCGGTGGCGTCGGACGATTCGGCCATCCCATCCTGGAGCCGTCTCCCGACAGCTTCGAGGAACTCTACGGCATGACCACCGTCGGCCTGTACGCCATGATCGCCCGTCGGCACATGCACCTTTATGGCACCACCGCCGAACAACTCGCCGAGGTCTCCGTGGCCATGCGCCACCACGCCTCCATGAACCCCGAGGCGCTGTTCCGCGACCCCATCACCGTCGAGGACGTCGTCGGCTCCCGCGTCATCTCCGACCCGCTGCACCTCATGGATTGCTGCATCATCACCGACGGCGGCGGAGCCGTCGTGGTCGCTTCGCCCGAGGTGGCCCGCAATTGCCGCCAAACTCCCGTCTGGGTGCTGGGAGCCGGAGAGGCCATCGCCCACCAGGGCGCCGGCAAGCGCGACCTCATATATATCGCCGCGCATCAGAGCTCCCCGCGTGCCTTCGAGATGGCCGGCGTGACCCACGACGACATCGACATGGCCATGGTCTACGACTCCTTCACCATCACGGTGGTCGAAACCCTTGAGGATCTGGGCTTCTGCAAGAAGGGCGAGGGCGGAGAATTCGTCAGCGGCGGCCGGCTCAAGGTCGGCGGCGCGCTCCCCATCAACACCGATGGCGGCGGCCTGTCTTCCAACCACCCGGGGATGCGCGGTCTCTTCCTGCTCCTCGAGGCAACGCGACAACTCCGGCATCAGTTCGACGGCACCGGGCGCCAGGTTCCCAACTGCCAGATCGCATTGGCCCACGGTACCGGCGGCGCCCTGGGCTCCCGCCACAGCGGCGGCACCGTCATCCTAGCGAGGGATTAGCCATGACTACTGCTTGGAACAAACCCCTGCCCACCGTCGCCGGCGAGACCAAGGCCTTCTGGGACTCCTGCCGCCGTGGTCAACTGGTCATCCAGATCTGTGACGACTGCAACGAGTACCAATGGTATCCCCGCGGTATCTGCGCCAATTGCTGGAGTGAAAACATCCGGTGGGTCCAGTCCAGTGGCCGCGGTACCGTTTGGACCTACACGGTGACCTACCAGAACCGCACCACCGGTTTTGCTGAGATGGTTCCCTATGTGTTGGCCCTGGTCGAACTCGACGAAGGCGTCCGCATGTTCACCAACATCGTCGATTGCAATCCCCGGGACGTCCATATCGGCATGCCCGTGGAGGTCACTTTCCAGACTGCCACGCCGCAGATCACCATCCCCTATTTCAAGCCGGCCGGCTGACCCCAGCCGCCTCCTTGCGAATACCCCCGCCGGGCGAAAGCGCCGGCGGGGGTTTTTCGTCGCGCGCCCCGGCCTTTCATTCTGCCAATGTTCACCACGGAGCGCTGCTGGAAAGCGGGGCCCCCGCCGCGCCGGGCCATTCGTATTTCTTGTCGGTCAAGCGAAGCGATCCGAATGTAGTTGGATCTTCCCGAATGTCGTTGCGAGCGCAGCGTGGCAATCTCGTTGACGTAGGCCGGGTTGTAGCCGAAAGCGATTGCCTTGCAACGTGACCGCCGCGTCGTATCATTCGAGGCAGCAACAATCGAAAAGCCCCGGCGTGACGTGACAGGGCAATCGCGTCTTATCGTGTTCGGCATAACAAGCGATGCAAAGTATTAGTATCACAGATGTCGGCCACGGTTTATTACCGTTTGAGCGCCGATGCCAGCCTCGGTTACCGTCGAAATGGGCGGTCGCAAAGCTCACCACCTGCATTTTCGAGTAACGAGATACCTTTTCCTATCAGCGCCGGCTGTTATTCCGCCAAACTCAATTTAGACGCGATTGCCCTGCGTGACGTGACCTTCGACTACAATTCGCCCCTCAACCCTGCTAGACTGAACGCGCACTATTTACATGACGGAGCTGGTGGCCACACGATGACTACTACACCGCAGCAGTTATATCAGCTGCAAGAATTGGACCACCGGATCGACGGCATTGACGCCGAGCGCAACCGCGTTGAAAAACGGCTCGCGGCCGGCGTCAACCGGCCGGATCTGACCAGTGAGGCGGAACACCACTCGGCCCGCGCCGTCGCTGTAAATGCCAACGCCAACTCCCGGCGCGAGGAAGGAGAACGCATTCGCGAACGCCTCATCGGGTTGGAATCGCGTCTGTACAGCGGAAATACTTCCCGACGCGATCTGTCCGCCATCCAGCGGGAAGTCGATTCGTCAAAATACCAATTGGAACAGCTTGATGAGTTGCTGTTGGAACTCGAAGAGGAGCAGCGCACCCATGAAGCCGCGTCCGTCGCTGCCCGCGACCAAATGGAATCTGCCGCCGTCGAATGGCAGAGTATCATCGAAACCCTCAGCGGCCGGCTGACGGAGTTGGAGAGCGACCGCGAAGCAGCAACCTGCCAACGGCAGGATATGGCCGTTACGCTTCCCCAAGCCGACCTGCAACGCTACGATCGGTTGCGGCGCAACAAGGCCGGATCCGCCGTCGCCCTCGTGGACAATGGCCGAGTCTGCCTCGCCTGCCGCATGACCCTGACCAGCAACGTCCTCCGCCAGCTGCGGGACAGGTCAAAGCAGGTCCCGTGCAGCACCTGTGGCCGGATCCTGCTTCAACAGTAGCCCCACCAACAATGTCAGCAGCCTCGCCGACAGCGGCAGTAGCCCTGCTAACACTGGTCCAGGCCAGCCGTTCAACCCCAGCAATTCGAGGATGGAGAGGTGACCGATGAAACCGTTGCGTGTTGCCATGCTTCACCTGGCCCCCGAGTTGGCCGACATCGCGCACAATCGCGCTCTGGCGGAGCAGGGACTCGCCCGCGCTGCTGCCATGGGCGCTCAGTGGGTGATAACCCCGGAATTGTTCGTCACCGGCTACAAGTTCGCTGAGATGATCGGCACGGACTGGATACTTCCCCAGCCTGACGATTGGATGCAGGCCTTCTGCGGGCAGGTCCGTGAGCACGGCGTCACGGTGTTCCTTTCCCATCCCGAACGGGACCCTGAAGCCGGATTGATGTACAACACGGTTTTCGTTATCAGTTCCGATGGTCGCATCATCGGCCGCCACCGCAAGGTCAAGGCCCTTCGCGGCCCCGAGGCTTGGTCCTCCCCCGGCGAAGAAATCGTCCCCATCGATTGCGACGGGACCGCCGTCGGCGTCGTGATCTGCGCCGACGCCTACCTCAACGACGTCGCGGGCATTCTGAAAGACCGCGGTGCGCAGATCCTCGTGTCACCCGCATCCTGGGGCCCCGGCGACTGTGGCCCGGTCGGAGAGTGGGAACAGCGAACCCTGGACACCGGTCTGCCCATAATGGTGTGCAATCGTTCCGGCTGGGAGGCAGACGACCTCGACTTCAACGAGGCCGTCAGCGTCGTCGCGGTAAACGGCAAGCGGGTGCTTCAGGCCTTTTGTGGAGAGGAGTCGGCCATCCTGCTGTTTGATTGGGACTTGGACACCATGGCTCCCGTCTCCACCGATTACGAAATCGCCTGGCTGTAGCGCCGCCGATCCTCCGTCGGTTCGCTCCACCCACTGGGTGGGCCTGTCTGTCCCTGTTTTGCCGCCCACGCTCCGAGAGCCTATAATTTTCCCGACGGGCTCTCGGGCCTTCCGGTCGTGCGCCCGGCATCACCCTGGACACTTTGACGCGAACCGTCAATTTTGGAGCGGCAAAACATGGATCCCATAAACGCTGTAGCCGAACGGCTGGGCATAGACCAACAGCATCTCATCCCCTACGGCAACACCAAGGCCAAGGTGAGCCTCGACGCCATCCGCGAAAACGGCCCGCGCGGCAAGCTCGTGGTCGTAACCGGTATCACGCCCACTCCGGCCGGCGAAGGAAAGACCACCACCTCCATCGGCCTGACCGATGGCCTCGGCCGGCTCGGCCACAAGCCCGTCGTCAACCTCCGCGAGCCCGCCTTGGGGCCGATCTTCGGGATCAAAGGCGGCGGCACCGGTGGCGGCAAGGCCCGCATCGTCCCTGAGGACGAGATCAACATCCATTTCACCGGTGACGCCCACGCCGTCGGCTCTACCCACAACCTGTTGGCTGCCCTGGTGGAGAACGCCGTTTACCGCAACAACGCCTGCGACATGTCGCCCGAGGGCATCACCTGGTCCCGCGTCACCGACGCATCTGACCGTGCACTCAGGCAGATAACCACCGGGCTCGGTGGAAACGCCAACAGCCCACTCCGCGAAACTCGGTTCGACTTCATAACCGCTTCGGAAATCATGGCCATTCTCGCACTGACGTCCGATCTCGACGACCTGCGTGTGCGCCTTTCGCGTATTGTCGTCGGCACCAGCCGCAGCGGCGATCCGGTTTCGGTCGGCGACCTGGGCCTGGCCGGCCCGCTTCTGGCCGTGATGCGCCAGACCATCATGCCCAACCTGGTGCAGACCATGGAAGGACAGCCGGCTATTGTCCATTCCGGCCCCTTCGGCAACATCGCCCACGGTTGCAGCTCGATCATCGCCGATCGCCTGGCTCTGGGCTACGCTGACATCGTCATCACCGAGGCCGGCTTCGCGTCGGACCTCGGGTTCGAAAAGTTCATGCACATCAAGACCCGCCAGAGCGGTTTGCCCGTTAGCGCGGCCGTCCTGGTTGCCTCGGTTCGTGCCCTGCGTTGGCACGGGGGTGTTCTGCGCCGCAACCTCGCCCAGCCTAATCTGGACGCCATGAAGGCCGGCGCTGGCAACCTCGTCCATCACATCAATATCGTCCGCAGCTTCGGGTTGCCCGTCGTCGTTGCCCTGAACCGTTTCGAGGGCGACAGTACCGAGGAGTTGCAGGCTGCTGCCGCAATCGCCCAGCAGGCCGGCGCCTATGCCACCGCTGAGTACTCCGGGTTCGCCGACGGCGGTGAGGGAGGCGTCGTTTTGGCCGAGGCTGTCGCCCGTGCCGCCCACGACCCTTCTGTCGCGCCGGACACGATCGATTACGCCTACGACCTCGACGCGTCTATCGAGGATAAGGTGCTGGGTCTGGCGAAACGCGTTTACGGCGCCGGGAGCGTGACCTGGACGCCCGATGCCCGTCGTCGCGCTCGTTTCTTCGCCACGCAGGGATGGGACAAGCTGCCGATCTGCATGGCGAAAACCCACCTCTCCATCTCCCACGACCCGACTCTCAAGGGGAGCCCGTCCGGCTACGCTTTCCCCGTTTCCGATATCCGTGCTTCCGTCGGCGCCGGTTTCCTCTACACCCTCGCCGGCCGCATCGAAACCCTGCCCGGCCTCCCCTCCCAGCCCCGCGCCTTGGCCATGGACGTAACCTCCGATGGTGAAATCGTGAACCTTTAGCAACCGGTTAACTATGTGTTCTCGATCCGCCTATCGCTTTTGAGCGCCCACCGTCTCCTGGCGGCGGAGCCGATCCCTCTGGCAACACCACCGCGCCATCCCGTCGGCGTGTAACGACTCTCCCGGCTTTACACTGCGGAAACTGCCAGAATATAATCGCCAGTACGATTACGAATTTCGCAACACCGATGGCGGCAGTGTCCGCCGACCCAGGGGTGCTACCGTGGCCGTGCTCCAGATGCGCGTATTTCCCGATCCCATCCTCCGTCAACGGGCCCGCAAGGTAACCCAGTTTGACGCCAAACTGGCAAAGCTCGCCGTTGATATGGAGGAGACCATGAACGCCCACCACGGCGTTGGCTTGGCCGCCAATCAGGTTGGCGTGTTGCAGCGCATGTTCGTCGTGAAGATGGAGGATTGGGAGGAAGCCCTGGTTCTGATTAACCCGGAGATCATGCGCCGCGAAGGTCTGCGCGAGGTCGAGGAGGGTTGTCTCAGCTTGCCCGGCTATCGCGGCATGGTAAACCGCGCCGAGCGCATCCGCGTGCGTTACCAGGACATCACCGGCAAACAGCAGCGCCTCAAGGCCGAGTGCATGCTTGCGCAGGCCGTCGAACACGAGACCGATCACCTGAACGGCATCCTGTACATTGACCACCTCATCGCTCACGATCAATTTTTCCGGATCCATGTCGATGAAGACGGAGATGTCGAATACCTCCCCACCGGGGAACCCGACGCCGCAGAGCTGGAAGCCGCCGCCCGCCGTATGAATAGCCGCAACCTTGTCCCCCAGTTCGATCCCAGCAACGGCCGGCCGGCCACCCGCCAGGCCGACGACGCCACCGTCGCCGATTAGCATGGACTCCGCCAGCCTGATTGCCCGGCTGGCCGGGTTTTTCGATACCCAAACCTCTGTAACTGCCTGGCTCGTTGGTGGTATCGTCCGCGACACGCTCCTGGGACGAGAGATCCAGGACATCGACATCTCCGTTTCCGGCGACGCCCAGCCTGTGGGGCGCGCCATCGCCGATCTTCTCGGCGGAACCGCAGTCCCCGTTCCTGAGTGGAACATCGTACGGGTCGCGCTCCCTCCATCGTCGGAACACGCCCGTCACAACGTGATCGACATTTCCGGCCACGCCGGGTCCATCGAAGACGACCTCCGCTCCCGGGACTTCACCATCGACGCGATGGCCGTCCCTCTCAGCTGTTGGGATTCCGACGCGCGGTTCGATGCCATCATAGATCCCCTGAGTGGTAGGGCGGACCTCGCCCGCCGCGTTCTGCGCGTCGGCGGTGAGGGCGTTTTCGTCGCCGATCCCGGCCGTATGCTCCGCGCCGTCCGGCTAGCCCAGCAGGTGGGGCTCCGCATGGAGCCCGATACCGCCCGTCTCATCCGGCGAGACGCTCACCTTCTCCTTCGGGTGTCGCCCGAACGCGCCCGCGACGAGTTCCTGACCATCCTGTCCGCTGACGGCGCCCGGCCCCAGCTGGAAGTCCTGGATCGCCTCGACCTCCTCTGTCGCGTGATCCCCGAATTAGAAGCCACTCGACGTTGCGAACAACCCCGGTCGCATCACTACTGGGACGTGTGGGGTCACCTCCTCCATTGTGTCGAGTATGCCGAGGAGGTGACCGCCGGCCACCGCAACAACGCGATCTACACCATGGCTCCGTGGACCGCGAAAGGAGACGCCTACTTCAGTGAGATCATCGGCGACGGGCACACCCGCCGCACCGTGCTCAAGCTGGCGGCTCTGCTTCATGACATCGCCAAGCCCCAGACTCGCGCCGCTGACGCCGAAGGCCGCGTGCGGTTCCTCGGCCACAGCGAAGAGGGCGCGGAAATCGTTCAGCATCGCCTCTCGTCCCTCCGCATGTCGCGCCGGATTACGGACCTGGTTTCCAATATGGTGCTGCACCATCTCCGACCAAGCCAGCTCCGGCACGGGTCGGCCATGCCGTCCCCTCGGGCGATCTTCAGGTTCTACCGCGATGTCGGCGACGCTGCGGTGGACACCCTCTACCTTGCCATGGCCGATGTCCTGGCCGCCCGCGGCCCGGAACTCTCCCCTGAAAGTTGGGGTAACTATGCTAGAATGGTTGTCGCTGTTCTCGAATCCGGGGGTGAACAACCCGGAAATCGAAATGGCAGTCCACCGTTGATCAATGGCCACGACTGATGGACGCTCTCGACATCTCTCCCGGGCCCCGCATCGGCTCTTTGCTCGAGCGGCTCCGCGAGGCTGAAGCAATCGGCGAAATCTCCACCCGAGCCGACGCCATTGAACTGGCCGCCAAGTTGGTCGACCGGGGCGGTCAATCGTAATTTACGTTGGATCGGAATTCCCGTTAGATCGACGCACATCAATCCGTTTGTCTTCTTGATTTGCCCGGCATACCCCTTTGGTGCCCCACCACGGTAGCGGCCATATAACCGGTCGAGCCGGATTGGCGCACGGGTGCGCCGGCAATACCAGAATAGAGGTCTGGAATAGGTAGAATGCGACGACGCACGGTTTTACTGACGATTTTCATCCTGGCAGTGTTGGCCGTTTCGGCCGTCTCGCTAGCTTTGCCGGAAATCCATATCGCGATACCCGGGTTGCCCCGCATCGATCGAGCCGAGACCGGCCCGCTTGGCCTCAAGCTCGGCCTGGACCTCCAGGGCGGCGCTCACCTCGTCTATCAGGCCGACACGGGAACCGTCCTGACGGTTACCTTCCCCGACGATGCTGAAACGGATCTGGCCGCGGTCGAGGATGCTCTCGCTGCCGTCGATTACCAGGGCGCCGTGAGCCAGTTGGATGACGCTCAAACCTACCGGATCGCCGGCGAGTTTCTCAGTCCCGAGCGTCGCGACGCTGTGCGCCAGGGTTTGACGGACGCTGTTGCCGAACCCGTCGAGCTAATCAGCGACGACACGCCTCCTCCCACCAACGAACAGATGGACGGCGTGCTAAGCATCATCAGCAATCGCGTCAACCTTTATGGTACCGAGGAACCGATAGTCCAGCGTTTCGGCGACGACCGGATCGTCGTTCAGCTGCCCGGGGCTACGGGCTCCGTCGTCTCCGTCGAGTTCTCCGACGACGCCGATATCGCCAAGCTCGGCAGCGTCATCGCCGGGCAGGGCTATGGGGATGATGTGGAAAGCCGCGGCGGCAACCGGTTCCGCATCACCACCGACGTTACACTCGATGCCGCCCAACGCCAGGCGCTCGGTACCCTCCTTGAATCCGAAGTGGGTACTGTCGTCTCCTATCAGGCGTCCGGGGGTATCGACGACGCCAAGCGGCTCATTGGTGAGACTGCCCAGCTCGAGTTTCTCCGTCGTCAGTGCGGCGGTCCGATCGGCGACATCGGATGTTTGCCCCCGTATACCGACAGCAGCGTCGGCCTGACGGGCGACGACTTGGACGATGCCTTCGTCAGCACCGATCAAGCCACTGGTGCGTGGGTCGTCAACATCCAGTTCGATGATCGCGGCGCCGAGCTCTTCGGCCAAATGACTGGCGAAATAAACGACCGAGACCATCCTGACACCGACGAGGTCATCGCGGTGTTCCTCGACGGCGAGCAGTTGATCGCTCCCGTCGCCCGCGCCCATATCCGCGACGGCCGCAGCCAGATCTCCGGCGGCTTCAACCGCGAAAGCGCCCGAAGGCTGGCCGTCCAGCTCAAGTCCGGCAGCCTCCCCGTGCCCCTGAGCCTCATCCAGGAATCCGGGGTCGATTCAATCCTCGGCAAAGAGTCTCTGGAACGTAGCCTGCAGGCAGGCCTGGTCGGTCTGGGCCTGGTGCTCGTCTTCGTCATTGCCTACTACCGCGCCGCCGGCGTGGTGGCCGCCGTCGCCCTCATCTGTTACGCCATCGTCACCCTGGCCATCTTCAAATTGGTGCCGATTACCCTCACCCTGCCTCACATCGGCGGCTTTATCCTGTCCATCGGTCTCGCCGTCGACGCCAACATATTGATCTTCGAGCGCATCAAGGAAGAGATCCGTATCGGCCGCTCGTTGGGTTCGGCCATGGAAGTGGGTTTCAACCGCGCTTGGCCGGCCATTCGGGACGGCAACGTCAGCACCCTGATTACCTGCGTCGTGCTCCTCTGGTTCGGCAACCGGTTGGGTGGCGGCCTGATCAACGGCTTTGCCCTGACCCTTTTTGTGGGTGTGCTCGTCAGCATGTTCACCGCGGTCATGGTCAGCCGCAACCTGCTCCAGGCCTTTCAGGCCGCGGGCCTGGGCCGCGCCGCCAATCTGTTCACCCCGGAAAAAATCCAACCCCGGTCTACCGGGCAGCGCCCTCAGTCGGCCCAGGGGGGCCAATAACCAATGTTCAATATCGTCGGCAAGCGCGGCTGGTACTTCGTGATCTCGGCCCTGATCATCATTCCCGGGCTGCTGTCCATGATCGCCCCCCCCGGCTGGGCATCGGGTGGCTCCGGCCTCAAGCCCGGCATCGACTTCTCCAGCGGTTCGGCTCTGACCGTCGCTTTTGAAGACCCGGTGCGCCCTGATGCCGTCCGGGCCCTGTTGCCCACTATTGGACATCCTCAGGCCAAGGTTCAGGCAGTGGGCGACCGCTCCGTTCTGATCCGTACCCGGGTGCTCGAAGAGGCATCCGGAAATATCCTGTCCGAGCGCCAGCGCATCGAGGACGCCCTGTCCGAGCAGATTGGGCCCATCGATGCCTCCGGCGTCGACACCGTGTCGCCAATTATCGCTCAGGAGACCGTGCGCAACACCTTCCTGGCCCTGTTGGTCGCTTCGGTCTTCATCCTTGCCTATATCTGGTACGCCTTCCGAAGGGTCCCACGCGCCTATCGCTACGGCGTGGCCGCGGTCGTGACCCTGCTGCACGACACCGTGATCGTGCTCGGTGTGTTCTCCATCCTCGGCCGCTTCCTGGGCATGGAGGTCAACTCCATGTTCATCGTCGGTATCCTCACCGTCGCCGGATACTCGGTCAACGACACCATTGTCGTATTCGACCGCATCCGCGAAAACTCCATCCGGGTACCCGACCGTAGGCTCGAGGATACCGTCAACCTCAGCATCATTGAGAGCGTAGGCCGGTCGGTGAACACCAGCTTCACCACGCTTTTGGTGCTGCTCGCCATGTTGCTCATCGGCGGCGAGTCCATCCGGGAACTGCTCCTGGTGGTTGCCATGGGCGTCGTGGTCGGAACCTACAGTTCGATTTTCATCGCGGCCCAGTTCCTGGTCATCTGGGAGCGTCGCGAATTCGGCCGCATTTTCCCTCGGCCGCCGCGAGGCGACCGCCTGAACTTGGGTCGTCTAGTTCGGCATCAGAACCAGACGCCCTAACGGTCTCCGCTCCTGAACCAACTGGATCGCCTCTGCCACGCCTTGCGCGGTGAGCGGCAGTATCTCCGCCACCACGGGTTCCAGCTGGCCTGTCGCAGCCATCTGGACGCATCGCTCCAACGTGGCCCACGAGACGCCGGATACCCCCGTCACGCGCAGATCTCGGAATATGACCTCTGCCAGGCGCACGGGTGACGACTCCCCGGTCAGGTCCCCCAGCAGCGCCATGCGGCCATATTGTCCCAGGCATCGCAGGCTGTCGGGCCACAGCGGAGGGCCGACCGTATCGATCACCACGTCGGCCCCCTCGTCATCGGTGACGGCCAGAACTATATCGGCCAGGCCAGGCCCGTCTCCCACTTCGATGACCATCGACGCCCCCAGGGATTCCAGTCCCGCCGCCTTTTCCGGCGATGACGTGACGGCCATGACCTGCGCTCCCTTGGCCGCGGCCAATTGCACCGCGTGGCTCCCCAACCCTCCGCCCGCTCCCGTTACCACCACCGTGTCTCCGGCTGCGACCTCCGTTGCTTCGACACCGGAAAGCGCCACCCCGGCCGGACACGCCAGCAGCGCCGCCTTCTCCGGTCGTACTCCGTCAGGGACAGCAATCAAAGCCGTTTCCGGCAGCGCGACGAACTGCGCGAAACCACCGTCCCTCCCGTGCCCGATCCCGGCCCCGTTCAGGCATCTGTGTTCCCTACCGCTTCGGCACCGCGAGCACCGGCCGCACGCCGCGGTGAGGAGGCTGACCACCCGGTCGCCCTCCCGAAACTTCGCGCTGCCCTCCCCTAATGAGACCACCGTCCCCGCTATCTCGTGTCCCAGCACGACCCCCGGCGCGACCCCGCGCCGCAGCGTTCCGGACATTACCAGGTAGTCGTGATGGCAGAATCCGCCGGCGTCCACCCGCAGCAAAGCCTCGCCGGGTCCCGGCGTAGGGACCCGGCGTTCCATCATCGTCAGGGTGGGAGGATGGCCGGCTTCCACCAGCGTCAACGCGGACATGGTTTCGGGAACGGACGAAAGCGTCATGGCGGTCATGGTAAAGCACGGCCCGTTTCTGCGATACTATCCACCACTCCCATCTCGCCGGTGTCCGCCGCGCAACTACCGAGGCAATTCAAATGATTATTGGTGCTCACGTGTCCGCCGCCGGCGGCATCGGCAAAGCCGTGGACCGCGCCGTCGATATCGGCGCCGAGGCCGTTCAGATTTTCGGATCATCCACCCGCTCCTGGCGCTTCAAGGCGCTCACCGACGCCCTGGCGGACGCGTTTCGAGAGAAGAACGCGTCGGCCGGGTTGGCTCCGCCCTTCCTCCACGCCATTTACCTGATCAACCTGGGCAACTCCAATCCCGAAAACGTCGATAAGTCCATCACCTCCCTCGTTCAGTACATGCAATTGGCTGACCAGATCGGCGCCGGCGGCGTTATCTTCCACCCCGGCAGCCACGGCGGCGCGGGTTACGAGGGCGTTTTCCAGCAGGTCGTCGATAGCATCAATCGGGTACTCGATCAGTCCCCCGAGGGTCCGTTGCTTTGTCTGGAGAACATGGCCGGCATGGGTCAGCACATCGGCGCCAAATTCAGCGAATTGGGCGATGTCATGCACGCCGTGGACAGTCCACGCCTGGGCATCTGCCTGGATACTCAGCACGCCTTCGCCGCCGGGTACGATCTCACCAACCCTGACGGTGTTGCCGGCATGATCGACGAGTTCGACCGCGATATTGGCTTGGATCGGTTGAGCGCCGTTCACGCCAACGATTCCAAGCGCCCCTGCGGCTCCGGCGTGGACCGCCACGACAACATCGGTGAGGGCCTCATCGGCGAACCGGGATTCACCAACATCATGTCCCATCCTGCCTTCGCGGACGTGCCGTTCTTCCTCGAGGTTCCCGGCTACGACAAGGACAATCGCGGCCCTGACAAACCCAACGTGGATGCCCTCAAGTCGATCCGCGCTCGCGTAACCGCCCAATAACCGTTCCCGTGCCCGTCAGCCAGCAGGAGTTCGAGGGCCTGGTCCAGCAGGCGTACTGGGAGTTGCCAGAATCGGTCCGGGACTCGTTGGACAACCTGGACATCCTCGTGGAAGACATTCCCGGACCCGAAGCGGCCGATACCGACGACCCCGACGGCCCCGACGACCACCAGCACGGCCATACTCTTCTGGGCCTCTACGTCGGCGTCCCGTTGGTGGACCGCTACGCCGCCGATCCCATGATGCCCGACCGCATCTATATCTACCGGTTGCCCATACTGGACATTTGCGACACTCACGAGGAGGTCGTCCGCGAAGTTCGGACGACGCTGCTCCACGAAATCGGTCACTATCTGGGCCTCAGCGAGCATGATCTGGACCGGCTGGGCTACGCCTGACCTCCGGCAAATGTCCTGGACCGATCGCCTCGCCTGGCTCATCGGCAGCGGGTTCGGCAGTGGGCTCTCCCCGCTGGCGCCGGGCACCGCCGGCGCCGGGGTGGCGGTGGTGATCTATTGCGCCGTGATGCTTCTGATCCCCGGCGAAAACCTGTTTTCGATCCTGATCCGGCTGCTGATCCTGGCGGTCATGATAACGGGAGGGATGGCCGTCGGCGTCTGGGCCACTGGCCGGATGTCCACCGACGCCGACCCAGACCCGGGCTCGGCCGTTTGGGATGAGTTTATCGGAATGTGGGTGACGTTGATCCCAACTGTTTTGGTCGCCTGGGACCTCAAGGTTGCCCTCGTTTCTCCTTGGTGGCCTTTGTGGTGGGTGGCCCTGTGCTTCTTCGCTTTCCGCGCTTTCGACACCCTGAAACCCTGGCCGTGCCGGCGTCTCGAGGATCTCCACGGCGGTTGGGGCATCATGCTGGACGATCTGGCCGCCGGGGTCTGGGCCCTCGTCGTCTCGACGCTGGTCTACGCCGCTATTCAGGGCGCGCTTCTCTACTTCTATTGGCCCGCCTGACCCGTCGCATCCGGGAAAATGCCTGACAACGCCGACCGCTCCAGCGCCTGCATCGTTTCCAGCTCTCCGTCCTCATAGTGGTCGTGACCCAGCAGATGCAACGCTCCGTGCACTATCAGCAACGCCAGCTCTTGCCGTAGCGGCACTCCCTGGCTTTCCGCCTGCCGCGCGGCCTGCGGGACCGAAACCACTATCTCTCCCAGCGGAGGCGGCTCGTCCTCCGGTAGCGGCCATCCCGATGGCGTCTCGTCGCCGGACGTCGGCGCTTCCTCGTCCCCTTCCCAGTGACCCCAGTGCTCGAAGGAAAACGACAGCACATCCGTTGTGCGGTCCACGCCCCGATACTCTCGGTTCAACTGCCGCACCGTCTCGTCGTCTGTCAGCAACAGGCCTATCTCGCCGCGCGCGTCTGCCGGTAGCGTTCCGGCCAGACCATGCCGGACTGCGGCGGCAAACCACTCGTCATCTTCGCCGTGTCCGGCATCCTCCGGCACGTCCAGTTGTACTGTGACAACTATATTGGGAAGCAACATGTTCATCTCCTCGAAATCATCGGCCCAGCAGCCCCGTGATACAATTGCTTGACTAGCTTCGGGCCTAGGACGATGCAATGAGCGATGAGCAGTTTACCCCCAACTCGGACCCCGGCGACGACCGTTGGGCGGACTACGCTCTCCCCGAAGAGGGCGTCGCTGACCTCGCTGACCGGTTGGTGGAGTTCCTCCCGGAACAGGATGAAAACGATCCCCCGCTCATCGTCGGCCAGATTCTGGACGATTTCATTGACCAATCCGGCGCCATGCCGGAAAACCTGCGTGAGGAAGACGCCCACGCGGTGATCTGCCAGATGCAGATGGCGGTCACCTTGGCTTACCAATTGGGCCGGCTCGAGTCCCGTTCCCCGGAAATGGTGCGTCGGTTCATCCTTGAGGCCATCGAAAAGTGGGAGGCGAAGCCCCTGTCCGACTCCCTCGACTTCGTTGAAACCGATTTTCGCAAGCCCAAGGAATTGGTTTTGCCCCGTTTGCGTCGCTGGTGGCAGGAAAACCTCGCCGCCGAAGACTATTACTGGGACGAAGACTGACCCCGGTTGCGCAGTTTCCGCGGCGTAATGCGAGAGCCGTCGGCGGGAGACCTCCGCGTCCGGCTTCGCGCTCTATGTTGATGGGAGGGAACCAATCCGATGACCACCGCCACTTATGATCTGGTGCTGTCCGGCGGCAACCTGCTCGACCCGGCGCAAGGCATCAACGACGAACCCCGTGATGTGGCCTTCAAGGACGGCAAGGTTGCCGCCGTAGCCGACCACATCGATCCAACCGCCGCCGCTCAGGCCATCGATGCCACCGGCAAGTTGGTCACGCCCGGTCTCATCGATCTGCACGGCCATTTCTACCACGGCGGCAGCGGCAGCGCCGTCCACGCCGACCAGACTTGCCTTGGCAGCGGCGTTACCACCGGCGTTGACGCTGGCAGCGCCGGTTTCCTCAACTACGGCGCCATGCGCGACTACGTCTTTCCCGCCCACCGCACTCGCCTGCTTGCCTTCCTGCACATCGGCGGTGTCGGTTTGGCGGCCAATCGTGCGTTGGGTGGCGGTCTCCACGATATGCGAATCATCGATGTGGGTCAGACCGTGCAGGCCATCAGGGAAAACCCCGGTTTCGTATTTGGCGTGAAGGTCCGAATGCACTTCGACGCCGTGGCCCGCTGGAACGCCCATGAGGCCATGGCCCGCGCCCGCGAGGCCGCCACCGAGGCGGGCGTCCACCTCATGGTGCACGTCAGCGGCACTCCCATTCCGCTGCCCGATGTGCTGGAGCATCTCGGCCCCGGTGACATTTCCACCCACGCCTTCAACGGCTTCCCTGAAAATATGCTGGACAACTCCGGGAAGGTCCGCCCCGAAGTCCGCGCCGCTGCCGATCGTGGCGTCATCATGGACGTCGGACATGCCGGTATCCATTGCGACGTCGAGGTGGTGAAAGCCGCCATGGATCAAGGCGTCGTCCCCGATACTATCAGTACCGACGTCCACATCGCCCCGCCGGGCCGCGTCGTTTACCTTATGAACGACTTGGTCAGCAAGTTCCACGCCTTGGGTATGCCCCTCGCCGACGCCGTCGCCGCCAGCACCAGCCGCCCCGCCGAGATCCTGGGGCTGCAGGACAGCATCGGCTCCCTAGCTGTCGGCATGGAGGGCGACGCCACGGTATGGGACAAGCGCCAGGGGCGCTTCGTGTGGCACGATATGGCCGGCCACAACGTGGACGGCGCGCTCCGTCTCGACACCTTTGCCACCATCAAGGGCGGCGCCACCGCCTGGCGTGAGGGCCAACTCGTGCAGATGGGCGAGTGCTAGCTCGCGCCGATTTGTGATCTTGGTGGGGCGTGGCGATTCCGAGTTCCCGTTTCGCGTTGGCACGAAAACCGACTTGCCCTTTCGCCGGTGCCGGTGCTGGGTGACGAGGCCGGGCCTGCTCGGCAGCGATCCAATCCGACACCTCCGGTTCGAGTAGAAAACCCCGTCCGCCTTTTCCTTGACGCTGCAATATCCGACTGATACGGTGAGGACACGTTATGCGTATTGGTGAATTTGACATCGTCGAACCAGTGCCGGAGTTGCACGAGCCGCACCTGCTGGCCGTGCTCCGCCCTTGGATCGACGTGGGAAACGTGGGCAGTTTGTCCCTCGGCAGGATCGAGCGCCATCTGCGTAGCCAGGAGCTCGGGCGCCTCTATCGCCCGGGGCGCTACTACGATTTCACGCGCTATCGCCCGCGCTCCTACCTCGTCAACGGCCGCCGCGAGGTCACCGTCCCGAACACGATCATCCGTTACGCCAACCCCGAAGACGGGCCCCATCTCCTGACCGCGCACCTGTTGGAGCCCCACCTCTACGGCGAGGACTACTCCGACGCTCTACTGGAGATCATCAATCACTTTGGCGTGAAGCAGTACGCCCTCATCGGCGGCATGTACGATATGGTCCCGCACACCCGTCCGCTCGTGGTTTCAGGCTTGGGCACCGGTGACAACGTGGAACGCGACTACCGCATTGCCAACGCGCGCGCCAGCAGCTACGAGGGACCAACCACCATCACCTACACCGTCAGCCAGACCGCGGCTCAAAACGGAGTCGAGACGCGCGCGTTCGTCGTCCATTTGCCTCAGTACCTCACCCTGGACGACGATCACCAGGGCGCGGCCCGCATGATGGACCTGCTCTGCCGCCTGTACAACCTCCCCGATTACATCGCCCAGACCGAGCGCGGCCAGAAGCAGTACGACGAGCTCACTCCCAACGACGGCCAGATCCCCACCGGAGACACCCTCGCTCGCATTGAAGAGATGTACGACAGTGAATACGGCGACGACGAGCCGACTGAGCCAACCACGCCGCTCCCGTCCAGCATCGAAGAATTCCTCCAGGGCCTGGGCGCGGATCTCGGCGAGGACGAGGAATCGCGCTAGGCGGTTCCCGTCTGCCAGCGCAGGTGAACCGATGGCCTCCGCGTCGCCTGCAACCGGAGTCCGACCCCCGGTAGCCGAGCTCCTCCAGAAGCTCATTCGCTTCGATACGACCAACCCTCCCGGCAACGAGAGCCTGTGTGCCGCATATTGCCGGGACGTGCTTGCCGACGCCGGCATTGCCGCCGACCTCTTGGGTGACGACCCCGACCGCCTCAACGTCGTCAGCCGCCTGCCCGGTCGTGGGGACGCCCCGCCGCTCCTGCTCTACGGCCATATCGACGTTGTTCCCACGGCTGCCCAGCCTTGGGACGTTCCCCCATTTGAGGGCCGCCTCCAGGACGACTACGTCTGGGGCCGCGGAGCCCTGGACATGAAGGGCGGCGTCGCCATGATGATGGACGCCTTCATTCGTGCTCACCAGGAGGATGCCAACCTCCCCGGCGACGTGGTTCTGGCGCTGGTTAGTGACGAGGAAGCCGGCGGCAATACCGGAGCTGCCTGGTTGGCCCGTTCCCGCCCCGAGTTATTCGAGGGCGTGCGCTACGCCGTGGGCGAGTTCGGCGGGTTCAGCAAGACCTACCGGGGTCGCAAGTTTTACATGGTCCAGGTGGCTGAGAAGCAGGGGTGCCGCGTTCAGGCCGTTGCGCGCGGGCCCGGAGGACACGGTTCCCTCGTCCACCATGACACGGCTCCGACCCGCATGTCCCAGTTCCTGGTCAAGCTCGATCGTACGCCGTTGCCCTTCCACGTCCATCCCGTCACGCGCATGATGATCGAGGCAATGGCCGGTCGCTTGCCCTTGGCCGACGGCACGTTTTTGCGGCTGCTCCTGAATCCCGCGTTCACGGGTCGTATGCTGCGCCGCATGGGCGCCGTGGGTCGCGAGATGGAGCCTCTGTTCCGTCACACCGCCAATGCCACCGTCATCGCCGGTGGCGAAAAAACCAACGTCATCCCCAGCGAGGTTACGGTTACCCTGGATTGCCGGATGCTGCCGGGCTACGACGCCGAGGACCTGCTAGGCGAGCTGCAGAATATCGCTGGCCCCGACATCGAGCTTCAGGCCGTCCGTTTTGAGCCCAAGCCTTGGGTGCTGAACATGGGCCTCTTCGACACCCTATCCGACATCATTCGTGAACAGGATGCCGAAGGTGTCTCCGTCCCCATGCTCATGCCGGCCGGAACCGACGGACGCCATTTCGCCGCGCTCGGCATCCAGACCTATGGTTGGATGCCCATGAACCTGCCCGCCGATTTCGACTTCCTCAAAACCATTCATGCCGCCAACGAGCGTGTCCCGGTGTCGGCGCTGGAGTTCGGCGCCAGAGCCCTGTTTCAACTGCTGCAACGTTTTCACGACTGACAGTGGCTCGCACCTGGATTCTGCGGACCGTGCTGCTCACGATGGCATTCGCGGTCGCGGCCTGCACTGGGTACCCCCTGCCGGTTGCCCCGTCCCAATCGGTTTCCTCACCTACCGCCGGCTCCCCATCGTCGGTCGGCGGAGCCTTCACCGTCACGCCTCGACCCTCTCCGACCGTTGCGGTCACCGCGAGTGCGGCTACTGCGGTCAGCGCACCCTCCGTTCCCAAGCCCACCGCGACTGGTGAGCCGAAACCCACCGCTACTCCGCCTGTGTCTTCAAGCCCTACTGTCGGGCTGTTGCGCCTTCGGGATGACCTGGACGATCCCTTGGGTTATTGCATTGATGTCCGTGGCTTCGGCTCCAGCATCCGCCTGGACGCCGACCTGCAGGCCCATAGCTGCAAGTCCAACTCACCTGATGACCAATCGTTTGCCCTGGTTGGAGATGGTCCGGGAGGCAGGATTTTGCTAATCGAATATGACGTCTGCCTAGCCGTTGCTGATACAGCACCGGGGGCGTCCGTTCACCTGCGCCCTTGCGACGATCAATCAGTTTCCCAGCAGTTCGAATGGCTGGGCGATGGACGGCTTCGTCTACAGGCAGAACGCGGCGTGTCGCAGCCGGAGTTGTGCGTTGGCGTCGCCGGTGGAGACGGCGAACCCGCCGGAGGACGCGATCACTTGCGTCGGGACCTGATGCTGCGGGATTGCGGCGAAACCGACCCAGCCTTGACGGCGTGGGAAGTAGTACCGAATCAATAGGGGCGAATATTTATTCGCCCCTACCGTTGTAATCCGAAGTGCCAGGATCAGGTTACTGTGGCGTCGCGGTCGCCCCTTTGGCCACGTCGATCAGCCGCTCAAACGCGTCATGATCCCGCACTGCCATGTCTGCCAGCATCTTGCGGTCAATCTCGATGCCCGCGACGTTCATTCCGTGCATAAACTGGCTGTAGGTCATGTCGTGCTGGCGGCACGCCGCTCCAATCCGAATGATCCACAGGCGGCGGAAGTCGCCCTTGCGCTGCCGTCGGTGGCGGTACGCGTGGCTCCACGCGTGCATCACCGCCTCTTTGGCCCACTTATAGTTGCGCCCAGATGACGCCTGATAGCCCTTTGCGGCTTTGATGATCTTCTTGTGTCGAGCGCGTTTGGTCACGCCCCTTTTGACTCTTGGCACGGTTGCGGATTCTCCAGTTTAAACGTCGTATGGTATCAGCCGGCTCAGGCGTTTCACGTCAGCGGCGGCGTAGCCGATCTTCTGCGCGAACTTCCTGGTCACTTTCTTCGGCTTCTTGCGACGGAGATGGCTGCTCATCCGCTTGCGGCGGAGCAACTTGCCGGTGCCCGTCACATGTATGCGGGCTTTGGCCCCTTTGTGGGTTTTCAGTTTGGGCATGTGTAGTTATTCCGTAGCTACTGCTTCCTTTCGTTCGTTGCGCGCCGCCACCGTCGGACTCGGTATCAAGACCATGGACATGGCCCTGCCTTCCATCGATGGCTGCTGCTCCAACCGGATGTCGTCTTTCAACTCTTCTGCGACCCGCTTCAACAGCGAAAGCCCGTTTTGCTGGTGAACTGCCTCGCGCCCTCGGAACCGGACCGTCAGTTTGACTTTGTCACCATTCCCGATGAACTGGCGCACCTTGCGCAACTTGGCATCGAAGTCGTGCGTGCCAATGTTTGGCCGGAACCGTACTTCCTTCAGTTCGTTGCTCTTCTGGGATTTGCGGGTCTCGCGTTCCTTCTTCGACGTGAGGTATCGGAGCTTTCCGTAGTCCAGCAGCCGCGCGACCGGGGGATCGGCGTTCGGCGCCACTTCCACCAGGTCAAGGTCATTCATCCGCGCCCTGGAGAGGGCGTCGGACACCGTCATCACGCCAAGCTGCTCGCCATCTTCTCCAATTACTCGTACCCGCGGGACGCGTATCTGTTCATTGACCCTGTACTGCCTGGCTATGGCGTCACCTCCTTGGTGGTGCGTAGCGTAGAAAGCCGGGACCCGAAGGGCCCCAACCGCTCATCATTGCACTATTCTAGCGGCGGCCTACTGGGCAGTCAACGATTTGACGAACGGTTTCGACAGTCGTGGGTGCTCACCTCGCGTTTTGTCTCGGTAATTCCGTGCGGCGACCGTGCCCTGCGTCCGAACCGTCCTTACTCCGCCTCTTCTTCCTCGTCCTCTTCAGGCGGCTCTTCGTCGTCATCGTCCAGGTCGTCTTCGCCGAGCAAGTCTTCGTCCTCGTCATCGTCGTCTGCGGCGAGAACCTCCAAGATCCGGGCCAACTGCTCGTCCTCTGCCGTTCCTGCAGCCGTCAGCATCCGCGCGCTGTCGAGAACTTCTTCGGGTTCCGGCTCCTCCAAGGCGATCGCGGCAAATCCGTAGAAAACATCGCTGTCCAGCACCCTGGCCAGTCCGTTCACCGTCAGCGTGATCGGACGGATCGGGGTCGACCATTTCTCGGTCAGTTCGGTATGCAATTCCGACAGCGGCATCGGCTCGCCTCCCTGCAGCAGCAGCGTGCGGAACACAATCTCCTGCAGCGGCATCGAAGACTGAATGAACTCCGTGTCACCGGCGCAATGGGTCCTGATCTCTTTCACCAGGTCGGACGGATGCGCGATCTCCGCTGACGTCTTGCCGAACGATGGGCACGTGGTGTTGAGCCGGGCCAGCAGTAACTGGATAGGGGACCGATTCAGTTCGTCCAGCCTTTCCAGGCTGAACCGGTATTCGGGTCGTGCCGATCTGCTATTTCCCGTGACGGTGGTCGTCATGCGTTAACCTCTTCATTCCAATCCAGCATTATGATCTTTACCGCCTGTCCGGCGTTTTTTCGGGTCAGGTCGGATGGACAAATCGCCAGCCCGTTGGCCTTGGACAACGACGTCAGGATGTTCGATCCCTGCGGCCCCGTCGGCGTGGCAAACCACGTGCCGTCTCGTCGTTCGACCTCGACTCGCGCGTACACCCTTCGCCCGTCGCTGTTGAAAATCGGGCCGGTGAGCACCCCTTCAACCGTGGGACGCGCCAGCAGGTCCCGTCCCAACATGCGCCGCACGGCTGCCCGGCCGAACATCTCGAACGCCAGCAGCGCGCTGACCGGGTTGCCTGGCAGTCCCAGCAACGGCAGGGGCTCGCGTCCTTCGCGATTGATCAGCCCGAACGCCAGCGGCTTGGCCGGTCGCATCCGCACCGACCAGAAGTTCATGTCCCCTCGCTGCTCCAGCACGTCCTTGACCATGTCGTAATCGCCCTTGGACACGCCGGCCGAGGTAACCAGCAGGTCCGAATCCGAGGCGGCGTCGATGCACCGATGCAGGTCGTCCAAGTTGTCCCGCGCGATGCCGATTATTTTCGCCACCCCGCCGGCCGCGCGGACCGCCGCCGCTACGCTGCTGCTGTTGCTGTCGTAGATGTGACCCGGCTCGAGATCTTCGCCAACCGTGGTCAGCTCGTCTCCCGTTGACAGCACCGCAACTACCGGTCGCCGGATCACCCACGCCGTGGCAAGCCCCAACGATGCGAGAACTCCTGCTTCCGCCGGTCGAACCACCGTCCCCGCCGGCAACACCAACTCCCCCGCCTGCACGTCTTCGCCCGCCGGTCGTACGTTACTGCCCAATGGCAGCGCCTTGCGGATGGCGATTTCGTCCAGCGGCGTCCCCGTGCGCCTGCGTTCGAGTTCGTCAGTTTCCTCGAAGGGAACTACGGTGTCTGCGCCCGCGGGAACCGGTGCACCGGTCATGATCCGGATCGCGTTGCCCCTGGTGACCGTCTGGTCCGAGACCTGTCCTGCCGCGACCGCGGAAATCACTGACAGCGTCGGCGCCGTGTCGTTGGCCGCTGCGATGTCGGCGTGCAGCACGGCGTAGCCGTCCATGGCCGAGTTGGCCAGCGGCGGAAGGTTCAACGGCGATGTGACATCCTCCGCCAGCGCCAGGCCCAGGCATTCCAACACCGGCAATTCCACCGCGTCCCGCGGGCTGAAGTGGGCGATGATGCGCTCCAGGGCCTGCTCGACCTCCAGCATGTCTTCATGCCCGTGGCCGTCGTGGCGACCGCGATGGTGTCCATCGTGGCCGTGGTCGTGGTCGTGACCCCCGTGCGCGTCCTGCCCGTGGTCGTGGATACTCTCGTGGTCCCCGTCGCCGTGGGCGTCGTGGGCGTGCGGTTCTCGCGAGTGGGCGTGGGTAGTCATGGCAATCACGTCCGTAGCAGGGGTGACAGGCGGTTGGCGGCCAATAATCGTACCACACTCGTCCCTACGGGTCAGAGCCCGGGTGTGCGTTACGCCCGAACGATCGCTCCGGCTTCCCGTTCCAACGCTCTGGTCAGCCCGTTCATCGCCCGGTTCACGTCTTCGGCGGTCAGTGTCCGGTCGGTGGCTCGGAACCGGATGCGGAAGGCCAGCGAACGCGTACCCTCTGGCACGTTTTCGCCGGCATACACGTCGAACAATTCGGCCCGTTCCACCAGCCGCACCCTTTCGATCAGGTTCTGGACCCTGGCCGCCGGCACGTCCGCCGGAACCACCAGCGCCAGGTCGCGATTGGCCGCCGGGAACCGCGACAGCGACTGGAATCGACCACCGTCCGGGCCCGCCCTCAGCAGATCTTCCAATCGCACCTCGAAATACACCACCGGATCCGGCCCCAGGTCGAACGCCTCGCGGATGTCGGGATGCAGTTCCCCGATCACGCCCACATCCGCTGCCTGACCAGAGCCCGCTGTCACTCGGGCGCAACGCCCCGGGTGGAACGTAGGCTGATCCTGCGCCTCCAGCGACGTCGTGATTCCCACGCGGTTGAGCGCAGCCGCCAACGTTCCCGAAAGGTCGAAGAAGTCCAGGGGCTCGCCAGTGCTCAGCCAGTTGGCGTCGTAACGCGGCCCGCACATCACTCCCGCCGCAATCTCCCGCTCAACGGGCAGCCCCGGGGTCTGCGGGATGAACGCCCTTCCCAGTTCGAACAGCCGGAATCCACCGTCGTTGTGTCCTCGGTTATAGGCCAAGGTATTCAGTATGCTGGCCGCCAGCGTCGGCCGCATGATGTCCTGCTCGGCGGACATCGGGTTCGCCACCCTCAGTAGTGCGATGCCGTCGCCCGCTTCGCCGTGGTAGTTCAGCCGATCCAGATCCTCCGCGCTGACCAGCGGGTAGCTGATTGTCTCCTGCATCCCTGCCGCGGCAAGGGCATCGCGCAGTCCATCCTTCAGCGTCGTCATCGGGTTGGGCCGGTGGTAGGGGATCGGCGACGCAAGCATCGTGGTCGGCACTTCGTCGTACCCGATGATCCGGATCACTTCCTCGATCAGGTCCTCTTCGATGGCGATGTCGCCCCGCCAGTACGGCGGGTCCGCCTCGAGGCTGTCCGGCCCCGTGCGCCGTGTCGTGATACCGAGGCTTGCCAGCACCGTCTCCGCCCGGGCGATGTCCAGATCCATGCCCAGCACCTGCCGCATCCGCCCCACCGTCAAGGGAACCGCAGGAACCTCGGCGTCCCCGCCGGGGAACACGTCGATGATCCCGGCCGCAGCCTGCCCGCCGGCCGTTTCCAGGATCAGCTGCGTCGCCCTCCGCAGCGCGATGGGCGCCAGTTCCGGCCGCAGCCCCTTCTCGAAGCGCAGGCTGGCCTCGGTTCGCAGGTTCAGGTCCGTGGAGGTTCTACGGTTGTTCAACGGGTGGAATGTCGCCGCTTCCAGCAGCATGTTGGTCGTGCTGCCCGTGATCTCGCTGTTCTCGCCGCCCATCACCCCGCCGATACCGATGGCCCGTGCCGGATCAGCGATCAGCAGGTTGTCGGCGGTCAGCTTGCGGTGCACCCCGTCCAGGGTCGTGAATTCCTCGCTGTCGGCTGCCCGCCTCACCACCACGTGGCGGTCAGTCACCGTGTCCAGGTCAAAGGCGTGCAGCGGTTGGTTGAACTCCAGCATCACGTAGTTGGTCACGTCCACCACGTTGTTGATCGGCCGCAACCCGGCGCGATTCAGGCGTTCCTGCAACCAATGTGGCGAGGGTCCGATGTTGATCCCAGTGATGACCGAGGCTGTGTAGCGCGGGCAGAGTTCCGGATCTTCTATCGTAACCCGTGCCAGGTCCGCAGCCGGAACGTCCGATTCTTTGTATCCGGTCTCTGGAACCCGGACCGGCTGCCCGGTGATCGCTCCGATCTCCCGCGCCACGCCCAAGACGGACAGGCAGTCGCCTCGATTAGGTGTCAGCTCCAATTCCAGGAATGTGTCGCCCAGCACTTCGTCCAGCGGCGCGCCCACGACCGCGTCGTCCGCAAGCACGATGATCCCTTCGTGCTCGTCGCTGATCTCCAGCTCCGCCTCCGAGCAGATCATCCCTTCCGACACCACGCCGCGTATGGTGGCCGGCTTCAGCTCTTCTCTTCTGCCGGTGTGCATGTTCAGCAACGTCACGCCGGGTCGGGCAAAGCAGATCTTCTGCCCGGCTGCCACGTTCGGCGCGCCGCAAACCACCTCCAGCGTCGGACCGTCCCCCGGGTCAACCTCGCACAGCGTCAGGCTGTCGGCGTTCGGATGCGGCCGCGTCGCCTGCACGTACCCAACCACGCAACCTTCCCAGCCGCCCCGTGTGAACACGTCACCCGCCTCGATGCCGCCCATGGTCAGCCGGTGCGCCAACTCATCGGGGCCGAGCGTAATGTCAACGTATTGTGAAAGCCAGGAAAAAGGAATCAGCATGGTAGTTCACGATTGAATTCTCAAATGGAAATGAAACCGTCCGACAGCCAGGGATAAACGCGGTCGTGGGGCGGAATGATAGCGATATGTACCCAATTGTTGCTGGGCGCATCCGGCCACGTCACCCATCTTCCGGGTGAAATGGCTTCCCTGTGCCGTAGCAGGCCGTAAGGATCAACAAATGCGCCGACGCCTATCGCACCCGGGCATTCGGATTGAATGGTTTGCGAAAGTTGGTCAATGGACGAACGAAGCCGCTCGCGTTCGATATGCAGTTGTTCCGAAAGCGCAGATGGCTCGCGCTGTGAGCCATCTGCGGCCCACAGTATACTACCGCGATAGTGCTGCAAATCAGCACACAGCAAAGCACCGCCACTCTGCTCGCTCACAATCAAGCCGGAGTCGCCAGAGGATACAACCTGCAACGGTAGTTCGACTGCTGAGATAAAGCGTTCTATCTTTCGCAATAAGGTCTGCCGCAGATATGCCGCCGAGTATTTATTATGACGCAACCCTAGCCAGACTAACGCCGCAGCGAAGACGCCGTACGCAAGCAGAGCCGGCTCTGAGCCGGAGCGATCGGTGTCATCCCAGAGAACTTCTAAACCTACGATGTCGTTGTCCGGGCTGAAGTCAACTATGAAATTATCGGCAACTTCTAAGCTGACTTCGTAAGGTAAGTCGGCGAAGCGCACGTACATCGCCTCTGGATGGCGTCTTACGTACGGCAAGTTTTTCGTTACTGAGGACATAGGAACCGCCTATCTGGATGTACCGTGATGACGAAATTGCGTTGCTTAATGCGCACCACAACACGGAAAGGGTGCCGTTCTCCAGGTACACAGCGGAGAAATCGAATATGGTCTGGCTTGAGGTCTGGCTCAATACGGTCCGGATCCGCAAGACACAACGCAACTGCGTCCTCGGATATTCCCCGCTCCGCCATCCGTTCCCGCGCGTGCCCGCTGTATTCAATCATACTACCGGACGGGCGCATCAGAACTGCCGCAAAAACCTCACGTCGTTCCTGTAGAAATGTCGGATGTCATCGATCCCGTATTTCAGCATCCCGATGCGTTCCGGCCCCATCCCGAACGCGAACCCCGTGTAACGCTGTGGGTCGTACCCGACCCCTTGCAGGACCCGCGGATGCACCATCCCCGCGCCCATGATCTCGATCCAGTCCTCGTCGCGATTGATCGGCCGCCTTCCCGTCTCCGGATCTACAAAGTTGGAGATGGACATATCCACGCCCGGTTCGACGAATGGGAAGTAGTCGCACCGGAACCGTATCTGCCGGTCTTCCCCGAACACCCGCCGGGCGAATTCGTAAAGCGTACCCTTCAGATCGGCGAAGGTGATCCCCTCTGCCACTGCCAGTCCTTCAACCTGGTAGAAATGCCATTCGTGCGTGGCGTCGGTCGCCTCGTAGCGGTAGCACTTGCCCGGCACCACGACCCTCACCGGCGGGTCCTGCGCTTCCATCACCCGCGCCTGCATCGGCGACGTGTGCGTCCGCAACAGCATCGGCTGCTGCTCCTCTTCGTTCACATAATCCACCCACAGCGAGTTCCACATGTCCCGCGCCGGATGCCCAGCCGGTATGTTGAGCATTTCGAAGTTGTAGTGGTCCAGTTCAACCTCTGGCCCCTCTACGACGCTGAACCCCATGCCCATGAACGCGGCGCAGATCTCGCGCACTATCTGCGTGGTCGGATGCAGGCGACCGGTCGCCACCGGCCGGCCCGGCAGCGTAACGTCCAGCGCATCTTGGGATGCCAAGGCGGCCTGCGCTATTTCCCGTGTCCGCTTGGCCAGCGCCTCTTCCAGCGCGTTCTTGGCTTGGTTGGCCCGGGAACCGATCTCGCGCCGTTGCTCCGGTTCCAGTTGAGGCAGCGATCGCAACAATCCCGTCAACCTTCCCCGGCGTCCCAGGTAGGCTACGCGCCACTCCTCCACCCCGTCGGCCGCACCGATGGCGTCGAGCTCGACCAGCGCGTCGCGGGTGAGCGTGTCTATGGATTCTACGGATGGAGCGTCTGGCATGGGCGTGGAAACCAATCCTTGGCAAATACAAAATGGGCATCAAAATTATAAGCAGCGCCCATTCGCAGGGTCAAGAAATCTGGATACCCAAACGCTCAGCTAACCATGCGCCTCGCGCCAGGCCGTGCACGTGCCCGCCTCCCTCGGCCGCCCCGTCGTAGACCCTGAAATCGCATGCCGGGAGCGCCCGAGCCAACTCTTCGGCGCAGGACAATGGACACACGCTTCGGTCAAATCTCCCGGCGCTCATCAGCACCGGACAAGACACCGCGCCGGCCGTGTCCACCGGATTCACCGTGGACAGCAGTTCCGCCACGTCCTCTCGGAGCTCCGGATGGACTCGCAGGTAGTCTCCAAGCTCCGCCAGCGGATACCCCAAACCCGGCTCCAAGCCGGCTGGATGACCCAGCGCCAGCGGTGTGTCCGCGGCTACCGCGCATACCCCAGGTCGGTGGGCTGCTGCAGCCAACGCGAGGCTGGCGCCCAGTCCAGCTCCGGTCAGGGCCACGTCACCCGACAACGCGGCGACATTCTGCCCGGCCAACACGTCCACGGCGCGCAGTGCATCCGCATAAGCTCCGAAGAGCGTGTAGGTATCGGCGCTTGCGATGCCGTCGGTCAGCAGCCCTGGATAACTGGCTCTCACCTGCCCGCCGCTGTTCCGTTGCCCTCGATGGGTCGCGTTCATCACCACCGCCCTTTGGCGAAGCGGCGTGTAGATGATGTCGTGCACGCTCGCATAGTCGGGCATTCGTACCAATGCCGGAAACGGCCCGTCCCCGTGCGGCACGGACAGCCATGCGAACAAGCGGTGCCCGCCGGCGCCGATGTATCGCACCCAAAACACGTCCCACTCCGGTTGAGAGTAAAACGCGTCCCGTTCCACCTCGATATTCGTACCGGTTTCGGCCAGCTGGGTCTCGATCTTTTCCCAGAACGCGTCTGAACGTCCTCGTGCCGATGTCATGGCGTCTGCCCGCTGCTCACGCCGATGCGTTCCTCCAGCCACTTCCGTTCCCGCCCCGGATACTCGTGGGCGTTGCCGTGACCCGACTCCGGGAACAGCCATAGCTCTCGTTCACCGCCCAGCAGTCGGTATGCCGCGTAGCTCGTTTCCGGCGGGCACACCTCGTCCTCCATTGCGATCCCCACCACCATTGGGGACTCGATCCGTGGCGCAAAATTCACCGCGTCAAAGTACCGCAGCGTCCCCAGAATCTGTTCCGTCCTGTCCGGATGCGCCCGTTGGTAGCAGGAAAGTTCGTCGTAAGGATAGCTGCGCAACATTGCCATCGATTCGGGAAAGCAGCACAGGAACGGGTAGCCCGCCACGCCGGCCTTGATCTCCGGTCGCAACGCAGACGTGATCAGCGTTAGCCCGCCACCCTGGCTGCTCCCGCAACAGTAGATCCGCTCGGCGTCGATCTCCGGCCGCGACAGGAGGAAGTCCACGCCCCGCATGCAGTCCGCGATCACACCCTTGTAGCCGTAGGTGTCGCGATCCTCCACTCCGCTGGTCAGCAGACCCGGATACCCGGGATTGAACTCGGAACTGCTCGGCAGCTTGCCCCGTACCGCCACCGACAGCACCGCCACTCCCTTCGCTCCCCAATCCCGTCGCAGAGCCGGCTCCGATTTGTACCCCGGCAGGTGCAGGATAGCGGGAAACGGCGCGTCCCCCGCCGTCGGTACCGCGTACCACGCGAAAATCTCCAACCCGCCCAGGCTGCGGTACGTGGCTTGGTATACCTTGATCGTGTCCGTGCTCCGCAGCGCATCGGCCTCGGTCGTCGCATCCAGTGGTAATCCGGCTAGCTCCGTCCGCACTGCGTCCCAAAAGCTGTCGAAATCGTCGGGACACGTAACCGATGTGCGAAACGATTCCAGATCCTGTCGCGTGGCCATCCAATAACTCCTCATGGTCGGTAGACCGGCTCATTATAGCCCCGCATCCCGTCCTGCGAACCCTTGCGGATACTGGGTTTCTCGCCTACGCCAATGCGGCTCTCCCTCCGCATACCCATTTGAGGTCAAGCGGCGCTCACCAGCTTGATGTCAAACTGTCATAGGGATTACGCAGTTGTAGCGGGTGGTTTAGGGAAGCGCCAACGGGTCGAGTATATTGTGGGCCATCAGTTGGCTCCAAGGATGGTGACGGGGCATCAACGCGGCGCGGTGTGATGAAGTGGACTACATTGAGTTTCTGGTGGCGGCATCGGGCGTTGTCAACCGGCAGCGCCGTAAGCCCCGGCCCACGGCGCCTCGACACGCCCGCTGAGGCGACAGCCACCCGACACGGAGGCGCATTGGCGGGAAGTGGGTCCACTGGTGGCGCGGGCGGCTGGGGTGCTGGCGCTGGAGACACCACATTGGACAAGCCTTACGCCAAGAAGATGAAACTGGTGTCCCGATATTGAAGGGGCAAGCCTGGATGAGTGGTGTGGGGCAACAACCTGATGGGGTTGCTCTGGACCGGCGGCAACGCACTGCTGCCCTGCGATGTCCGGATCTGTGACGAGCCATTGAGCGGATTGACCAAGAACCATCATTTCCGGCGGATACCCATTTCCGGCGGATACCGCTGATGGCTGGGGAGCGTGGGTTTCAGCCCCGAAAGGTTTTTTGACAGCCCCTGGTACCAACTCTCCCCAACTGCGTTAGTCCTGCGACATTGCGAGCGAAGGGTGACAATCTCGGCGCAGTGGCACGGGTATTTGCCGAGGGTGATCACATCGCATTGTGACCGCCGCTTCGTGTCTTTACTAACGACAATAATCGAACGGCCCTGGTGTCGGATTGTGCTCGATTGGCAGCAGTTTGACCTGGTGATAGACTGCGCCTTAACGATGCGTTTTGGCCCGCGTTGTATCCGGTGGCAACTCATTAACACGGGAGGTGATCCGATGATCCGATTGGGTGCAACAGGCTCTCAGGCACACCTCGATCTGTGCCGCGCGCTGGAGACCGTGTTTCGTCGCGATGGCGTCGAGTTCGATTGGGTGCTCTATTCCGGTTACGACGAGATGGTGGATGCCTTCGTACGCGGCGAAATAAATTTGGCCTGGAACGGGCCGCTATCTCATGTAAAGATGCGGCGGGCCTTGGCTGATGGCGCCCCCGTGCTGGCCCTGAGGGACGTCGACATCGGGTTCACCACCCGGTTCATCACCCGCGCCGACTCCGCCATTGATACTGTTGAAGACCTGCCCGGTACCCGCTTCGCCTTTGCCGCGCGAGACTCGGTGGAAGCCGGATTGTTACCGGTGCATTTCCTGAAAGAAATGGGCATCAACCCCTCGCATTCTTTGGCCGCGGCGGACTTCTTTGACCAGCGCGACCCTCAGCATTCCTCGGACCAGGTTGACGTGGCTCTGCAGGTGCTCAACCGGTCCTACGACGCTGGCGCCATCAGCGCTCGCGCCATGGATACCTTGAAGGACCGACACGGCGTTGATGCCGACCAGCTGCGCGTCTTCTGGACCAGCCCCGGCTACAGCCATTGTTGCTTCACGGCAAGACCAGAGATCGACCCGGGTGAGGCAGCACAGGTCACCGCCGCTTTGGTTGCCGTGGACGATGGCGATGAGGCCGGCCGTGCGGTCTTGAAAGCCGAGGCTTGCGACAGGTTATTGCCTGGCATCGAAGACGGCTGGGAGCTGGTAGAAGCGGCCGCCCTCTCTGAAGGCCTCCTTTATTGATCCTCTTTGGGCGGCATGGTTCAGCGCCAACCAAGGGCGCGGGGAAGATCGTTCGCTTGTGCCTGCCCAATCGAAATGACCTAGCTCCAGATCAGGGGAGTTTGCACTTTGACTGAAAAAATCGGTTTCATCGGTTTGGGTCGCATGGGTCTGCCCATGTCTTACAACCTGTTGCGCGCTGGCTATGACCTTACGGTTCACAATCGTAGCCAGGAGAAGGTTCGCCAGATTGCTGATGCCGGAGCGTCGGCGGCGACTTCGACCGCCGAGGTCATGGCCAATTGCGACATCGTGCTGGCCTGTCTGCCTGACGTGGCAACCTGCGAGGCGGTTCTCCTCGGTGACGACGGCGCTCTGCCCAACGCGCGCCACGGCCAGATCATCGTTGACCACAGCACCGTCGGCGCGGCGACTTCCAAAGCCTGCGCCGCAGTCGCCGAGAACCGAGGCGCGATGTTCCTCGACGCACCCATCAGCGGCGGAACCGAGCGGGCCACCGACGGCAGCCTGACCATCATGGTGGGCGGCCCGGCGGAAGCCTACCGGGCGGTTCAGCCTCTGTTCGATGTTATGGGAGCCGTCGTGCACCATGTTGGTCCAACCGGTTCCGGCACCGCCGCCAAGTTGGTAAACCAACTGCTGGTCGGCGTCCACAAGGTGGCGGCGGCGGAAGCCATGCTGCTGGCTGCCAAGTCAGGGGCCGATCCGGCGCTGGTGTTTGAACTCGTCAACTCGGGATGGGGACAGAGTTTCATCCTGGGGCGCAATGCTCCGGCCATGCTCGATCGTGATTTCGACGGCATTCGGACCCAACTGCGCGTGTTCCTCAAGGATCTCGGCCTCATCCAGGAGATGGCGAGGGATTTGGGGACTCCAATCCCGGGAGGCGACCTCGCCTATCGTCTCTTCCAGGAAGCGGTGGACCAGGGCCTCGGAGACTTGGATGGCGCGGCCATCGTCCTGCCGATGGAAGAGCAGGCCCATTTCCAGATACAACGCACGGGCGGGTGAACCGGCAGGGAAGCGCCGCAATCGTGGCAAAGGATGGTAACCATGGCAGACGATAAAATCGTCTATTTCAACGGTCACATGACGCCTGCCGATCAGGTGGGCATTTCGATCTATGACCGCGGCTTCTTATACGGCGACGCGGTGTTCGACGCCACTCGTACCTTCGGCGGCCAGACCTTCCGACTGGATCGGCACATTGACCGCCTGTACAACTCTCTCCGTTACCTGCGCATCGATGTCGAAATGAGCAAGGCGGAGATGACGGAAGCCACCGAAGCGGTGGTCGCGCGGAATCACCCCCTGCTCCCTCAAGGCCAGGATATGTGGGTGATGCAGCGCATCAGCCGCGGAGTTGAAGGACCTGATCGCGTCGGGGGGATTCAGCCCACCATCATCATTGAGAGCCATGCAATTCCCTTCGCCGCCCGTGCCCCGCTGTATCGGGACGGCGCCCGTATCAGTACTCCGTCCGTTCCACGCATCCCTCCCCGGTTCCTCAGCCCCCGCGCCAAGACCCACAACTACCTCAACCTCATCATGGGCGAACTGGAGGTGCACGGCGAAGACCCGGATGCTTGGGCGATTCTGCTGGACGAATTCGGCAATCTGACTGAGGGTCGAGGCAGCAACGTCTTCCTGGTCAAGGACGGCGCGGTAATGACGCCCAAGTCGCAGTACGTGTTGGAGGGAGTGACCCGAAACCAGACGCTCGAACTCGCAGATGGGCTCGGCATACCCACCACCGAATGCGACATTGATCTGTACGACGCCTACACCGCCGACGAGGCATTCCTGACCTCCACCAGCCTGTGCATCTGCCCCGTGTCAGCGGTCAACGGCGCAACCGTTGGCGATGGCGACGTTCCGGGGCCCGTCACCCACCGCCTAATGAGCGCTTTCAGCGATCTCGTCGGCATGGACTTCGCCGAACAATACCTTGCGTACCTGCCTGCGTAGCGCGCTTTCGCTTTCACACTCTTGCCCAGGAGGCAACCATGCCCGAATACTTGGAAGGAATTGTCGAGTCTGGCCAGGAGGCACAGCAGCTTGCCACCGATTTCGCGTTCACCGAGGGTCCGCTCTGGCATCCGGACGGCTACTGGCTGTTTGTGGATCTGAGGCGGGAGCCGCCCGTCATTCACCGCATGTCGCCGGCCGGCGGAACGCCCGACGTCATCCGCGAACCCAGCGGCGGCACCAACGGCATGACCCTGGACCTCCAGGGTCGCCTGCTCATGTGCGAGGGCGACAACCGGCGCATAACTCGCATGGAGTCCGACGGCACCATCAACGTGGTGGCGGACCGGTGGGACGGCAAGCGATTCCATCGCCCCAATGACATCGTCTGTCGCAGCGACGGCAGCATCTTCATCACCAATCCCAGCGGGCGTGTTCCCGAAGAGGATCAGGAGATCGAGTTCCCCGGCACCATTCATCGGATTGCGCCCGATGGCACGGTGGAAATGTCCGCCCACGACATCGATTTTCCCAACGGCATCGCCTTCTCGCCCGACGAATCCGTGCTCTACGTGTCCAACACGCGCAAACTCGGCGAGCGCCCCGACCAGTATTGGGACGGCGAGGTCAAGCAAAACCAGTTCGTGCAGGCTTATGACGTGGCCGCCGACGGCTCATTGAGCAACAGCCGCGTCTTCGGCAGCATGGCCTCGGCCGAGGATGGCGTCCCCGATGGCATGAAAGTCGACGCTGAAGGCCGCGTGTATTGCACCGGCTCCGGCGGCGTGTGGGTGTTTGCCCCGGACGGCCAGCACCTTGGCATCATCCGAGTACCGGAAATACCCGCCAACTGCGCTTTCGGAGGCCCGGACTTTCGCACGATGCTGTTCACCGCCCGCACGTCGGTGTACAGCTTGCGCATGACGACGCCGGGCGCCCCGCTGCCCCGAGCGTAATTCCCGGAGCGAACATGCGAGAATTTGACGCAATTGTGATCGGAGTCGGCGGCATGGGGAGTGCCGCCGTCTACCACTTGGCCCGGCGCGGCTGGCGGGTGCTCGGTCTCGAACAGTACGACATACCTAACGAGATGGGCTCATCCCACGGTGTCAGCCGCATGATTCGTCTGGCCTACCACGAGGATCCCTCCTACGTTCCGCTGCTCTATCGGGCCTATGAACTCTGGCACCAACTGGAAAACCTGGCCGGCGAAAAGCTCCTGGTTACCACCGGGTGCGTGCGCGGGGGCGTCGGCGCGAGCCAACTGCTCGAGGGATCTCTGGAGACGGTGCAGCAACATCACCTCCCTTACCGCATGCTCAGCGGGCCCGAGGTGAACCGTGAATGGCCCGGCTATCAACTCCCCGAAGAGGCGGAAATGCTTTACGAACAACAGGGAGGGTTCGTACTCTCTGAGCGTTGTATCGTCGGACACGTCTCCGCCGCGCTGGAATTGGGCGCCGAAGTGCATGGCCGGGAGGCCGCGGTGAGCTGGGAGCCCACAGCGGGCGGCGGAGTGGTCGTGTCCACCGACAAGGACACTTACTCGGCCCGCCGCCTGATCGTCACCGCCGGAGCCTGGGCCGGTAAGGTGGCTCCTGAAGTCGCAACCCACGCCGTTCCCGAGCGGCAGGTATTGGGCTGGTTCGCCCCCTACCGCCCGGAGCTGTTCCGCCCGGAGAACTTCCCGGTCTTTGGCATGGAGGTCGAAGAAGGCCGTTTCTACGGTTTCCCGTCCTACGGCATACCGGGGTTCAAGTTGGGCATGTTCAACCACTTCCGTGAGCAGGTCGATCCGGACACCATGGACCGCGAACCCAACGCCCGGGACGAGGCAGCCCTCCGCCAGTTCACCGAGCGTTACTTCCCGGAAGCTGCCGGTCCCACCCTCGCGCTGAAGACCTGCATGTTCACCAACACGCCCGATGAACATTTCATCATCGACACGCTGTCCGACCACCCGCAGGTTTCTGTCGCCGCCGGGTTTTCGGGACACGGGTTCAAGTTCGCCAGTGTGGTGGGCGAAATCATGGCCGACCTGGCGGAGCACGGCCAAACGGATCACGACATCGGGCTGTTCAAGCTGGGCCGTTTTACTGACTGATGCTACTCGACACCCTGTCGACAGGTGACCATCATGGTGAGTAACCAGTTCCACAACCCCTTTCCGGGTATGAACCCATACTTGGAATCGGTTCCTTGGTGGAGGGAAATACACAACACTCTCATCAGCGAAATCCGCTTCTTCCTGCGGGAGACACTGCCAGTCAGGTATTTGGTAACCATGGAGGAGCGAGCGACCATAGTGCACAACCCGCCGGAAGATCCGCCGCGGAGATACGCCGTAATACCGGATATCACCGTTTCTGGTGCAAGGGACCTGGCCCGCGACAATGCCGGAAGACTCGACGGTGAGGCGGTGACGGTCGTGTTGCCGGATGTTTACCCCGCATACGAACGTTTTATTCAAATCAACGCGGAAAACCGCCAGGAAGCGGTAACCATCATTGAGGTGCTCTCACCAACCAACAAACACCCGGGCCGGGGACGGAACAATTATTTGCAGAAAAGGCACCAAATCCTCAACAGCTCCACTACCCATCTGGTAGAGATAGACCTCCTGCGAGATGGAATCCCCATGCCGGTAGTCGGCTTTGACGCGGACGATCCTTATCGGCTCATGGTAAGTCGGAACGAATTGCGTCCATCAGCTGACTTGTACCCATTCACTTTACAGTCTAGTGTACCGGAGATCCGGATTCCGCTCCTGAATCCGGACGAAGAGTCTGTTCTCAATTTAGGGGTCATCATGGGCGACATCTATCTGCGAGGCTATTTGGGAAGAGGCTTGGATTACCGGATAGATCCCTCAGGCCCATTGTCGCAAAATGACCGAGTGTGGCTAGACGTACTGTTACGAGAGCAGGGCCTCCGCTCATGAATGCTATTTGCGTCCAGCCGCTCCCGTAAGACTACGCGCTTGAGGCACACTGCAATGAAAATCACCGAGGTTGAGGCAATCGCGCTGGTCTGGCCCGCGCCAGATCGCGAGTATTGGACCGCCCTCCGGCCCATCGGCCGGGTCAGCGAGCTCCTGGTCCGCGTCCACACCGACGCCGGCTTTTATGGCATTGGCGAAGCCCACGGAGCGGGACAGGGCTTCGCCGGAGTTTATCGCCAGGATAGCGACGGTTCCATACATGCCGACGGCGCTTCGCGTGCTGTGGTCGATTTGCTCAAACCGATGCTGGTAGGACGGGATCCGGTTGACCACGAACGGCTCTGGGACGAAATGTTCGGGTTGTGCCATCAAATCGGCTGGGCTGCGTCCGGGTTCGGACGCCCCCAGATCCTCACCGCGTTGGCGGCGGTGGATATCGCCCTTTGGGATATAAAGGGTAAGGCGGCCGGGATGCCAGTGTACAAGTTGCTCGGCGGCCACTCCAACACCGCGCCCTGCTACGTTACCGGCGGCTACTACCAGGAGGGCAAGTCCACCGGCGACCTCGTCCAGGAATGCGAGACCTACGTTGACATGGGTTATGAGGCCATCAAGCTGAAGATCGGCCACGTCAGTCTTACGGAGGACTATGAGCGCGTCCGCGCGGTTCGCAACTCCGTCGGCGAGAGCATTGACATAATGGTTGACGTCAACGAAGGGTGGGACGTCGATACCGCCATTCGCGGCGCCCGGATGCTGGAACCACTCAACATCCGTTGGCTGGAGGAACCCGTCCACTGGTACGACCGTGTCGAGGGACTGGGCAAGGTTGCCGCGTCAACCACCATCCCCATCGCCTCAGGGGAAAACGCGGTGACCCGCTGGGACGCCCGCGACCTCATCCGCCGGGGCGGGGTGCGCGTGATGCAGTATGACAGCACCCGCAACGGAGGCGTCACCGAGTGCTTGCGTATCGCGGGGTTGTGCTCCGCCGAGAACGTGCGCTTGGCTCCCCATCATGATCCTCAGGTACACGGCCACCTCGTGGCCGGACTGTCCGTCGGCGAGATCTGCGAGACCTTTCCGTCAGCGGACCGGGACCCAATATGGGAAGAACTCTTCACCGCCAGGCCCGACATCGTCGCCGGGAAGATCACCCTTTCGGATCGACCGGGATGGGGTGTCGAGCTGGACGAACGGACCCTGGAACGGCGGGGTACCTGGGCGTAGCGTGGTCTGGCTGCTGGTGGCGGCCGGGGGCGCCGCGGGTTCCGTGCTGCGCTATGGCGCGGGGCGACTGGCGGCCCAACTCCTGGGCGCGGACACGGTGGTCGGTACCTTTGCCGTCAACGTCATCGGGTCTTTCGCTCTGGGCGTGCTGGCAACAGTTTTCATAACGCGAACCGAGTGGCCGCTGGAACTGCGCGCCATGTTGACCGTCGGCCTGCTGGGCGGCTTCACCACTTTTTCCACCCTGGCCTACGATGGCGTGCGGCTCATGTCCGGCGGAGAGCTTGGTCGCGCCGGCATCTCAATCGCCGCCAATCTCGCCATTGGCCTGGCTGCTGCCTACGCCGGCGTACTGGTCGGCCGCGCTGTGTCGTAAAATCTCTCCGGGTTCCCGTTTGCTTCGATCCTCCCAGATTGCTTCGATCCTCCGATGTAATTCCGATAGCCCCTTCAACGCGACCATTCAATGTTGAGCAAAGCGCGCAGCGTCGGCTATAATCAATCCAAACTGTGAATCACCAGAAAGCTATGCCCGTAGACTATTACGAAACCCTCGGCGTCGACCGGGGAGCCAATGAAGAAGAGATCCGCCGCGCCTTCCGCAGGAAGGCGATGGAATTTCATCCCGACCGGAACAAAACCCCCGGCGCCGAGGACACGTTTAAGGAAATCAACGAAGCCTATCAGGTCCTCAGCGACCAGGAAAAGCGCACGCGCTATGACCGTTTCGGCCACGCCGGCGTAAACGGCGGCGGCGACCAGCCATCTGACGGCTTCGATCCGTTCGGCGGTTTCGGCGATATTTTCGACACCTTTTTCGGAGGTGGGGGGCGTACCGCCAATCAGCCGCGGAGCGGAGAGGACATCAGTCAACGGGTCAACCTGACCTTTGAAGAGGCGATATTCGGTTGCGACAAGGACATCGAAGTCAATCGGGTGGAGCCTTGTCACCACTGCTCCGGTGGCGGTAACGAGCCCGGAACCGCCATCAGCACGTGCCGCACATGCAACGGCAGCGGCCAGGTGCGGCGCGCTCAGCGCAGCGTGTTCGGTCAGTTTGCGGTTACCACTCCTTGTTCCAGCTGTAATGGCAACGGTCGCTCCATTGAGACTCCTTGCACCAACTGCCGCGCCCGGGGCTTCGAACGGCGTCGTCGTACCAGGACAGTCACCATCCCCGCCGGTGTCGACAACGGCATGCAGGTACGTATCACCGGCGAGGGTGACGCGGGAGGACACGGTGGGCCGCCCGGCAATCTTTACGTCCAGATACAAGTACGAGAGCACTCGCTTTTCGTTCGGGACGATTCCGACCTGGTTTACCGCGCATCGCTCAATATGGCTGAAGCCGCTTTGGGACTGACCAAGCTCATTCCTACGTTGGAAGGCGACGATGTAGACTTGGAAATACCGGCAGGCACCCAATCCGGCAGCCAGTTCCGCGTTCGTGGGCGTGGCGTCCCCCGCATCCGTCGCGACGGAAGGCCCACGGATCGCCGCGGAGACATTCGCGTGTTGGTCGAGGTGGATATACCGTCCAGGCTGAACAAGTACCAGCGACAATTGGTCGAGGACTTGGCTTACTCCTTGGCCAATGACGGCAAGAAGCCTCCGCCGCCCCCGCGCAAAAAGCGTGTCAGCAGTCGCAAGTCGGTCACAAACGACGCTGATGAACCGGAAGAGCCGGCCATCGACGCCAGTTCGGAACCGGAAGAGCCGCAAAACGACGACAGGCAACGCGGCCTGTTCGACCGGATCAAGGACACCCTATCTCCTGGAGGCGAGTAAATTCACCATGTCCAAAGGGTTGACCTCGCCATGGTTACTGTGAGGGCCTGATGTCCTGGCACGAACTGAGCATCAACGTTCCCTTCGAATACGTCGAGCCCGTGTCCTACCTCTTTGAGCGGTACGGATACGGGCTGAGCGTGGAAACCAAGCCCGGCGAATACGCGATAATGCGCTCCTATCTGCCGAGCCTGTCCCGGCAGCGGCTGGCCCACATTGAGGTGGGGATCAGATTGGCGTCCAGCGTCGCTGACTTGGGCGAGTTGCAAATCCGTCCCCTCAACGACAACGAGGATTGGCGCAACAACTGGAAGCAGCACTTCACCCTGCTTCGGGTGGGTCACAATCTGGTGATCAAGCCCTCGTGGATCGATTACGAAGCCCAGCCTGACGACGTGCTCGTCGAGCTCGACCCGGGTTTGGCTTTCGGCACCGGATATCACCCCACCACGTACTCTTGTCTGGAAGCCCTCGAAGAAAAGGTCCGCCCCGGGAGCACCGTCCTCGACGTGGGAACCGGCTCCGGGATACTGACCGTCGCGGCGGCCAAGCTGGGCGCCGGCCACGTCACTGCGGTGGACATCGACGGACACGCGGTCCGCGCCGCCCAGCGAAACTTCCGGCGCACCGGCATTTCGCACCTCGTCAACGCCCAATCCGGCAGCGTCCCGGGGGCGGCTACACGAGGCTATAGCTACGATATCGCCGTTGCCAATATCAGCGCCCGGGGCATTCGGATGGTAGCCCCGGCAATTCCTGATCTCCTGGCGGTGGGAGGGGTGTTTATCGCCTCGGGCATCATTGTGGACCAACACGACGAAGCGGTTTCGGCCATTAACGACGTTGGGTTGGTGATTGGCGAAATCCGGCAAAAAGAAGACTGGATCACCATCCTCAGCGGGCACAAGTAGGCCGGGTTTGCAGGTCATGGATACCGTAACGCTGGAACGGTTCGAGCTTGTCGGCCCTTTGGGGAGCGGCGCCGATTACGACGTGCGCGCCGCAGTGGACCGGGAAACCGGTGAACCGGTGGTACTGAAGCGGCCCTCTCCGCAATCGGTGAGCCGTCAGATGCACGGCCCCGTCGAGGAACGCACCGCGCGAGCGCTGGAAGCCTACGAAAGCGCCGGACAGTATTGCGACTCGGTTCCCCGGGTCGTAGGCATTACCGAAGTCGCCGTTCACGACGAGTATTTCGGCGAAGATCTGGGCCATCCCTACTCCGTTCGGGTTGAGGAACGTGCCGGCGGGATCCCGCTGGTCGGAGACCCGAGGAGCCGCATCTTGCGCGTGCCCATCGGCCTGGGCCAGAACCTCTTCGCCCTCCACCCACTTTCTCTGCCCGATATGGTCGCTGATTGGCCGGTCCAGACGCAGTTGTTGGAAGCGCAGGAAATCTACGCCAACGCCGGCTACGCGCTGCTTGATCTGGGTCCGCACAACGTGTTCTATTCGCCGGGTACCGGCCGGATCGCGCTGGTCGACGCCAGCGCGCTGGTCGGACACGGCGTGGAGAGCAGCCAGGGAAATCGCGGCCCCCAGGACATCCATGATTTCTACGTTGAGATGGTGAAGTTTTACCTCGCGCCGCAACTCCCCCCTGCGGACACCGCGGGCTACTTCGACCCGTACAACCAGCGTCCGGTCATTTCGGTCGAGGATGAGTGCGACGACTTGGTTCGCTCATTTGCGGCATCCGACGATCAACTGCGAGAAACCGCCACCGCGTGCATACAAAAAGTCAGGCAACGGGGCTATTCGGCCGTTTCCGATTTCGGAGCGGACTTGCGTGAATGCCTGCGTCTGATTAACATCCGAAACGACCGGATGCCGGACCGGCCAGCTGCACTGGAAGCGTGGCGCGGCGCGCTGCACCGGCTCTCTGAAGACCACTGGACACGCTATCAATTCGACGCACATACTGAGTTGGCCGCACTGGCCGGCTAATCCGCTGCAAACAACTTTGATGTGAGGATGCGGGAACTATGCTCACCAGTTCATTGGCAATTCTTCACGATAACTCCTCCCACGGGGAGGACAATTACCTGACCCGGGATTTGGGCGACGGAAACTTCCTGGATGTGGTGCTGGACGGCGTCACCGGTCACGGCGGCGACGAGGCTAGCGGTGCGGTCGGGGACGCCCTGAACGCGATTGCGATCACCGGGCCGGAGGATATCGTCGCCGTCCTTGACGAGCAGAACGCCGAGTTCCACCAGGTGGGTGGGGGACGGTTCCTGCTGACCACTGCTTCGGCGGCGCTGTTTCTGGATGGACAACTCCACATCATCTCGGCTGGCGACAGCCCGATCTACGTGATCCGTCGGGACGGATACGAACAATTCAGCGGTCGGGTGGGCGGGTTGATCCGCTTGGGAGTCTCCAAGGCTATCGGCGCTGAATCTACCCTCTCGGTGTTCCAAACCGCGGTGGAGCTTTCGCCTGCCGACCGTTTGGTTTGTTGCACCGATGGCGTCAGCGACAACCTGCTCGGTGACGAACTGATGGAATTAGTGCGCGGCTCAGCCAACGCCGATGAGGCGTCCGTGAGAGTGAAAGAACTGGTTGATCGGCACATCGAACAGGGTCGCGACATCCGATTCCGAGGCGGGAGGTTCCGCCACGACGACGAGACCGCGATCTTCCGCTTTTTTGCGGAAAACTAACGGTTAGCGGTCGGTTGTTTTACGTCACCAATCGCCGCTGATCGCCGGTTCGCGACCGCCGAAAGGCACCAAAATTCGGCGTGTGTTAGACTGATTGGCAGCTTGACGCAGCTTGGCCTCGATTATTTCTAGTCCCGGTTATGAGGGATGTTTGTTCCGGGGCGGGCCTCAAGGAGTACACAATTGGGCAAGATTAAGGTTGCCATCATCGGCGTGGGCAACTGCGCGTCTTCGCTGGTACAGGGCATCCATAAATATGTCGAGGTGCCGGACGACGATCCGATCCCCGGCGTGATGCACAATCGCGTAGGCGAATACCGGATTGAGGATATCGAAGTCGTCGCTGCGTTCGACGTCGACCGCAATAAGGTCGGGAAAGATCTGTCGGAAGCCATCTTCACCGAACCTAACAACACGATCAAATTCTCTGACGTGCCCTACCTTGGTGTGCCGGTGGAGCGCGGAATGACCCACGACGGGATCGGCCGCTACCTTTCCGACGTGGTGATCAAATCACCCCACAGTACCGCCGACATCTCGGGAATCCTTCGTGATCGCGAAGTCGACGTGGTGATCAACTACTTGCCCGTGGGCAGCGAAATGGCCACCAAGTGGTACGTGGAGCAAATCCTCGATGCCCGTTGCGCCATGATCAACTGCATACCCGTTTTCATCGCTCGCGAAGAGTACTGGCGCAACCGGTTCGAAGAACGCGGCGTGCCCATCATCGGCGACGACATAAAATCCCAGGTTGGCGCAACCATCGTGCATCGCGTCCTGACCCGACTGATGGAAAATCGCGGCGCCGAAATCGACAACACCTATCAGCTCAACTTCGGCGGCAACACCGACTTTCTGAACATGCTTGAGCGCGAGCGCCTCATCTCCAAGAAGATATCCAAGACCGGATCCGTCACCAGCCAGATGCAGGAAGAGCCCGACGCCGATACCATCCACATCGGGCCCAGCGACCATGTGCCGTGGCTGCAGGATCGCAAGTGGTGCTACATCCACATCGATGGCAAGGTGTTCGGCGGCGCCCCCGTCAAGATCGAAGTGAAGCTGGAGGTCTGGGACAGCCCCAACTCGGCCGGCGTCGTGGTGGACGCAATCCGATGCGCCAAGCTGGCACTGGACCGCGGTCAGGGCGGAGCTGTGTACGCCCCATCCGCTTATTTCATGAAGAGCCCGCCCGTGCAATACTCCGATTCCGAAGCGCACGATATGGTGGAGGCATTCATCGCCGAGCCTGCGGTGGCCAGCGTCCAGGTCAAGCACGGCGACGGAGAAGAATAACCCCCGCCACTTTCCTGCATTCCTTGGCCGGGGTTCATTGAGGGGAGACCATGAAGGTAGCCATGGTCTCCCCTTATGATTTCGCATGGCCCGGGGGCGTTAACGCCCATGTGTCCCAACTTTCAGACGAATTGCGGCAGCGCGGACACGCAGTTACCGTCATTGCTCCGGGTACTCCGGGGCGCGGGTCAGGCGAATCGGGGGCACGCGACAACTTCATCCCTATGGGTAGATCTGTTCCGTTGTCCGCCGGCGGGTCCACGGCCCGCGTGACCCTTTCGTGTTGGCTGTGGCCGCGCGTCAGGCAGTTTATGGCCCGTGAGCGATTTGATTTGGTCCACGTCCACGAACCGATGGCGCCCCTTTTGCCGTTGATGTTCCTGCATCATTCCAACGCCGTCAACATAGGCACCTTCCACGCGTTTTCGGATGGGCAACGGCTGTACCGCTGGTCTCGCTTTGCGCTCAAGACGTGGCACGGACGGCTGCACGGGCGTATCGCGGTTTCGGAGGCGGCCCGATCCTTTGTAGCACCCCATTTTCCGCATCGCGCGTATCGGGTAATTCCCAACGGAATCGACTTTCAGCGCTTTGCCGATGCCAGTCCGCTTCCCGAATTGCGGGACGGGAGGAAAAATGTCCTGTTCGTTGGGCGCAAGGACGAGCGCAAAGGTCTGCGGTATCTTTTGGAGGCCTTTGCTATCCTGCTTGAAAGCCGACGTGATCTCAGGCTGATCATCGTGGGTCCGGGACGACCGGATCGGGTGTGCGCTTCATGGCTCGATACGGTAACGAGCGCCGGTAATGACATGGTGAGAGTTGCCGGGCCGGTTTCTGACAGCGATTTGCCGCGCTATTACGCCAGCGCGGATGTGTTCTGCAGCCCCGCGACCGGTGGAGAGAGCTTCGGGATCGTGTTGTTGGAAGCGATGGCTGCTGGTGTACCGGTGGTGGCGTCGGACATTGACGGCTATCGCGACGTCGTGAACCATGCCCGCAACGGATTGCTGGCCCCGCCGCGCGAACCGGCCGCCATCGCCGGAGCCATCGCCAGCGTGCTCGACAATCCTGACCTCGGGCATCGATTGTCCGAAGCTGGCAAAGATGTGGCGCGGCTTCATCGTTGGCAGCGGGTCGCCTCGGAAGTCGAAGATTATTACAAACTCTGCATGGAGGAGGTTCATCACGGTGGCTATGCTCGGTAGAGAGGAACTCCGCGCGGCTATGCTGCGCTACGTTGAGTTGCCTGGGGCGCGTGCCTTCCGCGCCGTGGGACTGACGCCTAACATAATCACCGTCCTCGGATTTGCGGTGTGCGTCGCAGGAGCCGCGCTGGTGGCTTTGGGTTGGCCTTTGTACGGCGGCATCGTTTTCCTGGCCGGGGGCATCCTGGACCTTTTTGACGGAGCGCTGGCCCGGCTGACTGGCCGGGCATCGCCGTTCGGAGCCTTGCTCGACTCCGTTTTCGACCGGCTGGGCGAGGCCGCCCTGTTTGTCGGGTTGGGACTGTATTACTTGCTCGCTGATTTGTCTCCGCCCATGATGATAATTAGCATGCTGTCGGTCTTGTTGGGCCTGGTGTTCTCCCAGGGCGTCTCCTATCTTCGGGCACGCGGTGAGGGTCTGGGAGCGTTCACCCGTTCGGGCATCATGACCCGGACCGAGCGCGTGGCCATCCTGGGCGTCGGACTGATCGTGGAAGGACTGCTCCCAGTCCCGATCATGGTATGGGTCCTCTGGGTGATCGCCGGCGTATCGTGCTTCACTCTCTTCCAGCGCATGTTCACCATCCGGGGGATCCTGGAGCGCCAGGCGGAGGACAACGGTTAGCCGTGGTAACATGGCGGCCATATTTTCGGTAGGAGGTACTCAAGATGGCGTCACATTCCATGGGGCTGTCGTTGCATGACGCTGCACGGCAGGTTGGAGTTCCCTTTACGGTGGAGAATGAGCCGGTGGACCGGCACGTCCAGGTCAATGGCCTCAATCTTCACTATCTGGAATGGGGCGATCCGGGCGCGCCAACGATAATGATGCTGCATGGAATCCAGCAGCAGGCCCACAGTTGGGACTTCATCAGCCTGCCGCTTTCCGTGGACTACCGTGTAATCGCGGTTGACCAGCGCGGCCACGGCGACAGCGATTGGTCGACCGACGAAGACTACTCTACGGATTCCTACGTCGGCGATGTTGAGGCGCTGGTTTCAGCGCTCGGGCTGAAAGACTTTCACCTGATCGGCCATTCCATGGGCGGACGCAACAGTTTGGCCTGGGCGTCAGGGCGACCCGGTACGTTGAGATCATTGACCATCGTTGACACCGGGCCGGAGACGCAACGGCGTGGCTCAAACCGTATCCAGCAGTTCCGCGAACTCCCAGACGAACTGGACACTCTGGAAGAGTTTGCCCAGCGGGTCATGGAATACACCGGCCGTACCCGGGAACAGACGCTGGGCGCTTTGAAGTACAGCATCAGGCAGCGCGACGACGGGAAGTGGACGTGGAAGTATGACAAAGTCATACGCCGGCAGGGTTTTCGCGCGCCGGCCTGGACTTCCGAGCAACTCTGGGCTGGTTGGCGCAAGATCGACTGCCCAGCCTTGGTGGTGCGCGGAGCCCGCAGCGATATATTCGCTGATGAGACGATGGTGCGGATGGCTGCAGAGCATCATGATTGCACCACGGTTACCGTCGCGAATGCCGGCCACCTCGTCCAGGGCGACAACCCCCCGGACTTCCTCAAGGCCGTGAAAGGTTTGTTGGGCCGTTGCGCTTAGTGCGTGCCGAACACTCCAATCAAAAGGGGGGCGGTTGCCAGGCCGCCCCCCTTGTTGTTGGTGAGTTCGGTTTCCTGTTCGCCTGAACCCGAGGTCAGAACCCCAAGATCCTCGGCAGCAACTCGCCGAGACCATACCCCAGCGCGGCCGAGGCGGCTCCAATGCCCAGTATCTCCAGCCCCTGCAGAATTGGTGACTTTCGCACCAGCCGCCCCTTCGCCAATCCCAGCGCGAACAAGCCAGTCAGTGACAGGCCCACGGACCATCCGATCGCCGCGGGTCCAACGGCGAGGAACAGGTAGGGGATGATGGGAATGATGGCCGCGGAGCCGAATGAAACGCACATCACGGCCGCATCCTTCAGCGGGTTGCCGCCGAAGTCCGGGCTGATTCCCAACTTCTTTTCCAGCAGCGTGTTCAGCCACAGGGTTTCGTTGCTCGAAATTCCGTTGGCCAGGTTAATGGCTTCGTCGTAAGTCTTCCCCTCTCGCTGGAACAGGATCACCAGCTCCGCCAGTTCCTCTGCCGGGCGTTCCTCCAAGTCGTTGATCTGTCGCGCGATCGCCGCCTGCCGTACGTCTTCTTCGGCTCGCGAGCCCAGGTACGCGCCGGCCGCCATGCTGATCATCCCGGCCGCCGCTGCGGCCAGCCCGGCCACCAGAACCGTCCCGATGGTCCCCACTGCGATGGCGACCGAGGTCGTCAGGGCCACCGTACTGATGATTCCGTCCTGCGCCCCGAACACCACTTCTCGCAGGCGACCCAGGTTCGCCACGTGAAACGGCTCCTTGTCCAGGGCCAACGCGGCGTCAATGTAGGTTTCGAGATCCAGGGGCAACGCCGGAGCCACCCCCGAACTCGTCGCCAGTGGATCGCCGATAATCGCAACCGGCGCCACAATCGACCCCACCACGTCTGCCCTCGCTCCGTCCGCGGAATTTATCTGTAACTGGGACAGCGCGTCGGAGAACGCGATCTGGTGGTCCTTTTCCTGTTGCATCGCACCGGTGAAGGCGTTTACCGCATCCTGCCGTGCGTCGGTAACGGCGTCGTTGATCATTCGTGGGTAGGTACGGGTGTACTCCCTGGTTTCGCCGGCAATCACATTCCCAAGGTTGGTCGAGGTGCTTTCGATGGCCCCGGCGACCTTCAGGTAGCTGATGCCGTGCACCGTTTCGGCGCGAGCGACCGCTTCGAAAACATCTGCGATTTCCGGGTGGCCTTCGTCCCGTGCCTGTTGTGCATAGGCGGTGTAAGTGAGGTGGGCGATGGCTTCGGCGACGATTGCCTGCCAGAGGTTCCGGTCGGTGTTGGAAACGTCTCTCACCGTGGTCGACGAATGTGACATAACATCCTCCGCCGTATTGACATCAAACGACTGGAACCGGGTAGTAGCACCGTCAAGGGGAACGGTTATCGCCGTCCCTCGTTGACGCGACTGTGCCGGCGATTTATAGCCGGGGAGAACCGTGATGGGCGATGACCAGCCAGTCATCGCCCGATCTCACAAATATATTCGTGGCCAGGATGCCAAAACCCTGGGCCTGCCCCTCGACCACGCTCGTAATACTCTCAATGCAGGTGACATAACCGCAATTGCCTTCCAGTACGATGTTTACGTAATGGATGTTGAAGTGCATCAACGCCGCGCCGTTGAAAATGCCTTGCCATGATCTGCGGATTTCCGGCCAGCCCACTATCGGCTGCCACCCGGGATGGACGCACAACGCCCGATCCGACCGCTCCCAAACCGCGTCCATCTGGGCCATGTCCAAGGACCCAAAGGCGTCATAGAAGCGTTGATTGGCGTCCCGCAGGGACAGTACGCTGGCGTCGTCAGGAAGCATTTCTAGCGGCTTTGGTCGGTGTAAAGGGGGCTAAGGCGAGGGTCAGGCCAGTAGCTTGCTGGCGTAATCGTCCAGTTGGCGCAGCGCCTGGTCGCGGGGAGCGCTTTCGGCGAATACCATCGCCCGGGTTGCGCCGGCTTCCTCGTAAGCTTTGAGGATCTCCGGGTCGGCCGGCAGTCCGAAAACCGACACCTCGATCTGGTGCGGGTCCCGCCCCGCTTCCTGCGCCAGGCGAACTATTTCCTCTCGCGTTGCTTTCAACTGCTCCGGTGCCACACGATTGGGCATCCAGCCATCACCCCAGGCCACAACCCGGCGCGCCACGTTGGGCGCGGTGCCGCCGATGAGCACCGGCGGATGCGGCTTCTGCACCGGTTTGGGCGACGAGTAGATCGGCGGGAAATCGATATACCTGCCGTGGAATTCGCCGGTCTCCTTGGTCCACAGCTCTTTCATGGCTTCGATTGACTCGCGCGTGTAGCCGATACGCTGGGAGAACTCGATCCCGAAGAGCTCCGTCTCTTCGCGAAGCCAGCCGGTCCCGATGCCGAAGAGGAACCGCCCGTTGCTGAAATAGTCCAGCGTGGCAATCTCCTTGGCAAGCAGTATCGGGTTGCGCTCCGGCACCAGGCAGATCCCGGTGCCCAACTTGAGCGTTGACGTTACCGCCGACGCGCGACCCAACGCCACGAACGGATCAACGCATTCGTAGTACATCTGCGGGATCGTGCCGTCCGGCGAACCGGGCCAGGGGTGTCTTGGGGCCGGCGGGTATCGCCGGGTGTTCTGGCACCCACAACGACTCGAACCCGTGGGCCTCGCAGGCCTGCGCCAGTTCGGCGATGTCGATGGACGATTGGGTGACGAACATTGCGATGCCGATATTCATTGCATCAACCTCGGAGTTGGATGGCTGCGGCGGACTGCGCGATTACTTCAATTATAACGAATGTAGGGGCGAACGATCATTCGCCCCTACCACAGTTGCCCTTTCGGCTACCCTATGCGTGAGGAGAGAAGCTGGCAGGCACCAGGACCTTGGTCTCCTGGTTGACCAGGAACTCCCGCGTGGGCGGCGGCCAGTGCGGCGTGGCGGACGCTTCGGCGCGGATCTTGTCCCGCTCGCCCAGGTCCTTGTAGGGCCAGATATGGACCCACTTGTTCAGCCCTCCGATGTCGCTGTACATGCCGGCGGCCAACGGGGAGAACTTTTCACGGTGCTCGATGGCGGCGGACCAGATGTCCAGCACCTTGGGCATGGCGCCGTTCTGATACTCGTAAATCCGCATCTCGTACACGTTGCCCTGCTTCTGCCCGCCCCCCATGGGACGCATGAACGGCGCCGGATTGAAGATCTCCGACTCCATATGCAGGATGGTGCCCTGGCTGTCCGGCGGCCAGTTCGGGTCCTTTCCGGCCTCGGCGCGCACTTCGTTGCGCTCGTCCAGATTTTCGTAGGGCCAGATGTGGATCACCTGGTTCAGCGGGCCGATTTCCGTGTGGAAGAATGCGGCCAGCTTGGAGTACTTTTCCCGGTGCGGCAGCGCCTTGCCAAACGCTTCCTCGAAAATGGGCACTCCGCCAGGCTTGAGATCGTAAGTGCGAACTTCGTAAATCATTAGCCGTAACTCCTGGTAAGCGGGGTCTTGTTCATGTGGGTCCCCGAGAGGACGCCCGCGCGATGTGAGGAGTCTAGCAGACCCCCGGAAACCGGGCAACCGAAACGGCGATGTTATAATCGCGCTGCCGAACGATTTGCGGCGCAATCCAAGTGTAAACATAGGAGGTTTCGCACCATGGGCGCAACTGAAATGGTGGCAAAGTGGATCGTTGATACAACGTATGAAGACATACCGCCGGACGCGATCCGCGTAGCCAACGAGTCCTGCTTCGATCTGGTCGGCGTTATCTTGGCCGGCTCGACACAGAAGGTGGGCGACATCATCCGCAGCTATGCCGGGGACCTCGGCGGCAACGAAGAAGCGACCATCCTCGCCACCGGCGAGCGCACCTCCGTGTTGAACGCCGCCCTGGTCAACGGCACCATGGGACACGCCTTAGACTATGACGACTTCGGCGGTTTCGGGCACCCCACCGTTGCGATTTTCCCCGCCTTGATGGCCCTGGGCGAGAGCATCGGCGCCACCGGCCGCGACCTGATGGAAGCCTACGTCGTGGGTTGTGAGGTTGGGTTGGCGGTCGATTACGCCACCCACTACCACACCCATCAGATGCACCGCGGCTTCCACAGTACGGCCATCTTGGGTCGTCTGGCCGCAGCGGCGGCCTGTGCCAAGTTGCTCAAGCTGGACGAGCAGCAGACCACCATGGCGCTGGGTATGGCCGGTTCCATGGCCGGCGGTGTGATCCACAACTTCGGCACCATGACCAAGCCATTGCATGCCGGGATGACCTGCCGGGACGGCGTCATGGCCGCCCAGTTGGCGCAGCGCGGTTTCACCGCCGGCGACCAGATCCTTGAGCATCCCGTCGGCTTCACCGCCACCGTCATCGGCGACGAGGACACCGACCTTTCAGCCGCGGCGGATAAACTGGGCAAGCCGTTTCGCGTTCAGGATGCTTTGATGATCAAGAAGTACCCGTCCTGCGGCGGCAACCACGCCATGCTGGATAGCGTTTTCGGCCTGATGCGGGAGTACGAGTTTGGCTACGAAGACGTCGCCAACGCCGAGGTGGTGCAGTCTTACGCCTCCACGGTGATGCTGTACGAAGAACCCGAAACCGACCTTAAGGGCAAGTTCAGCGCCAAGTACAACATGGCCGCCGCTCTGGTCGACGGCGAGATCGGTATCGACACGTTCACCGATGAGAAGATCGCGGAGAGCGATGTCCAGGACATGATGGACCGTGTCCGGTTGCGCGTTCAATCCAAGTGGGAACTGGGCGGCAGCGAGGTCTCCAAGGGCGTTCCGATCCGCATCACCCTGAAGGACGGGCGCGTCATCGAGCACGAGACCCCGCGCGGCGAGATCCTGGGCAGCCAAGTGAATCCGTGGGGGATGGACAATATCACCGGCAAGTTCCGCGAGAACGTCGGCCTGGTCCTGTCCGACGATCGCGTCGACGACGCTGTACGCCAATGGCAGGACGTGACCCGAGTCAGCGACGTCGGAGAGGCGATCCGGGGAACGCTGGTGCGTTAGCGTTCTCCTGGTCCGAACGGCGCCAAACCAATGGGGGCAAGCCCACGGCTTGCCCCCATTGGTGTCTGCGTAGGTGACACCCCGTCGTGCCTAATCGTCGTCCATCTCCGGCATGAGCACGAATTCGGGGTACGACTCCATGCCCAGTTCTGCTGCGTCCTGGCCCAGTCGTTCGGCATTTTCTGAGACCCGGGCGCCGATGGTCTTTTCGATGGCGAACCAGACGATCCACGATGCGCCGAATACAAAGGCGCCAATGGACGCTATGCCGACCAGCTGGACGCCGATGTTCCCTCCGGCCGCAATGCACACGGCTACCGTGCCCCACACGCCGGCAAACAGGTGCACGGGCACCGCCCCAACCACGTCGTCGATCTTCAAAATTTCCAGTAGCTTGAGACCACCGGTACATATAGCGCCGCCGACGATGCCGATGATCACTGCCCAGAAGTGGGTCAAGATATCCGGCCCTGCCGTGATGGACACCAACCCGGCCAGCGCGCCGTTGAGACACACCAGCAGGTCGATACGCCCGAAAACGAGGCGTGACAAAGCCATGGCCGTGATCACTCCAGCCGCCGCCGCAAGGTTCGTGTTTATCAGCACGTTGCTCATCGCCACCGCGTCAACTGCCGAACCGAGGGCTAACTGCGACCCGCCGTTGAACCCGAACCACCCGAACCACAGGATGAAGACCCCCAGCGTAACCAGCACCACGTTGGACGGCGGCGTGGCCCGCACGGTCCCATTCTGGCGGAACTTGCCCAGGCGCGGTCCGACCACCAGCATACCGGCCAGCGCGGCCCACCCACCGGTGCTGTGCACGATGGTGGACCCGGCGAAGTCCTGAAAGCCCATCGCTGCCAGCCAGCCGCCGCCCCATGTCCAGGCTCCGACCACGGGATAGATCAACGCTGTCAGCACCAGCGTGAACACGAAAAAGCTCCACATCCTGACCCGCTCGGCCAACGCCCCGGAAACGATGGAAGCAGTGGTCGCCACGAACACCATCTGGAAGAACCAGTCGGACATCACCGAATAGCCGTTATCGATCACCGCTCCCAGCGCCGACTCGTCGCCGCCCAGCAACGCGATCTCATCCGCCGACGGCCCGTACAGCGGCCATACCACCGTGCCGATCACCTGCTCTACGTTGTTGTACATCAGGTTGTAGCCGATGAAGTAAAACGCCAGCCCGGCGATTGAATAGAGCCCGATGTTCTTGAGGCAGATCATCGCGGCGTTCTTGGTCCGCACTGAGCCGGCTTCCAGCATGGTGAACCCGGCGCACATCCACATCACCAGCGCGCCCCAGATTAGGAACGCGAAGGTATTCAGGACGAACTTTGTCTCCTCGCTGACTCCAGACGCGTGCGCCATGTGAGGCCAGGCGACGAAGGCCAGCGCCGGCAGGATCAGCGCCGCCGCAATGGCAATGAGACGGTATCTCGAAAACGACAGGACCCGGTCAATCAGCATCTTTATGCTCCGTTCGTCCGTGCAAAGGTCGCCGCGTTACATCAATATGCTGCTGTTTATGGAGTGCAGCTAGGATCTAGCGTTCCCGCTCACCACCGATCGCCACCTGGGATGACACAGGTGGCTTGCCTCCCAACGCCGGGAGATAATTCCTCGCTATTGAGTGCGGCGTCCCCGCGGGAGAAACGCTTACGGTTCCAACCGGATGGAATCTCCGATTTTCATTTCCCCACCTTGGAGCACTACAGTAAGGATGCCGCGCCGGCCGAAGATTTCTTTTTGCAAGCCCGGAATGAGCGCATCCATCTTTTGGCATGGCTCACAGTCGCCTGTCACCTCCAGGGTGACGTGGCTGTCCGGGTCGCCGATGAAAAAGACCTGCCCCTGTCGAGCTTCCGACAAGTCCATTCCGGTTACCGTGATGTTTTCTTTTATCTGGCCTGGCTCCAATCCATAATGATCCAGGGTTTCTTTGTCCATCACCAGGACCTGCCGCAGGTTTCGCGGGTTGCGGCTGCGATCGCCCTCCAACCCTTCCGCGGAGATTGCCCTGGCCTCCTGCACCGGGTCGGGCGGGGTACCTTTCACGCGGGCGATGTGCAAGTTGACTATGGTACCGGATTGCATGGCATGGCTCCTTAATGTACTGGGCCGGTCGGGGCCTCGTCTCTGTGGGGGTGAGCGATACCGGATTTTAGGATATGGCCGGGCCGTTGGCAAACGGCGGCTTTGCCGCATGTCCGAACCATTGGGTAGAATGCAGGTCAATCCGTTCGCCCCGAAAGTTTCCGGGGTGCTGTGAGGCGTTTGATATGGCTTACGAGTTCATCAAGACCGAAGTCGTGGACGGCGTGCTGGTGATGACCATGCACGACCCGCCCACGCGAAACGCATTGGGCCCGGACATGGCAGCTGAAATGTTCGATCGGCTCGACGAGTTCGAAAACAACCCGGGGGAGCGCGTGCTGGTCCTTACCGGTACCGAACCGTCCTTCTGCTCCGGCGCCAACGTGCGCGGTTTCCGCCGGCGTATCGAGGAACGTGAAGCGGGAGCCGAGCCGGAACCCCTGACCTGGGGAAAAATGGAGTACATGAAGGGACGCCAGTCCCAGGTGGAAAGCGGCCCGCGGGTAAACTTTGTGCCGCTCCGCATCTATGACCTGCAGAAGCCGTCCATCGCCGTCGTCAACGGCCCGGCGGCCGGCGTCGGTTGTGGTCTCGCCCTGTCCTGCGATATCCGTGTTGTCGGCGACAGCGGACGTCTGTCCGAGCGGTTCGTCCTCAACGGGCTCATACCCGGCGACGGAAGTTGCTGGCAGTTGCCTAAACTAATCGGGACCAGCAACACCCTGCTGCTCCAGTACACCGGGGACTGGATGGGCGGCGAGGACGCCGTGCGCATCGGGCTCGCCAGTAAGTCCTTTCCCGACGACCAACTGATGGAAGGCGCCATGGAACTGGCAACCCGGATCGCCAGTGGGCCGACGGTCGCTCATTCGCTGACCAAGTACCTCGTGCAGGAAAGTATGGATCTCACGTTCCGGGAAGCTCTGGAGTTGGCCTCTGCGGCACAGGAGCATGTTCGCCGCACCGAAGATCACAAAATCGCCGTGCAGTGGTTCCTGGACAAAAACCGCGGCATGCCTCCATTCGTGGGGCGCTGACTGACAACTGCTAGTCGCAACCGCGAGAAAGCGCCCGGTTGCCCTTGACGATAGGCGGCGCACAGGATATAGTGTCCATCCATCAACCGAACTGCGGGCGCCCTCCAGCGAGGGTTCCCGGCCACCGGCAAAAAGCCGTCGAGGCAGCAATCGGTTGGCGTGCTTAACAACTGAATAGGAAATTTGAACTGTAAGAACCGAGTCTAAGGAATTTGAAGTTCCTAGCGTGGGTCAAATTTTAAAGGGCTTATGGTGGATGCCTTGGGACCAAGGGCCGAAGAAGGACGCGGTAAGGCTGCGAAAAGCCTCGATGAGCCGTCTAACAGGCGTAGTCGGGGATCTCCGAATTGGGTAACCTGTTCCGGCGTTGAGTCGGTCCACCCGCGTATGCGGGAGGTAAGTGGGGGAACTGAAACATCTAAGTACCCCGAGGAAAAGAAATCAACCGAGATTCCCTTAGTAGTGGCGAACGAACGGGGAACAGCCCAAACCGCAACGACCTAACGGCATGAGGGCCTATGTCGTTGCGGGGTTACAGGACGCCTCTGGGGCCGCCTCTTCAGGCTCCGGAGAGTTACAAATTTCATCTCTAGCTGAAGGACCCTGGGAAGGGCCGCCGTAGACGGTGACAGCCCGGTAGGCGAAAGGGATGAAACTCTCGAGGCAGATCCTAAGTACCATGGGGCACGTGAAACCCTGTGGGAAGTCGGGGGGACCACCCTCCAAGGCTAAATACCCTTGGTCACCGATAGCGCACCAGTACCGTGAGGGAAAGGTGAAAAGAACCCCTGGCGGGGAGTGAAATAGACCTGAAACCATAAGCCTACAGAATGTCGGAGTCCGTTTCGACGGATGACGGCGTGCCTATTGAAGAATGATCCGGGGACTTACTGTATGGAGCAAGGTTAAGGGACTGTAGTTCCGGAGCCGTAGCGAAAGCGAGTCTGAACAGGGCGTCCAGTTCCATGTAGTAGACCCGAAACCGGGTGAGCTACCCATGGCCAGATTGAAGGTTCGTTAACGCGAACTGAAGGATCGAACTCGTGGCTAGTACAAAAGCTTGGGATGAGCTGTGGGTAGAGGTGAAATGCCAATCGAACCCGGAAATAGCTGGTTCTCCCCGAAATGCATTTAGGTGCAGCCTCGGGAACTAGGAGGACGGAGGTAGGGCACTGAATGGGCTAGGGGGCGTGAGCTTACCAAACTCAATCAAACCACCAATGCCGTTCTACCGATACCCGGGAGTGAGACAGTCACAGATAAGTGCGATTGTCGAAAGGGAAACAGCCCAGACCACCGGCTAAGGCCCCCAAGAGCAGACTAAGTGGGAAACGAGGTAGGGTTCCCAAAACAGCCAGGAGGTTGGCTTAGAAGCAGCCACCCTTTAAAGAGTGCGTAATAGCTCACTGGTCGAGGGATCCTGCGCGGAAAATGTAACGGGGCTCAAGTCTGCCGCCGAAGCCGTGGATGCACAGGTTTTAGTGCCTGGGCATGGTAGGGGAGCGTTCCTCGGGCGACGAAGGTAAGCCGTGAGGCTTGCTGGAGCGCGGGGAAGTGAGAATCCCGGAATGAGTAGCGTAAATCAGGGTGAGAATCCCTGACACCGAAAGCCCAAGGTTTCCTACGCAACGTTGTTCGGCGTAGGGTTAGTCGGTCCTAAGCCGTAGGCAAGAGCCGAAGGCGATGGACAGCAGGTTAATATTCCTGCACCGCCGTTGTTTCGCTTTAAAACCAAGGAGGGGTGCGGGAGGCTAAGTGGGGCGTGCCTATTGGACATGGTGCGTCCTTGCTTGTAGGCGTTCCGGGGCAGGCAAATCCACCCCGGTGTTAAGCTGAGGAGTGAGGGAATCCTAACCTACGGGAAGGGAAATCCTGCTGAGGCCATACCGACAAGAAAAGCTTCGTGGTTATGGAACCGCGGCGACCGTACCGCAAACCGCCACTGGTGGGCTGGGATAAACGTCCCGAGGTGTTCGAGCTAACCTCCGCTAAGGAACTAGACAAAAGGGCCCCGTAACTTCGGGAGAAGGGGCCCCCTGGAAGGTGAAGCCACTAGCTGGTGGAGCGTTCTGGGGGCGCAGAGAAGAAGGCCGGGCGACTGTTTAACAAAAACACAGGTCTGTGCTAAGGGGAAACCCTACGTATACAGGCTGACGCCTGCCCAGTGCCGGAAGGTTAAGGGGCGGTGTGCAAGCACCAAACTGAAGCCCCGGTGAACGGCGGCCGTAACTCTAACGGTCCTAAGGTAGCGAAGTCCCTTGTCGGGTAAGTTCCGACCCGCATGAATGGTTGAACGACTTGGCCATTGTCTCGGCGGAGGGCTCGGTGAAATTGCGGTGCCCGTGAAGACGCGGGCGACCCGCGGCAGGACAAAAAGACCCCGTGGAGCTTTACTGTAGCCTGGCATTGGGCTGGGAGCTGTCATGTGTAGGATAGGTGGGAGACTATGAATCCTCTACGCCAGTAGAGGTGGAGTCGCCGTTGAAATACCACCCTTGGCTGTTTTTGGTTCTAACCTCGGCAAATCCGGGGAACAGTGCTTGGTGGGCAGTTTAACTGGGGCGGTTGCCTCCTAAAAAGTAACGGAGGCGCCCAAAGGTCCTCTCAGGACGGATGGAAATCGTCCACAGAACGCATTGGCATAAGAGGGCTTGACTGCGAGACCTACAAGTCGAGCAGGGACGAAAGTCGGGCAAAGTGATCCTACGGCACCGAGTGGAAGGGCCGTGGCTTATCGGATAAAAGCTACCCCGGGGATAACAGGCTTATCTCGCCCAAGAGTTCACATCGACGGCGAGGTTTGGCACCTCGATGTCGCCTCGTCCCATCCTGGGGCTGTAGGAGGTCCCAAGGGTTCGGCTGTTCGCCGATTAAAGGGGTACGTGAGTTGGGTTCAGAACGTCGTGAGACAGTTCGGTCTCTATCCGCCGTGGGCGCAGGAGGCTTGAGGGAACCTTTCCCTAGTACGAGAGGACCGGGAAGGACAAACCTATGGTGTTCCAGTTGTTCCGCCAGGAGCAGCGCTGGGTAGCCATGTTTGGCAGCGATAAGCGCTGAAGGCATCTAAGCGCGAAGCATCCCCCAAGATTAGGCCTCCCTCCCCGATTTATTTCGGGGGTAAGACTGCAGCGAGACTAGCTGCTTGATAGGCCGGATGTGTAAGGCTGGTAACAGCTTCAGCAAACCGGTACTAACCAGTCGAGTGATTTGACCCACGCTAAGAGCTTCTAATTCTCTTGGCTCGGTTCTTATTCACCCACTAACATCCAAGTTCAAATTTCCTGTTCGGTTGATGGCGCTTCGGCGCCACATCGCGGGGTGGAGCAGTGGCAGCTCGTCGGGCTCATAACCCGAAGGTCGTTGGTTCGAGTCCAACCCCCGCTACCAACAATATCCCTGCTTAAAGCAGGGATTTCGCTTGCCTGGCGTCGGTTTATCAAGAAGAACTGCTCAACCGCAACCTGCGGGGTTTCGCTCCGCCACCATCTAACTGGCGTCCCTTCGCTTGAACTCGACAATTATCGCCCACTCCTCACCATCGGCGGATCAGAAACCTGACCCCCTGCCGATAACCGGTGAGCTGGCCGATCTGGGACCTTCGCACCGCTGCAGGCCGCGAACAAACGAAATGCTCCCGACTAGCACGCGCCGACACCAAGTCCCGGAACTCGGCCATGTCAGCTACTTCAAATGTAATTCGAGGCGGTAAAGTGGCCGTCATGGGCGGGATGATCGCCGGGTTACGGCGTTAGAAATTGTACTTCCGGCCGCCTTCCATAGGGTTGATCATCAGCCTTTGGAAGCTGGTATGGATGTACGAAGTGGAAACGGACGCGCGGGTGCGCCGAGGCCGCAGTGTAGAGAGGATGAGCGCCAAGGAATCTTCCCGGGTATGCGGCCCGCACCGGGACACGGTGCGGGACTTGCTGACTTGCTCATGGCCGGCGTCAGATCTCTCCACGTAAGCCCAGGCTCGAGTTCTTGACGGGTGTAATCGACGCGATACTCGAAGGCGACACGCGGGTCCCCAAGAAACAGCGCCACACGGTTAAGCGCATCTTCGAGCGGTTGCTTGACGAGTATGGGTTTGGCGACCAGTACACCGTAGTCAAGGACTTCGCCAAAGAGCAAAGACGGTGTGGCCAGGAAATGTTCGCGCGGTTGCCTCGTGCACCGGGTCACACCTACTGCGATTTCGGGGAGGTGATGGCGATCATCGCCAGCGTGGAGGGGAAGGTGCACTACTTCGGCGTGGACCTGCCCCAGTGACGGTTGCTTCGTGAAGGCCTATCCGGCGGAGACCACCGAGGTGTTGCTGGACGGCCACATGCCCGCGTTCGCCTTCCTGGGAGGTGTCCGCCAGAGCATCCTTTGCGACGAAACCAGGCTGGCGACGGCCCGGATACTTGGCGACGGTCGTGGGAAGCGCACGTGGGCGTTCAGCGAGTTGCAGTCGCATTGCCTGTTCGAGGACAAATTCGGGCGGCCCGACACTGGCCTGATCGGGGCAGGCAGTCGGTGCTGGCGATGAGGAATTAGCAGTGACATTCCACTCCGTGGGTGAACGTGGCGTGGCTCTCGGAGTGATGATGCCCGGAGTGGTCCACGGCCCACCGGACCGCGATGGCGCGATAGGAGCATGGGAGCGGAAGGTGCCGGAGATGACGGTCTCGGTAGTGGGCGGCTGCTGAAGCAATCGGAATCGGCTGTCGTCGGCAATTATCAGCATTACGCGGCAAGTGAGTACGGATACAATGGGCTCGTCCAAAGTAGGTACTGTCCGGACGCTGCGTCATTCGGGTCCAGGACGGCTGGCGGCATTGTTCGCGGGTTCATCCAAAGCCGCCAACTCGTGCGAGGCGAGCAATGAAGTCGGTCGTGACTTGGATTTTACGTCTCTGCTCATTGGTGGTGATCTTGGCGCCGAGGCACGCCGTTCCCACGGTGATCGCCGGCGCCAAGATCACCAATGACGACAGGGACCCGGGAATTTACGACGACCAAGTCCTGTTCGGGCAGTCGGCGGTGTTCAGTGGCGCTTCCAAAGGATTGGGCCGGGAGATGCGCCTGGGTATACAGGCGGCGTTTCACGAGGCCAACCAAACGGGCGGCATCCATGGTCGTGAGTTGAGACTCCAAACCCTGGACGACGCTTACGAACCGGACTTTGCGATTCACACGACTCAGCGGCTCATTGAGAAATCGCAGGTTTTCGCCCTGATCGGTACGGTTGGCACGCCCACATCTCGCGTCGCAGCCCCTATCGCCCACGATGCTGGCGTGCCTTTCCTGGCTCCCTTCACCGGAGCGGAATTCCTGCGTGACCCGGCGTTGCACAACTCGCCGGTCATAGACATTGACGGTTTCGAGCTCGAATACGGACACAACGACAACCAGGGGTCGGACGCGGTGTCCTTAACGGTGATAGGCGCGGATGGGAATTTCAGGCAGGTGGATAAACTTGGGGGTGTGTACTGACGGGTTCGTTCGGCATTGCCATCTCCGTTCGTGAGTGTGATCGGCGCGTTCTCCGTCTTTGTCCTGCTCGGACGGTAAGGGTGGCGTGGCCTTGGGCGTCGCAGGGGTTGGAGTAATCACCGCCCTCCGGGGCGACATTGGCGCAGTGGGTACTAAACCGAAGCCAAGGTGAAACCCGCACTTGGTTTAGATAGAATTGGAAGGAATTGAGAGGATCGGTTGGGAAGTTGCCGGGGGTTGCTGGTGGGTATGCTGGAGATGGGAGCGCTGCTGGAGCGGTGGCGCATGGATGAGGCTGCGGTACGACGACGGATGTACCGAGCGCCGACGCCTCGGGAGCGGGAACGGTGGCACGCGGTGTGGTTGCTGGCGCGAGGCTGGACGGCCGCGGCCGCGGCCGCGGCGTTGGAACGGGACGCCCACACTATTGGCCAATGGGCCACGGCATTCCGGGAGGGTGGTCCTGAGGCGCTGGCTTTTGAGCAGTCAGGAGGTTCCCCCCCGCATTGAACCGGGAGCGGCAGGCCGAGTTGAAGGCGGCGGTGCAGGAATTGCCGTCGCAAGCTGGCATAGATTTGTCCAACTGGAACTGGAAGGCGGTGCGCCGGTTGGTAGAGGAACGCTTGGGGTTGACGCTGAGCCGGAGTGGTTGCCTGAATTACCTGCACCGGTTGGGCTTTGTCCTGAAGCGTCCCAAGAAGCGGTTGGTCAAGGCAGACCCGGTACGGCGGGAAGGCTTTGTGAGGGAGTACATTGCCTTGACAGCGGCGGCCCGACGAACTGGGGCCAAGATATTCTTCGCTGATGAGGCTCACTTTCGGGCGGATGCGGATCTGCGGGCCAAATGGGTGCTGAAGGGTGAACCGGCGCTGGTGGACTCCACCAGCCCGCGACGTGGGGAGAAGGCGAGCTACTACTCGGCGGTGTGTCTGGAAACCGGAGAGGTGGAGTTGCTGGAACTGGAAGGTAACAGCAACTCCACCACCTCGGTTGCCTTCCTGTCGGTTGCCTTCCTGCGTCAACTGCGGGCGCAACACACCGAACCGTTGACGGTGATTTGGGACAATTCCCCAGCTCATAGGGGCGACGCGCTGCGAGCCTACCTGGCCAAGCCCAACTTGAACCTGCGCTTGGTGAACCTGCCCACCTATAGCCCAGATTTCAACGCCGACGAGGCTATTTGGGGCTGGGTACGTCAAGAGGTGACCGCCAACCTGTGCCTGGGGACCCGTGCCGCAGTCCAGGAGAAGGTGGGCGACTTTTTCGCCAGCCTGTCCAGCCGATGCGACGAAGTCAAGCGCCGATGCCAGACCGTGCTTCAGGCTCGAGCAGCAGAACTGACTGCCAGCACTCAAGCCGACCCTTCCCATCCCGCGAATGTAGATTTCACCTTGGCTTCAGTTTAGGCAAGCGGCGGAATGGGTTGCCTGCCCCTTCCGCCGCTCGTCATTGGTGATTGTCAAGGTTTCGAATTTCTACGAGGCCTGATCCCCTTCCTGTTATCACCGGGGATGCGATGGGACGCATCCTAAACTAAAGCCAAGGTGGGATCCACATTTGTGGGGCGAGGAGAATTGTTTGGGATTGCCACATAAGTTCTTACGCACGCCCCTGGATACCCGAATTTACCTGATGCTCCTCTGCGGGTTTCACCTTGGCTTCAGTTTAGGCGGTTGCTACGCTGTTTGCCCTCAGAGTATCCCCGCAAATGTCCGACAAGTCGGGCCTTGGGAAAGGCTTACGCTTCCACCCTCTGGGCCGGGTCCGCGCCGATGGCGGCATGGGACAGGCTAGCTGCGTTACCAGCGCCGTCTATGATGGCGCCGGCGTTCAACTTCAGGCGGTTGGGTCCGATACCGATGCCGATGCCGATGCCGTCGTTGTCTGTGTCGCCCGCCTGTACTTCGTAATGGAAGACCTGCGAGGCGGCGCAATCGCTTCCCGTTGGCGATGCGAGCGTTGCCTGGAGAACCGTATTTCCCACTTCGATCTCCAGGTAGGGCCGTCCGCTGACCGTTACCGGCTCGCTGAAAACGGCCTCCGCGCTGATCGTTTCCTCGGCAGCGTGAGCCTCTCCGTTGGACGGACTGGAAACAATCACCACCGACGAGACCACTGGAGGGGTGGTGTCCACCTTGTGGTCCGCTTGGGGACCGATGCCCAGGAAGTAGGGATTTCGTTCAATGTCCGTGCCCTGGGCTTTGATGGTGCCACTTCCGCCGAAACCGGTGCGTTCGGTGCCGAGGAACAGCCCTACGCCCTCGGGAGAGCTGTCACCGGGGTGAACGGTGTAGCCGAGCAGCAGCGTGTCAGTGCCGGGGCCACTGGGGTACCGCGCTTGCCTCGTCAATTCATCCCATCTGGAAGCATCGTCATGCAGGTAAAAACCCACGGATACCTCGCCCTCGACCACAACGTCGGTGTCAAATTTCATTGAGACCTCGATGGTCTGGTTGGCGCGATACGCATTCCGTCCACCTTTTGCTTCCGGTCGCCCTTCACGCCGGGATGGCTGTAGCTGATCGGCACGTCGGTTCCCGCGGCTTGGATATTGCCACCGAAGCCATAGGCGGGATTGCCGTCGTTGTTTGATGCCGCCGCACCCCCGCCGATTCCGTCAGCGTCTAAGTCTCAGAGGGTGTGTGACAATAGGTGAAACCCGTAAGGTGGGTTCTTGGGGTGAGGATGGGGTGCTGGTTACGCTGGGGGCATGAGCAGAAAACCTTATCCCAGCGATCTCACCGACGCCCAGTGGGAGGAATTGGCTCCCTTGCTGCCGCCCGACACCAGGAGAGGCCATCCCAGGACCACAGACCTGCGTGAGGTGGTCAACGGGATCCTGTACGTGCTGCGCGGCGGCATACCCTGGCGTCTGATGCCCCATGACTTGCCGCCCTGGGGCACAGTCTGGTGTACTTCCGTCTGGTGGTACTTCCGGAAGTGGCGAGATGACGGCACCTGGGAACGGGTGGAGGAAGCCTTGCGGGCCCGGGTTCGGGAAGTTGCGGGACGGGAGGTTACGCCCAGCGCGGCCATCATTGACAGCCAGCATCATTGACAGCCAGTCGGTGAAGACCACCGAAAAAGGGGGCCGCGGGGTTACGACGCGGGCAAACGGGTAACTGGACGCAAGCGGCACATCGTGGTGGACACCATGGGGTTACTGCTGGCGGTGGTGGTTCATCCCGCCAACATTCAGGACCGAGACGGCGCCAAGTTGGTGCTGGTCAAACTGTTGGGGCGGTTCCCCCGGTTGCAGGTGATCTGGGCCGACGCTGGCTACGCTGGCCGACTGGTGTCGTGGGCCTGGGCCACCGGTGGTTGGCTGCTGACCGTAGTCAAGCGCAAACCCGACAGCCACCACTTCGAGGTGTTGCCCCGGCGGTGGGTGGTGGAGCGCACCCTGGCCTGGCTGAGCCGATGCCGACGGTTGAGCAAAGACTACGAGGAGCGCCCAGAGAGCAGCGAAGCATGGGTGCATGTCGCCATGGTCAACCTGATGCTCAAACGGCTCCAGCCTTGCTGATCCTATTTGTCACACACCCTCTTAGGTCTGTACTGCGTACCGAAAGACCAGAGGACGGGTCCCGGGCCCACTGTGGTATTCGGCTCCGCGCCAGGTGCTGTCGTTCTGATCGCCGAGAAACAGGGCCACTGTAGGAACCCCGTCCACATCCACTTTCTGGTCTAGTTCGACGGCGATGTCGATACTGTCGGCGTCGCGGTAAGCGTACCTGTCTACAGGGGAGGAGCTGATGTGCACGCTCAGGATCTCGGGCGCGTCGTCGTCCTCGATCGTAACCACACAATAGTGCCAGACACCGCCATCCCAGAACCCCATGGCGAAAGTCTCGTCGTGTTCTGGCTGGGCATCTTCCTTCGTGACGATCGGCGCCCACAGGGTTTGTTGCCGCTCCCCGACTCTATCTTCGTGCCGTGGTCGTCTTCATAGTCGTCGGAAGCAGCGGTGTAGTATCGGTGATCCGTGAAGAAATAGGCCGACTTGACCCGGTAACCCGACCGGCGAACTCCCATCTGGCTGGAGTTGCCTTCGGGTATTGGGTCGGGACATATGAGGTACGTTGAGTTATGATCGGCGTAAGTCAGTGGAGGTGAAATCAGTGCAGACGCCATCACCAACAGATCCACGCTCGCGGCGGCGGCCATTAGTATCTGGGCTTTCCTAACCAGTATCCATCGGAGAGTTCCATTTTTTTGCCATAAGATGCGTGCTTATCCATCGACCTAATGTATTTATTACTTTCGACGATTATTGATGGATCGGCAGAGCATCGGTATTCGGGCTGGTCGTGCTCCAGTCGCAAACTGACGGAAGGTCCTAAAGGCAAAATTGCTCGCGCGGGTGATACCATCATTGCGGGCCCGGAAGCCCGAGAGGCCTCACCTTGCGTGTTGCGCGATGAAACCGGAATTAGCTAAACGCAGTGGACCAGTGCGGACGCTAGCCGATGGGCGGTCTGCCGTGACATCCTCGGAGAATTGACGATGACCAACCTGACCGCGGACGTTGTCGTCGTGGGCGGCGGCGCAATTGGGACCAGCATCGCCATGCACCTGGCCCTCATGGACTCCGGCCGAGTGGTTTTGGTGGAGCAAGGCCACCTGGCCGGTGGCGCCAGCGGCCTGTCCGGCGCAATGGTGAGGGAGCACTATCTCCACCCGGTTCTGGTCAGCATGGCCATGGAGTCGAGGTCGATATTCCACAATTTCGCCGATGTCGTTGGTGGCGATGCGCGCTTCAGGCAGACCGGCCGCTTGCTTCTTTTCCCGCAGCATGATGAGCCCGCCGTGCACGCCAACGTCGCCATGAACCGCGACCTGGGCGTCAACATCGAAACCCTTACGCCCCAGGACGCAACCCGCGTGGTGCCGCAGTTGGATGTTGAGGGTATAGCCGTGTGCGCTTACGAGCCGGAGGCCGGTTACGCGGATCCCGTGGCTACGACCTATGCCTATGCGGAGCGAGCGCGTTCCCTGGGAGCGGAGGTACTCACCCAGACGCCTGTCACCGGGTTGGTCGCGTCTGGGGGGCGAATCACGGCGGTTGAGACGGCAACGGGCCGCATCGAGACCGGTGCGGTGGTCGTGGCCGCCGGTTCCCGAACCAACCGGTTGGTTCGCCACGTCGCGGAATCGTTGCCTATAGTTCCAGCCCGCGTGCAGATGGCCCATTTTGGCCGGCCGCCGGCGCTGGAGTCCCTGAGCACCATTGTGATCGACCGCGCCACGGGAGCCTACTTTCGGGAGGACGCGGGGCGGGGCACGCTGGTCGGAGCCGAGGGGCCCGGGGACTTGGTCGAGGTCAATAACCCCGACGATATCCCCCTAAGCGCCGACCACGAAATGATCGCCAGCTTGTGGCGGCGCGCCAGGTTGCGGATCCCTGAATTTGCTGCCGCCACCTGCCGAGGCGGCTACAGCGCCCACTACGACATGACCCCAGACGCTAACCCCATCCTCGATCAGAGCACAAGTGTTTCGGGGCTGTTTGTGGCCGCGGGATTCAGCGGGCACGGCTTCAAGCTTTCTCCGGTGATTGGCAGGATGGTGGCGGAACTGGTGCTGCATGGAGAGTGCAAGGACCATCCCGTGCAGCGTTTCCGTTTGGGCCGGTTTGCCGAAGGCGAGCCGCTGTTGGCGGAGCATCCGTACCTGGGAACGAGCCATCAGTGAACTGAACACGGTCGAAATCGTTCCCACTTTGGGCTGAAACCATAGCTGTAAAGGACGGAGAGAAAATGTACCGCGTGGGCGGCCCGATCGCCGATTCGGGTGTTGTTGTCCAGCGATTCTGTCAGTTTAAATGGAAAGCGACTTTGTCAGTCTGAGCGGTTGATGGCTGGTTGAAATGATCCGCTGACGCCACGGTTGATGGGGAGATTGGTCGGCTGGGTGAGGGAGCGGGCGTACTTGCGGACAGTGTTGCGGTGTACGCCCAGTTGACGTGAGATCTCGCGCAGGGATAGACCCTGGGCCTGGGCCTGCTGCACCGCCTTCCAGAGGGCCAGCTGTCGCGGGGTGAGTTCCCGGCGGGATGGAGGTTCACTGTGATGGTTCTCGACCGCCGGTTCCTCGACGACGGGATCGGGCTCCAGGTTGGCCAGGTGTCGCAGCTGGGGTTGGCTGACGCGATGATTGCCCAGGCGTTTCACGATGCGGCCGATTTCTGGGTTGGGAGCCAGAGCGCCGTGGGAAGCGCGCAGTGCACCGGGTCGGGGCGGCGCTGGCCGGCAGGGGATGATCTCACCCTCATGGCGTACTTGGAGGCGGCCATCGGTGTGTTCGAGGACTTCCACCTGGACACCGGCGTAGCTGGGACGCTCCCGGCTGGGCAGCAGTTGCAGGGTGCGCCACTGGTACTTGACCGTGTTGTCCCGAGCCACCTTGCGGGTGCGCTTGAAGCAGAGGATTTCGTCCAAGGGCCGCTTTCCGTGCCACGGGCGGTAGGCAGGCTCCGGCAGATCGGCCGGGACAGCAAACCATGTGTTATAGCGGGGCAGGAAGTCCCTGAGCATGGCATTGGCCTGGTCTATGGTGCTGGCGCCGGCGAGACGCAGTTCGGTCACCAGCCGGTCCTGAAAAGTGCCGGCGGCACGTTCCACTCGGCCTTTGGCCTGGGGCGAGCGGGCGAAGATCTGCTGGATGCCCAGCTCCACCAGGGCACGGCTGAAGTGGGTGGCTTCCACCGGCGGCTGGATGTGCCTCGGTTTGCCGGAGAATTTGAACACGCCGTGGCGGTCGCTGTACAGGGCGGTGGGTACGCCCCAGCGTTCGATCAGTCCCTGCATCAGGATGAAGTATCCCCGAGTGTCCTCCTCGGGACAGAACACCGCGTTGGCCACGGCGCTGGTGGCGTCGTCAACCGCCAGGAGCAGGGTGAATTGGGGACCGTCCTCGCCCAGCCACCGGTGGAAACTGCCGTCGATCTGCACCAGCATCCCGGCCTGAGGCATCCGTTGTCGCCGGACCCGATGCTTGGGCGCACGCCGTTTGCGCGGGCTCGGGATGCCTGCCTTGGTCAGAATGCGCCGCACGGTGGGCCGGCTGAGGTCGATGCCCTCCCGGTCCCGGAGCAACTCGGTGAGGTGGGTGTGGTTGGCGCCAGCGTAGGTGGTGCTGGCCAACTGGATCACCGCGGCTGCCTCATCGTCAGAAACAGCGTTGCGGGGTCGGCGGCCTCGGTTCCCGTGGACCAGTGCGGCGGCGCCCTCCTTGCGATAGTCCGCCAGAATTCGCCAAGCATGGCGTTCACTCACCCCCAGGATCTCGGCAGCCTGGGCTACCGGTAGCTGGTGTTCCAATACTGAGTTGAGCACGTGAAGTCTCGTCTGTTCTAGCTGGTTCAATGTCAAGTCCTTCATAGACTGACATTGTCGCTGACCAGTTAACTACTGACCGAATCGTAGACCATCGACAATTCGGGCGGTTGAAAACTGTACCGCCTGGTGTCTTCCATAAAGCTGAATATCAGCTGTTGGAAGGTGCGATGGATGTTTCACGTGGACACGTATTTTCGGGTGCGCCGGGCCTGCCTGGTGGAGGGGATGAGCGTTCGGGAGGCCTCCCGAGTGTTCGGCCTGCATCGGGACACGGTGCGCAAGATGCTGGCCAATGCGACGCCCCAGGGCTACACGCGGAAGGGGCCGCCGCGCAAACCGAAGCTGGAGCCCTTCACCGGCGTAATTGACGCCATCCTGGAGGCGGACCGCCGGGCGCCCAGAAAGCAGCGGCACACGGCCAAGCGCATCTTTGAGCGGCTGCGGGACGAGTACGGATTTGAAGGCCAGCAGACCATAGTCAAGGACTACGTGCGGGAGCATCGGCGGCGTGTTGGGGAGATGTTCGTGCCGTTGTCCCACGGACCGGGCCACGCCCAGTGCGACTTCGGCGAAGCGTTGGCGGTGATCGCCGGCGTGGAGCGCAAGGTGCATTACTTCGTCCTGGACCTGCCCCACAGCGACGGCTGCTTCGCCAAGGCCTATCCCGGGGAGACCACCGAGGCCTTTCTGGACGGGCACGTGTCAGCGTTCGCCTTTCTGGGTGGAGTGCCTCAGAGCGTCCTGTACGACAATACGAAACTCGCGGTGGCGAAGATACTGGGAGACGGTCGTCGCAAACGCACGAGGGCTTTCAGCGAGCTCCAGTCCCACTACCTGTTCGAGGATCGGTTCGGTCGTCCCGGCAAGGGGAATGACAAGGGCAAGGTCGAAGGCATGGTGGGCTATGTGCGGCGCAACTTCCTGGTGCCGATACCCGTGGCGGAGAGTTTCGCGGCGCTGAATGCCCACCTGGAGGCGCGATGCCTGGCGCGGATGGACGCGAGACTGCGGGGACACACCGAGACCATCGGCCAGCGGATGGAGCGAGACCTGGACGCGCTGTTGCCGTTGCCACCGGTGTCCTACGACGCCTGCGACAAACGGGCCAGCCGGGTCAGCTCATTGTCCCTGGTGCGGTACCGCACCAACGACTACTCGGTGCCGGTGGCCTACGGACATCGGGATGTGCTGATCAAAGGCTACGTGGACCGGGTGGTGATCAGCTGCGGCACCGAGGTCATCGCCAAACATCCCAGGTCCTACGTGCAGGACGACTTCGTCTTCGACCCCATTCACTATCTGCCGTTGTTGGAGCGGAAGACGGGGGCTCTGGACCAGGCCGCGCCGCTGGCGGGGTGGGACCTGCCGGAAGAGTACCGCACGCTGCGCCGTCTGCTGGAGGACCGGATGGGCCAGCGTGGCAAGCGGGAATTCGTGCGGGTGCTCAGGCTGATGGAGCACTTCTCCCACCAGGAAGTCCACCACGCGGTGCGAGATGCCCTGCGGCTGGGCGCCGTCGGCTTTGACGCCGTGAAGCATCTGCTGCTGTGCCGCGTTGAAGGCAAACCGCCCCGTCTCGACCTGGAGCTCTACCCTCACCTGCCCCGGGTCAACGTCCAGACCACCCGCGCCACGGACTACCTGACCCTGCTGTCGGGGAGGGCAGCATGAGCAACCGATCCACTCTGCTCCTTGAGCACCACCTCAGGGAGCTGAAACTGCCCACCTTCCTCAGGGAGTACGACAAACTGGCCGCCCAGTGCGCCGCTGAAGGCGCCGATCATCCCGACTACCTGCTCCGGCTCGCCGAGCTGGAACTCACCGACCGCCACCAGCGCATGGTGGAACGCCGGATCCGCGCGGCGCGCTTCCCCGCCACCAAGGGCCTGGACACCTTTGACTTCTCCGCCATCCCCTCGGTGAACAAACCGCTGGTGATGCAACTGGCCCGGTGCGAATACGTCGATCACCATGAGAACGTCATCGCCATCGGGAACAGCGGCACCGGCAAGACCCACGTCGCCCTGGGTTTGGGGCTGGCCGCCTGCCAACGGGGCCTGTCGGTGGGCTTCACCACCGCCGCAGCACTGGTCAACGAACTGATGGAGGCCAGGGACGAGCGCCGGCTGCTCAACCTGCAGCGGCAACTGACCCGTCTCAGGCTCCTCATCATCGACGAGTTGGGCTTTGTGCCGTTGTCCCCCACCGGCGCGGAACTCCTCTTCGAGGTCTTCAGCCAGCGCTACGAGCGGGGATCGACCCTGGTGACCACCAACCTGCCCTTCGACGAGTGGACCGAGGTCTTCGGGTCGGAACGGCTCACCGGCGCGCTGCTGGATCGTCTCACCCACCACGTGCACATCGTGGAGATGAACGGCGAGAGTTACCGGCTCAAGGGCAGCCGGCAGGACGCCCTTGCATCGTCGCCATCGCCGGAGCGCCCGGATGCCGATTAGCGTCCCGCAGACGCCGCCGCCGGCCCCTCCGTCAAGGCGAGACCCCCCGCCCCACCGGCCAGGCCGCGGCCGTCACGCACCATCCAGGTGGTACGGTTTTACTCCGCCCGAGCGTTACAGTTTTCGTCCGCCCTTGACAATAGCGGCGTGGCCCCGCGATTACGGGGAAGAAGAGTGACCGCCGCGGTTCTTGGGTGGGCGTCAACATCGAAAAGAGCCACGCCCACGTGGTCCGCTCCACTGCCACGGATTGCACCACTCTGCTGCAGTGGTTGCGGTGCTCAGGGGAGACCCCGCTGCCGCAGCTTGGATCCCGGTTCAGTTGAGGCTGAATCGGCCAAAGGCCGCCCGTCCGCCCTGAGGGTTCGCAACCCCCGTCGAGTCCGGTACGGCCATCGGGTCCCCAGGAGCGGGCCATACCTGTACCGATGGGCCAGGATAGGCGTCGAAGGACCCGGGTTCGGGTGTGGGGAGCCGACCCGCTCCGTACAACAAAGCCGAAGCGGCGGCAATGGCCTCGGCGTCAGCATTGGCCCGGTTGACCAGTACACCCTTTTCCAGCGACGCCAGAGGAGCGCCGTCACGGAAAACCACCCGGTTGCCGGGCACGGCAGGCACCCGTTCCCCAGGGGTCACGATGCCAACCAGGTTCAGCGGGTCGCAGGCTGATACCACATCCATGCCGCCGGTTCCCACGGAAGCCGGCGAGCGGTGGGTCTCGCGAAGCATTGCCACGGCGTCGGGCAAGGCGAACTGCTCGCCGACGAACCCCGCAACAAACCGCCCGCCCCGGATTTCGCCGCGCGCTTCCAGACGGCGGTACACTCGCACCAGGTCCCGCCAGCGGGGAGCCATTCGCTCCCGCGCCAGAAGTTCCGGGAACACCACCCCATACCGATGCAGCAATTGCATCGCCTTGGGCTCCAGGGTATCCGCCGCCGGCTCCAGGGCTTCCAGCAGTGACCACCGTCCGGAACCGCCCCGGCGTTGGGACGCCGGGCGACGGCCACCGTTATTCGGCTGACCGCGATGGGGTTTTGTGAGGGAAGCTGCGCCGATCATGACGCTTCCGGTTCGGTTTCCCATTGATGCGTTCCCGCAGCGGGGCTACGCTGTCCGACGTGACCAACCCGTTGGCCACCAGCGTCCACAATGCCTCTTCCACGTCGGAGGGCAGTCGCCGGGTGCGGGAGATCAAGTCCGAAATGAAGCAGGCGCCCCGGTCAGACAGGACCCGCAGTAATTCTCCCGCCGCGCCGGGCGGTGCCGGGTCGGTGTCGGGCAACGGGTCCAGCAGCCAGTCCAGCGAGTCCCGCAAGGACAGGGTGATGTTGGAGACACGGGACAAAGCGGTGGCGCGACTGCCGTTGCCTGATCCGGCAGACGCATGGCCACCCCGGGTGAAGCGGCCCCACACCACGTCGCCTCCCAGGCACAGCCGATCCAGTAAGGACGGGTCGTAACCGGCCACCCGGCAGGCCAGCACTTCGGTTTCCCAAGCGGCCGCGGCGGTCTCAAACCCCTGCAGCTTTTCAATGACGTCCAGCAGTCCTCCCTCCCCGCGGGCCTGCCATCCGTCGGCCGCGTTCTGCCACCGGAATAGGAAGCGCATGAGGGAGGACTGCGGCACGGGCTCGATTTCGCTGCGCAGACGTCCCACGGTGGCGCGGTGAATGCGGGCCAGAATACGGCGGTCGCAGAACTCCTCGCCGGCGGCCCCGGGATGGAAGCTGCCCCGCAGAATCAACCCCTCGTTTTCCAATTGAGCCAAGGCGATGACGACGTCGGAGACGGTCAGGCTGAGGCGGTCCGCCATGTCGGCGGCGGTGAAGGGCCCGGAGGACTCGGCCCAACCTCTCACCAGGTAGAGCACCGCTGCTTCCCGATCAATATCCTCGACGCTGGAACCAGGTTTTCGCAGATGCGCTGAAGCAGGTCTTTCGAAATCCGCGTCCGGGTACGCGGCGCCCGCCAGCTCAGCGTGTTCCGCCGCTAGCCAGGCGTCTTGGCCTGACGGGAAAGTAAAGCGCAGTGACCGTCCTGCCTGCGCTAATTTCCTCAGCCACTCCAGCAACGTGTCCCGGGACACCCCTGGCGAACGGGCCCAAAGCTCGGTTTCGGGAATCACGCCCAGGGTCAGCAAGGCGTCGTGCAACTCGTCGGCGTCCCTGATGGCAGGCCAGGCGTTGGCGGACTCTTGCCGGATGGCATCCGGGTCCAGGGCGGCCAAGTCCCGGGAGTCCTCGGGCAGCACCCGGCGCAGCGTCACCGCGCGCGCCCGACGCTCTTCCAGGGGGGCGTCGTCGAGAAAGGCGTAGGGCATGGCGTTGAGAATCTGGTGCGCGAACACCGATGGCTGTACCGTGTCCTTCGCAAACACCTCGATGTCTCCGCTGCGGATGGAACCAAGGACGCTTTTCAGACCCTCCAGGTCCATCGCCTCGGTGAGACAGTCCCGGGTGGTCTCGAACACCAGGGGGTGGTCTGGCGGAACGATGTCTCCCGCGTCGGCGTTGTCCTGGCATTGGACCTGCGCCGGGAAGACGGCGGCCAACAGGTCGTCGGAGCGCATTCGCTGCAAGGGGGCAGGCACCTTCTTTCCGCCGGAGTGGCGGAGCAGGGCCAGGAATCGCGAGGCGTTCCACCGCCAGCGGGTGCCGAACAGGGGCGCCTGAAAGACTGCTTGGGTCAGCACTTCCTCCACCGTGTTGGGCGACAGGTAGGTGAACACCTCGTCCAGGGGGAAGGCCATGTTGGGACCCAGGGAGAAGTTGAGGCCGTCGTCGGTGGCTGAGGCTTGCAGCTCAAAGTCGAAGGTTCGGCAGATGCGCTTGCGGAGCGCCATACCCCACGCCCGGTTGATTCCGGCGCCGAAGGGAGCGTGGATGACCAACTGCATCCCTCCGCTTTCGTCGAAGAACCGCTCGGCCACCACCCGGTTGGCGGTCGGGACAACGCCCAGGATGCGCTTCCCTTCGATCAGGTAGGCCACCAACTGCCGGGCAACTTCGGGAGAGACTCCGGCTTCGGATGCGACCCAGGCTTCCGCCTGGGGCGGGTCCTCCAAAAGCCCGTCCACGGCTTCCCGCAGTTGGGTAATCTCCTCGGAAAGCTCCCAGGTTCGGCCCGGGGCCTCGCCCAACCAGAAAGGAATGGTCGGTGGTTGGCCCTGCGCGTCCTCAACCCGCACCCGGCCGCTTTCGACGCGGCGGACTTTCCAGGGCGTGTTTCCCAACAGGAAGATGTCGCCGGCCATGCTTTCAATGGCGAAATCCTCGTTGACGGTGCCGACGAAGGTTCCGTCCGGATCTGCTACCACCTCGTAATCGGCGTTGTCGGGAATGGCCCCTCCGCTGGTCAAGGCCGCGATGCGAGCTCCCCGTCGGCCCTTGACCCGGTCGTTGATGCCGTCACGGTGCAGGTGGGCCCCGCTGCGTCCCTGCCGGGGGGCGAACCCCTGGGACAGCGCCTCAACCACCTGGTCGAACCGATCCCGGGGCAGGTCACGGTAAGGGTAGGCCCGGCGGCACAGGTTGAACAGGGCGTCCTCGTCCCAGTCCTCAGCGGAGCAGGCGGCCACCATCTGCTGGGCCATAACATCCAGCGGCCAGGACGGAATGGCGAAGGTGTCCAGGTTGCCCCGCATCAGCGCGCGGGACAGGGCGGCGCATTCCAGCAGTTCGTCCCGGGTCAGCGGGAACAGCTTCCCCCGTGGGGTGCCCCCGACGGTATGACCGGACCGGCCCACGCGCTGCACGAGCAGCCCGATGGATCGGGGAGAGCCGATCTGGCATACCAGGTCTATGTCCCCGATGTCTATGCCCAGCTCCAGCGACGCCGTGGCCACGCAAACCCGCACCTGGCCGTTCTTCAGTTTCTGTTCGGCGTCCAGCCGGGTCGCGCGGGACAAACTGCCGTGGTGGGCGACCACGGCCTCTTCGCCGAGGCGGGCGGTTAGTTGGTGGGACACCCGCTCCACCAGCCGGCGGGTGTTGACGAAAACCAGCGTGATGGCATGAGTCTCGGTCTGCCCGGCAATCGCGTCCAGGGTCTCGCCCCAAATTTCATGGGTAGCAATGGGGCCAAGTTCCTGCTCGGCCGGCAGTTCCACGGACAATTCCACGTCGCGCCGGCGGCCGGTGTCCACGATCACGCAGTCCGGTGTACCCGCGTCCGGTCCGCCGTGATCCGCATTTTCGATGTGTTCGTTGCCCACCATGAAACGGGCCATTTCCGACAGGGGGCGCTGCGTGGCCGAAAGCCCGATGCGGGTTACCGGCTCTTCCGACAGTTGGCACAGCCGCTCTACCGACAGCATCAGGTGGGCGCCCCGCTTGTCGTTGGCGACGGCGTGGATCTCGTCGAGGATCAGGGTATTGACGCGCTTGAGTCCCCGGCGCCCGCTGTCCGAGGTAAGCAGGATGTACAGGGACTCGGGCGTGGTGATGAGGATGTGCGGCGGGCGCTTGGCCATTCGCTGCCGCTCCGACGCCGGGGTGTCGCCGGTGCGCACGGCCGTCGTTATCTGCGGAAGCGGCGTACCCAACTCCTCGGCCAACGCGCCGATCTCCGCCAGGGGAACAGCCAGGTTCTTCTGGATGTCGTTGGAGAGGGCTTTCAGCGGCGATACGTAGACGACCTGGGTGGTCTCGGGCAAACCCTCGTCAATCCCCTGGCGCACCAATTGGTCAATGCAGGTCAGGAAGGCGGTCAGCGTCTTGCCCGACCCGGTAGGCGCGGCGATCAGGGTGTGGCGTCCCTGGGCAATGGCCGGCCACCCGGCGGACTGTGCCTCCGTAGGCGCGTCAAACCGGCTCCGGAACCATTGCTGGATGATGGGATGAAAGGCGGACAGGGACATACCTGGATACTAGCACAGCGGTGGCGAAGCACCTCGATCTGATGTCAGTAAAACCGGTACGCTTGCACAGTCCTTTTGATCGCGTGCCCACCCATAAGTCCCGGAGCCCAAGAAGGTGGTTAATTTCAGGGTCAGTAACCGTCAAAATCCCGGCCTGTGACCGCCCTGGAAGCGCCGTGATTTAGCCAATATCAGGTTGTTGTTTGGCGGTCAATCAACTGATTGCGGGCTCGCCCTAAACGTTGATCCTTTTGGGGACGATCCCTTCTGCCTCGCTCCGCCAATGCGGACTTGCGCCGGTACGGTGTCCCCAGCAATGACTATCCGGTGGTCGACGACCCCGGTATCAGTCGCTGCATCGAACTTATCGGACGGGATTTGAAAAGATGATCGGCGGGTTAAGTCGAGAGTTGTACCGCATTGTATGTACTGACGCCGACTATCGCGCCGGCTCCGGTCTGGTCAACCCGAACCTTTGCTACGAGAGCCCGTCGCCGGCAAGTTGCGGATCATGTTAACCGGCGGGTCTCAGGTTGGCCGGCAAGTGGCTCTCCCAGTCAGGAATTTGTCTGACGCGGGGCGAAGGCAGCATCCAGGCCTGGATGAGAGCCATCACACTGAACCCAAGGGACATGAGCAACGGGGCCAAAGAGGAGCCAGTCAAGTCCCAAAGAATCCCAGCGCACACCGGCGCCAATCCCATTCCGAGGCCGCTGCCCAGGTTTTGCCAACCGTAAAGGCTGGCCTGGGGGACGGTTCCGTAATACTGGCGGTTGGCAATTGGGAACGTGGGCACTTCGGTACTCTGGCCGATACCGAACAGGACTGCGAACAGGTAAAAGGCCCAGGCGTCATGGGCAAAGAGAATGATTAGCAGCGGGAACACCTGCAGGGCCATGCCTACAATCCAAACCACTCTGCAACCCCAATGCTCCGCTACAACGGGCACGGCGGCCCGTGCGAAGACCCCGACGATCTGCTGGGCTGCCAGCACGCCGGCGGCCGCTCCAAAAGAAAGCCCGCGGTCCACGGCAATGGCCACCACCAACACGTTGATAATATTGTGGCCCATGCATCCCCAGTAGTGGATGCCGATCAGGTTCCAAAAGGTGACGGTGCGCTGGGCCCGCTGGAGGAATACCTTGGCCCTCACCTTTGCGGTCTCGTCTCTCCGGGGCGCTGGCACCGGTTCGTCGCCAAGATCGCCCCAAGGACGCAAGCCTATGTCGGCGGGTCCGTTGTAGAAGAACCTGATCATCAGGAGCAGCAACGCCCCTCCCGACAAACCCGGAAGCCAGAAGATCCACCTGATTCCAAGCTGGTTGAAAGCCGCTCCGATCAGGAATAGGAACGCTAAAACTCCAACCCCCTGGAAGGACCAGACGACCCCCATGGCGATTCCCAGGTGTCTCCGGAACCACAGGGTGACGCCGGACACCGGCAGCAAGGTAAAAATGGTAGTGGAGACGCCGAGGAACACTCCGAAGAAGAGGTAGAACTGCCACAGGCTCCTCATCATGCCGGTCAATACCATACCGACGATGAACAGAACGGCCCCAAACAACAGTAGCCAGCGAACTCCGTACCGGTCTCCAAGCGATCCCACGTATGGGCTGACCAGCCCCAAAATTATCCACTGGAGGCTGAACGCCAGGCTGATCGCCCCGTAGCTCCAACCGAATGCCCCGGCGGGATCGCTCAGATGAGGAACCAGGGCAGCAGCCGCGAATCGCACCGAAGAGGTGATGCACCCCATCGCAGCGGCCATCGCCACAATGACCCAGGCGTAATGAATCCGGTTTCTTATTTGCATCGATACCGCAAACTAGGGAGGGAGTGGCATTTTAAGTGAAACTGTTTTCGGATGTGGATTTGGAGATTGTCATTGAGATCGATTGCCGATACGAGGACAGCCTGCATCCTCAATAGGAGATTTCGCTGCTCGCGTTCTGGCGTGTTTCACGGCTGGTGATGACCGTATGCCGCTTCGCCGGTTCGCGGATGCGGCCAGGGATTGGGCTGCGTTTCTTTGTGGTGAATTAAATTGGTGCTACAACGCAATGGTGAAGCCTTGGAGCAGCGGCGATCCGCGGGTTTGATTGGATGAGTGACGCTGACCTTGTGGTGTTTTTGTGAAGCGTCGCAGAGTACTACGTCGCATCCCATCCTACTACGGCGCGGGGGTGAATTCGCTTTTGGCATGTTACACCATTTCCGTCGCCGTCCCCGTCCCCTCCGCTGGGCGCCGTCCATTTCAGGAAGCCTGGATCCCGGCCTTTGCTGCCCGGTACGTGGGTTTCCCGGCTGCCGGCGCTTTTATCCCGGGCACGGGTAGGATCACGGTGGGCGCCGACCGCGGGTACGATACCAGCGGTTTCGTCAGAGGATGACGGAAGGTGAGGGTAGCGCCCCAGGTGGCAGGGAAACAGCATTCAGCCATTGGCCGGCGCACCACCAGGCATGAGGGATATCGCATGAACCAGCGGGCACGGAAACGAATTGAATAAGTCTCCGGCTGGGTGAAGACGGCGGGCGTCGGCCGAAAGTTGCGCTACTGCGGGGTGGCAAGGAACCGGCTGTGAATGGAGTTGACCACCGCCGGCTACAACTTGGAGCGGCTATCCAAACTGATTGTGGTGGCGGCAAAGGTCAAGGGACAGGTCTGTCCGGAGCGCCGCCGATTCCGCCTATCCGCTCGAACATCGACCGCCAGGCGGCATCAACTTGCCCGAGATACCCGAAACCTGGCTGCTAACCGCTGGTTTCAGGACCCCGGCACTGCCTACACAATCCTATAACAAGCCCATTTCAACACCCTGCTAGACAGCGACCGTAGATCAAATCGAATATAGGATTGGCGTGACCCCCGGAGTTACCATCGGAGATGCCCCGCCAAGGCCGGCTCCATCTTCCGATCCCGGACGAAGGCTGGACATCCAACGCTCTCAGCGGGAACAAGGTTGACCTGATCGGGTGGCTGCGCGCGCGCCCCCCGGCGGTACCTGACAGCCGAAAGTCAGCGGTTCGGAATCAGCCTTCGTTTTCGGGTAATCCATGATTAACCCCCCGGTGTGATCCGGGGGGGTTGTTGCTGCGCCGGCGCGGTCGTCTTTTCCGCGACTGTCAGTGCGCGAACCCAGGGCCGATCACTCGTCGGTGAGGGTCCGGCGAAAACCGGTTATTGCCGCTCGCTGACCGGGACGTCTCTCGTTCTAACGAATTCTTGGGTCCCGTTGCCTTGACCGGTCTCCGGCTCGTAAAGGGAGTTCCTAGTCTGCGGCCGCTGCCGCTCCCGAAGCTTCTAGTCTGTGCACCACTTCGTAAGTGTGGAATTCGCCGGGACCAAGCAGAAAATCGGGCGGCCCACCGGCGTGGGCGGACCGAAACCCGTCGCTCCGCGTCCAGGTATGGTGATCCTCTTCCGTTTCCCAATGGGTTACCACCAGGAAGTCCTCGTGGTCCGGTGTCTTGTGCATCTTCCACAGCTCAAAGCTGATGAAGCCGGAATGGTCTTGAACGGCGCCCCGAGCCTTGAACATCTCTGCCAGGGTGTCGCCGAAGCCGGTCTTGACCTTAATGCGGTTGGTGGCGATGAACATATTGCCTCCTTGTGGTGGCGATAACGGTCGCGTCGTTTCAGTAGTCGGGATTAAGGTCGGCCAACTGCGGGAGCACCTCGGTTGCCAGCATCTGAAGCGAACGCAGCCCTTTCGCCCTTGCGCGCCCCAGTCGTGGCAAAGCATCAGCAGATTGCCGAACCCTCCCGTGTGGTCGTGCAGTTCGCGTATTTGCCTCGCGCATTCGTCCGGGTCACCCACGATCCAGAAGTTCTCCAGCATGTATCGGGCGGTGAGCGCCGAGTTGGGAAGATCTGGGCTGGTTTTGATGCCGTCCAAACCGCGCTGCCCGTATCCCAGCAACGGCACGAAATACTGGTCGAATGTCCGCGCCGGCGGGCCGTTCATCACGTCGGCCACCGCCTGCTCGGTGGTCTCTCCAACGTAGACCTCCCGGGCAATCCGCCATTGGCTCCGCGATACCTCCCGTCCCGCGGCCTTCGCTCCCTTGGAATAGGAAATCCAGTGGTTGGGGAGATGCGAAGCGTGCAGAAACAGCGTGCTCATCGGCCACCAACCCATTTCGCCGGCGACTTCCAGTGTCGGTGATGACGGGCTGCTCCCCGCCACCGCGATTGGCGGGTGCGGCTTTTGGTACGGCCGCATGTGGTAGGCCAACCCCATCTCCGGTCGGGCTTCCGGCAGTCGGACGGTGTAATACTCCCCGTCGTGGCAAAAATCAGCTGGGTTGTCTGTCGTCCACATCTTGAGGATGACGTTGGCCGCTTCCCGCATCCGGTCCCGCTGCTGGCCGGACTGCCGATCCATTCCGAACATCTCGGAGTCCGTTGGAACTCCGCCCGACCCGATGCCGAAAAAGAAACGGCCGCGCGCCAGGTGATCGAGCATCGCCATGCGGTGGGCGATCATGATCGGGTCGTGAAACGCCAGGAGGGACACGCCGGTGCCCATCACCAGGTTTTTCGTCACTCCCAAAGCCCGGGCGATGAATAGGTCGGGAGCCGGCATGTTCTCCCACTCAGTGGTGAAGTGCTCGCCGATCCATGCCTCCGAATACCCGAGTTCGTCGGCGTACGCCATCAACTCCAAGTCTTCATCGTAGGTATCCGCGTGCAGGCGACCCGGCGGGTGCAGCGGCATGTTGAACAGCCCAAGTTGCATGCTGTGTACTCCGCTACAGTGATTGCGCGACCTTGCCAAGCAGACTGATGGTCTGTTCCATGTCCGCCGCCGGATCGTCGCCGGCCGTGACCGGTGTCACCAGCAGTTCGGATATGCCCATATCCAGCATCGCCACCATGCGCTCGCCGACGGTGTCGGCGTCCCCGGTGAGCACCGTGGCCTCGATCATGCCGTCGCTCCAAGTCTCTTCCGCTGCCTCCGGGTAGCCCGCTGCCGCCCACATGCGTTGGTAGTAGGGCAGTCTCGGATAGTTGGACAGCTGTTGCTGGACCGCGGCCCGGGTTGCGTCGGCGTTGTCGCTGATGCACACGGGTACGTGCGCGATCAGCGGGGGAGTTTCTCGGCTGGCTTGGTCGGAACCCCGACGCATCGCCGGAAGCGCCGTGTCCCGGAGGTAAACCGCTGGGCTGACCCAGCTGATGGCCCCGTCGGCGATCTCGCCGCACAACTCGTAGGAGCCTTCCTGCAGCGCAGACGCCATCACCGGCACGTCCACTGGCCGCGGGATGCTGGCGTGGGCCGTGTATTCCTTGCCATCGAAGTCCACCGAACCCTGGTGCAAAAGGGCGCGTAGGATCAGCAAGTATTCGCGCAGATTGGTCAGCGGCCGGCGCAGGTTGAAGCCGAACATCGAGCGCATGGTCGGCCGGTGGCTCGGGCCCACTCCCAGGCGCAGCCTTCCGGGCGCCAACTGGTCCAGAACCTGCACCTGCTGGGCTGCCACGATTGGATGGCGTGGATAGGTCGGGACAATGGACGTCCCGAATACGATCTTGTCCGTCTGCACCGCGGCCGCCGCGAACAGGGTCAGGGCGTCAAGACCGGTGCCGCCTGTGGTGAGCCACGCGGCGTGCGCGCCGGCTGCTTCGGCGCGGCGCATGAGATCCAGCGACCCTTCGGCGTTCGGGGCCCCTGCGTGGATGCCGATCCTTTTGGTGGGCATGGCAACACCTCATTCCGGGGATTTTCGAGTTTCGCCCTATCCTAACACCGGCCATGGAATTTGTAGAGGACGGGGTTGCGTCCCCGTCCTCTGCCAAGCCGATGGGAGTGATGCCCGTCAATCAACCGACTCCGGGCGCGTAGTCCGTTCCGATGTGGCCCGCTGCTTCAAACTCCGCGTACTCTGCCTCGGAATAACCCAGCAGTTCCCGGTAGACGTACTCGTTGTCCTGCCCGAACATCACCGGACCCCGACGGATGCCCAGCGGCGTTTCTGACATTCGGTACAACGGGCCGGGATATAGGTGGGTCCCGCAGTCCTCCTGGGACGCTTCATGAAAGAACTCACGCGACTGGATGTGCGGATCGTCGAACGCATCGGCTTGAGTCATCACCGCCCCTGCCGAAATGCCGTGCTCCTGCAGCTTGCGCATCGCTTCCTCAGGGGTCTGGCCCTGGTGTCCATTCCGCGATCACCGGATCAATCACGTCTTGGTGCCTATTGCGATCCTCATGGTCTGCCAACTCCGGGTCATCCCTCATTTGCGCCGCGCCGATTATGTCGCAAAGAGTTCGCCATTGGTCGTTGTCGTAAATTGTGATCGCGATCCATCGGTTCTCGCCCGCGCAGGGGTAGCAGTTCTGCAACGCCCGGGGATGCCGATTTCCCAAAGTCCCGTGGATGCGCCCGTTCATGGCGTAGTCCAAGTAATACTCCCCCAGGAACGAGAAGACATTCTCGGCCTGACCCAATTCCACCAGCTGCCCTTCGCCCGTTCGCTTCCGGTGCCGTAGCGCGGCCAACACGGCAAACGCGCCCTGCGCTCCGGCGGCCGCGTCGGACATCAGGACGGTGGTGTTGTAGGACGGATCCGTGTCCTCGTATCCGCGCAGCATGGTGTGCCCGACGACACCCTCTATGTGTACGCCGTGCGCCCGGTAGTCCCGATAGGGTCCGTCGCTTCCATAGGCCGGCATCCTCATCATGATGATGTCGTCCTTCACCGTCCGCAGCGACTCGTACGAGATGCCGAGCTTTTCCATCGTCTCCGTCGGGTTGTTTTCTATCAGCACGTCACTGATCGCGACCAGCCGGTCGAAGATCTCGCGGCCGCCTGGATCCAGCAGGTTTACGGTCATGCTGCGTTTGTTGCGGGCGTGGGAGTTGAACATCGGCGAGCGATTGAAAGGTCGTTCCCCGGGTACTCGCCCCGGCGTCCCGCCGGAGTAAAGCGGCAGGTTGTCGATCACCGACTGCGAGATATGGGGCCGCCGCCCCTCGCGTCAAGGGCACGAAGGTCTTGGTGGACTCGACGCGGATCACTTCGGCCCCAAGATCCGCCAAGAACGAACCGCAGTAAGGGCCCGCCCAAACCACCGTGATCTCCAGGACGCGCAAACCTTCCAGTGGCAGGCGAGGCACGTTACTGCCCCCTCGCGTTGACCAGTATCACCCCAGCGGCGCTGAGTCCACCGATGTCCTCATCCGTATACCCGATCTCGCCCAGCACCTCCGCCGTGTGCTCGCCCAGCAGCGGAGCTGTCCGCCGCAACCGCCAGGGCGAACCGTTCATTATGAAGGGACGGCCCGGATATCGCATCGGGCCTGCGGCCGGGTGGTCTCCTTCCGCGAATACTCCCCTGGCATTGAACGAAGGGTCCACGTCCAGGTCGGCCATTGTGTTGATCGGCCCGGACAGCACTCGGCTCTCTTGGGCGGCTTGCCAGGCTTCGGCTCTGGTCCGTTCCAGTATCCATGGAAGGAAATGCCCCGCCTCGAACTCCTCCTGCATTTCCGAGTTGCCCTGTGAGGACGGGTCCTTCCACCGCTCGGTCTCCAATTCAGGCGGATTGCCCAGCATGGCGACGGCTCGCGGAAAGTACATCCGGCTGCCATTGATCTGGAGATAACCGTCCGAACATGGATACACCGCGTTCGGATACCCGCCGGATCCGCCCGATGCGGGTCGGTGGCTCAACTCGCCCGTGTATTGATACGCCAGCAGCGCGCTCTGTCTACGGTCAACCGACCCGAGCTGCGTTTCCAGAATGGAAACGTCGATGTGCTGCCCCGTTGCACCGTCCTCGTCGTCATCCACGTAGAAGGAGCCGGCCAGGATCGCTCCCATGGTCGCGACCGCTGCCACCGCACCCGCCTGGTACAGGCCAACGTTTCCGCCCAGTTTCAGGGGCTCCCGGTCGGCCAGGCCGGTGGAATGCATTTCGCCGCCCATCCCGTAGAAAACGATCTCGGAGCCCCGATAGTCCCGATAGGGCCCGGTCTGGCCGAAGTTCGAAATGCTGGTGTAGACGATTGCCGGATTGATGCGGCTCAGGCGTTCGTAACCAACCCCCAGCCGGTCGGCCACGCCGGGCCGAAAGCTCTCCACCACCACGTCAGCCCACGAAGCCAGCCCCTCCATAATTCCCACGGCTCCGCTTTGCGTCAGGTCCACGACGATGCCGCGCTTGTTCGTGTTGAGGTGCAGGAACTGCGCGCTCTTTTCCTGATGCGGTTCGTCGCCCGGATATGGCCCCATGCGTCGCGACCCGTCGCCGTCCGGCGGGCGCTCTACCTTGATCACGTCGGCGCCGTAATCTGCCAACAACTTGGTGCAATATGGCCCGGCCACATAGTGCGTGAGGTCCAGGACTTTGAGGCCGGTCAGGGCGCCTTCAGGCATACTCATCATCTGCGTGTCCGTCGCGCCGGATGCGCTACCATTGCATAATTCGCTGTACCGGTCAACTTGGCAAGTAGCCCCCTTCTGTCCGCCTTGTGTAGACTCTAATTGCCAATCTGGCTACGCGTGCGAAGTAGGCGCTTCGCAACTGGTCATCTCGGCCGATAACGCTTTTCGACTCTTTGATGCCCGTGAGCAAGGAAACAAATGCAGACTTTTGAACTCGGGAAAATCCTCACGTGCACGCCGGATGAAGCCTGGCGCTCGGTGATCGATTTTCCTTCGCGCACCATTCACGGGTCGGCTTATCGCCGCTCCGATTTGCCCGATGGGCCGGAACCAAAACCAGGGAACCGCATTGAACTGCAAATTGGGCGGGACAAATTCACCAGCTTGGTAATTGTCGTCCAACAACCTGAGATGCTCAGTCACCGCACCGTCGGCCCCGGCTTTTCGGTCGAGTTTTCCTACCGGGTTCGCCTCTGCTCCGATGCGGATTCCGGATATACCTCTGATGATGACGGCAACGCTCACCTAACTGTCGAGGCCGAATATGGTGGCTGGCTGGGATCGTTAATTGCCCGATTACGGCCCGGGGCGTGCCGCCGTTACGTGTCGGGAGAGTTGGCCGCGATCGTTTCTGCGTCGAAATCCGTGTCGGCGGAACCCGTCACCGACTGACCCCAGTTCGTCTACGACCCTAACGGAGCCATCAAATGACCGCTGCCAGCGAGTTCCCCATCCCTCCCTCCGCCCCCCGGCGCGCCCACACCGATACGGTGCATGGTGACGCCCGCGTCGACCCATGGCACTGGCTCCGGGATCAGGACGACCCCGAGACGATGCAATACCTGCGTGCCGAGAACGAATACACGGAGGCGTTCCTCGCCCCTTTGGCATCCTTGCAGGAATCGATCTACGATGAAATCCGCGGACGCATCAAGGAGGACGATAACTCCGTTCCCGAGAAGGAAGGCGACTTTTATTACTATGTCCGCTATGAGGAGGGTGGCCAGTACCCCATCTACTGTCGCCGCGCAGGAAGCGACGAAGGTCCTGAAGAAGTCCTCCTGGACGTGAACCTGCTGGCCGAGGGCCGCGACTACACCCAAGTGTCGAGTTTCGAAAACAGCCCCGACCATCTGCTGGTCGCCTACGGCGTGGATTTCGACGGTTCGGAACAGTTCACCATACGGGTGCTTGACCTGGAATCGGGGGAAACCCTCGGCGACGAGATCCCCAACACCTACTATGGACTGGAGTGGGCCAACGACAATCGTACCTTCTATTACTCGGTCCTGGACGAGCACCATCGCCCGGTTTACATCTATCGTCACACCCTCGGCGCCGACCCGTCCGCCGATGAATTGGTCTACCACGAGGAGGACTCGCGATTTTTCGCCGGCGTCGGCAAGTCCAACAGCGGGCGGTTCATTTACGTGGCCGCCGGTGGGAACAATATGTCCGAATGGAGGTTCCTGGATGCCGACGACCCCGCTTCAATACCGGTGCTGATAGAACCTCGCGCCACCGATTTCGAATACGACGTAGAAGATCACGGCGAACGATTCATCATCCGGCACAACGGCAAGGGCGCCAGGGATTTCATGCTGGCCACCGTTCCAATCGACAACCCCGGATGGGACAACTGGTCCGATTTCATGCCCCATGAACCCGGTCGTCCCATTCGGGGTATCCAGGCCTACCGCGACCACCTGGTCGTCGCCTGCCGGCAACACGGCCTGCCCCAGGTCATGGTGCACCGCCTTTCTGACGGCGATACGCACTACATCGCCGGCGTTGATGAGGACGACTTCGCCATGTCGCCTCGCGGTGGCCGGGAGTTTGACACCAGTACCCTGCGTTTTGCCTACACGTCCCTCAAGACCCCGGCCGCCGTGTACGACTACAACATGGCCAGCCGCGAGCGGGTCCTGCGCAAACAGCAGGAAATACCCTCCGGATACGACGGCGGCCAATACGAGACCCGCCGGGTTTGGGCTACGGCCAGGGACGGCACGGCGGTTCCGATCAGCCTGCTGATGCGCCGGGACGTCCCGGTTGATGGCAGCGCTCCCCTGTATCTCTACGGCTATGGTAGCTACGGCTTGAACATGGACGCCAACTTCAGCATTTCCGCGTTGAGCCTCGTCGACCGTGGCTTCATCTTTGCCATCGCCCACATCCGGGGCGGCATGGAAATGGGCTGGGACTGGTACGAAAACGGCAAGCTCCTGAACAAGCGCAATACGTTCAACGATTTCATTGATTGCGCCGAGTACCTGGTCTCCGAGGGCTACACCGCTCGCGGACGCATTGCCGCCGCCGGTGGCAGCGCCGGCGGTATGCTGATGGGCGCTGTAATTAACGAACGTCCCGACATCTTCGGCTGCGTGGCGGCGCATGTCCCCTTCGTCGACGTCCTCAACACCATGCTGGACGACACCCTGCCCCTCACCACCATGGAATACAACGAATGGGGCAATCCCAATGATGAAGAGTACTACCGCTACATGCGCACCTACTCACCCTACGATAACGTGCGCGGGCAGGACTATCCCCCCATGCTGGTCACCGCGGGCATCAGCGATCCGCGGGTAACCTACTGGGAGCCGGCCAAGTGGGTCGCCAAGTTGCGCACCATGCGCACCGACGGCCAGCCGCTCCTCCTCAAGACCCACATGGATTCGGGTCATGCCGGCGCTTCTGGCCGTTTCGAACGCATAAAAGAGGTTGCCGAGGAATACGCTTTCATCCTCCACTCCTTCGGAATGGCGGACACTCCCGCTTGATCTCGCCTACAACCCGATGAACCTCCGGGCGTTCTCCCCCAATATCCCGTCCACTTGGTCGGATGTGAGCGGCAGCGACGCCAGGAATTCCGACTCGCTGCCCATGTCCACCAGCGGATAGTCGGTCCCGAAACAGACCTTGTGCGCCCCGTGCTTGCCGATGATCGCGGTCAGCGTGTCGGCTGTGAGTTCACGAATCGACGGCGGCCAGGTCGTGTCCACCAACACGTTCTCGTGTCCCATCAGCGCGCGTTCGGCCTCGTCCAGCATGTAGAACCCGCCCAGGTGCAGGGCGATGACTTTCAGCTTGGGGAACCGTCGGACGATGTTGGCGATCCGTTCCGGCGCGGCGTAGAGCGGCGCGTCCGCCCCCTGGTGTGGCAGCCGACCGGCATGGATGGACAGCGTCATGTCATCGCCCAACTCTTCGTAGACCGGAAACCACTGGGGATCATCAGGGTAGAACCCGTTGATCACCGGGTGCATCTTGATTCCCTTGACACCGTTTTCCCGCAGGTATCGTATCTCGCCGGCTTTGTCCGTCAGGTCCGGGTGCACCGCGCCAAACGGGACCAGTGTTTCGTCTGCGATGGAAATGAGCCAATCGTTGGCCCGTCTCACCTGGTCGGCCCGCGCCGCAACCCCCAGCACGATTGACTTGTCCACCCCGGCGACCTCCATGTGTGCTTTGATCCCGTCCACCGTGTTCGCGGCTATGGGCTCGAATCCCAGCTCCGACTCCATGTTTTCCGCCACCGCGCCGGCGATCCGGTCCGGCCATACGTGGGTGTGAACGTCAACGCGCATGATTGCCTCCGCAACAAGGGTGAACTCTGAGCATGCTATTATAATTTGGTATCGACTTTCCCCTTTTTGTGGTGCCAGATGATCCGAGAAGCCATTTTGGCGGCAACGGCCGGCGAATCCTTGTCCATGGACGATGCCGTTACGGTCATGCGCGAAGTGATGGAGGGAGAGGTCACCCCGGCGCAGTTGGGATCATACCTGACTGCGCTGTCGCTCAAGGGCGAGACTCCCGAGGAAATCGCCGGCTTCGCCACCGTAATGCGTGAAAAATCCCTCCGCGTAAGGGTGGACGGGACGGCCATCGACACCTGCGGCACCGGTGGCGATCGCAAGGGGACTTTCAATATATCTACGGCCGCCGCCTTCGTGGTCGCCGGCGCCGGCCTCACCGTCGCCAAGCACGGCAACCGCGCCGCGTCAGGGATTGCGGCAGCGCCGATGTGCTTGAAGCCCTGGGCGTCCGTATCGAACTGCCTCCGGAAGCCGTCGAGCGTTGCCTGCGCGAGATCGGCATCGGCTTCATGTTCGCCCCGGCCTACCATCCGGCCATGCGCTACGCTGCGCCGGTGCGTCGCGAAATCGGCATCCGCACCGTTTTCAACGTCCTGGGCCCCATGACCAACCCCGCCGGCGTGCCCTGTCAGCTTATCGGCGTCGGCTACCCCGAGGTTGCAAACAAAATGGCCGAAGCCCTCCGGCTTTTCGGCGCTCACCACGCCATCATCGTCCACAGCGACGATGGCATGGATGAACTGTCCCTCGGCAGTGATACCGCCGGCTGGGAGGTGCTGGACGGAGAAATCCGGCCTTACGTGGTACGCCCCCGGGACCTCGGTCTTCCTCATGCCACCCCTGATGACCTCCGCGGCGGCGACCCGGCAGCCAACGCCGCAACGATGCGCGAGATTCTCTCCGGCTCCGGTGGACCAATCCGCGACGCCGTCGTGCTGAACAGCGGCGCCGCCCTCGTCGCGGGTGACATGGCGGACTCCCTCGCCGAAGGAATAGACATGGCGGCCGCCTCCATCGCTGATGGCCGGGCGGCCCAAAAACTGGATGCCATGGTGACTTTGACCCGGGAACTGGCTCCGCAGGCGCAGTAGAGGAGACGACACATGCCAAGCATCCTCGACCGGATCGTCGCCAAAAAGCGCGAGGAACTTGCTGCGTCTATGGCGGCGGTTCCATTGTCGGCATTGCAGGACGCTATAGCTGCGCGGCCTTTGCCCCTCGACTTCCCCGCTGCTCTGCGAGGCGACCGCATCCGCCTCATCGCCGAGATCAAAAAAGCTTCCCCTTCCAAGGGATTGCTCCGCGAGGATTTCCATCCCACGGAACTCGCGGCGACTTACTCCGGCAATGGCGCAGCGGCGATTTCAGTTATCACCGACGGTCATTTCCTGGGGGCGCCGTCGCACCTGACATCTGTCAAGGAAAGCGGTGCATCGGGATCAGTTCCCGTGCTCCGCAAAGATTTCCTGTTCGACCCCTACCAGGTATGCGAGGCCCGCGCCATCGGCGCCGACACCTTTCTGTTGATCGTCGACATTCTGTCCCCGTCGCAGCTTTCCGAGCTTATCCATCTCGGCTCCGAACTGGGAATGACACCGTTGGTGGAGACGCACGACGCCGAGGAGATCGCCACGGCCGTGAAGGCTGGGGCGGAGGTCATCGGCATCAACAATCGCGATCTGCATACCTTCGTAACCGACCTGGCGACCACCGAGTCTCTGGCTCCCCTGATTCCCGCCGATAAAGTCATCGTCAGCGAGAGTGGTATCAGCACGCCCCAGGACTTGGCCCGCCTGGAACCCTTGGGCGTCCACGCGGTCCTGGTAGGGGAAGCCTTGGTGACCGCGGCCGATACCGCCGCCAAGGTGAGATCCCTCACCGGCGCGCCCGTACCGGTGTAGGGCAGCGGCAGTGGAACCCACCACCGTCAAGATTTGCGGCGTCCGTAGCCTCGACGACGCTCTGGTCGCTGCGCAGGCCGGCGCCGACTACGTCGGAATGGTGTTTGTGCCCGGACGTCGCCGCCGTGTCGAACCCGAAGCGGCCCGGGTAATAACCGACGGGTTGCGGGCCATCGGCCCGGAGGGCCCCAAATCGGTCGGCCTTTTTGGCGACCAGCCGCTGGACGAGGTATTGGAAATTGTCGCCGTTGCTGGCCTCGACTACGCCCAATTGTGCGGCGAAGAGGCGCTGGATTACTGCCGTGCGGTCCTAAAGCACGCCGGCGTTATCAAGGTTCTCCACGTGTCCGACGACGACCATCCTGACGCCGTCGCAAACATCGCTGATCGAATCGACGCTTTCATTGCGGCCGGGTGCACCGTGACCTTGGACAGCCAGGTGACCGGATTGCACGGCGGAACCGGCCAGTCCTTCGACTGGCGTATCGCCGGCCAACTGGCCGTCAACGGGCGTCGGTTCCTCCTCGCCGGAGGATTGACCCCCGCCAACGTCCCCGAGGCTGTCGCCGCGGTTCATCCTTGGGGCGTCGACGTTTCCAGCGGCGTGGAATCCGACGGCGCAAAAGATCACGCAAAAATCCGACAATTCGTGGCCAATGCCCGGCAGGCCGCCTGATCGGCCGGAGGCTGAAACGACATGGTAGTCACCACCCAGACCAACCTTCCTGACGAACGGGGCCGATTTGGCGATTTTGGCGGGAAGTTCGTCCCTGAAACCGTAATGGCCGCCCTCACTGAACTAGAGGATTCCTACCGTGCGGTTCAGGACGACGCCGGGTTCGCCGAGCAACTCAGCAATCTGATGACCAACTACGCCGGTCGGCCCACCGCTCTGTACCACGCTGAAAACCTGAGCCGGCATTGCGGCGGCGCCAGCATCTACCTCAAGCGTGAGGACCTTGCCCACACCGGCGCGCACAAGATCAACAACGCTCTCGGCCAATGTCTGCTCGCCCAGCGCATGGGCAAACAGCGCATCATCGCGGAAACCGGCGCGGGTCAGCACGGTGTCGCCACCGCCACCGTCTGCGCCATGCTCGGGCTGCAGTGCATCGTCTACATGGGGTCGGAGGACACGGTGCGCCAGTCTCTCAACGTCTATCGTATGCGCCTGCTTGGGGCCGAAGTGATCCCCGTCGAAGCTGGCACCCGCACACTGAAAGACGCCATCAACGAGGCCATCCGCGACTGGGTAACGAACGTCGAAACCACACATTACCTCATCGGCAGCGTGGTCGGTCCGCACCCGTACCCGATGCTGGTCCGTGATTTCCAGTCTGTCATCGGCCGCGAGGCGCGCCAGCAGATACTCGACTCCGAGGGTCGCCTGCCTACCGCTGTGGTCGCCTGTGTGGGCGGCGGCAGCAATGCCATTGGTACCTTCTACGAGTTCATCGGAGACGAGGACGTTCGCCTGGTCGGTGTGGAGGCTGCTGGAGAAGGCGTGGAAACCGGCCGTCACTCCGCGACCTTGTCCGCCGGACGCCCCGGTGTGCTCCACGGCTCGCTTTCCTACCTGCTGCAGGACGAACACGGTCAGATTCAGGAGGCCCACAGCATTTCTGCAGGGCTTGATTACCCTGGCGTCGGCCCCGAGCACAGCTGGCTGAAAGCCACCGGCCGTGCCGAGTACCTGGCCGTAACCGACGAAGAGGCTCTGGAAGGCTTCCGTCTCCTCTGCCGCACCGAGGGCATCATCCCGGCCCTCGAGTCCGCCCACGCCATCTATCACGCCAGTCGCATGGCGGCCGACATGCCTGCCGATGACATCATCCTGGTTTGCCTCAGCGGTCGGGGCGATAAGGACGTGCCGTCGATTGCCGAGCGCGAGGGCATCGGGTCCTGACAGGTAACGAGGTCTCACGCCTTTGCGGGTGCCCGCAGTCGCCCTTTTTCTGGCTCTGGCGCTCGCCGCCCTGTTGGTTGCCGCTTGCGCCTCCGAGTTAACCGATTCCATTGATGCCGCGCGGTCCATCGATGCCGCGCGGCGGTTGGCCGGCGACGCCGTCAGCGGTTCGGAGCCGGCGGCAGCGACTCCCCGCCAAGCCGCTTCGGGTGTCGTATCGCCGGCGCCTCGGGAAGTTCAGTCCCTGGTCGTCATCTTGCGCGGCCTGCCCGTCGCCGCTCGGGGCAGCGACATCGAATACGATCGCCGGGACTGGAGCCACTGGGTGGACGTCGACCGGGACTGCCAGGACACCCGCGCCGAGGTCTTGATCGCCGAGAGCTTGGTTCCGGTCTCCTTCGCGCCACAGGACGACGGCGAAAAATGTCGCGTGGTCTCCGGCCGGTGGGTCGGCCCTTGGTCCGGCGACGTTTTCACCGACGCCTCGAACGTCGACATCGACCATCACGTGCCCTTGGGCCACGCCCACCAGTCCGGTGGCTGGCAGTGGTCCCCCGAACGCAAACGGGCGTACGCCAATGATCTGACCGACCCGGTGAGCCTTCAAGCCGCCAGCGCTCCGGTCAACCACTCCAAGGGCAAGAAGCCGCCCGACCAGTGGCGTCCCGACGAAACCGCCGGTTGGTGTCGCTATGCTGCCGATTGGATCTCCGTCAAGGAGCAGTGGGATTTGACAGTTACCTCCGCTGAAGTCGACGCCTTGGAAACGATGCTTTCCACCTGCCGCAACGCGGGTTCGTGGGGCCTGTCCGGTTCCCCGTCGCCCTAAAGATTCTGGCCCGCTATGCTATAATTCCCGTTGCCCGTAGACATAATTTTCCGCCCGAACTATTCGCGTATTTCGGGCCGAACGCGCTGAGGAGGCGAGACATGGAGATGGGATTGGATGGCAAGGTAGCCATTGTTACCGGCGGTAGCGAAGGCATCGGCAAGGCGGCCGCCCAACGCATGGCTGGCGAAGGGGCCAACGTGATCATCGTGGCCCGCCGCCAGGAAATACTCGATGCCGCGGCCGACGAGATACGCACCGCCACCGAAGGCGAGGTACTGCCGCTCTCCGCCGACGTCACCGACAAGGGAACGGCGGCCCGGGTCGTCAACACCGCCATCGAGCGCTACGGCCGCGTTGACATCCTGGTCAACAACGCCGGCACTTCCATGGCCAAGGGCTTTGAAGACGTTAGCGACGACGACTGGGAAATCGACTTCGAGCTCAAGGTGTGGGGCGCGGTTCGCCTCATCCGGGCATCCATCCCCGAAATGCGCAAGGTCGGCGGCGGACGCATCATCAACGTCACCAACCTCGGCGGTCGGACCCCGGGCGCCAACTCGATGCCAACCTCCATCTCCCGTGCGGCCGGTATCGCCATCACCAAGGGCCTGTCCAAGGACTTGGCCAGCGACAATATCCTCGTCAACACCGTGTGCATCGGCCTCATCAAGAGCGGACAGCACCAGCGCCGTTACGACTCCCGCATCGTGAATGAGCCCGACCTCGACCCGGACGACTTCTACGCCCAGTTGGCCGCCGGCCGCGGGGTGCCGTTGGGCCGCGTTGGAGAAGGCTCTGAAGCCGGCGACGTGATCGCGTTCCTGGCCTCCGAACGCGCCAGCTATCTCACCGGCGTTGCGATCAACATCGACGGCGGCGCCTCCGCGGTCGTCTAGCAGCAGTCCATCGCATCTTGGCCAGTTTATCCGTAGGGGAGACCATCGTGACCGAATCATATCGAGACGAATTTGAAGCGCCGAACCGATTGCTGTTGGGTGCCGGACCCTGCACCGTACATCCCCGGGTCCTCCGCGCCATGACCCAACCTGTCGTGGGCCACTTGGATCCGGTGTTTTTCCAGATCATGGACGACGTGTGCGAGATGCTGCGCCGGATCTTCCACACCGGCAACACCGTGACCATGCCTATATCCGCCACCGGCACCGGCGCCATGGAAACCGCCTGCGTCAATGTGCTGGAGCGCGGTGACACGGCCATCGTCTGCCGCAACGGTTACTTCGGAGTCCGTCTCGCCGACATCGCTCAGCGCTGCGGCGCCAACACGGTCATGGTCGATTCACCTTGGGGCAAGCCCGCTGACCTCAACGCTCTCGAAGATGCTCTCAACGCCAACCCCGGCACCAAGATGGTCGGCCTCGTCCACGCCGAAACGTCCACCGGCGCAATCACGCCGCTTCAGGACGCTATCGACCTGACCCACCGCCACGGGGCTCTGGTCATCGCTGACGCCGTGACTTCCCTGGGAAGCCATGATGTCCAGGTCGATGATTGGGATATTGACGTTTGCTACAGCGCCAGCCAGAAGTGCCTCGGGGCCCCTCCAGGTTTGGCTCCCATCAGCTTCGGCGAGCGCGCCATGGACGTCATCAACAAGCGCGAAAGCACAGTCGAGAGTTTTTACTTCAACCTCCAGGGTGTCGCCGAATACTGGAACGAGACCCAGCGCGTTTACCACCACACCAGCCCCATCACCATGATCTACGCCATGCGTGAGTCCTTGCGGATGATGATGGAGGAGGGCCTCGAGGAACAGCACGATCGTCACGCCAGGGTTGCCACCGGTTTGCGAGCCGGTCTGACTGCCATGGGCCTGGATCTGGCCACCGACCCCGGTTACCAACTCAACCCCATCACCGTGGTAAACGCCCCCGAGGGCGTCAACGAAGCCGAAGTGCGGGCCCGCCTGCTCAACGATTTCGACATCGAGGTTAGCGGCGGTCTGGGTGAATTCCGTGGCCGCGTCTGGCGCGTCGGCATGATGGGCAACGGAGCCCGCGAGACCAGCGTGCTTGCGCTCCTCTCCGCCCTGGAGGTCATCCTCGGCGACATGGACTACGAAGTCGCCTACGGAGCCAGCGTCGCCGCCGCCCAGCGCAGCTTCGCCAACCACGGCGATTAGCTCGGATCGAGTGGGTTCGATATTGGACCCGTATCCCCTTCCGCAAAAACTGTCATCGTGAGCGAAACGGGACAATCTCGTTCCCGAAGCAGCGGTCACGCCATGATAAACCGGGTACCCATGAGGCTTCGACGTCGGTCACCGTACGCTTAGCTATTTTCGCCTCGTCTTGGCGTCGCGGTCGAACACGGACGCGTGCGCGTACTGATGATTTCGGGTGCCCACGTCTATTATTAACCGGCTAATTGATTCCCTTCGAGGTTAGCGATGGTCGCTCGGGACTATTTGACGGCAAGCCGTGGCCTCCTCGCGCAAGGGCGGGTGGAGCTGGTCAGGGGGGATGTCCGGCAGGCATCCGAGAAAGGTTGGGGCGCCGCCGCGCAGATCGTAAAAGCGATAGCGGAGCAGCGCGGTTGGGACCACCGAGGGCACGGACATCTCCACGCAGCCGTAAGGCGGCTACGGGATGAAACGGGCGACCAGGAAATCCGGCGGATCTTTCAGGTTGCCAACAGCCTCCACGTGAACTTCTACGAAAACTGGGAAGACACCCAGAACGTGGCCGAAGGTCTGGACGATATCGAGCGATTTATCGCCAAGTTAGAGCCTATCGCCTTGGCCGGGTGGCCGAGTTAGTCGGCCCGTAATTCTGGGCGCAGTTCCTTTCCGTCGGCGTTTCCACCCATGAAGGTCAAGTACTTTTCGGACACCGACACCCTATACATCGAACTCTACGCCGCCGCAGTAGACGAAACTCGTGATTTGGACGAAAACACGCTGCTCGATTTGGATGCGACCGGACGCCTGTGCGCCATAACAATCGAGCACGCCAGCACGCGCATGGACATCCCCGCGTTTTCGTACGAGCAGTTCCCTGCCCCGACTTACCCTTCCGCCTGATACGCCGCGTCCAGTATCTCCACCACGTGCGTTACCCGCGCTTTGGACCCTTCGTTCCGCAATCCCTGCTCTAGCTGGCTGATGCACCCCGGGTTGGCCGATGCGATGACCTCGGCCTCCGTCGCCACCGCGTTGCCGATTTTGCGCCGTTGCAGCCGCTGTGACATGTCTCGTTGTATCAGCGAATAGAACCCGGCGGACCCGCAGCACAGCGACGACTCCGCCATCTCCACAATTTCCAGTCCGGGAATGCTGCGCAACACCTGCCGCGGAGCCTCGGTAATCCGTTGGGCGTGCGCCAGGTGGCACGGGTCCTGCACAGTTACCCGCCAGGGCAACTCCGCACGTGGAGGATCCAGCGGCAGTCCCGCCAGGAACTCGGTGATATCCCGTGTGTTGCGGGCAAACTCCTCCGCCGCGTCGCCGTAGTCAGGGTCGTCGCGTAGCAGGTCGCCGTACTCTTTCATCGATGACCCGCAACCCGCGGACGCCGTGACGACGGTCTCTACGCCCGCGTCGCGGAATGCATCAATGTTCCTCCGCGCCATGCGTCGCCCCAGTTCCAGGTCTCCGGCGTGCAGATTCAGCGCGCCACAGCATCCTTGGGCCGGCGGAACCGCGACATCGCAGCCGTTCCGTTGCAACACTCGCACCGCCGCACGCATGGCGTCTCCCTGCATCATTGGCATGACACATCCGGCCAGCAGGCCGACGGTCATTCGCCGCTCCCCCACCGCCGGAAAAACCTGGCTGCGCGTGCCGAAAAACTGCGTCCCCATCACCGGCATCTGCGCTTCCATGGCGGCCAGATCACCCGGCAATATGCTGAGCACCCGGGACTTTCGCACCAATCGCTGTACGCCGGACCGTTGGTAGAATCGCATCAGATGTCCGGCCAGGCGCAACCTCTTGTTGTGGGGCAGCGCCGCCCGCAGGAACAACCGCGACAGACGGCCCAACTCCGGACTCTGCAGGTTGTTGTCCTGCACCTGCGCCCGGGTGTGTTCCATCAGCCTCCCGTAGGGCACGCCCGACGGACACACCGCCTCGCACGCCCGGCACTGGAGGCACAGTTCCCAGTGCGACACCAGCCGTTCGCTGATTCCGGTGCGCCCTTCGTGAACCGCTTTCATCAGCGCGATGCGGCCACGGGGGGATTCCGCTTCCAGCCGGGTTTCCACATAGGTGGGACACGCGCTGAGACACAGGCCACAGTGCACGCACCGGTACAGGTCCGACTCCGCCGGCGCATCGGGACCGGAGAACCCCGGTCCGTCGTTCAGCGAACCCTCGAAGGGCAACCCATATGGGAAGCCGTGCCCAGCGTCGATCCCTCCGCCCATATGCTTTCCGGCGTCCGAATGCCGGTCTGGTGCGCTTACCATTACAAACCTCCGACGAAGCGGCCGGGGTTCAGGATGTTATGGGGGTCAAATTGCCGTTTCAACCGGCGCATGATTTCCATTCCTGAAGGTTGCTCCCCCCATACGTCGATATTCGCCTTGATGTTATCGGGACATCGCTCGATGATCGCCCCACCGCCCAGCGATGCGGCCGCGGACTGGATCCCCCGCAGCCCGGCTGCAATCGCTGTCGGATCTCCGTCCGCCAAATCATCCCACCAGAGTAGACGGCCCCCGCCGAAACCGACGTCCGCCACCACCGACGGGGGAGAGGCGCTACAGAGCGGCGTATCCGAGAACGCCAGGATCTCCCGCAGCGCCGACGGTTGAGCGTTGATACGGACGCATATCGCCGGCGGAGACTCTGCGGATGCCGGCAGGTCGGTGAGCGCATCAATCAGCCCGTTTGCGTTGTCGCCCAGAGCGACTTGGACCGTGTTCCCCACTTCGACCCAAAGTCCAACGGTGTCCTCCACGCGGCGTTTCATCGACGCGGGCCTACCGCCCAGAATGGCGACAGCGATGGCGCTCCCGGCCACCGATGGGGCCATCCGCTTTGCCGCCTCCCCGGTCAGCACATGCAATCCCAGGGGCGCATAGTGTTGCGCTTGCAAGCTCTGGGCTGCGCCGGCGGCGGCGTCTGGCGCGCTGAACGCAGCCACGATTACGGCCCATTCTGTCGGTGCTGGAGCAAGCTTGAAAGTCGCTTCGGTGATCACCGCGAGCGTGCCCAACGACCCGGTATAGAGGCGATTCAGGTCGTACCCGGTGACGTTTTTCACCACCTTGCCGCCCGCCTTGGTCTGAGTTCCGTCCGCCCCCACGACGTTGACGCCGATGAGCCAGTCCCTCGGCAAGCCGTACGCTGATCTCAACGGCCCGCTGATGCCGGTGGCGAGTGTGCCGCCCACCGTCGCCCGGTTGGAGATCGGAGCCGCGATCGGTACGTGTTTGCCATCCTGCGCCAGCACGTCGTTCAGTTGGGCCAGGGTCACGCCCGCCTCAGCGCTCACGGTCAGGTCGGCCGGCTGGAAGTCAACCACCCGGTTCAGTGCGGTCAGGTCCAGCAGGATACCGGGCCGGGTCGGCGCGTTGCCCAATTGCACTAGTGTTCGCCCACCCGACGGGTACACCGCAATGCCTGCCCGGTGCGCCCAGGAGATAACGGTTCGTACTTCCTTGGCATCACGCGGCCGCACCGCTGCCAAGGGTACCAGGGGGCCCATAGCATACCCGCCCAGTTCCGCGCTTCGGACAACGGCGCCGGAACCCACCAGGCCCGCGATCTGCTGCGCGACCGAAACCGATGTGGTCATGCTGGGCAATGCGTTGAACCGGCTATTGGGACCAGCCCGCTCGCCAGAGTCACGCGTACAAGCCTGCCGTGTGGGCGACCGGGTGCGCTGATGGGCGCCAGTAACTCCCGTCGGGGAATATCTTGCCGGGGTTGAGCCGGTTTTCCGGGGCAAACGCTTCCCTTACCCGCTGCATTGCTTCCATGTCTGCCTCGGTGTACACCAACGGCATGAACTCTTTCTTTTCCAACCCGATCCCGTGTTCTCCGCTCAGGGTGCCTCCCAGCAGTGCGCACTCTTCCATCAGCTCCGCGGCCGCTGCCATCGCGCTTTCCATAACACCTGGCTCGCGAGCATCGAACAACATGCAGGGATGCAGGTTGCCGTCGCCGGCGTGGAACACGTTGGCTATGGTGATGCCGTAGCGTTCGCTCACCTCGCTCACCTTTCGGAGCATGTGCGTCAGGCGGGTTCGCGGCACCACGCCGTCCACCAGGTAGTAGTTCGGTGCGATGGTGCCGAACGCTCCGAACGCCGTCTTCCGACCCACCCACAGGCGCTCCCTCTCGGCGTCGTCCTCGGCGACCCTGACGTCGGCGGCGCCAGTATCCCACAGCGCCGCTTCAACCTCCCCGCTGACTTCGTCCACCTCTTCGTTCAGCCCTTCCAGTTCGATCAACAGCACCGCGCCGGCATCGTTCGGATACCCCGCGTCGGTGACGTTTTGCACCGCTTTGATGCTGAGCGCGTCGATCATCTCCAGCGCCGCCGGAACAATCCCGTGTCCGATCACCGCCGACACCGCAGTGCACGCCGAATCGATGTCCGGGAAGATACCTAGGAACGTCCGCACCGTCTCCGGTAATGGCAACAACCTGACCAGTATCTTGGTAGTGATGCCGAACGTGCCCTCGGAACCCACGAACACACCGCGAAGGTCGTAACCCGGTGCCTCTCGTGCCATGCTGCCCAGGTGCACCACTTCCCCGTCTTCCAGCACTACCTCCATCCCGATGACGTGGTTGGTGGTCGCTCCGTACGCCAGGCAGTGCGGTCCTCCCGCGTTCTCGGCGATGTTCCCGCCCAGGCTGCACGCCCTCTGGCTCGAAGGGTCGGGAGCGTAGCGCATCCCGAACCTACGCACATGGTTGTCCAGGTCAAGGTTTATCACGCCCGGTTCGACCAACGCCGTGCGGTTCACCGTGTCGACGTTCAGGATGCGGTCCATTCTTGGGAACGCGATCTGCAACCCGTCCGGCGGCGTGATCGCCCCACCGCTCAGGCCAGTTCCGCTCCCGCGACCCACCACGGTTACGCCGGCCTCATAGGCCAGCTGCATAACCTGGCTGACTTGCTGCGTGTCGGCCGGCAAAACGACCGCCCGTGGCATCGAGCGGTCGACAGAGCCGTCGTACTCGTAGACCAGCAAGTCTTCCCGGTGCGCGATCACATAATCGTCACCGACGACGGCACGAATGCTTGCCAGGAGGTCGTTGCTGGTCAAAGTCTGGTCAGTCCTTCCGACGCTGGTACACCTGGATCCGGTGCCGGTTGGCCTCCACGACGAACAGTTTCTCCTCGGGGTCCAACCGGAGCGACACCGGCCCCCAGAAGTACGGTTCCGTTTGCGCGGAGATCAGGTACGGCGTGTCCAGGTGGTCCGGAAGATCCGGCACCAAGTTGGCTATCTGACGGGTGTTGTACTCGTCTGGGTTCACTGACATGAAGTCCTGAGCCCACTTGGACAGCGTGGCCTGCCCCCGAAGCGACTGAACGAATTTTCCATCCGAGTCCAACAACAGGACTCGTTCGTTGCCCCAGTCGGCCACGTAGATGTATCCCTCGGAATCCACCGCAACCGCCGAAGGCCGGCTGAACTCGCCTTCACCCGTGCCGGACGAGCCGTAGGTTGCCAGGTGCTGGCCGTCCTTGGTGAACTTCTGCACCCGGTCGTTTCGCCAGTCCGCGACGTACACATTCCCCGCAGTGTCCAGGGTCAGACCCCAGGGCATGTTAAACTGACCCGGTCCCTCTCCTTGCTCTCCCCAATGGGATATCGGTTCGCCTTCCGACGTGAACCGCTGCACTCGGTGGTTGTACTGTTCGGCAACGTACACCGTTCCATCCGCAGCCACGGCGACCCCCGCCGGGCCGTTCAACTGTCCGGCGCCGTCACCTTTCTCACCCCACATCCTGATGAAGTCGCCGTCAGTGTCGAACACCGTCACTCGGTGCAGGTGCTCGTCGGTGAGGTGGATACGCTGGTCGGCGCTGATGGTCATGCTGATGGGCAGCATCCACTGGCCCTCGCCACGCCCCGTACCCTTGCTGAACTCTCCCAGGTACTCCTCGTCCCAGTTGAGCACGCCGATGCGGATGAGTGCGGTCCGTGCCGCGTCGGCATGGTTGAGCACCATGATACGCCCGTCCTTGGTGAAGGCGCAGTCGTAAGGGTTGATGAACCCCCGACCGCTCTGGTTGGTGGTGACGCCGATGGTTTTCAAGTATTCCATCGGGCCGGCGCTGACCGCAGTCGCGGTAGTCATTGCAGCCTCTCCTGTTTTGCGTAGGGGCGAATATCATTCGCCCCTGCAATCCTTTGCTCGGCGTTGTCGTCGATGCTATGCCAGTTGATACTCCCGCGTGGCCGTCAGCAGCCGAAGCAGGTTGGCGATGCGCTGATCGTCCGCCTCCGTGCGCGAGCCTTCCCTGAGGTCGGCAGGGCCCTGCTCGCTGGCAAATTCCTGGATCGATGTCGCGGTCAATTCGGACAACTCCAGCGGTCCGATCAGATCCGCGCAGCCGGCCACCTGTTCTTCCGGTGACAGTACGCCGTCGCTCTGGCGTGCCATCCGGTCGATTATCGCCTTGACGCCCGGGTTATCCGGATCGCCCAGTTCCTGTCCTACGAAGTTGACCCGTTCCACCAGCGCTCCGCTGTCGATCCACTCGGCGCCTTCGTGCCAGCCTTCCACGCTGGGCGGCTGGAAGATGCCCTGGCCCATGTACATGCTCTGCCGGGCCAGTTGATCGGCGCCGAACGTGGGCTCCTGGTAGGTGCCCGCCATGCGCACCGCGCCGACAACCAACTCCACCGGGCCCTTGACCCGGGCGAACCTGGCGTCGTCCGACTTGAAGTAGTCGGAGTTGAACAGCGTGCGTAGCACGGAGCGGATTTCGTACTTAGATTCGAAGTACGACGCCATCATGTCGTTGATGACCGCTTCGGCAGCATCGCCGACCTCGTCGGCCGCGAAATATTGGAGCAGGCGGGTGCTGATGAACCGCGCCGTCGCCTCTTGCTGGACGATGATGTCGATGATGTCGTCACCGTTGAAGTTGCCGGTGTGACCCAGGAACGTTTTTTCGCCGTCGTCGTGGTCGTAGTCCCGGTAGTTGAAGTGCCAGTTGATCCGGCTGTAAGGCCAAATCGAGTCGCGGCTGGCCCGGGTCGACATATACTCAGCGTTGCCCAGCGTCCAGCCAGTGAACGCGCGGGCGCATTCCTTGATGTCGTCCTCGGTGTAGTTGCCCACGCCCATGGAGAACAGTTCCAGCAACTCGCGTCCGTAATTCTCGTTGATGTTGTCCCGGTGGTTGTCGTGGTTGTCCAACCAGATGATCATGGCCGGGTCCTTCGACAGCTCCACCAACATGGTCCGGAAGGAACCCAGTGAGTGGCGACGGAACGTGTTGATCTGGTTCACCAGCGCGCTGGCCTGGTTCAACTTGGAGTAGCCGGTGGCGAAAAGCCCGTGCCAGAACAGGGCCAGTTTCTCCTCAAGCTGGTTTTCGGTGGTGACCATCCGATACATCCAGTATGCCCCGGCGCTGTTCAGCTCGCGCATCTCGGCCATCTCGGAGTGGTAGCGCCGGATTACGTCGTCCGGCATCACGTTGGCGTTTCCCGGGATGAGCAGGTCTTCGACCACGTTCTCGTAACCGTGGTCTACCAACTGCTCCAGTTCGTCCCGGCTCGCGCCGAAGCCGGCTCGCCGCATCAGGTGCGCCATCAGGGCAATATCGGCATTGCTCATAATTGCCTCCGCAAGGTCTGTGTCAAAAGGTTCCTCTGCTGGGACAGCGGGCTAGCTGCGGATGAAGTCCCACTGCTCGAACTGGCCGTTCACAATGGAAACCGGGTCCAGGCCCAGCCACTGATCCGCAATTGTGGAGTAGGTGGACCGGAAGTCGTTGTTCCAGTGCAGGTCACCGTCCAGCTGGTCCTGGTCGGCCAGTGACGGATACTGTCCGAAGAGGCCACCGTTGACCTGGTTGCCAATGATGAAGGCGGTGCCACCGGAGCCGTGATCGGTGCCGGTACCGTTGTCCCTGACCCTGCGGCCGAACTCGGTCCAAACCAGCACGATGGCATCGTCTCCGCGTCCGTGCTCTTCCAGGTCGGCCATGAAGTCGCTGACCGCGCCGGAGACCTGGGTCCAGAGGCCACCGTGAACCTTGATTTCGTCACCGTGGGTGTCGAAACTGCCGTGCTGCGTGTAATAGATGCGCGTGCCCAGATCGGCGGTCATCACCTGCGCCACGTTCTTGAGAGACTGGGCGATGGGGTTTTCCGCGTATTCCACCGATGAGGAATACTGTTCGGGGGCGGTGCGGAGAATGTCCGCGCCTTTCAGGGCGTCCCGGCCGGTTTGCCCCAGGTATTCCATTACGGCGCCCTGGATGGTGCCGCCATACATCTTGCCGAAGGCGTCCAGGCAGAGGCCGCGAATTCGCTCTTCTTCCACGTCCGGGAACAGGCCGTAGGTTTCCAGGTTGCCCACTGAGGCAACCGGGACTCCCGACGCGCCCATGGAGCGGGGGAGGCCACGGCCGAAGTTGACGCCGGTGATTACATTCTGCCCACTGGGATCCAGGTCGCGAATGACTCGGCCCAGCCAGCCTTCGGTGGCAATCTTTTCCGGCTCGCACGTATGCCAGATGTCCATGCTGCGGAAGTGCGAACGGGTCGGGTTGGGGTACCCGATGCCGTTGATGACCGCGACCTTCCCCTCGTCCCACAGCGCCTTGATCGGCACCATATTTGGATTGAACCCAAGCTGCCCGTCAATGGGGATAACCTGATCCGTCGGAATCCCGACGTTGGGCCGAAAATCGTAGTAATGTCCGTCGGCATAGGGAATTACGGTATTCATAGGGTCATTCGCGCCGGTCAATTGGATTACGACCAAAGACCGCTCATTCTTGGTTGTGGTCATCGCGAAAGGGCCTCCTTAGTGAAGCGCAGCGCAAAGCGCCAGCGCAGGTTTGGCTGATGCTCGCATTTTAAGGTGCGCACCCCGGCGTGTCAACGTAAAACGCACTGCCGGAGCGCACCGGAAAGCGGTACGATAATATCTCCGGGGGAGCCGTTGCCGTTACAGCCTCCTGCGCCGTTACTGATTCCTGTCAATCCCGTGACTGAGGCCGGTACCGCCGTCCCTCCTCATGTTCCAAGGCTCGCGCGCTTGGCAATCACGCGTGCCCCATCGCATTAAAACTGTCATTGCGAGCGAAGCGTGACAATCTCGTTGGCGGATATGTCATCGTGCCAGTAGCGGGACTGCCCGGTTGAACTACTTCTTGGATGGACAGATCGGGTACGTGCGAGGCGCTCCCCGCGTTTGATACCCCCTCAGCCATCGGCTATACTACGCGCCGCCCCGTGCCCGGCGCGATTCAACGCCAAACAATCGGGGACGCCACATCAATCGGAGCCGTTGGCAACATGGATTTCAATATCGCCGTGCTCGGCGGAGACGGTATCGGTCCCGAGGTCACTGCCGAGGGTGTCAAGGCCATGCAGGCCGTTGGCCGGGCATTCGGACACAACTTCACCCTAGAGTACGGTGACGTCGGCGGCATATCCATCGACAGACACGGTACGCCCCTGACCGATGGCGTCCGCGAGCTGGCCACTTCCGCCGATGCTGTCCTGTTCGGCGCGGTTGGCGGCCCCAAGTGGGACGATCCGTCCGCTCCGACCCGACCCGAAGATGGTCTGCTCGCCCTTCGCGCTCACCTTAACGTGTTTGCCAACATTCGGCCCGTCAAGGTCTATCCGGAGCTTACCGACTCCAGCGTGCTGAAACCCCACGTCCTCGAGGGCGTGGACATGGTCGTCGTTCGCGAGCTCACGGGCGGTCTCTACTACGCTCAGCCCAAGGGGCGCACCCAGACTCCCCAGGGCATCGTGGGCGTCGACACCATGCGTTACTCCGAATCCGAGATCGAGCGGGTTCTTCGCGTCGGTTTCGAGTTGGCTCGTGGTCGGCGCGGCAAGCTGACCTCAGTGGACAAGGCCAACGTCCTTGAAACCTCCCGCCTCTGGCGCGCCACCGCCACCCGCCTCGCCGACGAATATCCCGACGTTGAGCTGGAACACGCCCTTGTCGACGCCTGCGCCATGCAGATCGTCCTACGTCCCGCCTCCTACGATGTGATCGTCGCCGAAAACACCTTCGGCGACATCCTCACCGACGAGGCCGCCATCCTGGCCGCCTCAATGGGCCTGCTGCCCTCAGCTAGCCTCTCTGGCGTTCCCGAAGCCGGCGCACGGACCCCCGGCTTCTACGAACCTATCCACGGCACCGCGCCCGATATTGCCGGCCAGGGTATCGCCAATCCCTGCGGCTCAATCCTCAGTGCCGCCATGATGCTCCGCTACTCGCTGGGCCTGACCGAGGAAGCTGCCGCTGTCGACCGCGCCGTCCAAACTGTCCTCGAGCAGGGCTACCGGACGGCTGACATCGCTACCGCCGGCGACGCCGCGACGGGAACCACCCAGATGGGTGACCTCGTCGCCAACGCCATCGGCTAGGGCATCCGGCACGTCGAACGTGTTCAACCTTCTGGGCAGCGTCGGCCTGACGGTCGCGATCCTGGTCTTCCTGGCCAGCGCGGTAGCCGTGATCTTTCTCGGCGTGCAACTCGCTCGCTACGGCGACGCTCTGGCATCCCTGACCGGATGGGGTCGGCTCTTCGTGGGCAGCATCCTCGTTGCCCTGGCCACGTCGCTGCCGGAACTGTCCAACAACATCACCGCCGTCCGCATCGACAACCCCGAGCTGGCCCTGGGGAACGTGGTCGGCGCCAACATGGTGAACATGTTCACCATGGGCATGGTTGCTCTGGTGTTCGGCGGGCGACGATTCCTGCAGCGCGTGGCTCCGGAACAGGGCTACCTCATCGTCCTGGCTGCCATTTTGACCGGCTTGGCCGTGCTGTTCGCCGCAGTGCGGAACGATGTCAACATCTGGCAGATCGGCATCTCCTCCATCATTCTTCTGATCGTTTATGTGATCGGAATGTGGATCGTCTACAAGCGCCGTCCCGTCGATGCGGAGGGGGAGGAAGCGGAAGACGCCGGTATGACGCTGAGCCGCGCCTGGATCATGTTCGGCCTGGTGTCGCTCGGCGTGATCGTCGCCGGTGTGTTCCTTGCCCAGAGCGTTGACCGGGTGGCAGACTTGACCGGCATCTCGTCCGGAGTGTTGGGTATCCTGGCAGTGTCTATCGTCACGACCATGCCCGAGGCCTCAGCCGCCGTTGCCGCAGCCCGCATGGGCGCCGCCGACCTCGGCGTTGCCGGCCTCTACGGGAGCTGCGTGTTCAACGTTACGATCCTCGCCTTCGCCGACCCCTTCTATCGTAACGGAATCGTCCTCAACAGCTCACAGCCCGAGCACTTCGTTGCTGGCATTATTGCCGTCGGCCTGATCCTGTTCGGCGGATTGTTGCTCTGGGGCCGCAGCCGGTTGCCCCAGCCCGTGATCATCGCCGGGCTGGCGGTGATGGCCGGAGTCTACATTGCGGGCGCGATTTGGGTCGCCATGCTCGGCGCCCCCGCTGCCTAAATTTCGGCCCCAGGAAAGCGGGCCAGCTCGACGAATCCGCCCGCGCCGTCATCCCAGTCGAATAACGCCGCTTCCACCACCCGTTCGCCGTCGATTCCCACCACCAACTGCTGCACTGGATAGGCCGGTCCGTCCCCCCACGGACTGGCCGCCACCGTCCGGTCGGTTTCGGAAAGATAAGCCCGCCCGTTGGGATGCGAATGATAAATGATGCGCGCCGGCGCCTCCGTATCCAGGCTGCTGTTCAGCTCCAGCAGGTCTTCCGTGCTGAAAACGTATGCTGATTCCGCCGTGCGCTCCGCTACGGTGGGATGATTGCCGGACGCCTGGTCATTGACCACTGGCCTGATTTCGCTCACCGAGGTCCCGCCGGCCGGACCGCTCAGCCATCCGCAACACTCCGCCGGAAAGGATTTCCGCGCTTGCCGCAATACTGCTTCCATGATTTCTGCCGGAATTTGCAGCGGTTCGCCAAAATTGGCCATTAAACCCCCTTGTTACGAAAACCGTAACCTGATATTCTAATTCGGCCGTAATTGACTGGTTTACCGTAACACTCCGGTAATACAGTAGCGGTAAACTGAAATCACAGACCGGCAGCCCGCCCCGCCGACCATGGCGACGACCACGAACAGGATGGAGAAATGCAGACCCTAACCCGCAACTCTTTGAAGCTCAAGGCGTGCCCCCGATGCGGCGGCGATGTTTGCCGTATGAGGGACACTTTCGGAGTGTACCACCAGTGCGCCCAATGCGGCCGCGAAATCCGCCGCGTGGCCTCCAGCCCGGTCACAGCCACCACGATCGCCACCATGGAAGCACCATCGAATCCGCCCCACCATCGCGAAAAGATGATGGCCTGACCAGAATCCCGAGCACAAGCAACCGTAGGCAGCGGCTTCGGACTTGGCTCCGAGGCCGCAATTCTTTTAACACCGCACCTCGACTGTAGCGACGACCGCGCACCAAGCTATTCCAACCGCGTTTGCACCGCCACGACTGGCGGCCACCACATCCCGTTGGGTCAAGGAGATGAGATGATGGAGAGCACACTGAACCGGGAACGATCTGTCCGGGGCGCACGCCGCCAGCGCATGGGTCTGGGCTCCTGCCCCCATTGCGGCGGCGACGTGCGCCATGTCCGCGACATCTACGGCGATTACCGCCAGTGCCTGCAGTGCAGCCGGGAAATCCCGGCGGACCCCGCTCCCGTGATGGGGGCCGCGCCGGTTGCCCCTCGGGCCACGCCGAAATCCGATGAATTGCTGGCCGCCTGATGCGCCACCGCTCCGGGAAATTGTCACGGGGGCCGCGCATTCGGCGCGGCCCCCGTTCTCTCGTGTTAGCCAGGAGCCAACCCGTAAATCACCGGAACCGGCGCGGCAGATTGTCGTTCCGCTCTTTGACGAACACTGCGTATTCCCGTACCGCCTCTTCCTGGGAGGCTGTCTGTATCGAACCGGGCCGCAGTTGCCGAATGTAGCTGATCGCTTCGTCAGCATCCCAGCCCGTGTTGACCAGGTAAGAGGCCAGGATAGTGCCGGTTCGCCCAATCCCGGCCGCGCAGGTAACCACCGTGGGCCGCTCCCATGTTTCGACCTGCTGCTCCACGAAGTTGATGATGCGGTCGATCTGTTCCACTGACGGAGCCTCGAAATCCGGAACGGGATCAAACAGTTCCTCGAAACCCCACGGCTCTGCCGAAATCGTCTGTTCCTCCATGCGAACGATGGCGGTAACGTCGTTGAGCTCCAGGTAAATCAGGTGCCGCCGTTCCGTCGGCCCCATGGCTCCCGCCAGCGCGCCGGGCAGAATCCAACTGAAGTTGCGGAAATTGTCTTGCATTGGGTAGCTCCGTTTTTCAGGCAAACCGATCTGTCGTCAGCGGGCGGTCGTCGCCGCATCTCCGGGTCTCAAAAGCCCGTCCAGGCGGCGCAGCAGTTCCGGCTCGGCGATCCCGATAATTTCCATTACCTTGTCGCGGGATCCGTGGCCCCGCGCCACGCTGACGTTGCTTGGAGGAATGTCCAGGGCATGGGCCAGTACCTCCGCCACCGCCCGGTTGGCTTTGCCTCTGGCCGGGGGAGCGGTCGTCCTTACCCGTAGCGCATCACCGTACCAGCCGCATATCTCGGTCCGCGAGGCGTTGGGTTGTACCCTCACCGGCAAGCGGGATGTGACCGGCTTGGTCATCAATCACGTAATAATAGGTCTGGTATAGTATGGGAGCCGGCGGTTCGGCGAACCGCTGCCCTTTGGCAGGAGATCGAATGGAGTATAGCAACATTACGCTTTCGGTGGGAGACCGCGTCGCTACTCTCAGCCTCAACCGACCGGACGCACTCAACGCGCTCAACCCGGACTTGCTCGCCGAGTTTTCCCACGCGGTCGCCGCCGTTAGCGACGATTGCTCCGTAAAGGCGATGGTGGTGCGGGGCGAGGGCCGGGGTTTCTGCGCTGGCGCTGACCTGCTCTACTTCGACGAGGTTTTCGAAGACCTGTCCCTGCTGCCCGATTACGTGGAGGACCTCAACGACGCCTTCTTCGCTTTGGAAGCCATGCCCATCCCGACCATCGCCGTTGTGCATGGGTATGCCTTGGCCGGAGGCATGGAACTCATGATGGCTTGCGATATGGCCGTTGTCGCAGAGGACGCGCGAATAGGTGACCAGCACGCCAACTTCGGGTTGATCCCCGGTGGCGGCTCCACCCAGCGCCTGCCGCGCCGGGTCGGCATGCCCCGCGCCATGGAACTGCTGACCACGGGCCGGTGGCTGTCCGGCAAGGAAGCCGTCGAATGGGGCCTGGCTCTCCGGTCAGCTCCGCCGGAATTCCTCGAGGCTGAGCTGGAATCGCTCCTTGAGGGCCTTCGCGCCAAGAGTCGGGTGGGTCTCAACCTCATGAAATCCCTGGCCCGCCGTAGCCAGGATCTGCCCCTCCGAGATGGGGTCGCGCTGGAAGGCGCAAACTTCACTCACGTGTTCGCCACGTCGAGCCATCCCCGCGAGGGCATACGGGCATTCAAAGAGAAGCGCCATCCCGAGTTCTGAAGCCGCTGTGTCTTAGCGCCATCCCTCTTCCGTACTATCGCTGCCTTTGTTTAGGTTCGCCTGCTGTGGGTTTATTGATTTGAAAATAAAGGAAATCCTCAACCGTCAGAGAACTATCTCCTTCGAATTCTTCCCGCCTCGGGAGGCCGACGGTGTACCAGCCGTCGTTGACGTTGCGGATCGGTTGCAACGATTTGCACCCGATTTCGTTTCCGTAACCTACGGGGCCGGCGGAGGGACCAGGGCCTTCACCGAAGATATCACCATGCGCCTCAAGCGCCGGGAGGACATGGAAGTGATGGCCCACCTGACCTGCGTCGCCCAGGATCGCGACGAGGTCCACGGCGTGCTCGAGCGATTGAAAGCCGCCGGCATCGAAAACGTCATCGCCCTCCGCGGCGACCGCCCTCAAGGAACCGAGGACGATCCGCCAAGCGAGCATGAATTCGCCCACGCTACTGAACTCATCCAGCACATGCGCGCCAATTTCGACTTCGGCGTCGCGGGAGCCTGTTACCCGGAAGGCCACACCGAGTCGACCAGCCTGCAATCGGACATCGCCTACGCCCGCATGAAGCAGGACCTTGGCGCCGACTTCCTTATCACCCAACTGTTTTACGACAACGCCCACTTCTATGCCCTACAGGAACGCGCCGCCGCTGCTGGAATCACCATTCCCATCATCCCCGGCGTGTTGCCTATTTTGAGCACCCCGCAAATCCGACGCTTCACTTCCTTGTGTGGGGCATCTATCCCGTCGCAGCTTGACGCCCGCCTGGACCGCTTCGCCGAGGACAATCGGGCCGTACGCGAAATCGGCATCGAACACGCCACCCGTCAAGCCGAGGACCTTTGGTCCAACGGCGTGCCGGGCATCCATTTTTACGTTCTCAATCGCACCTACTCCGTTTCCCATATCCTGAGCGATTTGCATATTGGGGGACACGGCGGCGATTGATCCAGCCGAGTCGCTGACCACCCATGCTCTCCACCGGCGTTGACTTCATCGAAATCGACCGCGTGGCCGGTGTCCTGGACCGGTACGGAGAACGTTTCCTACGCCGCGTCTTCACCCCCGCAGAGATCGCCTATTGCCGTGGCCGCGCTCCCAACCTGGCGGCACGTTTTGCTGCTAAAGAGGCCGTGATGAAGTCTCTGGGGACCGGTTTTCGTGGGGTGGGCTGGCGCGACGTCGAGGTCGTCCGGGCTCCCAGCGGGGCGCCGAGCCCGCGACTTCACGGCCGCGCGCGCCGCCGCGCCGAGCGATTGGGCGTCACCGAAATCGCCATCAGCCTTTCCCACTCCCGAGGTTTCGCCATGGTCGTCGCGGTTGCGGTCCGCCCCGACACCCCGGAATTCCTCGAAGCTGCCAGGGCCACACTTTGGGGAGACGGCGTGGCTCCTCGCGCCGGTTGACGCAGCATGGCGATAAAGGTTGTCACCGTTGCTGAGATGCAGGCTCTCGAAGCCGCCTCGGAAACCGCCGGCGTCAGCACCGATGCCCTGATGGAAAACGCCGGCCTGGCCTGCGCCCTCCGCATTCGCCAACGCATGGGTGGAGCTGCCGGTCGCCTGGTCCTGGTCCTGGTCGGACCCGGCAACAACGGCGCCGATGGGCTGGTCGTGGCCCGGCACCTACGCCGGTGGGGCGCCGACGTGTGCTGCTATATCGTCCGCGGACGGCCCGCCGATGATCCAAAGATGACCGACGCTCTGGCTTACGGCGTGGCGGTTGTCGACTCCTCGGAAGACCACGGCCGGCCCAACTTGGGCCGGCTTTTGGGCAGCTGCCATCTGGTCGTCGACGCAATCCTCGGCGCTGGTCGCTATCGTCCCTTGGATGGCCTGGTCGGGGATGTCACTGTCCTCGTCAATAGTATCCGTTCGGACCGGCCGGATCTCTCCGTCGTCGCGGTGGACTTGCCTACCGGTGTCAACCCGGACACTGGCGCCGCCGATCCGCGCGCCATCGTCGCTGACGAGACCCTGGCCCTGTGCCACCCCAAGCACGGCATCGCCAATTTCCCCGGCGCTGGCCTCGCCGGCCGGGTCACCGTACTCGAAATCGGGCTGCCCGCTGTGGTATCCGCGGCGGCCGATGCTGACCTTCCCACCGAATGGATGACCCCGGCGTCAGCCCGTGCCCTCATTGCCGACCGGCCGCTCGTTTCCCACAAGGGTACCTTCGGTCACCTCATGATCGTGGCCGGCTCACGCAATTTCGTCGGCGCGGCCTCTCTCGCCGCCCAAGGTGCCCATCGCGTTGGCGCGGGCCTCGTCACGCTCGCCGCTCCAGATTCGGTTTATCGTCTCGCCGCGTCTCGCCTCACCGAGACCATCCACCTGCCCCTTCCCGAGGATGCTGACGGGCGTATCGACCCGTCCGCTGCCGACGTCATCCTTGAGCGACTCAACAACTACTCAGCTTTGGCAGTGGGTTGCGGTTTGGGTTTGTCCGACGGTACCGCGACCCTCATCGAACGTCTGTTGTTGCTGGGCGAAAACCCGCCCGCTCTGCCAACCGTCATCGACGCCGACGGGTTGAACAACTTGTCACAATGCGCCGATTGGGACAAAAGGTTGCGCGCCCCCACAGTGCTGACTCCTCACCCCGGGGAGATGACAACCCTCACCGGACGCCCCACCGTAGAGGTCCAGGCCGACCGTTTGGAAATCGCCAGCCAGTCGGCGAAGGGTTGGCGGCAAACGGTACTGCTCAAAGGGGCCCACACCGTCGTCGCTTCCCCAGGCGGTCAACGCTGCATCCTTCCTTTCGCCAATCCGGCCTTGGCCGCCGGCGGGACCGGTGACGTACTCACTGGGGTCATCGGCGGGCTGTTGGCCCAGGGCGTCGCCCCCTATGACGCCGCGCGGCTTGGCGGTTTCCTTCACGGCACCGCCGCCGACCGGGTTCGGTCGCAACGCGGCGATGCTGGGGTCGTCGCCAGCGATCTGCTGGATCACTTGCCCGCCGTGATCGCAGATCTTCGCGGGCCGCGAGCGACCCGTGTTTAGCCTGACTCCTGAGCAGGCGGTGCTACTCTCCCAAACCCCGGTGGGCCACTTGGCCACTGCCGGCGCCGACGGCAGTCCCCACGTCATACCGGTCTGCTTCGCTTATGACGGCAGCAACATCTACTCGGTGCTCGACGCCAAGCCCAAGCGCGGTAGCCTCACCGGCCTCCGTCGCGTTCGCAACATCATCGCCAACCCGCAGGTCTCTTTGGTTATCGACCACTACGACGAGGATTGGACCCGCCTGTGGTACCTGTTGGTCCACGGTCGAGCCGAGCTGGTCGAACACGGCCCCGAACCTCCGGCGGCCATCGCCCGGCTGCGCGAAAAGTATCCCCAGTACCGCAATATGCCCCTGGACGGCAACCCGGTGATCAAGATCACCCCCGAGCGCGTCACCGGTTGGTCCGGCTCCTGAGCCGCCCTCCAGGTTGCCTTGACCCCATAGCCGCCGCACCCTAGAATGCCGGCACTCGGCCTTCAGGGCCGCTCTCCGAAGGATCCCATGACCCAACTTGTTTTCATCCACGGACCCGGCGCCGGCGGTTGCGCCGACTCCTATATCAACCAGCTCTACCATTACCCAAGTAGTCTCGCTCCGAACCTGCCCGGCCATCTGGACGGCGCTCCATGCAGCAGCGTGGAGCGGTACACCGATTGGCTGCGCGGCTGGTTGCACTCCCGTGGACACAACCGCGACCTCGTGCTGAGCGGCTTCACCCTCGGCGCTTGCGTCGCGCTACAATACGCGCTGGATTACCCCGAAGAGGTGAAGGGACTCGCACTGATGACCATCGCCATGCGGCCCAAGCAGCGCCGGCCCCAGGACTTGCAATTCCGTCTCGACGCCGCCGAGGATGACGAGACTTACGGGAAATGGCTCGGCATGATGGATGGCATCATGCACTTCATCGAGCCTGACCTCCGCGCCCGCCTGTTGCGGCGACACCGCGAGGTCGGTCCGGTCGCTCAGCACCGCGATCTGGTGGTCATCGACCGCTTCGATGTCCGCGACCGGATTCACACCCTCAAGGCACCCCTGCTTTTGGTCCAGGGCGTCGACGACCCGCTGGCAACCGGAGACTATGAGGAAGAGATCCACCGCGCCGTGCCGAAATCCAAACTCATCAAGATGAAAGACGCTGGCCATTTCCCCATGGTGGAAAAGCCTGACGAATTCAACGCGGCGCTGGACTCCTTTTTGACGGAGATCGCCTGAGCGACCGGCGCTCGCCTCAATCAGCCCAAACGATTTGGAGGAAACTAGACGTGGACGGAGTTACCGCTGTAGCCAACGTATTGAAGCTGGAGGGTGTGGAATGGATCGGCGTTATGCCGTCCAACCCGCTCATTGAAGCCGCCGCCATCGCCGGCATCCGTCCGGTGGTCTGCCGCCAGGAGCGCACCGGCGTGCATATGGCCGACGGATTTACGCGGGTGATGAACGGCAAGAAGACCGGCATCTTCCTCGCTCAGAACGGCCCTGGAGCCGAAAACGCCTTCGGAGGCGTCGCCCAGGCCTACGCCGACTCCGTGCCCATCCTGTTTCTTCCGGCCGGCGTCGCCCGCAATCGAATTGGAGTGGAACCCAACTTCCATCCCGTCCGCGCCTTCGAGCCCATCACCAAGTGGGCCGCCCACGTCAACTTCGCGGATCGTGTTCCCGAACTGTTCCGGCAGGCGTTCACCAAGCTACGCTCCGGCAAGCCGGGCCCCGTGCTGCTTGAAATCCCATCCGACCTGGTGTCCGACCAGATCAGCGAAGAGGACTTCGACTATATCCCGCCGGTTCCCATGCGCGTCGCCGCTGACCCTGCTGCCATCTCCCACGGCGTTCGCGGCTTCATGTCCGCCCGCCGCCCGGTCATCATGGCCGGCCAGGGCGTCATGTACGCCGAGGCCACCGACGAGCTCCTCGAGTTGGCCGAATTCCTCCAGATTCCCCGTGCTGACCACCCTGGAGGGCAAGAGCGCCTTCCCCGAGAACCACCCGCTGTCCCTCGGCGTCGGCGGATCCAGCCAGACCGGGCCTGTGCACCGTTTCCTCACCAACTGCGACGTCGTGTTTGGCGTCGGCGTGAGCTTCACCAAGAGCGGCTTCACGGTGCCCATTCCGCCAGGCAAGACCCTGATCCACCTCACCAACGGCGATGGTGACATCAACAAGGACTATCGCACCGACTACCCCATCCTCGGAGACGCCAAGCTGGCCCTGCGCCAGTTCATCGACGAGTTGAAAGCGCAGGGAGCCCAACAGCGCGCGCCCAACCAGGAACTGGCCGACGAGATCACCGCCAGCCGCGAGGCATGGATGGCCGAATGGCTGCCCCGTCTCACCAGCGACGAGGTGCCTTTGAACCCCTACCGCGTGGTCTGGGACATCATGCACACCGTTGACCTCGACAACACCATCGTAACCCACGAGTCCGGCAGCCCCCGCGAGCAGGTGTCGCCCTTCTGGGAAGCCCGCGCGCCGCGCAGCTTTATCGGTTGGGGCAAATCCACTCAACTCGGCTACAGCCTCGGCCTTGCCATGGGCGCCAAGATGGCCGCACCGGAAAAGATGGTCATCAACTTCATGGGTGATGCTGCCTTCGGCATGGTCGGACTGGACGTCGAAACCGCCGTCCGCGCCAACATCCCCATCACCACGGTGGTGATGAACAACTCCACCATGGCCATCTACCCCGACAGCCGCATTCCCACCGCCGTCGAGCGCTATGGCCTCAAGGACCTCACCGGCGATTTCTATCGGGTCGCCCTGGCCCTTGGCGCCTACGCTGAGCAGATCCACACCCCTGAAGAAATCAAGCCGGCCATGGAGCGCGCCATGCAGGCGAACGCGGACGGCCGCCCTGCCCTCCTCGAGTTCATCACCAAGGAAGAAGGCACCTTCTCGAAGTTCCGCTTCGATTAGGTCGCCAGCGGCGAACCTCACGGCACGGTCTTCCTGGGGCGAATAATCATTCGCCCCTAACCATAACTGCAGGGTCGAATAGGATGGAACTCTTACGGCTGCCAAACCTGCGATACCCGAATCTGAAAGCGACCTAACTGCCGGCTGGATGCAGGAGGCGCTGACTGCCGGCGGCGGGTTGGTAAGTCCCCCGATCACCGACATCGCTGTCGAGAACATCGGCGCCGGGGTCGGTATGGTCGGCAGGCTACTGCGTTGCCATCTGGTCGGGCGGGACGCCAACCCGGCGTTGCCGGACACCGTCATCGTCAAGTTGCACAGCTCACACCGGGAGACATTCGAGACCGCCCGGACGCTCCAGCTTTACCGGCGCGAATTCGATTACTACCGCCAACTGGCGCCGCACGTTCCCCTGCGCGCGCCGGCTCTTCTGTACGGCGATTTTGACCGCCGCGACCACCGCTTCATTCTGGTGCTGGAAGACCTGCGCGGCATGACTGCGGCGGATCAGATCGTCGGCGCCAGCGCTGACCAGGCGATGACCGCGGTACGGGCCATCGCCCGGCTGCACGGCCTCTATTGGAACAAGGTGGATCAGACACCCGTGGCCGGTTTCCACGATTCCGCCGACCCGCACCGCCGCCGCCTGGTTCGGGACGTTTACCAGGCCAGCCTGCCCGGGGCTCTGGATCGCTTTGGCGGCCTGTTCCCTGACCGTTTGCGACGCTTGGCCGAAGACTACGGGCACCGCATTGTTGAGCACATGGACGCTTTGGGTGCCGGCCCTCTGACCTTCGGCCACGGCGATTTCAGGTTGGACAACATGTTCTTCGGCTCTAAAGGCAGTGACGATTTCGCTGTGGTTGACTGGCAGGTCTGCGGGGTACGTAGCGGCCTGTATGACGTGGCCTATTTCCTGTCCTCCAGCGTTGCGGCAGAGGTCAGGCGGGAGATTGAACGCCAGGCGATTGACGAGTATCACCACGTCATTCGCGGCATGGGTGTCAATGATTTCACTGGCGAAGAATGCTGGCGCAGCTACCGTCAGAATATGCTGAGCTGTTTCCAGACCCCGATCATCGCGGGCGGGCGGCTGGATCTTTCCGGTGAGCGCAGCCGCCAACTCGCTGACGCATTTCTGTCCAGGACCCTCACCGCCATTGATGACCTGGACGCCCGGGAGTTCCTGCCAAACCCCGCCGCAGGTTTTTAGTTCAGGCGCCCAACCCACTGGTCGCGGAAAGCATCATGGCGCCCGACCTGCCCATACCGGACGATCCTGGCGATGTCACCGCACAATGGTTGCGGCAAGCTTTGGCCATGGGCAGTCCGGGGCGACGGCGTTTCTTTCGATCAGGCAAAAGCGGCTATACGTGCCGTTGCAAGTCTTCATAGCAAATACTGGAACCAAGTCGATGATCCCAACTTGTCGCACTTTCCTGACTATCTGAAACATCAGCGTCGGTTGGTCGAACTGGCCTACCTGGTGTACCTTCCCTGCACGCTCCACCGCTTCGGCCATTGTTTCGGCAGCAACATGAGGCGCCTCGCCCTGGCGTATGGACCGCGCGTCGTGGACCATCTGGATGCAATGGCGGTTGGCCACCGGACGTTCACCCACGGTGATTTCCGGTCGGCTAACCTGTTTTGAAACAGACGGTGGTGATGGCTGTGCGGCCATTGATTGGCAGAACTGTGGGGCCCACAGCGGCCTGCGCGATGTGGCATATTTTCTTTCCACCAGCGTGACCGCCGACGTTCGCCGTGGGATCGAGCGTGAAACGTTGGAGGAGTATCACGAGACCATTTGCAGTTTGGGGGTAGAGGACTACGGATTCTCAGAGTGTTCGCGCGCGTATCGGCAGGTCATGCTGAGTTGTCTCATCGGTCCGATACTGACGTGCGGTGCTTTGGATTTGACCGATGGGGAAAGCTATCGCACGATGGAAACTGGGCTGCAACGAACCCTCGCCGCATTCGAAGAGCGGGACGCCGATGAGTTTTTGCCGAACCGCCGCCGGTTGTTCCCGGTGTCCAGCGTGCTGTCCGCTGTTTTGCAGGGCGCATACCACGCATACAGGGCTTTGTCGTGAGTCTGAGCAGTCGTGACTGACACTCACCTCCGGCGTGACTTTGCTCCAGCCGGGTGTCATTTGCTGACAGTCACCGATGGCGAGCCCGTCCGGTCGCGGTTTAGAATGACTGGCGAACAATCGCTATTGGGAGTCCACGATGACCGTCGCGGGACCAACGGTTACAACCGCTGATATGGATGCCTTTCGCGCCGAGCTTGAGCGCATCATTGCAGGTGCCCCCGTTTCGCCAGTTGCACCGGTGCCGGACGCAACAGACCCACTCATGTCCACGGACGATGAACGCCATTGTGCTGATAATCCCCCGCATCCTTCCCGTCCGGTTTCGTATCAGCCGACCATCCTCGATCTGCCCCCGGGTGAGCGGCCACGGGAGCGCCTGCGCGAACACGGGCCCCGTTACCTCAACAACGCCGAACTCATCGCAATCCTCCTACGGTCCGGGATCGCCGGCGAAAACGCGCTCAGCCTGGCTACCCGTGTCATCGCCGAGTTCGACGGGCTTGCCGGCCTTGCCCGGGCCGGCCATGCCGAACTCTGTGACCTGCGGGGTCTGAGCGATGCCAAATCGTGCGAGATCATGGCTGCCCTGGAACTGGGCCGCCGGATCGCTTCTCTGGCTCCCGCAGAGCGGTCACAGATTTCCTGCCCCCGGGACGCCGCCAACCTCGTCTCCGCGGAACTGGAATTGCAGGCCCAGGAGAACCTCGTCGTCCTGCTGCTGAACACGCGCAATCAGGTCGTGGCCCGACGCACCATTTACATCGGCACCGTGAATAGTAGTGCCGTGCGGCCCGCCGAGGTTCTGCGGCCCGCCATACGGGAAAACGCTCCGTCCATCATCGTGGTTCACAACCATCCCTCCGGCGATCCAACTCCCAGCCCGGAGGATGTGTCGGTAACTCGGGATCTTGCCGCTGCCGGCAAGCTCATGGACATCGAACTGCTCGATCATCTGGTCATCGGCCACGGCGGCCGTTTCACCAGCCTGAAGGAAAAACGATTGGGTTTCGAAACAACCTGAACAGCAAGGAGTTTACGTAATGAGTGACTATTTCCTGCAAGTGGAGGGCCGCGGCTACAAGGAACTCGCCGAGGGCGCCCGCACCCGTACCTTCTGGGGAGCCCAGATGCTCTTTTCCCTGGTGGAGGTTGAGGCTGGAGCCACCGTTCCGCTGCACACTCACCCGCATGAACAGGGCGGCATCATCGTCGAGGGTGAGCTCGAAATGGGCATCGGCGGCGAGGTACGCGTCCTCAAGCCCGGCGATATGTACATCATCCCCGGCGACGTGGAGCACTACGCCAAGGGCCAGGAAACCAAAGCCGTCGCGCTGGACATATTCAGCCCGGTGCGAGAGGAGTTCAAGTACTAGCCGGCGTCCCCGAAATACTCCGCTACCGCCATCACCAGGTTGCCCATGTGCGGGTGATCCGGTTCCACGTCCACTGGGATGCCAAACTCCTTCAGCTTCCGTGTGCATACCGGGCCCACTGAAGCCACCGCTACGGGCCCGCTGAGGCTCGCCCGCAGCGATGCTTCGCGCCCTGAGTTGGCGGCGATGGTCATCAGGTTCGGCACCTGCGGCCGGCTGGTGAAGGCCAGCGCGTCAACTTCTCCCTGCTCGATCCGGTCGATCAGATCAACCACCGGGGCGGTGTCTTCGGGCAACCCCCAGTCATACAGCGTCAACTCCTGGTAGTCGGCCCTCTGCTCCCGCAGGTAGGTGGGGAGTTCGGAGTCTGGCCCACCGTAGCGCTGGTAGATCACCCGGTTGTTTTCGAGGTCCAGGTCCTTCATGGCCGCGATGAGGTCGCTTGAGGTATACGGCTCCGGCGGCATGATATTGATAGGTATCTTGTGCCGCCGCAGGATTCTGCCGGGCTTTGGGCTGCGCGCCACCACTGTGGTGCCGCGCAGCGCTTCCTCAAACTCGGACAGCCGGCCCATGCCATCCGCGATCCCCATCATCGCCTCCGCGCCAACCCCGGTCAGGAAGATGACCGTGGCGACCCGTCCGGCGCAGACGTCGTCAATCGCCTGCTGCACCTCAGGGCTGTCCTGGCGGTAGTGCTCTTGCATCACCGGCGCACCCATGGGTACGCCGCCGTGCCGCCGGATGAGGCCGGCCATCTCGTCGGGCATCCGTGCCTCGACGAAGGCCAGCACTCTCCCGTTCAGTGATGCTTTGGTCATTGCGGTGTTGAGACGCCGCTAAACCGCGCACTCGCCTTCGCCGCGCTCCAGCACGTACTGGTCGGTCCGTTCCCAGTCGAAGTACATCTCGCCGCCGCCTTGTGCCTCGTGTCCGACCTCTTGGGCGCGCGCCGCCACCGAGGTCATTTCCTCCAGGCCCACCCGGTCCAGGAAATCGTTGAACCGTTCGGTTGCGTCGGCGCGATGGTCCTTGTAGTACGTGACGATGTCCTTCAACACCGACGGTACCAGCTTGGCCGGCACCTTGACCTTCGGCACCCGCGTCCCGATGCGGGAATCCTCCACCTGGTTGTCGCCGTAATTTCCGCCCAGGAACAACTCGTAGGACGGAATCTGCTTCCCATCCACGCCTTTCACCGCCGCTCCGTGGAACCCGATGTTGGCGATGTGATGCAGCCCGCAACCATTGGGACATCCACTCATCTTGATGCGGATATCGCCCACGCCCTTGTCCTCGGCGAGGCCGTTCCAGTCCGCCATCTCGCTACGGAGCGCCTGGGCCAATCCCATGGATGCGGTGATGCCCAGCTTGCAGCTATCGGTTCCCGGACAGGACACCACGTTGCTGATGTGACTATGCCCGGCTTCGCCCAACTCCAGTCCGTTCAATGCTTCCCAGACGTCGTGCAGGTAACCGGCCGGCACCCACCGCAGCACCAGGTTTTGCTCCTGTGTGGTTCGCGCCTTGCCGCCAGTGTACTTCCGGACGATGTCGGCCAGCCCGTGGAACTGCTCCGGCGTCAGGTCTCCACGCACCGTCTTGATGTAGACGACGTGGTAACCGTCCTGCCGTTGTGACTCTACATTCGCTTCCAGCCAAGCCTGGTACTCGGGGTCACTGAGGTCGCCGTTCCCTGCTGGCGGTTGCGCCGGCGGGTCTTCCCGCTGGATTTCCTCGGCAGTCATCAACGACCGAAAATCGATGGGCCCGATGTTCGCCAATTCGGCGTCCACCATGTCGCGGAATTCGTCCAGCCCGATGCGATCGATCAGCACCTTGAGCCGCGCCATCATGCGGTTCTTGCGGAGCATGTCGGCGTTGTTGAACACGGTCCAAACCGCCAGGGCAACACGCAGGTAGTCATCCTCGGACACCCACTGGTACAGCGGCTTGGCCAGCCGGGGCATGATCGACGTACCGCCGCCGCAGTAAACCTTGAACCCCTTGCGTTGCTCGCCGTCCACTTCGTTGAATTGGGACACGAAGGTCAGGTCCTGGATCGCTGCCGCCACCTCGTCCCGTTGGTCGTTGCCGGTAAACGCCGACTTGAACTTGCGGGGGAAACCCTGCGTGATCGGGTGACGCACGCCGAACCGAACGTACGCCGTCAGGTACGGCGTCGGGTCGAAAACTTCCTGCGGACTCACGCCGGCTGTCGGCGCCCCAACTACGTTGCGCACCGTGTTCCCGCACGCCTCTCGGGTGGACAACCCCACGCTTCCCAGGAGGCGCAGCACTACGGATGTCTGCTCCAGTGGAATGTGGTGTAGTTGGATGTTCTCCCGCGTGGTTATATGTCCCTTCTTCAGCGGCGCGTACTTCTCCGTGATGTCACCGAAACAGTCCAGCATGTCCGCCGAAATGATGCCGCCGGGCAGCTTCACCCGGATCATCTGCACATCGGCTTGCCGTTGGCCGTACACTCCCTGGCGGAGCCGGAAAGGCGTGAACACGGTGTTGTCCAGTTCCCCGGTTTGGAACCGGTCGACCTCCGCGTCAAACCGCTGTATCTCGTCCTCCATGAACGGGATGATCGCGGACCCATCGGTCGCCAGCCGTATACTGGACTCGTGGATGTCTTCCGGGCTGGGGATTTGCGCTTGGCTCGTCAAGGTGTCCTCCTCTGATGGCGGCAATAGAAAACCCACCGTTGCCGCGAGGCAAATCCGGTGGGCGCAGGCACTAACCTGAAGGTTGTCAGTCAGGTCTATCCCGCCCCCGATTTGGGGGGACAGGAGCACATACAGATGCAAATCGATTTGCAAGTACTATGCATTTGCGAAAACTATACTGTCGAGGTCGGGAATTGTCAACAACGTCCGCCGCCGCTTGGGAGCGCGTTTCGCGGCAGACCTAAACGCCGGCATTAACGGAGCGACCGGTCAGATTTGACGCTTCCCGTGCCCACTGTATGCCCCGAAACCAGCCACATGGCCCGCTCGGCTATGTTGGTCGCCCGGTCGGCGATGCGCTCCAGATCGTGTGCTACCCATAGCAGGTACGTCGCCCGCTCAATGTTGCGCGGGTCCTGCAGCATGTAAGTCAGCAACTCCCGGTAAACCTGGTTGTAGAGATCGTCAACCGCGTCGTCGTCCCGGCACACTTTCCGCGCTTGCCATTCGTCGTGATTGGAGTATGCCTGCAGGCTTTCCCTCAGCATGGTCAGCGCCAGCTCGGCCATGCGGGGAATGTCGATCAACGGCTTCAGCAACGGTTGGTCACCGATGCGCAGGCAGATCTTCGCGATCCCCTCCGCATAGTCGCCCATGCGCTCCAGTTCAACGGCGATGTGCACCGCCGACATTATCGCCCGCAGGTCCCTTGCCATCGGCTGCTGCGTCGCCATCATCGTGACGCACTTGTTTTCAAGGGCGTCTTGAAGATGATCCAGATGGTCGTCTTCGTCTATGATCTGCTGCGCCAGTGCGAGGTCTTGATTCTGCAGCGCCTCGAGCGCGCGTAGGGTCGCTTGCTCGACGTGGGTGGCCATCTCTGTCAGGTCGGCTTGCAGGCTCGACAGATCGCGTTCGTAATCTGATCTCAGCATTCGACGCCCCCTTTGGGTGAACCTCAGACCGCTTGGCTGCTGCCCGGGTGCCTAGCCAAATCGGCCCGTGATGTATGCCTCTGTGCGCTCGTCGGCGGGATTGGTGAACAGCGTTCGGGTGTCCCCCGAATTCGATCAGGTGCGCCACGCGTTTCTCGTCGGGCATCAGGAAGGCCGTCTTGTCGGACACCCGCCCCGCCTGTTGCATGTTGTGCGTCACGATGACGATGCTGTAGGTCTTTTTGAGCTCTTGCATCAACTCCTCGATGGCAAGCGTCGCGATCGGGTCCAGGGACGAACAGGGCTCGTCCATCAGGACCACGCTGGGCTCCACCGCCAGCGCTCGGGCGATGCACAACCGTTGCTGCTGCCCGCCGGAAAGCGACAGAGCCGACTCCTTGAGCCGGTCCTTGACTTCATCCCACAGCGCTGCGGCCATCAGCGACTGCTCCACCATGTCGTTCATGTTGCCGCTGAACCCGTTGATGCGCGGGCCGAAGGCGATGTTGTCGTAAATCGACTTCGGGAACGGGTTGGGACGCTGGAACACCATTCCAATCTTGTACCGGATCTGCGTTGGATCCGATCCGGGATCGTAAAGGTTGAAATCGCCAAACCACATTTCGCCTTCCATCCGGAAGATCTCGATGAGGTCGTTCATGCGGTTAATGCACCGCAGCAGCGTGCTCTTCCCTGCCCCGCTGGGCCCGATGATCGCGGTGATCTCATGTTCCGGTATGTCCAGGCTCACGCCTTCGACCACCTTGTTGGAGCCATAATAGACCCCCACGTCTATGGCGCGCACGGCTGGACGAGTTGCCGCTTCGGTTGCAGCCATTGTGGTTTACCCCCGTAAATTCTTCTGCAGTCGGTTGCGCAGGAAGATGGCGAACGCGTTCATGCCCAGCAGCATGATCAATAGTACAACGATCCCCGCAGCCGCCAGGTGGTGGAACTCTTCCTGTGGCTTGGATATCCACACAAAGATCTGGATGGGCAGTACCGTAAACCGGTCCAGCGGCGAAGTGGGTGCGAAGGGCACGAAGGACAGCGCGCCCATGATAACCAGCGGAGCCGCTTCTCCCATCGCCCTACTGACCGCCAGGATGATGCCGGTGAGTATGCCCGGCATCGCCTGCGGCAGCACCAGCCGCCAGATAACTTGCGACTTGGTCCCCCCCAACGCAAACCCGCCCTCCCGTATCGAGGATGGGACGGCGCGGATCGCCTCCTGCGAGGACACGATTACCACCGGCATGATCAGCAACGCCAGCGTGAGCCCCGCCGCGGATACGTTCTTGCCGTCCGAGCCCGGAGCGACCATCACGAAGAACGCCACAAAAATTGACAATCCCAGGATGCCGTACACGATGGAGGGTACCGCTGCCAGGTTCTGTATGTTGGTCTGGATCATCCCCGCAATGCGGCTTCTGCCCGAGTACTCCTCCAGGTAGACGGCCGACGACACGCCCACGGTGAACGATACGAAGATGCATATCCCCATCACCCACAGGGTGCCCACAATCGCCGGGAACAACCCGGAGTTAACCGCTTTGCTGGACGGAATGTCCGTCAGTAGCGTTTTGACCGATGTGCCGTCCAGGTTCAACCAGGCGATGGCCTCAGATACCACGCTGTACAGCAACGCCACCAGCATCAGCAGCGCAACGATCACCGCCGCCACGCATACGCCGTAGAATATCGACGCGTTGCGCTTGCGGGCGGCGAGCCTCCGGTTGTAGGCGCGGTCGGTTCCGGCTGCCATTATTCGTACACCTCACGGAACTTGGACACCACGAACTGGCTTAACAAGTTCATCAGCAATGTGATGATGAATAACGTGATACCAACAGCGAACAGTGACTGGAACTGGGCCGTTCCCGGAATTGCGTTGTCACTGAAATTGGTGGTTGCCATGAACCCCGTCATGGTATTCACCGGCTCCAAGGGGTTGAAGGTCAGTTTCTCATTTTGGCCGGCAGCGATGAATACGATCATCGTTTCGCCGATCGCCCGGGACATCGCCAGGATGAACGCGGCGACAATACCCGACAGGGCGGCCGGCAACACCACCTTGGTGGCGACTTCAACCTTCGTCGCGCCCAGCGCGTAGGCGCCTTCCCGCAGTGCGTTCGGCACCGCCCGCATGGCGTCCTCGCTCAGGCTGGAGACCATCGGTATGATCATCACGCCCATCACGATGGCGGCCGACAGCGCGTTGAAAATGCCCACCTCGTCGCTGAAAGAGCGCAGGATCGGCGTGATGAAGAACAGCGCGAAGAACCCGTACACCACTGTGGGGATACCCGCCAGCACCTCCAGGATCGGCTTCGTGATCGCCCGCACTCGCGGGTGGGCGTACTCGCTGAGGAAGATCGCGCTCATCAGGCCCAGCGGCACCGCCACCACCATCGCCAGCACGGCGATCATCGTGGTTCCCACCAGCAGCGGCCAGATGCCGTAGGACCGCGGAACCAGCAGTGTCCGCCACTTTGTATCGGTCAGGAAGCGGTGCCACTTCACCTTTTCCGGCACGCTGAAGGAGTCGGTCTGCAGGCCCACGCCCTTTCCGGGCCCGGCTAGGGCCGCCACCGTGACTTTGTGGGAACGCCCGGGCGCGGCGTTGGCGATCACGCATGATGTGCGGTCGGCCGTCAGGTTGGTGCAGTCGGAAAGGTCCGAGTTCAGGCTGGGCAGCACCGATACCTCGTACCCCGTCGGTTCTTGCCCCACCGTGGGTCGCTCCCAACTCACGTAGATCAATGAGTCGGTGGTGGCGCGCACCTCCACCTGGGGGATTATCCCGGGCGCCAGCGTACTGGGAGCCTCCCCGGCCAATCCCTCGGCCTCGCTCGTCGCCACCCGCTCCGTCGGCCGCTGCTCGTAGAAGTCCGATGCGAAAAATCGCACCCCCTCGAAAAGCAACACCGACACGATCCCAACGGTGGTCAACACCGAAACGGACGCTAAAAGAAAAAGTACCCACTTGACGATACGTTCAAGTAGGTACTTGCTCCCGCTACCGGTAAGCGGTTGCCCGGCCGTCGGAGCATCTCCAACCGCCGGTTTCAATCCAATTATCTTGTCGAAAAGCAAAGCGGTCCGCCTGTCGAATCTGCAACCCAAGCCCGGTATCTGGTCCGGTCGCCGCGAATTATTGCCCGCTACTTTTTCCGTTGAACATATTTATAATATGACGGCCGGCCCTTGACGGCAACCGAAATTTTCGCGATACAAACCATGCCGGCGCCCGATACCCCGAGCGTCAACTTCATCCGAAACACTTTCAGTCTGGGGGACCACTTGAGCCAAAAACTGCAACTGAGCGTCGTCGACCAGTCGCCTATGCGCGAAGGTAGTAGCGCCGGTGTCGCGCTGCGTGAGACCATCCAACTCGCCGTCGCCACCGAGCAGATGGGTTATCAGCGTTACTGGGTCGCCGAGCACCACAACCTACCCAACTTCGCCGGCACCGCTCCCGAGGTGATGATAGGCCAAATCGCCGCTCACACCAGTAGTATCCGCGTCGGTTCCGGCGGCGTTATGCTGCCCCACTACAGCTCCCTCAAGGTTGCCGAGACCTTCCGGATCCTCGACTCGCTGTATCCCGACCGTATCGACCTGGGCATCGGCCGTGCTCCGGGCAGCGACCAGATGACCGCTGCGGCCCTCGCCTACCCCAGTATGCCCAAGGACGTCCGCCATTTCCCTCAGCAGGTCCGCGACGTAATCAACTACTTGAACCACACCCAGCCCGACGACCACCCGTTCAACGAGGTTCTGGCCGCCCCCGAGGAGTCCGAAACCGTGCCCCACGTTTGGCTGCTGGGTTCCCGATACGAGTCCGCCTTCATGGCCGCCAAGATGGGACTGCCCTTCGCTTATGCCCACTTCTTTGGAATGGGCGCCACTGACGGCCCCCAGATTGTTGAATCCTATCGGCAGAATTTTGAAGCTTCCGATTACCTTTCGGAACCGCTGGTCAACGTTGGCGTCCAGGTGCTGTGCGCCGACACCGAGGAGGAGGCCACGCGCATCGCATCCAGCCGGAACCTCGGCCGCCTCCGCTCGGTCACCGGCCGCGCCAAGGGCATCCCGTCACCTGATGTCGCCGCTAGCTACAAGTACCTGGCCAACGAGTGGCAGTTCATCCAGCAGTACAGCCGTAACTGCGTGGACGGCGACCCGGAGCAGGTCAAAGCGGGACTGGAAAAAGTCGCCGAGGACTACCAGACCCCCGACCTCAGCGTGGTCACCATCTGCTATTACTATGCCGACCGCGCGCGCTCCTATGAGTTGGTGGCGCAGGTCTGCGGGCTCGAACCCCTCGAACAGCAATAAGGGCGACCCGTCGGCCGCCCTTGAACTCCCGGCTGGTCTGTCGCGGTCTAGGCGCCTAACTTCGCGGCCAGATCCACGAAACTGTCCGCCACCACGTTGAACGACGGGTCCGGCGTAGGGTCTGGCGTGCGGCCCGGCCCGTGCTCCTTCGGGCGCGGCACGAATCCGGTACGCAGGCCGACCTTGGCCGATGCCAGCAGGTCCCCTTGGTGCGCTGCCACCATCATCACCTGCTCGGGCTTCAGGCCCAGCAGCTTGACCGCCGTCCCGTAGCTCTCCGGGTCGGGTTTGTAGTGCTGCGCCACTTCCGCGCCGAGGATGCAGTCCCAGGGCATGCCGCCGTTCTTGGCCATGTTGGTCATCAGCGCAATGTTGCCATTGGACATGGGCGAGATAACAAAATTGTTCTTCAGCCGGTACAGTCCGGGCACGGTATCGGCCCACGGGCGGAGGTTGTGCCAGAAGTAGGTCACCTCCATCTTTTCGTCATCATTCAACCCGCTGATCTCGTATTCGCCCAGCACGTCGTCCAGCGACATCCGGTGCAGCGCGTCCAGGTTGGTCCACGGCAGTTCACCGCTTCTTACCTTGTCCATGTACGGACGGTACTTGCCGCGCCACGCGTCTGCGAACGCGCCCCAGTCTCGCTCTATGCCCTTGATCCGCCCCATGTTTGCGCACTGTTCGGTGATGCTCGACCGCCAGTCGACCACGGTGCCGAAAACGTCAAAGATGCAGGCCCTGATGTCCAGCCCCAACGGGGTATTCGCCATGATGTTTGTCTCCTCTTACTGGCAGTTACCGCCTGCCGTTGCCGTCGGTATCCTAGCATATCCCGCCGCCACCCCTCCCCGGCCGTGCACCGCAGGCTCCGCGTTCGTCCCGCGCGCGTCCAGGGTCATTCGATTTCCCCAAACGTCATTGCGAGCGCAGCGTAGCGATCTGGTTGCTGTGGCAATGGTTGTTGCCAAAAACCGAGTCGGCGCCCGGCGGCCGCCTCCTCGTGTCATTCCCCACGACGACAATCGAAAGCTCGTGGCGCGCGCCCCACGAATTCACCCGGCGATCACTCGCTTACGCCCACGGCCGGGACACGTTATAATCCGGGCCAGATCTCAGGGTCCGTTGTAGTTGGGGGTAAGTGCGAAGATGAAAGATCGTTACGAACAGGAAATCGAGCAACTGCTCAATGAACTGGAATCCGAAGCCCCGGAAACTCCTGTCGCGCCGGTCGACGCTCCGCCGCCTTTGGACGACCAGCCGTCCCCATTCGCTCCGACGCCGCGCCGGTCCAGGGCCTTCATTTCCCCTACCAAGCTCGCCATCGCTGGCGGAGCGCTGGCGTTGATCGGCCTCTTTCTTGTCAAGCTAATGTGGCTATCCTTGGCCGGCATCGTCATCATGGCTGGGGCCATCGCGTGGATGTTCTTTCGCCGCATGGGCAACCAGAACCAACAATATTGGCGTGGCCGCGCCATAGAGCCGGAGCCTCAGGGAGCCTGGCAGCGCTTTCGGAGCTGGTTGTCCCGGTAATTACCAGCCGACGGCCGCGCCGTCCTTGCGCGGCTCGCTGCCTCCGCTCAGCACCCCCGTGTCCGGGTCTCGGCTGATCGCCTGGCCGCCTCCCATGCCGCCGGCCCCGCCCCGCTGCGGCCCGTGCATCACGTTGACCCGGTGGCCCCGCTGGTGCAAACCCGCCACCACCGCATCGTCAACGTCCCCTTCCAGCCAGACCGAATCACCCACCACCTGGAACCGTAGCGCGTCCAGGGCACCCTGCGCGTCCATGCCGAAGTCCACCATGTTGGTGATCACCTGCAGGTGGCCCTGCGGCTGCATGAACCCACCCATGACCCCATAGCTCAACCACAGCTCGTCATTTCGCGTCGCCATCGCCGGGATGATGGTGTGGAACGGCCGCTTCCCGCCCTCCAGCGCATTCGGATGTCCGGGCCTGACGTTAAATAGCGACGCCCGATTGTGCAGAACAATCCCCGTCCCGGGCACGACCAGCCCGGATCCGAAGTTGGCGAACACGCTGTTGATGAGCGAACACGCGTTGCCCGCTGCGTCAACCACGCTGATGTACACCGTGTCGCTGCCCGGCACCATCTTTCCGTAGGGCGCCGTTTCCATCGCCCGCTCCGGGTTGATCAGGCCGCGCCTGCCTTTCGCGTACTCCTTGGACGTCCACATCTCGGTGGGAACTTCGGCGCAGCGCGGGTCCGCCAGATACTCAAACGCGTCGGCGAATCCCAGCCGCGTCGCCTCAACCAGGTGGTGATACCGTTCCGGGCTCTGCGGCCCCATCCCGGCAATGTCGAATCCTTCGACGATGTTCAGCGCCTCCAGCGCGATGATCCCCTGCCCGTTGGGAGGGCACTCCCAGCACGTCACGCCCCGGTAGTCGGTCTGTATCGGGCTCGTCCCAGTCCGAGTGGTGCGACTCCAGGTCCCCTTCCGCCAGCCAACCGCCTGCTCCTGCACGAATTGCGCCATCGCAGCGGCGATGGGACCGCGGTAAAACGCCTCGCTCCCGCCCTCCGCTACTGCGCGCAGCGTGCCGGCAAGGGTGGGCAGGCGCATGATCTCCCCTTCCCGGGGAGCCCGTCCGTTCACCAACAACTCCTGACCCGACGGCAGCGCCGCCAGCTTGTCTTCCTGCTGTTGCCACTGGAACCCGATGATGTCGCTAACCGGAAACCCGTTCGCCGCGTAATCTATGGCCGGCGCCAGCGCGTCGCCCAGGCTCATCGTCCCTTCGCTCTCCAGCAATACTTCCCAACCGTGCACCGTTCCGGGAACCGAGACCGACAGCGGGCCGAACGCCGGCATTCGACTGCGACCCTTCGCGTGCAGGTCCTCAATGGACGCCGCCTTCGGAGCCCGTCCGCTGCCGTTCAGGGCCACCACCTTCTTGTCCGCCGCCTTCCAGATCAGCGCAAACAAATCGCCGCCAACCCCGGTGGACATCGGTTCCACCACGTTCAATGTCGCTGCCGTCGCCACCGCCGCGTCGACGGCGTTCCCCCCGTCTATCAGGACTCTGAGGCCAGCCATCGCCGCCAGCGGCTGGCTGGTCGCGACCATCCCGTGCGTGGCATGGACTGTGGAACGGCGTGAGTTGAAAAACATGGCAGCGTCTCCGGTTCGGCTCGAGTCGGCGGCCAGTTTAGCACGAGCTCCGTTCGGGCCGCATGCGGGAGCGGTATGATAAGATGCTTGCGTCGTTTCGCTCGATTTACACGCGTTTTCGGGCTGATTTCGAACCACTTCGCAACCCCGTCATCACCACCCAGGAGGTTCCTTGATGGCTATTACCGTAGGGCAGCCAGCCCCCGATTTCACCCTCCACGAAAATCCGCAAACCCGCCACAGCCTCAGCGACTACCGCGGCAAGAACGTGGTGCTCGCCTTCTTCCCCGGTGCTTTCACCGGTGTCTGCACCACCGAAATGTGCACCCTCAGCGACCGCATCGACCAGTTCGAATCTATGAACGCCGTCGTCCTCGGAATAACCGTGGACCCGCCCTTCTCCCAGGGTGCCTGGAAGGCAGCTAACAATGTCAATTACACCTTCCTCAGCGATTACAACCGGGAGGTTGTGAACGCTTATGATGTCGCGCTGCCCGGCCTCGCCGGTATGGAAGGCTACGTTGCCGCCAAGCGCGCCGTCACCATTGTTGACGGCGACGGCGTCGTCCGCTACCACTGGGTGGCCGACAGCCCCGCCAACGAGCCCGACTACGAAGCAGTGCAGGCCGCCGTCGCCGCTCTGTAATCGTCGTTGCCCTGACTTCGGAATGATCTGGGGTGGCCCTCGTGGCCGCCCCTTTCCTTTTGACCTGCCGGCGGCTTACTGCGAGCCTTTCCAGGGGTGGCCGACCAGCCTCTCCACTACCATTTCCGTCAGTCGTTCCGCATCCACTTCCAGGCACACGTCGACGTTCGCCTCCCTGCCTGTCATGCCGTACCAGTCCGCCACCGTTTGCCCTCGGGTCAGTTCGCTGCCGGTATCGACGGCAACCGGCAGCCTTCGCGTCGTCATCAGCGTCGGGTCCACGGCGGCGGCCACGGCCGGCACATCGTTGTAACGCACCGCCTCTCCGTCCGCCAGGCGACCCAGGCGTCGGTATGCCACCTGCGTGTAGGCCGAAGCCGACACCAGTAATTGCAGCGCCGGGGCGGAACAGGCGCGCAGCCGCTCGAATTGCTCGTCGGAGAACCCGCACCGATCGCATACGTCCAGGCCGACTTGGATGATCGGCACCCCGGAGTCGTACAGGATCGCCGCCGCTTCCGGGTCTTCGTGAATGTTTGCTGTCGCTACCGGCGACACGTTGCCGGGAACCCGGACCGCCCCGCCCATGACCACCACTCCCGCCAGCGCGCTTGCGGTTTCCGGCGCCAGACGCAGGGCCAGCGCCACGTTGGTCATCCGGCCCAACGCCAGCACCGCAATCTCGCCCGGGGCGGCCAGCGCTCTCGCCGCTATTTCCACCGCCGCCCGATGCGCCGGCCCGGTTTCACCCGACGCCACCGCCCGGACGCTGCCGGTCACCTCTCCCAAAGCGTCGCCGCCGTGGATATGCGACGCCCAGCCCGCGGTCGGAGGCCGTAGCAGCGGTCCCTCGGCCCCCGGATACACCGGAATATCATCGCGCCCGGACACCTCAAGGATTCGTCGGGCATTTTCGGCGCACCGCGCCATCGACCCGTTCCCGTAACTCACCGTCAGCGCCTCGACCTGCATCTCCGGGCTTGCCAGCGCCAGTAGTATGGCGGCGCAGTCGTCTACGCCCGGGTCAGTGTCAATGATCACTCGCTTCGGCATTGCTTTCCTCCGGTTGGCTCACCGACGGCAAAACATTCGGCTCGGGTGCGCCATCAGACTGGTGGTCTCATGCCAACCACTCCCCGTTCAAAATGCCGGCAGTGGGTCCATCGCCCATGTAACCGACAGTCTGGGTCACGGTTGCTGCAAGCGAAACTCTGTTCGGCAATTCACACTTGTGTCACCGCCGCCGTGCGCCGTTTTGACGCCTGACTGCTGTTGAGGCATTATACCCGCTGCTATGCGGGCCGCCCTGCGCGGTCCACTCGGAGGGTGAACCGATGCCGGTCAACGAAGTTCAGGGTGTGGTTTCTCGGGCAAAGGGTGCGCCCGTGGAACTCGTGCCCATCCTGGTGCCCGACCCCTCGGAGGGCGAGGCGTTGGTGCGCGTCCAAGCCTGCGGCGTCTGCCATACCGACCTGCACTACCGGGAGGGAGCAATCAACGACGAATTTCCGTTTCTCCTCGGACACGAGGCGGCCGGGGTAGTCGAGAAAGTCGGACCGGACGTCTCTAACGTTCAACCCGGTGATTTCGTGATCCTCGCCTGGCGCGCTCCCTGCGGCAACTGCCGGTCGTGCCTGCGCGGTCGTCCGTGGCATTGCTTTGCCAGCCGCAACGCCCAGCAAAAAATGACCCTCGCCGACGGCGCCCCATTGTCGCCGGCTCTCGGCATCGGCGCGTTTTGCGAGCTGACGCTGGTCGATGCGCTCCAAGCGGTCAAGGTCGATCCTTCCGCCAGTCCGCTGGCCGCCGGCCTCATCGGCTGTGGCGTCATGGCCGGCCTTGGCGCCGCCATGAATACCGGCAACGTCGGTCGCGGCGATTCCGTCGCCGTCATCGGCTGCGGTGGCGTGGGCAACGCGGCAATCGCCGGCTCCCGCCTGGCTGGCGCTCACACCATAATTGCCGTTGACATCGACGACCGCAAGTTGGAATGGGCCCGGGGCTTTGGGGCCACCCACACCGTCAACTCGACCCAGACCGATGCGGTGGACGCCATCCGAGCTCTCACCGGGGGCAATGGCGTCAACGTCGCCATTGAGGCCGTTGGTAACCCGGTAACTTATGAGCAGGCCTTCTACGCCCGAGATCTCGCTGGAACCGTCGTACTGGTCGGTGTTCCTGACCCAACGATGAAAATCGAACTACCTCTCATCGAGGTGTTCGGTCGCGGCGGCTCCCTTAAGTCCTCGTGGTACGGCGACTGCCTGCCCACTCGCGATTTCCCCATGCTCATTGACCTGTACCTGCAGGGCCGGCTCGATCTGGATGCGTTCGTCAGCGAGCGCATCGGCATCGGCGACGTCGAAGCCGCGTTTGCCAGCATGGAGCGCGGCGAAGTCCTGCGTTCCGTCGTCGTGATGTAGTCGACGACGATGGCTACCTTCGTTCTCATACACGGAGCCTGGCACGGCGGATGGTCTTGGTGGCAGACCGCTCCACTCTTGCGTCAAGCCGGCCACCGAGTTCTGGCGCCCAGCCTCACCGGGATGGGCGAACGCCAGCACTTGGCGGCTCTCATGCCTCCCGCTGCCATCAATCTCGACCTGCATGTCAGCGATGTCGTTTCCCTACTCCACGCTGAAGACCTATCCGGGGTCATTCTGGTCGGTCACGCCTATGCCGGCATGGTGATCACCGGGGTCGCGGAACAGGCCCCTGAGCGCCTGGCATCTCTCGTTTACGTGAACGCCGTCGCCCCTTCCGACGGCGAGGCCATGGTTGATCAGCTTGAAGCCGTTCGCGGCGCCGAATTCGTTGCCCGTATCCGGGGGTTCATCGCTGAAGGGGCACCGTTCATGCCCGCCCCCTCCACGGCGGAGGAAATCGCCAGCCGCTGGGCCGTAACTGACCCGGCGGATCAGGCGTTTATGCTGCCCCGTCTCTCGCCGCAACCAACTCTCACCTTCGCCCAGCCCGTCCGAACCGGCAATCCCCGGGCCGCCGGTCTTCGCCGTGAATTCATCCTGTGCAGCGAGTCCGGTTTCGAGCCGGTCGCCCGGCGTGCCTCCGCCTCTGGCTGGGGCGTCCACCATATCGACACCGGCCATGATCCCATGGTCACCACACCCCAGGAATTGGCCGGAATATTGCTTGCCATCGCATCGTCTTGACCGTTCCGCAAATACTGTGATGCTGAGCTCTGCTTGGGATCACCGGTGGCGCGACCGCCTGTTTCCCGGCCCACAACCCGGCGCGTCCATTGAATCGCACGCGGTTTGACAACGTCCGAACATGCGCGTGCGATGCCGCCAATTTCTTGACGCATTTCGGGTTAGGCAGTAACATGAATCGCCCTCGGAGAACTACCTATGCCTAAACGTACTTACCAACCCAAAAAGCGACGCCGCGCTCGTGTGCATGGCTTCCGCTCGCGATCACGCACTTCCGATGGCCGCGCCGTTTTGCGCCGCCGGCGCTTCAAGGGCCGGCACCAGCTCTCGGTATAGCCAACGGTTTGTTGGCTGATTTGACCGCCGCCGTCTTCCCTCAATCGATGCAACGGCAACATAGGCTAGGCAGCGCCGGTCGTATCTCCGAAGTCCATCGCCGGGGACGCAGTGTCGCTAATGGCCTGTTGGTCATGCGCGTAATTCCTAACGGTCTTGACCGCAGTCGCTTTTGCTTCGTAACCGGCAAACGCATCGGCAAGGCGGTGGTGCGAAATCGCGTCAAGCGTCGCTTGCGAGAGGTCATACGCAACTCGACGGCCGCGCCGGGTTGGGATACCATCCTCATCGCCCGAAAAGGGGCCGGCGACGCCGATTTCGACCAGATCGAACACGCTGTACATAACCTGATTCGCCGGACCAAGTTGAACGCTCCGCCTGTGTTGGACGGGGCCCCGGATGGCCGGCGGGACTCGACGCAATGAAAGTCGTAGCTGTCTCCGCTATTCGCTTGTACCAGCAGGCGTTGTCTCCATACCTCCCCGGCGTTTGCCGTTACCAGCCCTCTTGCTCCCAGTACACGGCGGACGCCATTTCACTTTATGGCGTGGCCCGGGGAACCTGGCTGGGCGTCCGCCGAATTTTGCGCTGTACTCCCGTGGGCGGTTACGGATATGACCCTGTTGTTTGACTGTTGATCATGTCCTACCATTTCCTGCCCTCCCGCAACTTCCCGATCCGCTGGGCTTTTCCTCCAGCACTGCGATCCCTGAGGCTTCTCTTTGGGTTTGCCGTGCTGGGCGTTCTTTGCTTGACGGTCGCCGGCTGCGGCCGCGATCTGGGGGCGTCTACCAAGGGGTGGGGTTCCGTTGCGGTGGCCAACGGCGTCGTATACGCCACCACGTTGTCGGGCCAGGTCTACGCCTTGGACGACAACGGTTCGGAAGGCGTGAGCACCCGTTGGGTGTCGGCGGTCGGCGCCGAGGGTGGGCTCGGTGGCGCTTACAGTTCACCCGCCGTGGGCCGATATGTCTACGTCTCCGGCATAGACGGCTTCCTGTATGCCTTCGATGGATCTGCCGGCGCCGGCTCGGCCCAGGTGGTTTGGCGCCAGCCCCAGATCGAGGCGGAGGACATGCCGCCGCTGGTCAGCAGCCCGGCGCTGGACGAAGCCGGCGGGATCATTGCCGTTGGCTCCGAAGACGGTGGCCTCTACGCTTACAACGCCTTGACCGGGGATAACCTGCGTTGGTCGCCCTTCCGCACCGAGGGGAAAATCTGGTCAACCCCGGTCCTGCGCAACGGCGTCGCTTACTTCGGCTCGCAGGACGGCAGTGTTTACGCCGTCAGTCTGGAAACCGGCGCTCTCATCTGGCGCTTTGACACCGGAGGCGCGGTAGTCGCTACCCCGCTCATCCACAAGAACCTCCTGATAGTCGGCTCCTTTGACCGCCAGTTGTATGGCCTCGGCCTGAATGATGGCCAACCACGTTGGCAATTCGGCGCCGAGAACTGGTGGTGGGCAACCCCCGTCTCTTCCGGCCGCGCGGTGTACGCCGCCTCCATGGATGGCAACGTGTACGCCCTGGACGACAACGGTGTGCTGCTTTGGACCTACGACATGGGAGATCCCATTGTCGCTGATCCCGTGCTGGTGGAACGTGGTCTGGTGGTCGCGTCGCAGGAGGGCCGGGTCGTGCTCCTTCGCGCTTCGGTTTCCGCCCAGGAGCCTCCCCAGGAAATCGCCTCCTTCAGCATCCGCGACGGCGAGATCAAGGCGCCCCTGGTTAAATCGAGCACCATCGGCTTCGGCGGCTCCAACGAGCAAGAGGTCGTTTACGTCGGTACCGATGACGGGAAGGTCCGCCGGCTTCAGGTGCTGTCCGGCTTTACGCCCCATTGGTGCTACGACACGGAGGACAACGTGCTATGTCCCCGCAACTAGGAACCCGGAACTGCCGCCACGACGGCGACAGGCAGGCATAAGTGGAATTCCTCTCCCCATTCCTTGACGTGTTCGGCCTCATTTGGGACGAGGTGATCATTCGGCCCATGCTCAACACCCTGCTGGTGTTGTATGTGTTCTGCTTCTCCCAGATGGGCGTTGCCATCATCGTGTTCACCGCGCTGGTACGCGTGGCGACCATACCCCTGACTGTGCGTCAGTTGCGGCAAATGCGCGCCATGACGGGCATGCAGCCCCGGGTCCGCGAAATCCAGCAACGTTACGAGGGCGACCGTCAGCGAATCTCCCAGGAGACCATGCGGCTCTACCGCGAAAGCGGGGTGAACCCAATCGGTTGTCTGGGCCCGTTGATAGTGCAGATGCCCATCCTGATCGGTTTGTTCCGGGTCCTGATCCTTACCCTGTTCAACAACCCGGAAGACTTGGTGAAGCTTTCGGACAAGCTGTATTCCTGGATCACCTTCGCCCCGATCCATTCGGCGGTGCCGGTCAACAACACCTTCCTCTGGCTCGACCTCAGTCAGCCGGACCCGTCGCCCATAGTTATGCCCATTTTGGTCGCTGTGACCACTTGGGTGCAGCAGAAAATGACGCAGATGCCGTCTCCGGACCCGCGTCAGCAGTCCAGCCAAACGATGATGTTGTGGATGATGCCCATTTTCCTTGGAGCATTCTCCCTGGGCTGGCCCAGCGGACTGCCCCTTTATTGGGTGGTTTCCAACCTCATCGGCATCACGATCCAGTATTTCATCACCGGTTGGGGGCCGTTGTTCCCGCTGTTCCCACGACGGGGGCAGGGCGCGGAAGAAGCCGCGCCGTCAGTCCCGGCTCCCGAACCGCAGGAGAGTAGACCCGATGGATCAGATAGTGCAAACCGGGAGAACCGTAGAAGAGGCCGAAGAGCAGGCGCTCGCAGCTCTCGACGCCGACCGCAGCGAGGTAGAGGTCGAAATACTAAATAGGGGCCGTCAGGGGTTCCTGGGCATCGGCGGCGAGCTGGCCGAGGTCCGCGTCACTCGCATCGGCGCCGCTCCACCCGCGGCCCCCGAATACGCCGAACCCGACGAGAATGCGCCCGACGATGACGAACCGGCGCGGGACGACGAACCCGCGGTGGCCGATGCGCCGGCTCCGGTTCTGGCGATAACCCCGGGCACCCCCGCGGGAACCGCCGTGCAGGCCATCCAGCGTATCCTCACCGCCGTCGGCGCCGAAGTCGACGTGACCCTACGCTCTGAGCACGACGAGTTGGCCGGCGGGCCCGTGATCGACATCAATGGTCCCGACTCCGGGCTATTGATCGGCAGACGGGGCAATACCCTGCATTCGCTCCAGTTCATCGTCCAGAGCATCGTGCGCCAGCAGTATGATGAGGACGTCCGGATTTCTCTGGATGTCGAACAGTACCGCCAGCGTCGCGAGGATTCCCTCCGCGAGATGGCTGACCGCGTCGCCGACCGCGTACTACAGACCGGCCGCAGCATTACGTTGGAGCCCATGGCTCCTTCTGATCGCCGGGTAATTCACCTGTATTTGGGCGAGCGCGAAGGTGTCCGCACCGAAAGCGTCGGGTTTGGCGACGCCCGTAAAGTGCAGATTATCCCGGAGCGGGACTGAATCCTCTCCCACAGCGTCAACCGCCGTTAATGTTCGGCAGTGGTGGTGCCGCCCCAGATGTGTATCCGCTTGCGTTCAAACCCCGTTTTTGAGCACAGTACGGCAACTTTCTTGACCGGGGAGTTGTCGTCCGGGCGACGGGGTTTGCCGCTTCGTTACACTTTTTTCAGCGGCAAGCTGGGTTTGGATGATGGTCTCTGCCACGTTGACCCGCCGCCGGCTGCAAAATAGAATGCAACCATGAAATGGCAGGCGCCGATCTATCCGGGCGATACCCCTCTCGACCATCCTCGTGAGGAGTGTGGAGTCGTGGGCGTTTATGCCCCGGATTCGCACAGTGCCACGTTGGTGTCCATCGGCCTGTTCGCGTTGCAGCATCGCGGCCAGGAATCGGCCGGCGTGGCCGCAGCCGACCAACGTCAGATCAGGATGCACACCGGCATGGGCCTGGTATCGGAGGCCTTCCGGGATGGCGACATTGACGGCATTACGGGCGGCTTGGCAATCGGCCACACCCGGTACTCCACCACCGGCGCCAGCCGTAGCGCGAACGCCCAACCGCTGCTTGTCGACGGATTGAATGGCCCGTTGGCGGTGGCCCACAACGGCAACATCATCAACGCCAGACAGCTGCGCGAGCAAATTCAAGCCCAGTGGGATTGCACCTTCCAGACCAGCACTGACAGCGAGGTCGTAGCGCATCTGCTGGCTAACGCCCCTGGCGAGAATTGGCCGGAAAGGGTTTTCCACGCCATGGCCCGAATGCAGGGGGCGTTCTCCCTGGCCTTGCTGACGCCGGATGCAATCATCGCAGTTCGCGATCCCTTGGGCATTCGTCCGCTGTGCCTTGGCCGACTTGAAAATGGTTGGGTCGTCGCTTCAGAGACCTGCGCCCTGGACCACATGCAGGCGGAGTTCACCCGTGAACTCGAGCCCGGCGAGGTGGTCGTGATCAGCGCCGACGGCGTGCAGGCCGCGATCTACCAGGACTCCGCCCGCCGGGGTCGCGCGCTGTGCGTGTTCGAATGGATTTATTTCGCCAGGCCGGACAGCGTCATGGATGGCCAGCTCATGCACACCGCGCGGGAGGACATGGGCGCTCAATTGGCCCGGGAACATCCCGTCGATGCGGACCTGGTGATTGGCATCCCCGACTCGTCCACATCCGCCGCCGTGGGCTTCGCCCGCGAATCCGGCATTCCCTTCGCCAACGGGTTGGTTCGTAACCGTTACGTCGGACGCACCTTCATCGAACCCGAGCAGCAGCGACGCGACCGCGGGGTCCGCCAGAAGTTCAACCCCATGCCCGCGGTCATCGGCGGCAAACGCCTCGTGGTGGTGGACGATAGCATCGTCCGCGGCACCACTACACCTCACGTCGTGGACCTCCTCCGCCGCGCCGGCGCGGCCGAAATACACCTCCGCGTGTGCGCCCCGCCCATCAAGCATCCCTGCTATCTCGGTGTGGACATGGCGACCCGCGGTGAGCTGATCGCTGCTAACATGACCATACCCGAAATCCGCGAGTTGACCGGCGCCGATTCGTTGGGTTACCTCAGCGTTCGCGGCTTGATGGACCTGGTTCACGGGCAGCGGGGTGGGTTCTGCGACGCCTGTTTCACCGGCAACTATCCGGTCCCGGTGCAGCTGGAACTGACTAAACAGTCCCTGGAACGGGCCGGCACCTGATGACCGCTGGCGAAGTCGGCGCGGCTGCCCCTGCGTCGGCCGAGTACGAAGCCGCCGGCGTCGCCCTGGACGCCATGGATGGGGTGAAGGATCGAATCAAGGCCTTTGCTGCCATGACCCACGGCCCGGAGGTGCTGGACAGCGGCGGTGGTTTCGCCGGTCTGTTTGCCCTCGGCGGCTATCGGGATCCCGTCCTTGTCGCGAGTACCGATGGGGTGGGCACCAAGCTCAAGATAGCGGCCCAGCTGGGCCATTTCGAGGGGGTCGGTCAGGATTTGGTCACCCTCAACGTGAACGACATCCTGACCAAGGGTGCGCGCCCACTGTTCTTCCTGGACTATGTGTCGTTCAGTGCGTTCGATGAGCATCGCCTGGAAATGCTGATGCGGGGCATGGTCTGGGGTTGCCGCGAGGCCGGTTGCGCTCTGATCGGCGGCGAAACCGCGCAGCTCCCCGGCGTCTACGCGGAGGCCGATTTCGACCTTGCGGGTTTCGTCGTCGGGGTGGTTGAACGAGACAACTTGCTCGACGGCAGTCGCGTCGTCCCTGGCGACCGGCTCATCGGCATACCCTCCAGCGGCGTGCATACCAACGGGTTTTCCCTTGTCCGCCGGGTATTCAACACCGACGAGTATCCGGACGCGCTTTTCCGTCCCTGCCCTGGTCTGCCACGTAACCTGGGCGACGAGTTGATGGTGCGCCACCGCGCGTACTACCCTTTGTTGGAACCCTATCTGGGCAGCATCAAAGCGTTGAGCCATATTACTGGCGGTGGACTGCCTGGAAAAATGCCGGCGTCGCTCCCGGGTGGAGTAACCGCCGAGTTTCACGTTGGCGCCTGGCCCATTCCCCCCGTCTTCGACGCGATTCAACGGGCCGGCGGGATCAGTGACGAGGAGATGTACCGCGTGTTCAACATGGGTCTGGGCATGGTCGCCGTGTGCGACCCCGACCGGGCTTCCGAGTTGTTGTCCGGACTGCCGGACGCTATGGACGTCGGTCAAATCGTCGAGAGTACCGGTCCGAACCGGACCGTATTCCGGACTGCTTGACCCGGAAAAGGTGGAGGTTGCTATGAATCTGAAAAACCCGTTCCGCCGTGATGCTCGCCCAAACTCCGCCGACAAATCTGAACCCATACTTGATGTCATGCGCCCTTGGTGGGCCTGGGGCCCTTTGGGTCTGATCTGGTATGGGGGCCACGACTCGGGATCCCATAACGACCCCGGCCAGTTCCACAACCCGGGCGACGCCGGCGGTCACAACCACACGGTTGATCCCGGCGGAGGCTTCGACGGCGGAGCCGGCGGCGTCTAGTTCCGTCCAAATTTCACGAGGAGATATCCAGGGAGTTGAAAGCTTTACTCAGCGTATTCGACAAGTCCGGCATCGAGCAATTCGGCAAATCTCTTGCCGATGCCGGCTATGAACTGATCAGCACAGGCGGCACTCACCGCAGCCTCGCCGACGCCGGTGTTCCCGTAACTCAGGTGTCCGACGTCACCGGTTCGCCCGAAATCCTGGACGGCCGCGTCAAGACGCTGCATCCGGTGATACACGGCGGCCTGCTGGCGCGCCGCGATTTGCCGGCACACATGGTCGAGTTGGAGCAGCACGGCATCGGGGCTATCGATGTCGTTGTCGTAAATCTCTATCCCTTCGTCGAAACAATCAGCAAAGCCGGCGTCACGCTGGACGACGCCCTGGAGAACATCGACATCGGCGGCCCCACGATGCTCCGCGCCGCCGCCAAGAACTTCCCTTCCGTCGCCGTCGTCGTGGACCCTTCCGATTACTCGTGGGTCGCGGACGCGTTGTCCGGTCCCGGATTGGACGCCCAACAGCGACGCGGCCTAGCCGCCAAGGCCTTTCAGCACGTCGCCGTGTACGACGCCGCCGTCGCCGGATACCTTTCTAACGATCCTGCTTCCGAAGAGGAAATGCCTGTGCAGGTGACCATCGGCCTTACCCGGGTGGCCAGCCTGCGCTACGGCGAGAACCCCCACCAGAGGGGCGCCTTGTACGTCACCGCCGGCGGAGGCCAGGGAGGTCTGGCCCGGGCCACTCAATTGCACGGTCGGGAACTGTCCTTCAACAACCTGACGGATGCCGACGCCGCCTGGCGCACTGTCAGCGACTACGGCGATCCCTCGGTGTGCGTTATCAAGCACGCCAACCCGTGTGGCCTCGCGTCGCGCGACGACGTTGCCGAAGCGTATCAACTGGCCTACGAGGGTGATCCCATATCCGCCTTTGGTGGCATCGTCGGTTTCAATCGCAACGTCACTGCCGCCGCTGCCCAGGCCATGGACCCCGTATTCTACGAAGTGGTTGTCGCGCCCGGATACGATGACGACGCTCTCGAAATCCTCCGCCGGAAGCGCAATCTGCGTATCTTGACCGTCGACCCGGTCGCCGGTTCCCCGGGTTCCGTGGATTACGATGTCCGTCCTCTCAGCGGCGGTGTCCTGGTACAAACTCCCGACGTCGTTGAAGAGTATCCCGATGCCTGGACTACCGCCACCGAGCGTGCTCCAAACCGGTCGGAGTTGGCGGACTTGGCCTTCGCCTGGAAATCGGTGAAGCACATCAAATCCAACGCCATCGCCTTCGTCAAGGACCGTACCCTCGTCGGCATGGGCGCCGGGCAACCCAACCGCGTGGTCAGCGTGCACCTGTCACAGCGCGCCGCCGGCGAAAAAGCCGCCGGGTGCGTCCTGGCCTCCGACGCTTTTTTCCCATTCCCCGACAACATCGATCTCGCTGCCGAGGCAGGGATCACCGCCATCGTCCAGCCCGGCGGCTCAATTCGCGACGACGAGGTGATTGCCGCGGCCAACCAGGCCGGCATCGCCATGGTGTTCACCGGCGTTCGTCACTTCCGCCACTGACCGTCCCTGTTGGACGCCTACCTGGACATCGAGACCACCGGTTTCATCGGTGGTCAATCCTACCCGACTGTCGTCGGCATCGCGGTTGACTTCCCCGGTGACTGGTCGACCACCCAGTTGGTAGGGGACGGCATTACCTCCGACGCGGTTCTCCACGTCCTCGGGGGTGTGACGACCCTCTACACCTTCAACGGCGCCACCTTTGACCTCCCATTCCTGGCATGGAAGCCCGGCGTGGATCTGCGCCGGCGCTTCGAGCATCAGGATCTCATGCGAGTATCCCATCGTGCCGGCCTCAAGGGCGGGCTGAAAGCTATCGAGAAAGCCTTGGGAATAGCGCGGAATCTGCCGGATATGGGCGGCTACGATGCCGTGTTGCTGTGGGAAAAGTTTCGTCGCGAAGATAACCGCGACGCTTTGGATATGCTTCTTGAGTACAACCGGGAGGATGTCGAAAACCTGCGCGTCCTCCGGAAAATATTGGAGGACGAAAGTTGGAACTGGGATTGAAAGGTAAGAATGTGCTTGTAACCGGCGGCGGCAACAATATCGGTCGGGCCATTGTGCTCGCGTTTGCCTCCGAAGGATGCAACGTAGCTATCGCCGAGTTGGACCACGCCGCCGGCAAGCGTGTCGCTGCCGAAGTGTCCGCCCTTGAGTCCGGCGCTTCCGCCATCGTTGTCGACGCTGACGTGACCGATCAGGCCCGCACCGTCGCCATGATGAACGAGGCGATTGATCGCTTGGGAAGCGTGGACGTTCTGGTCAACAACGTTGGCTGGACCATCGACCGCCTCTTCATGGACAAGTCACGAGACGAGCATGTCAAGGAAGTGGACGTCAACCTCTGGGGCGCCATCAATTGCATCCATGCCGTCCTTCCTCACATGATCGAGCGGCAATCCGGCGCGATAGTCAGCATCAGTAGCGACGCCGGCAGAATAGGTGAGTACCGTGAGGCCGTCTATTCAGCCTGCAAGGCCGGCGTGATCGCCCTGAGCAAGTCCCTCGCCCGCGAGAACGGGCGCTACGGTCTCCGCTTGAACATGGTGTGCCCCGGCCTGGTTGTTCCCGACCGTTCCGAGGTCGCCGGCTCGGAGAGCATGTGGAGCCAGGGCATGCAGGACCTGTTCACGGACGACGTGCTCGAACGAGTGAAACGCGCCTACCCGCTCCGCCGCATGGGTTCCGCCCAGGAAGTCGCCAACGCGGTGGTTTTCCTCGCTTCCGACGCTGCCAGTTTCATCACTGGCCAGACCCTCAGCGTCTCCGGTGGCTACACCATGATGTAGCTCGCTCGCCGCGCTCGAAACAAAAGTTTAGGGGCGGGTCCAAGACCCGCCCCTAACTATCGGTTTATCGGGGGCGAACGATCATTCGACCCCGACTGAGTGGCGCTGTTTACCGCTGGTTGGTGCCAACCAGGGCCCAGGCCTTCTCTTCCATCGCCGGGACCACGGCCTGCACCAGGTCGTTGTCCAAGCCGGAAGCGACGGTCGGATAGCCCGCCCGCTCGATCATGCTGGCCAGATTGCCGGCCTTGAACTGGTCGAGGGTCCAGGCCAGCGTGTGGCCGCTGGTGGTCACGTCCCAATAAATCCGAACGTCCTGGTTGCGCGGGCCGTAGTGATAGTGCGGCGCGATCTCGAAGCAGTCGAAGGCCAGCAGCTCGAACTCCTGCCCCAGGTGATCGGTCAGCACGTGGATGGCCACGCCGCGGTCGTTGGCCGCGCCGATGTTGTCGCGGTACTCAACGCCGAAACGGATGTTGCCGGCTTCGTAGATGTGGTCGCCGCGGAAGTGCGTGACAGTGCGCCGCTCGTCGCGGACCTTGCCCAGCGCGATCTCTTCCACTTCGTCCATCTTGTTCGCGTCGATGCCGTTCATCTCAACAGCGGACGCCAGATCGTCGTACCCGGCTCGGCGTACCATCGAGGGCAGGTTCGTCCGGATGTTCTTCAGCGTCCAGCCCAACGGCGTGCCGACCGTGGTCTTGTCCATGTGCAGCCGGATGTTCATGTTCTCCGGCCCGTAGTGGTAGTGTGGGTCCTGGTCGAAGCAGTCGAACCGCAGGATCTCGGTGTCGTGTCCGTCAATGTCGCCGTACACTTGCACCATCAGGCCCTGGTCGGGCATGATTTCCTTGCGGTAGGACAGGGTTACGTCCACCGGCCCAATATTGATAACGGTGTCTCCCTTTTCCATGAGCTCGCCTCCTCCTGGAATGTGGATTGGTTTGGCTGTCACGGTTGTCGTGACGATTCCTTTGTGCGGATTATAGCACTGCGGGAAATTAGCGCAAGAACACTTTTCAAAAGTTCGGCCAAATCCGGACCAATCGTGTCCGCGCCCCTTATAATTCGGTTGTTTCTTTCACCCTATGCCCCAGCGACGTCACATCCCGATCACTGCCGATTTTCCCGGCGCTGCCTGCCCGCCCGGTAGCGTCATTCGCTTCGTTGGAACCCGTGACGGCGAGCGCCATGCTACTGTCACCTCAATTCGAACCCGCCGTGCTCACGCCATCGATGACGATGGCGTTGAATGGAGGGTTCCTTATTCCGCTGTCCAGTCCGTCGATAGGGCGCCGGTGCCCGAATGCACGCTGCGTGAAATCGAAACCCTGGGTCAACGCCTGGTGTCCGAATTCCAATCCCGTGGAGCCTTGCCCTCGGCTTGGGCCTTCGGGTTCGATCTCGCTGCGTCCCGCGCCGGCGTCTGCCGCTATGGTGAGCATCGCATCGACCTGTCCGTCAGCTATTGCCTCGCCGCCACCCGCGCGGAGATCCAAGATACTGTGCTCCACGAAATCGCCCATGCAATCGTCGGGCCCCAACATAACCACGACGCGGTTTGGAAGGCCAAGGCTCGCGAGATCGGGTGCGCCGGCGAGCGTTGTCACCGTGTCCAGCACTCAACTCCAAAGTGGGTCGGAGAGTGCGGTTGTGGGCAGCAATGGTTCCGCCAAACCCTGCAGCGCCGCATCATGCGCAACCGGGCGTGCGCCAAATGTGGGGGCGTAATAACCTGGCGCAGGAACACCAACGTATCCGCGTAGCCCTGCGCCAACGTCTGATTCTTTGGCCTGACCTGAGCGCGTCCCGGGGCGATGCTATAATGCCGCCGCCGTCGTTGGGTCTGGGAGTGCCTCCCGTCAAATCAGCTCACGGCCAGGAGATTTTCGCATGAAGATAGGTGTCAGCATTCCCCGTTTGCCGGACGCCGAGGGTATCCGCGAGTTCTGCGAACGCGCTGAACGGCTGGGTTTCGAGTCGGTGATGGCTGGCGATCACATTGTCCTTCCCGTGGACGGTACCAACCAGTATCCGTACACGCCCACCGGCGCCTTTCAGCGCCCGTCTGACGAACCGTTCCTCGAGACCATGACCATGCTCGGGGTTCATGGCCGCCTGCACCAACGAAATTCGCTTGGGCAGCACCGTACTGATCCTACCCTACCGAAATCCCGTGGTTCAGGCCAAGATGTTCGCTTCACTGGACGTGCTGTCGGGTGGCCGTATCATCTGCGGCGTGGGTGTCGGATGGCTGGAAAAAGAATTTGACATCCTGGGCGTCCCTTATGCCGACCGTGGGCCCATGACCGACGAATTCCTTGCCATCTTCAACGCCCTGTGGACCGAAGAGACGCCGGATTTCCAAGGCAAGTACTACCAGATCGACGGAATCTACTTCGAACCCAAACCCATCCAGCAACCGCGTATCCCGATTTGGGTCGGCGGTCACACCCGACGCGCTCTGCGTCGCACCGCGAAATATGGCGACTGCTGGCATACCACTCGCCAGACCCCCGACTTCGTAGCCGAAAATCTTCCCTACCTCCGCGAGCAGACGGAACTGGCCGGCCGCGACCCGGCTGACATAACAATCTCGCTCAAGCGCAGCCTGCACTTCACCGACATGGGCGGCGCCGACGAGGGTGTGGGTGTCCGTTCCGGCGGCGCTCTCATCAACACCACCCAGGCCGTTATCGACGATGTCCATTACTGCAACGAGTTGGGAATCGATCAGCTGACCTTCGACTTCCGCGTCGACGGCATCGGCCCGTGCATTCAGGTGATGGAACACCTGGCAGAGCATATCCTTCCCGTTGCCGAACGGTTCGGTTAGGGCATTACGCGCCGCCGTGAACTGAATTGGGGCGAGTGCAAAACTCGCCCCTGGTTATTGTGTCGGTGCCGGCCGCTTACAGGCCGCTTTCCTTGAACCACTCCGCGCGTTCGACCAAGTGCTCGGCGGTCATGCGCATTTGCTCGATCTGCTCGTCCGAAACCGCCCGCTTCACCGATCCCGGAACACCCGCCACGAAGCTGCGGTCGGGCACGTCTACGTTGGACAGCACCACCGCGTTGGAGGCAATCAGGCACTCCTTGCCGATTGTCGACTCGGTCAAAAACGTGCAGTTGTTGCCCAGTAGACTCCCTGTGCCAATGCGGTCGCCGTGCACCACCACGCAGTGTCCAATTGAGACATAGTCCTCGATCACCAGCCCGTCGCCATGCACCACGGAACCCTCCTGGACGTTGACGTGATTGCCGATGGTGATGAGCTCACCGTCTCCCCGTATCGTCACACCCGGCCAGATGCTGCTGTACTCGCCGATCACCACGTTGCCCACCACGTAAGCGGCCTCGCTGATCCACGCGGTGGACGCGATCTTCGGTTCAATGCCACGCAAGCTACGTATCAAGATGCTTACCTCACAATAGAGCGCCCCGACCCCTGCGAGCCGGGACGCCGTTTTCCTCGGAAATTATAGCGCGGTGCAGCCGCGGCAAAAAGCGGCCGGGATCACTCCCTCCACTCTTTCACCGCCTGCCGTGCCTGCCGCTCCCGTTCCCGCTCGATGATGGTGCGGCGTTTGTCGTACTGCCGCTTTCCCCGAGCGACGCCCAGCTCGACCTTCGCGTGGTGGTTCTTCAGGTAAAGGCGCAGCGCGGCCAGAGTCAATCCCTTTTCCGCCATCTGGGATGCCAGCTCGCTGATTTGGCTGCCATGCACGAGGAGCTTGCGCACGCGCCGCGGCTCATGATTCATGTAGCTACCCGCATCATACGGCGCGATGTGTGCCCCGTGGAGCCACAACTCTCCGCCCTGCACGCGCGCGAAGGCGTCGCGCAGGTCAACCTTTCCGGCGCGAATTGACTTGATCTCGGTACCGGTCAACACCAGGCCCGCTTCTACTCGGTTCAGGATCTCGTAGTCGTACAACGCTTTACGGTTGACCGCGACCTGACGGTTGTCACCGGTGCCGGTGGCCTGGGCTTTCTTTTTGCTGTTCCTGTTCTTTCGCGGCATGATCGGCCGTTTCTTCTCTCCCGGGAGTGTGGTCGCGTATTGCCCGTCTGTCCTGGTGGATTGGGGTAATGCGGGATGTTATCGCACGGCAATTTGCTCGTCTAGAACCTCAAAAGCGCGTTTCAGCGCAACATCTTGCTCGAATTCTATGGGTAGAGGATGCGCCTCAGCTTCAATCTCGATGTCTGGGGTGACCCCCTCGCCTTCTATCTGAGTGCCGTCCGACAGGTACCACCGGCGGATGGTGAAGTAGATCGCCGAACCATCGGACAGCTCGCGGGCAATGTTGACGCTGCCCTTGCCGAAGGTGCTCGATCCCACCACTATTGCGCGCCCGCTGGTTTGAATCGCGCCGGCCATGATTTCGCTCGCGCTGGCCGAAAACTGGTTGACGATCACCACCAGCGGCACGTCGGTGGCCGGTCCTCGCCGGACCGCCTCGTAGTCGTTCCGGTCGCCGTCGGCGTCAATCTCGTACAGGATCGTTCCACTATCCAAAAACAGATCGGTAACACTGATCACCGACGCCAACAGACCCCCAGGATTGTTTCGCAAGTCCAGTATCAAACCGCGCCCGCCCGCGGCCTCCAGCTCATCCATCGCCCGCCGCACTTCTTCTTCTGTGGTATTGGAGAAACTGTAGATCCAGAGGTGGCCAATCCCGTCTTCCAGCATACGAAACGCGGTGCTCTCGATCGGAATGCGCCCCCTGGTCACCGTGATGCTCGCGTCTTCGAATTCCCCCACGTGTCTCACCAGCAGCGTAACCTCGGTACCGCCGGGCCCCCGTATAAGGTTCACCGACTCGACCAGCGTCAATCCCTCAATGTCTTGCCCATCCACCGATAAGATCAGGTCTCCCGCGCGAATGCCGGCCTCCTCGGCCGGCGCCCCGGGAATCGGGGCAATCACCGTTAGACCCGCTTCTGTCAGCGTGACCTGCGCCCCGATGCCCTCAAAGTAACCTCTGTAGCCTTCCTGATCTCGGGAGTGCTGTTCTGCGGTGAGATATGAAGCGTGTGGGTCGTCCAGGGCGGCCAGCATGCCGCGGATAGCCCCTGCCGACAGGTTGCCTGGTTCCAGCACTTCGTGGTCGACGTGGTCGTCCAACAGGATGCGGTACGCCTCTGCCACGGGGCCCAGTTCGGCGGGCAATTGATCGCCCGGCGGGATCGGCTCCGTGGCGACGGCGCTCACGCGGTTGCAGCCAGCCAAAACCACGAGCAATGACAGGGCAATCAGCAGTGGCGGCAACCTCGCGGCTGTCAAGCGATCACTCATTGATTGCATTGTAGCATGCACCTTTTCGTTGACACTCCGTCGCGCCCGCTGATAGCATCGCTGGCACGTCATTCGCGCAGGCAGGAGTTGGAATTTGGTCGGCATCGCAGCCTATGGCGCGTACATCCCCCGCTATCGTCTGGGCGCGGAGACCGTTGGCTGGAACTCGCGCCAGGAACGGGCGGTCGCCAACTTCGACGAAGATAGCGTGACCATGGCCGTCGCCGCCGGATCAGACTGTCTCGCACGGCGTGACCGGTCGCTCATTGATGGCATCGTGTTCGCCAGCACGACCCCGCCCTACGCCGAAAAACAGTGCGCCGCCATTGTGGCTGCGGCCTTGGATCTCCGGAACGACATTTTCGCGGTCGACGTCGCGAATGTGCTCCGAGCCGGAACCAACGCGTTGCTTACCGCCGTGGATGCCGTCGCTTCCGGACGGGTCCGCCAGGTTCTCGTGGTTGTCGCCGACAGCCGCCAGGGCCCGCCCCGGGGCGAGACCGAACGCGCATCTGGCGACGGCGCCGCTGCTTTCGTCATCGCCGACCAGGGAGTGGTCGCTGAACACGTCGGCAGCCACTCGGTGACCGATAACATGCTCGATGCCTGGCGATCTCCCGGTGATCCCTTCGTCCGTACGTGGGAAGACCGTTTCGCTACCGAAGAGGGTATCGAGCGCATCGTGCCCGGCGCAGTCAGCGGCTATTGCCAGCGCACCGGCACGGCATTGTCCGACGTCGCCAAACTCGCCCTGTACGCCCCTGATGCCCGCCGTCATTCCCGTCTGGCCCGCCAGTTGGGATTCGCCGACAACCAGGTCCAGAACCCGCTGTTCGGCTCAATTGGGAACACCGGCGCCGCCTTCGCTCCCATGCTCCTGGCCTCAACGCTGGAGACTGCTGCCCCGAACGACCTGCTGCTGACCGTGTCCTACGGGGACGGCAGCGACGTTGTCGGCTTCCGCGCCACTGCGGCTATCACCCACGCTTCTCGCCCGACCATGGGAGTGTCCGGTTGGCTCGAAACCAAGCGCATCCTCGGGCACTACGAAACCTACGCCCGCTGGCGCGAAGTCTGGACGTTGGACGACGCTTCCCGTCGCCCCGCTGCCGCGTCCCCGTCCGTGTCTGCTCTGTGGCGCGAGGAGGACAAGAACGTGCGGCTCTATGGCGCCCGATGCCGGAACTGCGGTTACGTCCAGTATCCTGCTCAACGGGTCTGTGTGGAATGCCGCAAGATAGACCAGGGCGAGCCGCTACGCCTGAGCGAGACGCCGGCCGAACTGTTTACATATTCCATGGATTATATCGCCGGCGCGGTCGATACCCCGCTCGTGGTGGCGGTCGTGGATTTCGAGGGCGGCGGTCGTGTCCTTTGCATGATGACCGACCGTGAGTTGGACGAAGTCCGCATTGGCATGCCGGTGGAGATGAGCTTTCGCAAGCTGCGCGTCGTCAACGGTATCCACAACTATTACTGGAAAGCCATACCCAGGCGCACGCCCCATCCGGCGGCGGTGGCCGCATAATTTGGAGGAACAAGCGATGAGCGGAATACGAGACCGGGTCGCCGTGGTCGGCATGGGATGTACGCGTTTTGGTGAGCGGTGGGACGCCTCCGCGGCGGATCTCATGGTCGAAGCCGCCTACGAAGCCTACGAGGATGCCGGGCTGGAAACCGGCGACATTCAGGCAGCTTGGCTTGGCACCGTCAGCAGCTTTCGCACCGGCCAACCATTGGCCGAGGCGCTCAAGCTGGACTACATACCCATTACACGGGTTGAAAACGCCTGCGCCACCGCCACCGACGCTTTCCGCAACGCCTGCTATGCCGTGGCCGCCGGCGTGTACGACATCGTCCTCGCCATGGGTGTGGAAAAACTCAAGGACAGCGGTTTCTCCGGCCTGGCCATCGCCGCCGGCCCTGGGTCCGACGTGGAACCTCCCACCCCGCCGCCGTCCCAATTTGCCATGGCCGCCACCCGCTATTTCCACCACTACGGCATCGAGTACGACGATGGCAAACGCACCCTCGCCCAGATCGCTTCCAAGAACCATCACAATGGGACGTTGAATTCCAAAGCTCACTTCCAACGCGAGGTCAGCGAGGAGCAGATCATCAACGCCCCAATGATCGCCTGGCCCTTGGGTCTGTACGACTGCTGTGGCGTCAGTGATGGCGCGGCGGCCGCCATCATCACCACGCCCGAGATCGCCCGTACCCTCCGCGACGACTACATCCTCGTCAAGGGCATCGGCCTCGCTGTGGGCGCGTTCGGCGTCCTGCGCAACGACTGGGACTTCACTTACTTCCCCGAAACCGTGCGCGCCAGCCAGGCTGCCTACGAAGAAGCCGGCATCACCGAGCCTCGCGCCGAAATCGACATGGCCATGGTCCACGATTGCTTCACCATCACCGAGTTGATAATCATGGAAGACTTGGGCTTCAGCCCTCGGGGTCAGGCCAGCGCCGACGTGGCTGACGGCGCGTTTTCACTGGAGGGCGATTTGCCGGTGAACACCGACGGCGGCCTCAAATGCTTCGGACATCCCATTGGCGCCAGCGGCATCCGCATGATCTATGAGGTCTACAAGCAGATGCAGGGCAAAGCCGGCGGCCGGCAGCTCCAGAAAGCCGACTTGGGCATCACCCACAACCTTGGTGGCCGTCCCGGATCGTTCACCTGCTCCGTGGCCGTGTTCGGACGCCCCGATTAGCGCCATCCGTCGGTATGGACCACTGCGCAATCGGCGCAAAGACTGTCCGGCCGGAGCCGCTAAAGCGGTTTCCGGCCGATTTTATGAGAGGACGCCACCATGCTTGGCCCAGTCAAAACCGTGGGAATCTACGTTGCCGACCAGCGAAAATCCGTCGATTTCTACGTGAGCATTCTGGGTTTCGAGGTCCGTCGACGGATGGAGATGGGGGGGACGCTGAGTGGGTCGAAGTCGCCCCGCCCGGCGCCGAAACGTCCCTCGTGATTTATCCCAGGGATCTGATGCCCGATTGGGAAGAACGCAAACCCTCGTTGGTGTTTTACTGCGCCGACGTTGCTGCCACGGTGGCTGATTTTGAAGCGCGCGGGGTCCATATCGCGATGCCGCCCGCGGAATTGCCGTGGGGCACTTTCGCTGCCGTGGAAGACCCGGACGCCAACCGGCTGGGACTGACGGACCAATCGATCGGCTATCAACCCGAACCACCGGTTGCGAACCGGTAGCATTTCGGCCCAATCACAAGGGCAACACGCGGTTAATTCTTGGAATTCGGCCAAACTTGCAAGCTCGGCCCAAGGCCGTCGCTCATCACGTATTGCTATAACTGGTGGCGATGGTGGCCGAGTTCACAGAAACGCATGATTTGGTCCGGGTCTCCGGCCGTGGAGCGTTGGTCAATTTTGAAGTTGACGACCACGCGCCGCTCAATGACGCCTGCCGCGCACTCCGCGAGCACCTGGGCCGGAACCGTCACCTTTATGCCAGCGGTGAAGTTATCGCCAATATCGGTGCCCGCCTCCTCAGCGAATCCGATCAGGATCGTATCCGGAAAGTCATCGAGTCCGAATCGGGACTGCACGTTAAACAATTCTGGTGCCGGCCTGAAATCCTGGAGCGGGAGAGCCTGCGCATCGCCCGGTTGATGGAAGAGCAGGCAGTTGTCGTGGGCCTGCCTTTGCCCGGCGAGGAACCCGCCGTGCCACTGGCCGACGAAACCGAGGAGGACGATACGGTTGACGATGGTCCCTCTCCTTCGGTCGCTCCAGAAACGTGCCAACCTGAACCTGCTCGCACCGCCCTCGAAGAACCCTATCGAGTTCCTGTCGATATCGAACGCGGAAATCTGCGCGCTGGTGAAACCCGAATTTTCCCGGGCCACGCCGTCATTTTGGGCAACGTGAACCCGGGGGCGCAGGTGATCGCTGACGGCGACGTCATGGTGTTTGGCGGATTGCGCGGTATGGTCCACGCCGGCGCCAGCGGCGACAACACTGCCACCATCCTCGCCATGTCTATCGCCTATCCCGTGCTCCGTATCGCGGATTATTCGTGGCACCGCGACGGTCCTGCCAACGCGTTCGGACGCCAGAGCAATGATGGGAACGGCCCTACATTGGCCCAGGGTGTCAAACGGCGCCATCCAGGTAGCCCCTTACTTGAAACCCAACTCCATCAACCAGGGAGGCAATCCCAATGAGCGGTAAGACCATCGTCATGACTTCCGGTAAGGGGGGCGTGGGTAAAACTACCGCAACTGCCAATGTTGGGACCGCCTTGGCCCTTCGCTCCAATCGGGTTGCCGTCATCGACACTGACATCGGATTGCGGAATCTCGACGTGGTGATGGGCCTCGAGAACCGCATCGTGTACGACCTGGTTGACATCGTCGAAGGGCGCTGCCGCCTCGAACAGGCGCTGATCCGTGATAAACATGCCGGCGAACTGTACCTGATCGCGGCGGCGCAAACCCGGGACAAGGATTGCATCACGACCCAACAACTCGTCGGATTGTGCGAAAGGTTGGAAGACGATTTCGACTACGTGATCGTCGACTGTCCCGGCGGGTATCGAACAGGGCTTCCGCAACGCGATTGCTGCGGCCCAGGAGGCTCTCGTCGTTACCACTCCTGAAGTTTCAGCCATACGCGACGCTGACCGCGTGATTGGCCTTCTTCAGGCGGCCGAAATCCGCGATATCCGGCTCATCATCAATCGCATCAAACCCGAGATGGTTCGCCAGGGCAACATGATGGACGCATCGGACGTCTTGGAAATGCTTGCCGTTGACGCCGTCGGTTTGGTCCCGTCCGATGACCGCGTCATAACCTCTACCAACAGCGGGACACCTGTGGTGTACGACGGCCAATCGGCTTCCGGTCGCGAGTTCGTGCGTATCGCCGCCCGCATCGACGGCGAGCATATACCGTTGATCGACCCGCTTGACGAAGCGCCGACGTCCATCATGGACAAAGTGCGCAACATCATGGGGATCAACCGCAAGGCTTCCGCCCATGTTTGATTTGTTGCGCAAAAATCGCCGGCACCGCGGCGGAAACCCGCGGCAGGTCGCTCGGGAGCGAGTTCAATCGGCCATCCGCCGGGACCGGATGGAGGTCTCTGCGCCGCAGTTGACGGCCCTGCGCGACAGCATGCTTTTCACCATCAGGGAACACCTCCCGGTAGCTCCCGAGTTTACCGAGTTCGGGATTCAACGGGACGGCGACGAGCTTTTCCTGATCTCTCGTGTCCGCCTCCAGCAGGGTCACTAACCACCGCGCTCATACCTCCCGCTTCGCCGGCTCGGGTATAGCATCCGCCGTGTTACTCGATGTGACCTGCGGATGCCGAGCCCAACTTTTTGCGGTGGACACTCAGGTTTGATCCTTGCGCGAACGTGCTCAGCTTTCTGACCGCTGTTTGCGGTGGACAGGTTGCGCGATTGCGGGAGTCAGACTCGGTGACCATTACCCTCGTCTAATCCAATTTGACCCCCGGTTGCCGTGGGTTATAATGCCGCAACTACCCCGAGCTAATCACTGGTAACGACGGCATCAGCGCGTCGGCGGCGAACGTCTACCCGCACCTGACCTGCGCACGTGGCCGGATCACGTCGGTCGTCAAACCCGGTCTTGGTCGCACGCAGGAGTGTCGAAATGGCCACGCCTCCCGCCCCGCAGCGCAACTTCTTCGCGCAAAAAACCCATCGGTTCCTCGCGGCGCTGGTGTTCCGCGACTTCCGTTTTCTTGCCCTGGCGTCGCTGAGCAGTGGGAGCGGTGCGTGGGCTCTGATCGTCGCGCGCGGCGCATGGGTTTACAGCATTCCCGAGCTGCAGGGCAGTTGGGGCCTGTGGGTCGGCTTGATCACCTTCGCCGCCATGTCGCCGCGGTTTTTCGCGACTCCCTTCATTGGGTACCTCGCCGACAAGATGACCCGCAAGACCCTGCTGCAATGGGTCTACGCCCTGCAACTGATCCAAGCTTCGATCATGGCTATCTTGGTGATGATCGGTGTCGATAACCCGTGGTATGTGCTGATGCTAGCCGTCGTGAACGGCACCCTCCGCGCGACCCAGCAGACCGCCGCTCAGTCGTTGACGCCAAACTTGGTGCCCCGGGAACGGCTACCCAACGCCGTGGCGTTGAACGAAGCCATGCAGCAGGGTTCCCGCGCCGTCGGTCCCGCTATTCTGTTGGCTGTTTCCGCTTCGGTGGGCAGCAGCGTCCTGTTCGGTGGGGCCGGCGCGGCGTTCAGCATCCAGAACCTGGTGCTCACCATAGGGACGTCCGCGATCGTGTTCTGGGCCTGCGGGGTCTTCTATCTGGTTGCCTTGGTGTCCGCGCTCAGCATTCGTACCGTATCGTCCGGCGTCATTGACCGGCGGCGCAGTTTCTGGGCCAATACCGCCGCCGGGTTCGTTTACTCGTACAGCACTCCCCTGGTGTTCGGCATCATTCTCATGGCCCTGGCCCACTGCGTGCTGGTCATGTCCTTCGAGTCGATGCTACCCCCACTCGCCTTGGAGAAGCTGTCCCCGGATGGGGTCACGTTTAGCGAGAATGATGTTTACGCGCTGATGACTGCCCTGGGCATTGGAGCCTTGCTCTCTTCGATTTTCGTGGGCGGAATCGCCAGCCACATGACGCGCGGCCGGGTTTTCCTGTTCCTCGGTTTCACGAGCAGCCTGACCCCCATTGGGTTGGGGCTCTCCGCCCAGACCGGCATATCCATGTTCGCCGCGATTTTGATGGGGTTGGGTACCTCCGGCTTCATGACCATCACCCACACCATAATCCAGTCGGTTGTGCCGGACGACATCCGCGGCCGCGTCTCCTCGGTGTATTCCATGCACGTCGGCGGCAGCATGGCATTTGCCAACCTGCTCTACGGGCGCTTGGCGGACTTCTGGTCCCCGGGCAACGTTATGGCCGTGGCCGGCGCCGCATTTACCCTCGTGGTGGTTGGGACACTGATTGGCAGCGGTTTCTGGCGCGGCATCTACTTCCGCGGCGAGGCTCGCCCGGTAGTGGCTGCCGCCAGCCCGGCCGGCGGAGACGATTAGTTCTCCATAACCTCGCTGCGGCAGCGCCCTCCCCTTGACCGGTTGCTTCGCCGTTCGGCGCTGGCCAACATTTGGTCTTCGAGTGGGCGGGCTCCGCGCAGAGGATGAGCGGGGCGTTTGTTATCCTTACACCGGGACGTTGTAGATTTTCGGAGATGTACTGTGCCTTCTAACGAAATAACCCGCTACATGGAGACCACGCCACAATCCCGTGCAATTTGGGAAGAGGCTTGCCGGTACTTGCCTGACGGCGACAGCCGTCATTCCATCTTCTGGAACCCGTACCCGATCTTCACCGAATCAGCCCGGGGGGCGGTAGTCACCGACGCCGATGGCGTCGAGCGGCTCGACTTCATCAATACGATGACCACCATGATTCTCGGCCACGGGCCCGCACCCGTTCTGGATGCGGCCCGCCAGCAGATGGAGTTGGGCCTGGCCTACAACTCGCCCAACCGCCATCAGGTGGCGCTTGCCCGCTTGCTTTGCGAGCGAATACCCTCATTTGACCAGGTGCGGTTCACCAACTCTGGAACCGAGGCCACGCTCAATACCATCCGCGCTGCTCGCGCCTTCACCGGCCGCAGCAAGTTTGCCAAGGTGGAAGGTGGTTATCACGGTACCCACGACGCCGTACTGGTCAGCCTGCGGATCGACCCTTCCGCCGCGGGAGCCTACGATCATCCTGAGCCTGTCGCGTCGAGTGCCGGGCTGGCCGACGGGGTTTTGGACCAAGCGGTTATCGTTCCCTACAACGACGTGGAGGTCGCCCGGCGCATCCTGGACGAGAACCGCGAAGATTTGGCTGCGGTCATCGTCGAGCCTGTCATGGGCTCGGTTGGAATGCTTCCGGCGGACCCCGCCTATCTGACCATGCTGCGCGATTTCGCCGATGACAGCGGTGCGCTGCTTATCTTCGACGAGGTCATCAGTTTCCGCGTCGCGCCCGGCGGCGCTCAGGAATATTACGGCGTCACCCCTGACATGACCGCACTGGGCAAGATCATTGGCGGCGGCTTCCCGGTGGGCGCCTTCGGTGGTCGGTCCGACATCATGGCGCAATACAGTCCGGTCAATGGCGCGGCCATCGCCCATGGCGGCACCTTCAACGCCAATCCCGTCACCATGGCCGCGGGCGTAGCCACGCTCAACGAACTGACTCCAACCGTGTATCGCCGCCTGGCCGAGCTAACCGAGATGCTCCGCCAGGGTATCCGCCAGGTGTGCTCCGAGCTGGAGCAGCCGGTGGTGGTGACCGGAGCCGGATCGCTCTTCGGCATCCACTTCGGCCACGGTCCACTGAACCACTATCGGGACATCGCCTCAACCGACAAGGATTTGGCCGGCCGCGTGTTCATCGGAATGCTCAACGAGGGCTTCTTGCTGGCCTCCAACCTAGTGGGCGCCCTTTCGACCTCCCTTGGCGAGGTGGAAGTTGACGCCTTCGTCCGCGGGTTCAGGCGCGTCCTGCAACGGCAGCTCGACTGATCCGGCAGCTCGGCTGATCCGGCAGCGCCTTGCCAAAAGTTAGGGGCAGGTTCGCGAGCCTGCCCCTTTTTGATGTTCTGTGCCCCTGTGATCAGTCCACTGGAGGACGCTTCTCCCACTTCTCCGGTACCGGATACACGGGCGTGGCGATCTTGCGGATGTTCTCGGTGGCGAACCAGTCCGCGCACTCCTCCCGCCACTTGACGAAGTGCGGAGCATTGCGATGCGCATCAACGGCCGCTTCGTCCTCGTACACCTCGAACAGGTGGATCTTGTTCTCGTCCTCATTGTCTTGCAAAACGTCGAAGCGCAGGCACCCCGGTTCATCGTTGTTCGAACCCTTCGCGTCCCCTAGCATGGAGGCCATGAACTGGTCCTTGAAGCCGGATTTGATATTGATTTCCACAATCAGCGCGATCATTTTTGTCTCCTTGGATGTCGGGGATTCCTCAGCGATTATAGTAGCGGCGATTATAGCAGCGACCGACGCAAAGTTGTAGAATGCCGCCATAGTCGGCTCGTCACACGGGAGGCAACCATGGCAGACATCCCAATCGTGTATACCCTCACGGTGTGTCCCGCATGCGATTCGTTGCGCGCTGCCTGGCGGCGCGAAGGCGTCGAATACGACGAACGCCGGGTCGACCAGAGCCAGGACACGTTGGACGAGGCTCTGGATTTTGGAGATGCCGTTCCCATCATCGTGTGGCCCGATGGCAAAGTGGAGATGGGTTTCCGCGGCCAACGCGGTTGAGAGATCGGCTGACCGGCCGGCGGCCTGTCCCCCGTAGGAATTTCGGAATTCGGTTCACTCAACATCCGTTGAACTCGAGAGGTGCAATCATGGTACGTGAAGCCAGCGTGGTAACGGCCGAGCGCTATGCTCAGGGTATGACCTACGACGACTATATGAGCAGCATCAATGTCAACAAGGCCAGGTTCGAAGAATATTACGCCAACGTTCAGTTGGATTCGGACCAGTCGTCCAGTCTCCGGGAATTGGCCTCATCCGAAGGCGGGCCCGCCCGCATGATGGTGATCGGCGAAGACTGGTGTGGCGACGTGGTGCGCGAACTGCCGGTCCTCGCACGAGTGGCCGAAGCGGCCGGAATTGAACTGCGCATTTTCCCTCGCGACGAAAACCACGACATCATGAACGAGTACCTCAAAGAGGGCCTGTATATGTCGATCCCGGTCGCGGTGTTTTACGACCAGGGCCACGAGTACATCTGCCATTGGATCGAGCGCTCCGCCACAGCCGGCCGGGAGCAGGGCGAGATCGAATCGACCATTCGGTCCGAGCAGCCGGATATATCGGACCAGGACTTCGGCCGCCAACGGCGCGCCCGGACTGCCGCCCGTGCGGGAGACTGGCAAAAAGCCACTGTTGACGAGTTGGTCGGCCTTCTGCAGGAACACCTGCACTGACGCCCAGCGCGGATCCCCAGGCAACCCGGTTGTGAGTGGGGGCGGACGAAGGTCCGCCCCCACTCTTATTCCACCTGTTCCAGCGTGAACCGGTAATCCTCGATCACCGGGTTCGCTAGCAGCCGGTCACACATGCCGGTAACTTCACTCTCGGCTTGCGTCAGGGCATCGGCGGCCACGCGGATTTCCAGGTACTTGCCGATGCGAACATCCTCCACGGTTTCGTAGCCCAGGCTGTGCAGACCGCCAATTACGGTCAGACCCTGGGGGTCGTTGACCGCCGGTTTCAGGGTAACGTAAACCCGTGCCAAAAACATGCTGGTTGCGCTGCCTCTCCGTTAGTCCGTGCGATCAGCCGCCGGACGATTGGGTCATGTCGATCCCGGTGGTGCAGGGCAGCCCGTTGGCGAATTCGGGGCCCGTGTTGGCCGGATAGTCGGCGAAGAACCTGGCGATCCGTTCCGGCTCGACACCTTCCATCCTGTCCAGGACTCCCCAAGTGGTCAGCGCAACCATCCCTTCCGGTATCGCCTGGTAGCGTCGGACAATCGCGAACTCGTGGGCCAGTGGGATCGCTTCCACGGCGGCTCTCAACTCCGCAACTTCGGCGTCGCTCGCCAGGTTGTAGCTGACGATGATGTTCCCGTGCTCCAGGTTGTGGACCAACAGTTCATCCGGTAAAGGATGGTTGTAAAACCCACAGTCGCTCCACGCGCCCCAGTGGCGGCCGGAGGTCGGCGGGACAGTGCTGTACCCGTCGGGCACCACATCGGAAATCTTCATTTGGGACGGGAAATGGTCCCGGCTCGGCATGGGATCCACCCGGATCGGTCCGCTAGTGGCCTGTACCGGGGGTTGTGTTGGCTCGGTGGGTTGCGACGTTGGCGTCGGCTCGGGCGTTATTGCCGGCATAGTGGGCTGAGGAGTCGGCGTGTGCGTGCTCGCGACTGGCGTTATCGTGTGGGTGGGCAATGGCGATGGCGTCGCGGTGGGCACCGGCGTAGCCGCTGCGACGGCGTCGTGCGTCGACTCTGGTATGGGAATCGGTTCTCTCGTTGTCTGACACCCCAGTAGAGCCAAGAACAATCCCAGGACGCAGGCAATCCCAAGCGTCGCCCGCACACTCATCACGCCGGGTCACCTACGGGTTCATGGTGCCGCCGGTCGTGCACGGAGCGCCGTTGGGAAACTCCGGCCCCAGCTTGCCGGAGTAGGCTTCGAAGAACCGTTCAATCCGATCTCCGTCAACTTCGTGCATCGGCCCGTCGATCACACCCCACGTGGTCAGGTAAATCGTGCCTTCGGGGATCTCGTCGTAAGGTCGTGCCACGCCCCAGGCGTTGGTCAAGCCAATGTCGTCAAACGCCTCCGCCAGTGCGTCAATTTGTGCCTGGTCGGTCAGGTTGTAACTGACGATTATGTTCCCGTGCTCCATGTTGTGCACGATGCGTTCGTCAGGAACGGGGCTCGTATAGAAGCCGCACTGAACCCACCCGTTCCAGTGCCTTCCCGACGTCGGCGGCGTCGTCAGGTATCCCTCCGGAACCACTTGACCGATGTTCAGTGTGTCCGGGAAATGCTCCTGGCTTGGCGAGACCTCTGACTGGGTTCCGATTCCCTCGACGTATTCGCTCGCCTCGCCCTGGCCGCTGCCCCCGAAATTCACGGGCAGTATCACCGGCACCAACAATGCGGCGATGAACAGGATAGCAATCGCACCGAAGGCGAACAGCAGCCATCGGTTACGGAAACCGCCGCCCGTGGCAATAGGTGGGGTACGCCGTTGGGAACGCCGCGCGGCGCTCCGCCGGCGATGTCGAGAAGGAGGCACTCCGATTCCTTACCTGGCGTCTGCCAAATATCGACGATTACAGGGCATCGCCGGTGAGACGCTCGTAGGCTTGCCGATATAGCTCGGCGGTCTGCTGCACAATGTCATCGGGCAATTCGGGCGCCGGCGGCTCCTGGTTCCATCCTTGAGCTGTGAGCCAGTCGCGAACGAACTGCTTGTCGTAACTCGGTTGGGACTTCCCCGGGGAGTATCCCTCCGCGTCCCAGAAACGACTGGAGTCCGGTGTCAACAACTCGTCGATCAGGATCAACTCACCGTTGAGGAAACCAAACTCCATCTTGGTATCCGCCAGGACGATCCCCCGGTCTTTCGCGTAGTCGTGCGCGTGCAGATACACCGCCGTGCTGATGTCGGCCAGTCTTTGCGCCGTTTCGGGGCCCACCATTTCTACCACTTCCGCGTCGGTCATGTTTTCGTCATGCCCTTCTTCGGCTTTGGTCGTCGGCGTGAAAAGGGGCTCTGGGAACCGGTCCCCTTCCACCAGGCCCGTGGGCATGGCTTTGCCGGAAACCGTGCCCTGACGCCGGTACTCTCCCCAGGCCGAACCGGTGATGTACCCGCGCACAATGCACTCGATATCTATCCGCTCCGCCTTCTTGACGATCATCGCTTGTCGCCCCACGCCGTCTTCCGCGTAGGTCGGATGAGCGACTACCGGGTTGTTGGCGTACCCCGCCGCAGCCGGCGCGTCGGCCAGTGACACCAGATGATTGGGCACGATATGGTCCGTAAGCCCGAACCAGAAGGAGGACATACGGTTCAGGGCCGCCCCCTTGTCGGGGATCCCGTTGGGCAGAACGACGTCGAAAGCCGATATGCGGTCAGTCGCCACCATCAGCAACAGGTCATCCGTAAGTTGGTAAGTATCGCGGACTTTCCCGCGATGCATTCGGTCGGGCATCCTGGTTTCAATAATCATGGCAACCATTCAAAGATAGGATCAGGTCGTTCGCCAAAGGTGTGGGTCAGGCCAGCGCGGGTACGGGCAGCAGTCCCAATACGCTTGAAGTTGTCGTCGATGTATCGCGTGTAGTAGCCGTAGTCGAACAGGCCGTCCATTTCAGCCGTGCTGAGGTGTTGAACCGCCTCGGCGTCGGATTTGAGCAGGTGCCGGAAGTCCTGGGCATCGTCCCACGACCGCATCGCGTTGCGCTGCACGATGTCGTATGCGGCCTCGCGGGATAGCCCTTTTTCTTCGACCAATGCCAACAGCACCCGTTGGCTGAAGATCAGCCCCCGACTGCTTTCCAGGTTCTGCCACATCCGGTCTGTGTCCACGCGCCAACCACTCACGACGTGGGTGAAGATGCTCAGGATGTAGTCCAGCATCAGGCAGGTGTCGGGCAGGATGATCCGCTCTGAAGACGAATGACTGATGTCCCGTTCGCCCCACAGGGCTACGTTTTCCAGGGCCGGCACCGCGTTTCCGCGAATCGTGCGGGCCAGTCCGCAAATGCGCTCCGTCAGTTCCGGGTTTCGCTTGTGGGGCATGGACGACGATCCCGTCTGCCCCGCGCCAAACGGTTCCTCAACTTCGTGGATTTCTGTTCGCTGCATCCCGCGTATTTCGGTGGCGAACTTCTCCAGCGACGCGGCCACCAGGGCGGCGGTGGTGATGAAATGGGCATGGCGATCGCGCTGCACTACCTGGTTCGAGACTGGAGCCACGTCCAGGCCCAGGTGGTGGCACACCCGCTCCTCAATATGCGGCGGGATTGTCGCGTGGGTTCCCACTGCTCCGGATATCTTGCCCACCCGGACCGATTCGCGAGCCGCCGTCATCCGCTCCCGTTGCCGCCGCAGTTCGTCCCACCATAGGGCTAATTTCAGCCCAAAGGTCATCGGTTCAGCGTGCACGCCGTGGGTTCGGCCCACCATCAGCGTGTCCTTGTGGCAGATCGCCTGCTCTCTGACGGCCTCTATGGCGCTGTCGATTTCCCGTAGCAGCAGATCGGCCGCGGCTACCAACTGCAAAGCCTGGCCGGTGTCGAGCATGTCGGAAGACGTCATTCCCAGATGGAGCCAACGTCCTTCGGGTCCCAGGGTTTCCGTGATTGATCTCAGAAACGCGGTCACGTCATGCCGGGTTGTCTCGAAGATTTCCATCATCCGCTGATGGTTGTACGCCGCTCCACGCAACGCCTCCATATCTTCCAGCGGAATGACCCCGGCCTCGGTCCACGCCTCACATACGGCCAACTCTACGTCCAGCCACATGCGGTATTTGGTCTCATCAGACCAGACCATTTTCATTTCGGGTCTGGAATAACGGTCAATCACTGCGTTGCCTCCGCACGATTTCCATAACAGCGAAATATTTTATCACAGCAAATTTTCTTCCCGACCATGCTGCGTTGCAGGTCTCAGCGTAGTTCCGCGCCGCAAAGTGTCATTTTTACCAAGCGTGGCAATCCCGCCCCCGGCAGCGTGGGTTTGTGCTGCGAGCCGTAGCCCTGCTCCGTGCACGCCGCGTCGTGTCATTTCTGACGACACAAGTGCGTGACCCTGCGCCAGGTCCGCCTTCCAGCGCGCCCGAACGCTTCGCTGGCGTCAACTGCGCGGCGGTGCGGCCATGTATTCACGGATCGCTTCCAACACCGGCCCAAAATCGGTGAATGGATAGAACTCGATCCCGGCCTGGTCGCACATCGCCGCCATCTGACGATGGGCGTACACCGTGTCCGCAACCTCGCCGGCTTCGAAGTCCGAGCGGCCGTCCCCCATGAAAAATACGTGATGCCCCTGTTCCTGGAAACGGCGTACGATGAGAGCCTTGCTGTTTCCCAGGTGCGGGGCGTCCGGGTACGCGAAATCGTACCGGTAACCCGATACGTGTCCTTCCCGGTCAAACTCGGTCGCCACCGCATACACGGGTATGCCCGCGTGCTCACTGCCATCCAGTAGTGCCTGGACGTAAAAGTCCAGCCCCTGGCTGATTATGCACATCGGGATCGAATGCTCCTGGCAGAACCCGGACAATTCGGCGAAGTGAGGTCGGAAGTTTGCGTGTGCCTGCACGTAGGACCGCATCGCGTCCTTGTCCGCTTGCATCTGCAGGAATGTCGCCTCCTGGTAGTCCTTCAGCGACAACTCACCCGCCCGGAATCGATTGCGCACGTCGGTCCATGATGGATGGCCGAACTCATGCAACAACAATTCCGCCACGTTCTGGGCCGCGGCGGTGTCGTCGAAATCCGTGAGAACCGCCGGTATCCGACGGTCCTCCCTTCCGGCTCTAACGTTCACGAAGAGACTGCCGGTACCGCTCCACGGCTTCGCGGATATCGTCGTGCTTGATGCCGAGGATCTGGGCGGCATAGTACGCGGCGTTTCTTGCTCCCCATCCGCCGACTGCCATCGCCGCCACCGGTATGCCGGGCGGCATTTGCGCCGTTGACAGCAGGGCATCCCATCCGTTGAGCTCGCTTGAAGTCAACGGGATGCCGATCACGGGTAATGTGGTCTGCGCTGCCAATGCCCCGCCCAACGCCGCGGAACCGCCGGCGGCAGCGATGATTACTTCGATCCCCCGCTCCCGCGCCGTCGATGCGTACTCGTGGACTCGCTCGGGGGTGCGGTGCGCTGACATGACGCGTACTTCGTAGTCCACGCCCAGCGATTCCAGTATGTTGATCGTCGGTTGGACCGCCTCTTCATCAGAGGCGCTGCCCATGATTACTCCTACCAGTGGCAAGATTGTGCTCCTTGTTTCTGCTTGTGGGAAACGCCATTTGTGATGGCGATCAGTCCATGTCGGCGATGTCCCGGAACGCGGCCGATAGCGCGTTCTGAATTGATTCAGTATCGTCGTCCACTTCCTCGTCCTCCACTATCACGTATCCAGCGTCCGCATCATCGATGCCGACCCGTATCTCTATCTCCACAGGTTCGCCGTCGTGCCAGTAGAGCGTATAGACAATCTCGTCAGCCAACTCGTCGTCGTCCGGCTCGTCTTCGTCGTCGAAATCATACTGCCACGATCGGTCCACCACGAGGCGCGCCCCACCATCCAGTAGGATGTCGTTCATCTCGCCCATCATCCCTTCCACCGCCAATTCCACGGCAAATCGTTCGAGCAGCGTGCGCCGCTCGGCAACTTCCGCCATCTTCTTGCCGTAACCCTCGTTGTCCACGCGGACGCGCAGTCGTTTCAGGTCATCCAGCCAGGGCATTTGTCAGTCCTCCGTCATGGGTTCAGCTAGGGCTGTCCGCCAGCGGTTCTTTTTTGGCGGCCATTAAGGTAACAGAACTCGTCAACGCTGCGAAAGTCGAGCATCCCCATCCTCCGCGCCAATATGCCCAGGATGTCCAGCAGGTCGATGTAACACAATCCGGGGTGCCCGTTCCGGAACCCGGCCGGTAACATGCTCAAGCGCCGCAGTGTCCGCTCCGTATGCGGGCTCCACGGAGCGAAAAGCATGGGTTCCCGCAGCGCCAGCAGGTACGAAGGCCACTCCCTGCCCGCCCCGGCTAGGCCGAAGCCGCCCGATTCGGTGGCGCATTCCGCGAACCGGTCTTCGAGCTTGATGGTGTCGTAAAGCAGGAAATCGGCGGCGTAACGTACTTCATCGATGGGGTTTGCTCCAAACCGTCTGGTCTGCCTGCCGCCCGCTCCGCGATACAACGCGGTTGCCTGCGCCTCTGATAGACGGAGCAAACGGTCCTGTTCCAGCCAATCCGCGCGCCCGTCGTTCCCCCAGCGCCGACTGCGGAATGCGTCCAAATCGCCGACGCGGTCCGCCCGACGAAATGCGTCTGCAAGGGCCGGCCAGTCAGTCGCGATTGAAGCGTTGATCGTCATTGCGGGTGCCCGGTCATTGCCTATTGGATCGTCGTCGGTTGTTCCGAGCGGAGCTCCGCAATGTCGCGCCGGTAATAGGCGCCCTCGAAGCTGATGCCCGCCGCGCGTTGGTAAGCGTGGCGCCGGGCCTCTTCGACACTGCCGCCCATCCCCACGCAGGCCAGCACGCGTCCGCCCGAGGTTAGTAGCCGACCGCTGCCATCCCCGGCGCGGCGCACCCCGGCGTGGAACACCATGCTGTCCGCATTGTCGAAACCGGAGCCATCCAAGCCATCAATTTCAAACCCGGTTTCGTAAGTCTCCGGGTAGCCCCCGGAAACCATCACTACCGCTACCACGGGATGGTCGGACCATTCCACGGGTTCAACGTCCCCCAAACTGCCTGTCGCGCAGGCCAGCATCACCTCGGCCGGATCGCTTGCCAGGCGGGGCATGAGCACTTGCGTTTCCGGGTCTCCGAACCGGCAATTGAACTCCAGCACGCGCGGACCCTCGTCGGTCAGCATGAGCCCACAGTAAAGCGCTCCCCGATAAGGCGAGCCCCTGGAGGCCAATTCCCGGATTACCGGGAGCATGATTTCGCGCCGGATTTGCTCGGCTAGGGTTTCGTTCCAAAAGTCCGGCGGTCCGTAGCTGCCCATCCCGCCCGTGTTGGGACCGGTGTCGCCCTCGCCCACCCGCTTGTAGTCCGTTGCGGCAACGACGGCCGAAAGGTTTTGACCGTCGGTGAACCCAAACACGCTGACTTCAGGGCCGTGGAGCCACTCCTCGATCACCACGGTTTCACCTGCTGCGCCAAACATCCGATCTTGCATGCACGTCGATATGGCGGTCTTGGCCTCCTCGAGGTTGGCGCACATTGAGACCCCTTTGCCGGCCGCCAGCCCGTCCGCCTTGACCACTAACGGGCGGTTTCGGTGCTCCACGTAGGCCAGGGCGGCCGATGCGCTCTGGAATACCTGGTACCCCGGGCCAGCCACTCCCGCCGCGTCCTGTACGTCGCGGGCGAAACTCTTGCTCGATTCCAGACGGGCGGCGGCTTGGCTTGGGCCGAAACACGGGATGCCGGCGGCGTCCAGGCGATCCGACAAGCCGAGCGCCAATGGCGTCTCCGGCCCTACTACCACCAGGTCGATCGCCCGCTCGGCGGCAACGTTCGCCAATCCATCGACGTCGGTTTCGGCGACGGGCAGGTTGGTCCCGACGCTCGCGGTTCCGGAGTTACCCGGCGCCGCGAAGATCTCGGTTACCTTCGTTGACCGCGCCAGCCGCCATGCCAGAGCATGCTCACGACCGCCGGAGCCAACAACCAAGACGCGCACCGCCGGTCACTCCCACTCGATGGTTCCGGGGGGTTTGCTGGTGATGTCATACACCACGCGGTTCACGCCATCGACCTCGTTCACAATTCGGTTGCTGACCCGAGCCAGCACGTCGTATGGCAGCCTGACCCAGTCCGCCGTCATCGCGTCTTCCGAGTTGACCGCGCGGATTGCGCAAGCGTAACCGTAGGTGCGGTAGTCACCCATCACTCCAACGGTGCGGTTGTCGGTGAGCACCGCGAAACTTTGCCAGATGTCCCGGTACAGACCCGCGTCGTGGATCTCCTCCAGCACGATGCGATCACAATCGCGCAGCAACTCGACCCGCTCCGGGGTGACCTCGCCGATGATCCGTATCGCCAGCCCGGGACCCGGGAACGGTTGCCGGTAAATGATCTCCTCCGGCAGGCCCAGCTCCAAACCCACCGCGCGTACCTCGTCCTTGAACAAGTAGCGCAGCGGCTCGACCAGGCTGAAATTCATCCGCTCCGGAAGGCCGCCCACGTTGTGGTGCGACTTGATGCGAGCCGACGCCCGGTTCTCCGGAGTCTCGCTCTCAATCACATCGGGATACAGCGTGCCCTGGGCCAGCCAACGCACGTTTTCGATCTCGGCCGCCGCGTCCTCGAACACCCGGATGAATTCGTTGCCGATGGTCTTGCGTTTCGTTTCCGGGTCCGTAACCCCGCGCAAGCCGTCGAGGAAACGGTCGGACGCGTCAATGTAGCGCAGATCCATGCCCATGTTCTCGTTGAAGGTTTCCTGCACCTCTTCGGCCTCTCCGTGTCGGAGCAGGCCGTTGTTTACGAAAATGCAGGTCAACTGTGACCCGACCGCCTGGTGCAGCAGCGCCGCCGCCACCGAAGAGTCCACGCCTCCGCTGAGCCCGCAGATTACCCGGTCGCTCCCCACCTGCTCCTTCACCCTTGCCACCGTGTCCGCCACAAAGTTGCCGGCTGTCCACGAGCCCGAGCACCCGCAAATCTCCCGAACGAAGTTACGCAGAATGGTCATCCCGTCTGGAGTGTGCTGTACCTCAGGGTGAAACTGCAGCCCGAACCATTGCTGTCCATCGGACACTGCGGCGCAATCGCTGTTGTCAGTACGTGCCAGCGTCGCCATTCCCTCGGGCAGCCGTTCTACTCGGTCGCCGTGGCTCATCCATACCGGAGCCGAGGCGCCGACCCCTGCCAGGAGCCGGCTGGATGATTCAGCTACGCGCAGGTCGGCGTGCCCGTACTCGCGCGCGTCGCCGGGGGTGACCGTCCCGCCCAATTGGTGGACCATGGCCTGCATGCCATAGCAGATCCCCAGCACGGGAATATTGGATTGCAATACCCAATCGGCAATGGCCGGGGCGCCCGCGTCGTACACGCTCGCCGGGCCGCCGGACAGGATGATACCCCTGGCGTTGAGGTGCGCAATCCTTTCGCGGCCGGCCGTGGCCGGTATGATCTCCGAATATACTTCCAGTTCCCGGACGCGCCTCGCAATCAAGTGCGTATATTGGGAGCCGAAATCGATCACCGCGATGGCGTCAGGTTGCGCTGTGCTGCTCATAAACTCCCCGCCGGCCTGTTGGGAATCTGCGGATTATATTAGCATAGGACCCTGCTTCCGGCCCGACGCCGCGCCACAGTCCAGTCGCCGTCCTGCTAGAATACCGCTTGAGAACTCGGACCACTTTCTTCCCATGACTGTCTTCGCCACCACCAGAGCCCCCCGTGCCGCCGCACCGCCAGAATCAGAATGGCCGCTGCCGCTTAACCAGCGGAACCAATGCGACGGCCTGGAACTCCTGGCCGCCCTCAACCCGGAAACGGTCCCGTTGTGCATCTTCGACCCGCAGTATCGGGGGATCCTGGACAAGATGCAGTACGGCAACGAGGGTATAAGTCGTGGACAGTCCCGATCTGCGCTGCCGCAGATGAGTGAAGAGACCATCGGCGCGTTCATAAGTGGCATATCCAGGGCTCTGATCCCGTCAGGGCATTTGTTCCTGTGGGTGGATAAGTTCCACATTTGTACTGGCGTGGAGCCATGGTTTGATAAATTCGGTTTGGGAATCGTCGATCTGGTCACTTGGAACAAAGCGAAGATGGGTATGGGATACAGAACCCGCAGGTACGGCGAATATTTGGTGATAGCGCAAAAGTTGCCGAAACGGGCTAAGGGCATATGGCATCGACACAATATTCCGGACGTATGGACAGAATCGGTTGATAAACACTTTGCTCACGCTAAACCTGTCATTTTGCAAGCCGCTTTGATCGAAGCCGTGACGGATCCTGGGGATGTTGTGTTAGATCCGTCCGCTGGAAGCTATTCGGTGTTGAAGGCTGCAAAGTGGGTAGGCCGAAATTTCATTGGTTGTGACGTCAACGGGATGGAACCAGACGGAGGTGCGGCCTTGCCGAGGATCGACGATAGCAACCCCGGCCGTAGGGACGGATCGTATACCCGATTGTTCGATGACGCCGACATCGGTGCCATGTTGTCCCAAATACATGCCACCTCGATCAGGGCCGGCATGGAGTTGGAAAGGGCCATCCAAAATCGCGCAAAAGATTGCCAAATCCTGATACCGGACTTGGATGCTTTTTTGAGCCGGTCGCACAATTTCGACGGTGTGTTTCTTGCGGACAAAAAAGTGGTGAGAAAATCGCAGACTATCGGCGCCGGCACGCAACCTGATTATCTGGTGTTCGACCAGCGTCACGGTAGGCGACACTGCTATGTGGTCGAATTGAAAGACGGCGACGTGTTCGACACAAAAAAAACGGACGGGGAAATCGATTCGCTGAACAACTTTGTGCAAGTCGCGGCTCGGCGCATTGAGTATTCCTTGGAAATTAGGGTTTGCTCGTTCAATCAGCGGGATAAATCCGCCATCGCTAACGGGTTTAAAAATCGGATCGATATCTCCGAAGTTTGGACCGGTTCGGATTTTTGTGGGATGCTGGGGATTGATTACCACGCGATCCTAAACGAAAGAACAGCCCACGCGGAGAGCAACCGAGAATGGCTAGTTTCTTCCATGATGCACATCCCAGAGTTGCGGCAAATCGCTCGAGAATTCTTGGCTCAGACACCCAATGACTGAGTTTGAGCCCAAGCACACATTGCCACGAGTTTGACCGCGCAGCGCCTTATCTTTTGGACTTCCAAACCGAAATTCTCCACGCTGCGCAAACCCTTGCCCAGGGTGGCGTCGTCGCCGTTCCCACCGACACGCTTTACGGGTTGGCGGCGGACGCTCTCAACCCCGACGGCCTCGAACGAGTTTACGCGGCCAAGGGCCGCCCCGCCGATATGCCCTTGCCCGTGCTGGTGTCTGGCTGGGAGCAATCACGCCAGGTCGCCGCGGTTTCGGCGGTCGACGAGTTGCTGGCCCGGCGTTTGGTCGAAACCTACTGGCCCGGTCCGTTGACCATGGTGCTGCCCGCCGCCCCCGGTTTGCCGAACCGCTTGACCGCCGGACGCGATACGGTCGCCGTGCGTATGCCCGACCATCCGGTTCCTCTCGCCCTTGCCGCCGCCCTGGGTCGCCCCATCACCGGTACCAGCGCCAACCGCAGCGGCGAGCCTGACATAACTGACGCGGATGAGCTACGCCGGACCCTAGCCTCTCGGGTTGATGGTATCATTGTCGCCGGCCCCAAGCCTGCGGGTGCGGCCAGCACCATCGTGGTGGTGTCCGGGGGCATTGTCAGTCTGCTGCGAGAGGGCGTGTTGCCCTACGAGCGCGTGCTCGAGACCCTCGGAATGGTCATGCCGTTTGAATAGCGAGGTCGGTCATCACATCGGTGGAAACATACGATAGTTACCGGGCTGGCGTGCACGCCGAACTGCGGTCGGTATTCGACGGCCGGCAGGGCATGTTGTACGACCTTCTGCGCTATCACCTCGGATGGGTGGATGAGCGAGGCAATCCTGCTGATGATGCGATCACGCCCCTGCACCACTGCGGCGCCTTGGCCATGGCGTCGTCGGAGGCGGTCGGCGGCGGGCATCCGGGCGCGGCCTCCGCAGCCGCGGCCGTTGAGTTGGCGTACAATTTCGTTCTGGTGCATAACGACGTTCAAGCCGGCCGCATCGATCAGGACAACGACCGCCCGAGTATCTGGTGGGTGTGGGGCCCCTCGCAGGCCATCAACGCCGGCGACGGATTGCACGCCCTGGCTCGCTTCGTGTTGATGCGCCTGTCAGACGCCGGAGCCACCTCCGACATCGTCCTGGCCGGATTACAGTCTTTGGATCAGGCATGTTTGACCCTGTGCGAGGGTCAATACATGGACCTCACGTACCAGGACCAGTTGATGGTTTCTGAATCTGACTACATGGACATGATCGGCAGAAAAATCCGGTGCATTGGCCGGGTGTGCGGCGCGTCTGGGCGCGTTGGCCAGCGGAGCCGAAGCGGCCACCGCCGACGCGCTGGAGCTTTGGGGCCTGAAACTCGGCATGGCTCGCCAGGTCAGGGAGGACATCTCCGACCTGTGGGGACGTTCCGGCGACGGTTTCACTCCCGCCAATATCCTGAACAAGAAGAAAAGCCTGCCCCTGATCCACGCGTTGCAAAACTCCGATACCGCCGCCAAGCGCGAGCTGGGCGCCATATACATGAAACGCGTGCTGGAGCCCGGGTGACACGCCGCGGATCGTGGCGATCCTGCAGGAGGCCGGATCCCGCGAGTACTCATTCGCCAAAATGGATGAGCTTCTTCGTGAGGCGCGCGAAGCCGTTGCGGGTGACGATCTCGCGCTGGAACATCCGGAACCGCTGGATTGGGCAACCCATTGGGTCGTCGCCCGCGACTAGAGTTGACCGGACGGAAGACCCGAGCATGACCAAGCGTGCCCTCCCTCAACTGGATGTGAACGGAAAGACCGTACTGGTCCGGGTCGATTTCAACGTGCCTATAGAGCAGGGCGCGGAATTCATCGCCAATTACGATCATCGCTTGCGCGCAACCCTGCCCACTATCGAATACCTGCTGGAGCGGCAATGCAAGGTCGTGTTGTGCTCCCACCTTGGCCGACCCCGCGGCAAGGTCGACGAGAGCCTCCGCCTGGCGCCGGTGGGAGAGCGGCTGGCTACTCTGCTGGGTCGCCCCGTGACCCCACTGGATGAGTGCGTCGGTCCGGCGGTTGCCCGGAAAGTTTCCGTGATGTCCCCCGGCGACGTTTGCCTGCTCGAAAACCTGCGTTTCCACCAAGGGGAAGAAGGTAACGACGAGGGGTTTTCGGCTCAGTTGGCCAGTTTGGCCGATTGTTTCGTTATGGACGCTTTCGCGGTGGCGCATCGCGCCCACGCCTCCACCGTGGGTGTGCCCCGCCATCTCCCGACTGCCATGGGCCTGCTGACTCAGCGCGAGGTTGAGTCCTTGAGCATCGCTCTGGAAAACCCCGATCGCCCGTTGGCCGCGCTCATGGGCGGCGCCAAGGTTAGCGACAAGATTCTCGTCCTCGAAAACCTGCTGTCCCGCCTCGACCACCTGTTCATCGGGGGCGGCATGGCGGTCACCTTCCTGGCCGCCGCCGGCAAATCGGTCGGAGCGTCGGCGGTTGAAACTGATCGTCTCGATTTCGCCCGCGTGGTGATCGACCGCACCCAAGCCGCTGGCGTCACGGTTCATTTACCCGATGATCTGGTCGTCGCCAACCGGTTCGATCCTAACCCCTCCTCGGTTGACACTGTGCTCGTGGACAATGTCCCTGACGGCTGGTACATCATGGATATTGGTCAGGGAGCCGCGTCCGCGTTTGCCGCCGCCCTCGCCGACTGTAAGACGATCCTGTGGAACGGGCCGATGGGCGTGTTTGAAATGGAACAGTTCAGCGTTGGTACTCGTGAGGTCGCCAACAGTATCGCCGAACTAGCCGACGCAACCACCGTGGTTGGCGGCGGGTCTACCGCAGAAGCGGTGGAGGCCCTCGGCCTGATGGGCAGTATGACCCATGTATCCACCGGGGGCGGCGCATCGCTGGAGTTTCTCGAAGGGCGCATCCTGCCCGGTATCGCCGCAATTCCCGATGTCTGACCGACCGTTTGCCACTGGAGCTATGCATGATTGATCTGGAACAGGTCCACGACAGCATCGCCAGCACCCCGTCAAAAATCGTGCTGTTGGTTGCCGATGGCCTCGGTGGGTTACCCCATCCCGACACCCGCAAGTCTGAGCTGGAGACCGCGCACATCCCCAATCTGGACGGATTGGCCCAACGCAGCGCCTGCGGACTCACCACTCCGGTGGAGATCGGCGTTGCTCCGGGCAGTGGGCCCGGCCACCTGGCGCTGTTCGGATACAACCCGTTGAAGTACCTGATCGGCCGTGGCGCGCTGGAAGCCCTCGGCATTGGCGCCGAGTTGCTGCCCGGAGACGTGGCCGCTCGCGGCAACTTCTGCACCGTGGACGATGACGGCGTGCTCACCGACCGTCGGGCCGGCAGAATTCGCACCGAACTGAGCGCCCAACTGTGCCAACGGCTGGACGGCATCGAGATACCCGGCGTCCAGGTGGACGTGCTTCCGGTACAGGACTATCGGTTTGTACTGCGTCTACGCGGCGACGGCCTGTCCGAAGCCGTGGAGGAGACCGACCCCCAACGTGAGGGATTGCCTCCCCGTCCAGCTCGCGCGTTGGTTCCCGCGGCGGAACGAACCTCTGAAATCGTTCAGGAGTTCGTGTCCCAGGCCGGTCGGGTTCTTTCCGAAGAACAGCCCGCCAACATGGTGCTGCTGCGCGGATGGGCTCAACTGCCCAACCTTCCGGATTTCGGCCAAGTTTATCAGCTGAACCCGGCCGCTATCGCCGCCTATCCCATGTACCGGGGTCTCGCCTCGGTCGCTAATATGCGGATCATCCCTACCGGCATGACCTTCGGCGACGAGGTGGACACCCTGCATGCCAACTGGGAAGACCATGACTTCTTCTTCATTCACTACAAGCCTGCCGACGCCGCGGGCGAGGACGGCGATTTCGATGGCAAGGTGAAAACTCTGGAGGTGTTGGATGCCCACATACCGCGCATCCTGGAACTTGAACCCGACGTGCTGATGGTCGCCGGAGACCACTCCACCCCCGCCATCATGGCGTCCCATAGCTGGCACCCCGTTCCCTTCATGCTCCACTCCCGGCTGACCCTTGGGGAAGGCATCGAAGGTTTCAACGAGCGCGCGTGCGCCCAGGGTTCTATCGGTCGAATACCGGCCGAAACCATCATGCTGCTGGCCCTGTCTCACGCCGGAAAATTGTCCAAGTACGGCCCGTAGCCGATACCACCGCCCTGGGACTCTGTGATGACCTCTTCCACCAACATCGTCGCCGGAAACTGGAAAATGAACACGGACGTCACTTCCGGCGTTCGGTTGGCCTCGTCTGTGGCGGCCGGCGCCGTGGCGGTGCCCGGCGTCCAGATCATAGTTGCCCCGCCGTTCGTGTCGCTGGCAGCGGTTCGTGATGCCTTGGCCGGCAGCAGTGTGGGCGTCGCCGCCCAGAACGTGCACGCCGAGGATAGCGGCGCCTTCACCGGAGAGATTGCTCCGCCGATGCTGGTCGGCCTGTGCGACTATGTGATCATCGGCCACTCCGAGCGGCGCCAGTTTTTCGGGGAAACCGACGAATCAGTCGGTCGCAAGGCTGCCGCCGCGCTGCAGCACGGGCTTCGTCCCATCGTCTGCGTCGGAGAAACCCTGGACGAGCGGGAGTCCGGTCGGGCCGTTGAGGTCATCCGGCGACAGGTCGTCGCCGCCCTGGCGGATCTCGATCCCGAAGCCGCCGGGTCCCTTGCCATAGCCTATGAGCCGGTGTGGGCCATCGGGACCGGCCGTGCGGCCACCCCGGACATAGCGGACCAGATAATGGGCGGCGCGATCGGATCAACCATCGCGGCCGTGTTGGGAACGGATGTCGCTTCGGAAACTCCGCTCCTGTACGGCGGCAGCGTGAACCCGGCCAACGCCGCCGAGTTCGCGGCCGTCCCGAGCATAAACGGCGCTCTGGTCGGCGGCGCGAGCCTGGACGCTGCTACGTTTCTGGAAGTGGCCGCGGCGTTCTCCAGCCGTAACCAATAGCCGCTGTCCGGCCGGTTAATGGCGGCCCCGCCCAACCTGATCGCTGTCGTCGGCCCCACTGCGGTGGGCAAAACTGCCCTCGCAATTGCATTGGCGCGTCGCTTCGACGGAGAGATCGTAAACGCCGATAGCCGGCAGGTTTACACCTGCATGGACATCGGTACGGCCAAGCCTACTCCGGCTGAGCGCCGGAGCGCTCGCCACCACCTGATTGACATCCGCCAGCCCCATTCGCCGATCAGTCTTGGCGAGTACCTGCCGTTGGCGCGCGAGTCGATCGAGGCCATCACGGCCAGGGGTAAATTGCCCATTTTGTGCGGTGGCACGGGGCAATACGTATGGGCGCTCATCGAAGGCTGGGAGGTTCCCCGTGTGCCGCCCGACCCTGCCTTCCGCGCCCGGCTCGAACATCGTCTCGCCGCAGAGGGCGCCGGCGCCCTGTGGCAAGAGTTGCGGGATAAAGATCCCGACCGCGCCGCGACCGTAGATTCACAAAACCCGCGTCGCATCATCCGGGCCCTGGAGATCCTATGCGCCACCGGGAATCCGGTTGACGCAACCGGCAAAAGCCCGGCGCCTCCGTACCGTTGCCTCGTACTCGGTCTCACTGCGGATCGCATTCCTCTGTACGAGCGCATCGATGCCCGGTTCGATTCGATGATGGCAGACGGTCTGCTGGACGAAGCCCGTCGCCTTGACGCCGCCGGATACGAGTTGGGTAGCGGCGCCCTGTCAGGAGTCGGCTACACCGAGCTGGGCCAATACCTGGCTGACGCTATGACGTTGGATGAAGCGGTTTCTCGCTCCAAGACCCGGACTCACCGCTTGGTCCGCCGTCAGTACACCTGGTTCAAGCCGGGCGATCCGCGCATCAATTGGCTTGATGCCACCCGCCGCTTGCCGGTTGCCGGGGCTTCCTCCCTCGTCCGCGGTTTCCTGGAACCTACCACCCCTTGTGATACAATTGGCGCTTGACGCAAGGGCCCATTTCGGCGCAGGAGTCGCGACGATGGAATTCACCAAAATGCACGGTGCCGGCAACGATTACGTCTACGTTGATGCCCGTGCAATGCCTGAACGGGATTGGAATGACCTGTCACGCGCCATTAGCAACCGACACTTTGGGGTCGGGGGTGATGGGTTGATCCTGGTGATGGAATCCGACGTCGCCGACCTGAAGATGCGCATGTTCAACTCTGACGGCTCCGAGGGAGCCATGTGTGGCAACGGTATCCGGTGCTTCGCAAAATACGCCATCGAACGCGGCATTGTGTCCAGCTCAGCCCAGCAGGTGACCGTCGACACGCTGGCTGGCGTTCGCACCATCGTGCCTCACTACGCCGGGTCCACCGTGCACTCCGCGCGGGTGAGCATGGGCCTGCCTCGGCTCGCTCCATCGGAAATCCCGGTCGATCTCGATCCTGCCATCGCCGGTCAAACTGGGCCGGTCATCAATTACGCGGTCCACCCGGGCGACTTCCGGCTGTTCCTTACCTTCGTGTCCATGGGCAACCCCCATGCGGTGACTTTCATCGATCAGCCCGTTGAAGAATTCCCCCTGCACAACATCGGTCCATTGGTGGAACGGCATCCCATCTTCCCTGATCGGGTCAATTTCGAAATCGTCAACATACGTGAGGACGGCAATTTGGACGCCCGGGTCTGGGAGCGAGGCTCCGGCGAAACCATGGCCTGCGGCACCGGAGCTTGCGCCATTGGCGTCGCTTCCCGATTGTTGGGTCATACTGGAGACCGCGTGGCGGTCAGTCTGCCCGGAGGCACCCTCGACATCGAGTGGGATGGTGCCGGCGAAGTTTATTTGGAAGGCCCCGCGGCCGAAGTTTTCAGCGGAGTGTGGACAGAATGAGCAACTTTGCGACGGGCCCCACCACCTTTGACCAGCTTCGTTGGTCATCGCAGGTATTCCGAAGCCTCTCCGAGGACGCGACGTGCATCGCTGCTCGATCTCCGTCCTTTCGGGACGCGATCCTCTCGGGTCGGGAAGATGCCGACTGGCCGGCCCTGATTGACTACGCGAACCAATGGGGTTGCCGCATTCCCGCCACAAGTCGGAAGGTATCGTCGCGGCGGTTGGTAACGCCGCGCGGTTCCTCGAACCCATGGCGGCCTCTTCCCTGGAGTTCGACGACCTGCGCTGCTCCACGCTGGATGTTGTGGAACGTGCCTTCGACTGTCTCACCGAGGCGAACGGGGTCGGCCCCACTGGGGCATCCGTCATCCTGACGGTCCTCAATCCCCAGTTGTTTGTTTCATGGGGCGCCGACATTCGGAATGCCTATTTCCCGGAAGACCGCCCCAAAGGCGCGACGTACTCCCAGTTCCTTACCGTCATGCGCATGGCGGCCCTGTCGGTTGCCGCCGACGCGCGCAGCCAACACGGTATCGACGACCCGGCAGGCGCTCTTTCGTCGCAGTTGGGCATTGATCCGCCGTTCAGCCTCGCCAAGTTCGTGGATGAATACAACTGGGTGACGCTGGAGCGCGAAATGGCCTTCCAACCGGGCGCGGTGGTTGCCGCGTAGGTTCCCCCAACTGCCAGCCTGTTCCGCCATTTCGCCGACATCAATCTAACTAACCGCAATCTCCAGGAGCATCATGCCCAGCCTGTCTCAACGCCTCGGCAAACTCGCCCCGTATCCCTTCGTCGAGATCTCCAGGATCATCGCCGAGAAGCGCGCTGCCGGCGCCGATGTGGTTACCTTTGGCATTGGTGATCCCGATATCCCTACTCCGCAACCTGTAATCGACCGCCTTCTCACTGCCTCTCAGGATCCGCCCAACCACCGGTACCCTGAGACAGACGGGCTGCCCGAGATGCGGCGCGCCATCGCTCATTGGTACAAGCAGCGCTTCGACGTTGACCTGAACCCGGACACCGAAGTGCTGCCCCTGATCGGAGCCAAGGAAGGCATCGGCCATGCCGCCTTTTGTTTCCTCGACCCCGGTGATGTCGCGCTCGTTCCCGACCCCGCGTATCCCGTATATGCTGTAGGGACCATGTTCGCCGGCGCTGAGAGCTACGTCATGCCCTTGCATCAGCGCAACGGCTGGTTGCCCGACCTCGATGCGATCCCCGAGGATGTGGCCCGCCAGGCCAAGGTCATGTGGCTCAATTACCCCAACAACCCCACCAGCGCGGTGGCTTCCCAGGAAGACCTCGAGTCTGCGCTGCGGTACTGTCGCGAACATGACATCGCAATGCTCCACGACGCCGCATACTCCGAAGTCGGGTATGATGGCTACCGGGCCGGCAGCATGATGCAGATCGATGGGGCCAAGGAGGTCGGACTGGAATTCCACTCGCTGTCCAAGACCTACAACATGACTGGCTGGCGGATGGGCATGGCCGTTGGCAACGCCGACATGATAAAGGCTCTATTCCAGATCAAGGCCAACCTTGACTCCGGCGTCCCGCAGGCCATCCAGGAAATGTCCATGGAGGCGCTCACCGGGCCGCAGGATTGCATCGAGGACAACATCGGGACCTATCAGTGGCGCCGTGATCGTGTGCTCCGCGCCCTGACCCGCATGGGCCTGAACGTCGAAACACCCCGGGCGAGCCTCTATATCTGGGCTCCGGTGCCGGAGGGCTTTACATCCGCCGATTTTGCGGCACGCCTACTGGAAGAAATCGACATCGTCGTTACTCCCGGCTCTTCCTATGGCCAGTACGGTGAAGGCTACATCCGACTCTCCCTGACCACCCCGGATGAGCGGGTTGAAACTGGTTGCCAGCGTCTCGAAAGCTGGACCATTCCCGCCCCGCGCGCCTAGCCCAGACCTACTCCTTCACACGTACCGCTTGTGCCGAAGTCCCGCGAACTCAAACCCACCGGTCCGCTAACCGAGCGGGCGGTGCTGGTTGCCGTTGAGCCGAAGAAGCGCGGCGAGAACCTCTGGGGGCTGGAGGACACCCTGGTCGAACTGGAATACCTGGCCCGGTCCGCCGGTGCTGAGGTGATCGCCACCGTGTCCCAGCGTGCCGAGCGTATTACCCCGACCTACCTGGGCAAGGGCAAACTCCAGGAGTTGAAGGAACTGCTGGAGGATGAACTTCCGGATGTGGTGATCTGCGACGATGAGCTCACCCCGACCCAACAACGTAACCTCGAAGCGGCTCTGCAGATCAAGGTCATCGACCGCACCGCCCTCATCCTCGATGTCTTCGGTCGTCATGCCCGCACGCGCGAAGGGCAGATCCAGGTTGAGTTGGCCCAGCACCAGTACCCTGCTCCCTCGGCTGGTCGGTCAGTGGTCCCACCTGGAACGTCTCGGCGGCGGAATCGGCACTCGGGGCCCTGGCGAAACCCAGTTGGAAACTGACCGCCGGCTGATCCGTCGCCGTATCCAGAAGATCGAATCGGAACTCGACGACGTGCGCAAACGGCGCAGCCATTATCTCGAGCGTCGCCGTCGCTCTTCTACGCCCATGGCCACGCTCGTCGGCTACACCAACGCCGGCAAGAGCACCTTGTTCAACGCCCTGTGCGACGCTGGCGTCCCCGCCGAAGATCAGCTGTTCAATACCCTCGACCCGGTGACCCGTCGCCTGCGCCTGCCGGACGGCAACGATCTCCTGCTCAGCGATACGGTGGGGTTCATCCAAAAGCTTTCGCCCACCGTCGTTGCGGCGTTCCGCGCCACCCTGGAAGAGCTCAGCGAGGCCGACCTACTCCTGCACGTCATTGACATAACCCACCCCAAGGCCCCCGAGCAGGCCGAAGTAGTGGAACAGACTCTCGCCGACTTGGACCTTGGCGGCAAGCCGCGCCTGTTGGTTATCAACAAGATGGACCTGCTCACAGACGACCCCGCCGACGTCGAGATGTTTGATCGCATCGACCTGTCCGTGATCTCCGGTGCGGAATCCCCTGCTGTTGGCGGCCGGGTCTTCGTGTCCGCAGCCCGTGGCTGGAACCTGCCGGGGCTGCTGGAAGCGGTTCTGGATCAGGTTGGCAGTTCCGTTGCCGTTTCTACCCCCGCCACCGCCTGAGCAACGTGCCAAACCCAGCCTCAATATCTCCTCGCCGTGAGATCCGCATCATTCATACCTCGGATACGCACCTGGGAGACGACTGGGATCCTGAATCCGCCCAGCGCGCCCTGACTGCGGTGGTGGACGGTGTGCATACACTCCGCGGCGACGCCCTATTGATCGCCGGGGACGTTTTCGACAACGCTCGAATATCCGATGCCGTGCTGGAGTTCTTCGTCAGCGAGATTGCCCGCGCTGTTGTCCCAACGGTGGTGCTGCCCGGCAACCACGACCTTTTCGATGCCTCCTCGCTGTACCATCGTTCTCCCTTCTCAGACTCGCCTGACAATCTCCATATCATCAGTGGTACCCGCGGGCAGACCCTGACTTTCCCTGAACTCACGCTGGAAATCTGGGGCCGCGCTATGGACAGTCACACTCCGGCCTTTCGACCGTTGGCCGGCATACCGTCCAAACGCAACGGGCAGTGGAGCGTCGCCATGGCGCACGGCCACTTTCACTTCCTCGACGATACCGAGGAGCGATCTTCACCCATACGCCCCCACGAAATAGCCGAGGCGTCTTGCGACTACATCGCCCTGGGCCACTGGGAGCGCTTCGAGGACGTGTCACAAAACGGCGTTACGGCGTTTTATTCCGGCTCCCCAATGGGCGCGTCTCCCAACCGGGGCAACGTGGCGGTCAACGTCGTCGACCTGGATCCGCAAGCGTCCCGGGCAGTTGTCGTTTCGCAGGTCGAACTGCCGATGGCTGGCGCGTCATCCATGAACCTTCCGATTGCCGCTGACAATTGATCTGGAGCCGCTACTATGCAATCCATTTCCCGCGACCACCGCATCTACGTCCTCCACCCCGAAAACGAACCGGCCGTCACCATCGACTCGGGCGGCGACCTCATGGTGGAAACCTGGGACGCGTTCGAGGGCATTCGCGAGCCTGGGGCCCTGCAGGAAAAGTCCCTCAAGGGACCGGCCACCGGCCCGATCTACGTGAACGGAGCCGAACCTGGGGATGCCTTGCGCATTGAGTTCGTCAGCATCAGGCCCAAGGAGAACCCGGCGCACATGGTCATGCCCGGCCGGGGTTTCCTGGATGCCGAGTTCACGGAGGGTTATCCCACCGTCATGAGCATTGACGGCGACGATCTGGTGCTGCCCAGCGGTATGCGCCTACCTTTGAATCCGTCCTTGGGTCTCGTCGCCACGACGCCCACGTACCCGCAGGAAACGGCCAGCGACAGCGGACCCTACGGCGGTGACATCGACATGAAAGAGCTGGTGGAGGGCAGTGTCCTGTTTCTGCCGGTGTTCGTCCCCGGCGCACTGCTCGCTATGGGCGACTGCCATGCGGTGGTCGGCGACGGCGCGGTGGCCGGAACCGGTGCGGAGTGCTCCGCCGACACTCACGTGCGCGTCACCGTCGAAAAAGGCATGAACCTCTCCGGCCCCCGCGCCATCACCCCGGACCACTACGTTGTCCTTTCCCATGGCGACGATCTCGGCCCGGCGATGAAGCGGGCCGTACGCGAGATGGTGGACTTCCTCACCACTGAAAAAGGCATGGCGCCCTACGACGCCTACACCCTGTGCAGCCTGGCCGGCGACGTCCGCGTCTCCCGCACCTTCCGCCCCATCAGCCCCGTCAAGATGATGCTCTCCCGCCAGGCTTTGGAGCAACTGTAAACGACACGGCGAATCGATTGTAAACTCGTAGGGGCGAATAAACATCGCCCCTTTTCTTTGGCAACAGCGTTGGTCCCAGACTTGGGACATTATCGGCGAGTCGCTAAGCCACCGAATACCCACCGTCCACCGTGATCACTGCTCCCGTCACGTAGTCCGACGCGCTACTGGCCAGGAATACCGCCGCGCCCTGAAGCTCGTTGGCGTCCCCCAGCGTCCCATCGGAATGCGTTTGTTGATCAGATCGTACCGCTCGGGCTGTGACTCCGGTATCGCTTGTGTCAACTCGGTCATGAACCAGCCCGGCAGTATCGCATTGGACTGAATGTTGTCGCCGGCCCATGCCACCGCAAAGCTCTTTGCCAATTGCACGATGCCGCCCTTGCTTGACGAGTATGGCACCCCGCTTCCACCACCGCCGAAGATGCTGAACATGCTGCCGATGCTGATGATCTTGCCCCCGCCTTGAGCTTTGAAATGCGGGTGGATCGCGCGACACGAAAGGAAGGCCGCCCGCAGGTTGACGTCCAGCACGTTGTCCCACTCGGCGGCTGTGGTGTCTTCTGGAGCCTTGCGCACGGTGGCTCCGGCATTGTTGATCAGGATGTCCACGTGGCCGAAATGCGCGATTGCGCGCGACGCCATGTCGTCGATGTCCGAATCGCTGGTTACGTCCGTTGGAATTGCGAAGGCCCGGCGCCCAGTGGCTTCGATGGCGGACACTGCCGCGGCGTTCTTGTCCGCGTTCCTGGCGGCGATGGCAATGTCCGCCCCGGCATTTGCCAGTCCCAGCGCCATGCCCAGTCCCAGTCCGCCGTTGCCGCCCGTCACCAGCGCCACACGCCCGGTGAGGTCAAACATATCGCCGTTGCTGTTGCTCATCTGTATCATCTCCGTGCTTGGCCCGATCGGGCCGCTTCCTGGTTCGCGCGTGTGTTGGATTGGCCCATCCGCGAGGATTGCTCCCTCAGTTTTCCCATGGGCCATCGTACCCGCATACCCCGCTCCTCGGCGAATTCACCACCGGCAACAGTTCCTCGGCGTCCTCGCCCGTTTGCAGAGCGCAGTCGTCGCAGTAACCTGTCGTCATGTTCCAGTCGTCCGGCGTCGGGCCGACTTGAGTGGCCGGTGAACTGCATGCAACGCAAAGGATCTCGGGAGCGTCGTTGCGTGCTAGCAACACGATACCGTCGCTCGCCACCTCAGTCTCGCCAATGCTCCGCAGGGTCAGGAAAGTAGAGGTGCCGAAATCGTACACGTGGCTAAAACTGGTACCGGCCGGCGCGACGCGACTCAATGCAACGCCCATGCCCTTTGCGCCGAATTGAGCATGGGAATGATACTCGTCACGGCTGATTTGAAAGGCGCTGAGATGACCGCAACACTCCAGCCAGATGCGACGCAGGTACTCGTCCAGATCATCCAACTGTGCGTTTGACGGCACGGCCAGGTGCAACCAATACTCCGGTCGGTCGCTATCGGTGACCGAAACGTGAATGCCGGTTCTCCGCGGCCCACCGGGACGGGTACCCTGTGCTTCCGGCCACGGGTTACGCTTCAGGCAACTTTGCAGGTGACGGGTAATCCCTGATTTACGAAACGAATTGCCACACCGTTCACATGTGCCGCTGGAGGCTGGGTCACTCATCGGATGGCTCCTCCTGATGGGTTTTCGCCTGGTTGGCCGGCACCCATTGTGACACTTGAGCCAACGCGAGGCTACTGGTGGCTCGACATAAATGAGGGATGGCCGGCCGGCCATCCCTCAGATGATCGTATGTTGTGGCGGGCTACAGGTTGATCAGGGCCGGCGCTGCCACGAATGCCGGGGCGAACACCAGCGACACGATCGCCATGAGCTTCAGCAGGATGTTCAGGCTCGGTCCCGAGGTGTCTTTGAACGGGTCTCCGACCACGTCCCCTTCCACCGCGGCTTTGTGGGCATCCGAGCCCTTGCCGCCGTAATTGCCCAGCTCAACGTATTTCTTCGCGTTGTCCCACGTTCCGCCGGCTGATGCCATCATGATCGCCAGCATGAAACCGGCCGAAACCGCCCCAATGAGCAGTCCGCCCAGCGCGGCCTCGCCGAGTATGAAACCGGCGGCGATGGGGGCGATCACCGCCATCAGGCCGGGGAGGATCATTTCGCGCAGAGCGCCTCGGGTGCTGATGTCAACGCACCGTGCCGAGTCGGGCTGCGCAGTGCCCTCCATCAGTCCGGGGATCTCGCGGAACTGCCGACGCACCTCGTCAACGATGCCCTGCGCGGCCCGGCCAACTGCCTGCATGGTCAGGGCCGAGAAGATGAACGGCAGCATTGCCCCGATGATCAGACCCACCAGGACCTGTGGTTGCAGCAGGTTGATGCCGGTACCGCCGTCGGCCAGCCGGCCATCGGGACCCAGGGTGATCAACCCGGCGCTCACGGAGTAGGCGGCCAACAGGGCCAGGGAAGTCAGGGCTGCCGATCCGATGGCAAACCCCTTGCCAGTGGCCGCCGTCGTGTTGCCCAACGCGTCCAGAGCGTCCGTGCGCTCACGCACCTGCGGGTCCAGGTTGGCCTGCTCCGCGATGCCTCCGGCGTTGTCCGCAACCGGCCCGTAGGCGTCGGTGGCGAGGGTGATGCCCAGCGTGGACAACAGCCCTACGCCGGCCAGTGCGACCCCGTAGAACCCCGCGAACCAGTACGCCAGCAGGATGGCCACCGACACGCAGATCACCGGTACCAGGGTACTCAGCATCCCGGAGGCTATACCGCTGATGATGACCGTTGCGGCGCCGGTCTGCGACGATTCCGACACCCTTTGCGTCGGCTTGTAGCTGTACGACGTGTAGTACTCCGTCGCCAGGCCGATGATTGTCCCCGCGACGAGTCCGGCAACCACGCAGCCGAACCACCACCAGTTGTTGGTCAATGTGATGGTCAGTATGGCGGCGAAAATGATCAGCAGGCCGCCCGCCGCGAAGATGCCGTAGCGCAATGCCCACAGCAGCCGCTCAAAGTCGGCCTGCTCTCCGCTGCGCACCACGAACGTCCCCAGGATCGCGGCTACGATTCCCGCGCCGGCCAGCAGCATCGGGAACACCGCGTCGTTGCCGAACACTGCGAACGCGGTCGTGCTGGCCGCAGCCAACGCCACCGCCGAGATGATGCTGCCCACGTAGGACTCGAACAGGTCGGCGCCCATGCCGGCCACGTCGCCCACGTTGTCGCCCACGTTGTCCGCGATGACGCCCGGGTTACGGGGGTCGTCTTCCGGAATACCGGCCTCGATCTTGCCCACCAGGTCGGAACCGACGTCGGCCGCCTTGGTGAAGATGCCGCCGCCCACGCGGGCGAACAGGGCAATTGAGCTGGCGCCGAACCCGAACCCGGCCACCGCGCCGATGTCCTGGAAGATCAGGTACAGGATCGTCACGCCCAGCAGGCCAATACCCACCACGGTAACGCCCATCACCGTGCCGCTGGAGAAAGCCACCCGCAGCGCCGGGTTCAATCCCCGCATCGCCGCCGCGGCGGTTCGCACGTTGGCCCGAACCGCGACATTCATCCCCACAAAGCCGGCCAGTCCGGAACAGATCGTACCCACCAGGTACGAGATGGCCGTCGCCGGCACCCCCAGTTCGTGCGTGAATATCGTATAGTCCAGCACGCCCAGTACCACTGCTACGACTGTAATGAACGGCAGCAGCGCCAGATACTCCCGCCGCAGGAACGCCGACGCCCCTTCTCGAATGGCATCGCCAATCTCCCGCATACGCTCATTGCCCTGGTCCGCCCCTATGACCCGGTAGGCCGTAAACGCCGCAAACGCCAGGGCAATTACCCCAGCCACCAGGGCTACAATGATTGATTCCATTCTTTCTTCTCCGGTTTTCGGATAAAAATGCCGATAAACGTCGCGAAATTAGCACACACCCCGATGGGTGTCAATCAACGCGCGCATCGGTTTTCGGCGTCAAATCTACGATGCGTGCGCTGATTTCGCCGCCGCCGGTATCGAGGACTGCGACAGTCCCGGGCGATCCCGGTTTGTGGCGACGACCCGGGTACGTGGGGCTTCCCGGGTTCACAAACAGAACCCCTTCTTTCCATTCCACCAGTTCCTCGTGCGTGTCCCCAAAGACAACCACGTCAACCTCTCCACCGAACTTTTTCTGCAACAGAGGGCCCAGACCAGTCTCCGGCCACACCAGACCTGTCCCGTCCGGCGTGGTCGCAATCGACGGCGTCGGCCACTGGATGTCATGCACCATCCCGATGCGTATGCTATCCACTTCGACGATGCGGGTGACGTTGGCCAACCGTTCGCCACGCTCGACCGGGTCCTCATACCCGCGCACCGCCAGCACCGGGGCCAATTCTTCCAGGTAGTCCAGCACCCCGATGCACTCCAAATCGCCGCAGTGGAGCAGTAGGTCGCAGCCCGCCAACGCGTCGAAGACCGCAGCCGGCAAGTCCCTGCCGCTGCCTGCGGAATGGGTGTCGGAGATCAGCCCAATTTTCACCGGATCAACTTATGCCTTCGCGGGCGCCAGCGCTTCCAGCGTGGTCAGCATGATGTCGCGGTCGGACCCGTGGGGAAAGGCGACCATCGGCATGTCGACGCCGTTGCTTCGGAAGCGGGACATTTTCTCACGGCAGTCGTTCGGTGTTCCGATCGCCGTGATGTTATCCACCATCTCATCGGTTATGCAGGTCGCCGCCCTGGCCCGGTCGCCTCCCGCCCACGCGGATCGCAGTTGGTCGCACTCGTGCTGGTACCCGTACCTGCAAAACAGATCATAGTAGTAACTGCCCATGCCGCCGATGTAGAAGGCCATGTGTGACCGTGCCTGCGCAATCGCGTCTGCAACCGTGGCCTCGTCATCGCTGGCGCAGCTGAGGATTTGGGGAGCCGTCGTCACTTCGGAAACCTGTCGCCCTGCCGATTGCGCTGCCTGCGCCAGTGGTTCTTTCACCAGTGGGAGCTTCTCTCGATGCGTCCAGATGGGCAGCCATCCGTCCGCTGATCGACCGGTCAATTCCAGGTTGCGCTTTCCCAGCGAGGCCACGTAGATCGGCACTCGCTCCTGGACTGGCAGGACGCCCATGCGAAAGCGCTTCAGATTGTAGAAACGGCCCTCGTAGTTCACCCGTTCGCCCGAGAGCGCCAGCCGAATGATTTCGATGTACTCGGCCGTGCGCGCCACCGGGTGGTCGAATTTCACCCCGTGCCAGTCCTCGATCACGATGCGTCCGCTGCTGCCAAGCCCCAGCACCGCTCTGCCGTTGCTGATGCGGTCCAGGGACGCGATGCTCTGTGCCACCAGTCCCGGCGTTCTGCTGTAGACCGTAACTATGCCGGTCCCCAGACCGATGCGTTCCGTGTGGCACGCCAGCATGGTCAGCACGGTGAAGGCATCCCTTCCCCACGACTCTCCGGTCCAAAACGACTCGTAACCCAAACGGTCCGCGGCTTGCGCCACGGCTATCAGGTCATCGTCATCGTTGTTGTCGCGACTGCTGAATGTCAGCGCGATGCGTTCGGTGGTCAAGATCGTTCCTCAGTTCCGGTTTTGCCAGATGTAGTATGGGTCAAGGGATTCGTCGGTCATCGTTTCGCCGAGCGCTTCCCCGACGGCGGGAAAGGCCTGGCTTTCCTGCTCGATCAGTCTGCTGATCTCCCTGGACCACCGGTCAACGTCCGTGCTGTCCAATTTGCCCGACAACATTTCTGAAAATCCCGCTACCACCTGATCGGTGGGAATAGCCAGCGTTGGCCCGGATATGACGAATACCACCACTTCCGGCATATTATCTTCGTCGTGGTAGTCCACTCCAAGCTTCTCCAGGATGTAATGCATCGCCACGCCGCGCACGATGTCGTCCACCTGGTTCGGCAAGTGCATCAGGTGCAGAAAAGGACGATCCCCGCCTTCGCGCAATGCGCTGGCGAATTCACTTTCCACCGTGCGGTAGTATTCGTCGTTGAACACTTCCTCAGTGGACAGCAGGCGCACCTCCGCCGACTGCCCCCGGGTGTCAACCACCACGAATTCCTGCAGGTGCGGAAAGATGGCCAGGGTGATGTCGGGATACCGCCCGTTCGGAAGCGGGCCGCCGCTGAGTTCCTGGAACAAGGTCGTGCTCCTTGCGCCCGATCGACCCCGACCGTTCGCGATTCCGGGGGATTTGATCGGCCCCGGGGTCAGCCGGTGATCAAGTCCCGTATCGCTGCCGCCACGCCTGAAAGGTCGTCAACCTCGGCGTCCGCCTGGCTGTCCGGGTCGTCCGGGTCCTCGGGCTCGTAGAAACCGCGGATCCAAACGGACTTCATCCCAACTCGGTTGGCTCCGACCACGTCGTTGCTCACGTGGTCGCCCACGTGAATCGTGCTTGCTGGGTTTGACTCCAAAGCCCCCATGGTCATCAGGAATATCTCGTCCGAAGGCTTGGCCAACAACACCTCATCGGAAAAGGTCATCGTGTGGAAAAAATCCGCCAGTCCGTGTTGCTGCAGGAACTGTCTGAATGTATATCCTGGCGTCATTCCCGTGTTCGATATCAACCCGATCCGCAGACCCATACTGCGCACTGATTCCAGGGTCTCCCGCGTAGCCTCGTGAAACCGCGGCGGATAGTCGAAGAACGACTCGGCGTACACCTTCTCTATCTCGGCGACCGTGGGCTCGGGCAGACGACCGACCAGACCGTCTTCAATCAGGTTGACGAAGATCTCCACCTGCTCGCGGAAACTCACGTCTACGTTGTCGTTGCGAACCGCCCGGCATGCCCGGTAGCAGCCTCGATAGGCTTCGCGGATGTGGTCGGGGTCGTAGTTGATACCGTGCCCCGCCAACAGGCCACGAGCCCCATCCAAGCGGACTTGCGCTCTCTGGAGGCCCAGTTCCCGATTGTCCAGGATCAGTGTCTGCCACAGATCGAACGTTACGGCGTTTATCGTAGCCACTTGGTTTGCGGTTCCTCCCATCTCGGGAACGTCGTTCTCGGTTCGGGAAACCGGGCTACAACGCGGGCCGCTGAGCGTGCCAACCCGTCGCCTGCTGGTAAGCGTACGCTGCCCGCAGCACGGTCATTTCGTCAAAGTTCCGGCCCGCCAGGTGCAGGCCCGCGGGCAGTCCATCCGGCGCAAATCCGCAGGGGACCGAAATAGCCGGGGACCCGGTGATGTTGTATACCCGGGTGTACTTCGTCAGCATCGGCACCGCCGGCAGCGACTGCCCCTCGATTTCGATACGCCGCTCCAGTATCTTCGGCGCCGTCACCGGTTCCACCGGGCCCGCCAGGAGGTCAACGTCGCGTAGCAGGTCAGCCACCTGATTGCAGAAGACTTGCCTGGCCTGTTGGGCCCTCAGGTATTCCGCTGCAGAAATGAACAGCCCCTCTTCGAGCCGTTCACGCACTTGTGGGTACAGCTTCTCGCCGTCGCTCAACAGGATATCCCGATGCGCGGCGGTCGCCTCGGCGCTGAGGATGGCGTTGCTGATTGGCTGGGCGTACTCGTAGAGCGGCAGTGAAACTTCCACGATCTCTGCCCCGAGTTCCCCCAATACGGCTATGGCCCGGTGCGTCAGCGCCGCCACGGCGGGGTCGATCTCCGTTTCGAAATACTCCCGTATCACGCCGATCCGCAGTCCGCGGATGTCTCCGGTCAGCGCCGTCGTATAGTCGGGAACCGGAGCTTCCGACGTTGCATGGTCCAGAGGATCGTGTCCGGCGATGACATTCATGGTCAGCGCGGCATCTTCCACGGTTCGCACCATTGGTCCGGGATGGTCCAGGCACCAGGATAACGGCGTCAAACCGGCACGGCTCACTCGCCCGTAGGTCGGCTTCAGGCCGACTATGCCGCACAGCGCCGCCGGAATACGCACGCTTCCGCCGGTGTCGCTCCCCATGGTGATCGTGCACTGTCCGGCCGCCGTTGCCGATCCACTCCCGCCGCTGGAACCGCCGGTAATTCGCTCCGGGTTCCACGGGTTGTGCATGTGGCCGTAATCGCCGTTCTCGCCCGTCGGACCAAACGCCAACGGGTGCATGTTCAACTTGCCCAGCAGTATCGCGCCGGCCTGGCTGAACCTGGCTGCAACCGTGCAGTCTTCGTCCGGCACGTAGTTGTCGTAGATCCGAGTCCCTGACGTGGTCTTCACCCCCGCCGTGTTGAACAGATCCTTCAACCCCACCGGGATGCCGTGCAGCGGTCCGCGGTAGTTGCCTCTCCCGATCTCGGCTTCCGCGCGTCGCGCCGCGTCCCGCGCCTGTTCGGGCATCAGTGTGATGAATGAATTGAGGGTCGGCTCGGTCTCTTCGATCCTTGCCAGACACGCCTCCACAACGTCAACCGGTGAAACCTCTCGATCGCGAATGAGCCTGGACAAGTCCCAAGCCGACATGTAATGGAGGTCGTCGCCTGCCATGATTTAAGCCCTTCCGGTGCCTGGTTTGGGTTCTCGATCAGCCGATGGGATGAAGGCCGAGGGCGCTTCGGCGCCGGACACGTCGATCTCGTAGAGCCGGGCCAATCCTGCGCGCATCAAAGCCACCCGTCGCGCCAAGTCTTGTCCTCGTTCCTCGTCCGACACGTCCAACCCCGCCGCCTGGGCCATGCGCAGAATCCCCTCGTCAAACCCCGGTGGATTGGAAGCTGTGGCCATTCGCTCTCCCCGAAAATTCGCCTCGATCTGCCGTCCCGGAGGACGGCCGCAATTATGGCCCAACCAGCCCAAGTTGGCAAATGGCGCCAGCGCTCTGGCGGGTCCGTTCGATAGCGTCTACCCGACCCCTTCGTTCCAGTGGGAACCAGTTCCGTAATACATTCTCCGTTGCTGCGCTGGAAGTTACGTTCCTTGACTCCGCCCGAAACGATCGTCCGGTAAGCGTACCTACCGTGCGCAACGTACAGCCCACGCTCCGGCGGACTCCGGCCGTGGTCTATACTGAATCACCCAGAGTCGCGGCCACGTTTGCGATAGTGTTTTTGTAATGCAATCGTTCTGCACCCATTGCGGGGAAGCTATCCCGCCCGGCGCTTCGGAATGCTCGGCCTGCCAGGCAGGGTTGGGATCAGCCGCCGGTCCGCCCGTGGCGCATCGATGGGGGGTCTGGCAACCCGCCTTGGGTTTGATGGTCTTGGTACCCACCGCGGTGCTCATTGCGTCCGTGGCTCTCGTGATACCGCTGGCGATCGCCGCAGTGGTTTCGGCGACCGCCCTGGGTCTGCTACAGGTGGCGCTGGTTTGGCTCCTCGGCATCCGGGCCTGGCCGCCTCCGTTGTCCCTGGTCGGTTTCACCGCGCCCGGCACGTCGCGTTTCCTGACCGTACTGCTTTGCTTGGCCGCCGTGATTTGCAGTCTTGGGTTCGCCCAGCTGTACACCATGACGGCGATAGCGTTGGGTTGGGACTTCCTGATGCCCCCGGAACTGCCCGCCGGCCTGTTGCTGCCCGGGGGATTCGTCGTCGTCAGCGCTCTCGCCCTCGCGGTGTGGACGCCGATTGCCGAGGAGGCGTTCTTCCGTGGGTTCGTGCTGCGCGGCATGGCCAACCGATGGGGTTTCGCGCCGGCTCTGGTGGTATCCGCCGCGGTCTTCGCAGCTCTGCACCTCTCTCCGGCCTTGCTGCTGCCGGTTTTCGTCACCGGCCTGTTGTTGGGTTTCCTGTACCTGCGGACCGGCTCACTTTGGCCGTGCATCGCGGTCCATGCTGCCCAGAACCTGGTTGCCGTGCTGACTGCGTGGCTCGCTTTGTAGCGGCCGGGTCACCAACGGTCCGGTCGTGGATGTCCCACACTCGCCGGCCGTCATTGGTCAATGCCCCATGGCGCTCAATGGCACTGTATGGACACCCGCCGGCCCGTAGGATAGTCTAGTCGTATTCCACCTGCTCGAGTGCCGCCAATGTCAACCTCCACTGTAACCCGCCCGGATCGTATCGCCGCAAAGTTTGCGGCCATCAAGGCTGAGGACCGCCCTGGCCTGGTGGTGTTCGTCACCGTCGGCCACCCATATAAGAACGCTGCCCTGGACGTCGTCCCGCGATTGGTAGCGGCCGGCGCCGACGCCGTCGAGTTGGGCATGCCATTCAGCGACCCCGTGGGCGAAGGCCCGGTGATCCAGGCGTCCAGTTACGTTGCCCTGCAAAACGGTGTTACCACTCAGGATTGCCTGGATACGGCGGCGGCTCTGCGCACGCAGATAGGTGACACCCCCCTCATCCTGATGGGTTACTACAACCCGGTCATGGCCTATGGTCTCCAGAAGTTCGCCGCCGCGTGCTCCGAGGCAACCGTCGATGGCCTGATCATCGTCGATCTCCCCAGTTCGGAGGCCGATGCCCTGGTGTCCGAGCTCGGCCCTTACGGCGTGCACCTGATTCCTTTGCTGGCCCCGACCAGTACTGACGAGAGCATAGCGAGATCAGTGGATATTGGCGGCGGCTTCGTCTACTGCACCAGCGTGGTGGGCATCACCGGCGCCCGATCCGAGGTGTCGAGCCGCGGCCTGGCTCTGGTGGACCGCGTGCGCCAACACACCGGTCTTCCGGTCACCATCGGCTTCGGCATCTCGCGCCGCGAACACGTGCTTGACGTGGGCCGGAGAGCCGATGCTGCGGCGGTCGGCAGCGCCCTCGTGAGCGCCCTGGCCGACGGTCCCGATGAGCAGGCGGCCGATCGCGGGGCCGTCGTCGTCGCAGAGCTCGCCGGACGCACCCTGTAGGCTCGGCGCGGGTCCCCCGTGCTGGCTCCGGTAACTACATCAAAATTGTCGCCGGTCTTGCCGTTGACAACGCAGAACGACGGGAGTAGCATTTTCCTCGAAATGAGTATCACCTGCCGCCAATTCGTCCCCGGGTATTATCGCCCATTTTACACTTACGCTTACCGCAGCACGGTCAGCGTATTACCGGTGTGAGAAGCCCGATAAACTTGGTGACAACCACTTTGGCAGGACTTCAGCCGGACGCAGGCTGAAGTCCTTTTTTTGGTAACTTCGGCGCCTCGGATCCGGTACCCGTCAGGAGGACAAACAGATGGCAATCTCACCGGCAAAAGACGTGAACGTGATGAGTAACAACGCGCTGATCAAACCGTCGGAATTGGAAGCTCGTATCCCCCTCACTGCAACGGCCGAGGAAGTGGTGCTCGATAGCCGCCGCCAACTTGAGGCCGTGCTGAACGGCGAAGACGAGCGGTTTGCGGTTATCGTCGGCCCTTGCTCCATCCACGACCAGTCGGGTGCGCTTGATTACGCGGCGCGCCTCAAGCCTCTCGCCGACCGACTCAGCGACCGCATCATGATCGTGATGCGTGTGTACTTCGAGAAACCTCGCACCACCGTCGGTTGGAAGGGCCTGATCTATGACCCCAACCTCAACGACACCTACCAAATCGAAGACGGCCTCCACCGCGCTCGCAAACTCCTGATGGAGATCGCGGAAACCGGCCTGAGTTCCGCCACCGAATTCCTCGATCCCATTGTGCCCCAGTACGTGTCCGATCTGGTCACCTGGGCCGCCATCGGCGCGCGGACCACCGAGAGCCAGATACATCGCCAGATGGCTTCCGGCCTGTCGATGCCCGTCGGCTTCAAGAACGGCACCGACGGAGATCCCCAAACGGCGGTGGACGCCCTCGTCGCCGCCAGCACCCCACAGGCTTTCCTCGGCATAGACCACGACGGCCAGGCCTCCATCGTTGAGACCCGGGGTAACCGCCACTGCCACCTGGTCATGCGGGGCGGCCGCAGTGGTACCAACTTCGACGCCCGCTCCATCGGCGCCGCCGCGGAAGCTCTCCGTAAAGCCGATGCGCCCACGCCGATAGTGGTGGACTGCAGCCACGGCAATTCCAACAAGGACCACACCCGCCAGCACATTGCCTTCCGGGAAGTTCTGCAACAGCGTTTGGCTGGCAACTCCGACCTCATCGGGGTCATGCTCGAGAGCAACATCAACGCTGGCGCGCAGAAGCTCGGCGCGGATCCTGCCGAACTGGAGTACGGTATCTCAATTACCGACTCCTGCATCGGTTGGGACGAGACAGTCGACCTGCTGGATTGGGCCTACGAAGCCATCGGTAGCGACGTCGCCGTACCGGCAGATTAGGGTCTCGACCGACATATCCATGCGACCCGGGGAGGGGCGAACGCCAGTTCGCCCCTCCTCTGATTCTTCCCGATGATATCGCGTTCCGCCCGTACTCACCGTGTTATAATCCGGGCAATTCATTGTATAAATTTGGCCCCCGGAAATTCGGACAATCAGCTAAATTGCAGTTCTAGGAGGCCGGTATATGTTCCCAACAGTTAGCCTGAACTCAGACGTTTCCCGAGAAGATGTTTCCCGTATGCGCGACTGGCTGCGTGATCCTGAAGTGAGCTCGTTATGGTACGGCGCCGATGATTCCGATGGCCACGCTCTGCATATCGGTTACGCGCCCGAAATAATCCACGATGCCGACGACGCCACGTGGAATCAGACATTCAATCAGGACGAGCGACGCATTTATTCCATCTACGCGACCGACGAAGCTCATATCGGCGAAGGCCAGTTACTCGTCGAATGGCCCCTTGAAGAAGCGCAACTCTTTATCCTGATCGGCCGCAAGGATCTTTGGCATCACCACTACGGTACCTCGGCCCTGGTCACCCTTCTTGACGAAGCTTTCGACAACCTCGAACTCCACCGCGTTTGGGTGGACGTTCCGGAGTACAACGAACACGCGCTTCAAATGTTCCGGCACCTGGGCTTTGTGCTCGAAGGACACTTGCGTCGCACCCACCGGAAAGACGGCAATTGGTACGACTCCTTCGCGATGGGATTGCTGACTGATGAATACCACCGCCGCCGCGAACGGGTTTTGTCCCAATACACGGCGTAGTTCGCGTCCGAGACGGAGGAATCATCATGCCGGTCATAACCATCAACGGCGTCATCGGCAGCGGAACACTGGAGATCGGACACCTGGTCGCCCAGAACATGGGCCTCAACTACGTTGACCGGTACATCTTCTCTGAGGCCGCCCGCCTGGTCGGTTCTCCCATTAGCCGCCTCATCGAGAAAGAGCAGCGTGTGGTCCCCTTCCGCGAAAAAGTCGCGCGCTTCATGCAAACGGTCCTTGAACGTTCCGCGGTCGCCGGCGCCGGCGCCGAGCCGTATTTCGGACGTGGCATAGAAATGCTCCCCGCTGAGGCCTACACCGAGCTGGTGTCTGACGCCGCTTCGTCGTCCAATGTCCACGACCGGGCTTTCATCGAAGCGACCACCTCCGTCATCAAGGAACTGTCCGGAGGCGGCGACGTCGTCATCATCGGCCGTGGCAGCAATATGATCCTGGCTGACACACCTGGAGTCATCCACGTCGGCCTTCTCGCCCCTATGGATGTGCGCATCGATACCATGGCCAAGCGCGAGATGTTCTCCGCCGACGAGGCGCGGGCCTACGCCGAGGATCTCGAGAATGCTCGGGTGACCTTCTACCGCAAGTTCTTTCGGACGGAAGCGAACGACCCCACCAAGTTCCACCTGATGCTCAATATCGGACGCATTTCCCAGAGCACCGCTGCGGAAATCATCGCCCACGCCTCGGAAGACCTTACCGCAGCAGTTCCCGCCTAGCCGTGCTGCCCATTTCCGACGCTGGGCGGCGTCAGGGCTCCGTCCCGGTCGTCAACCTCGTCCTGATCGGCCTTAACGCTCTCGTATTTCTCTACGAGATCAGCATCGGCGGGTTCGGGTTCTTCTTCGGCGGCGGCGGCTTGCCGATCTTCGTCTTCTTCCTGGAGTTCGGCTTTATACCCGCCGAACTGTCATCGGTCCGCGGTTTCGAGCCGCTGGGGTCGCGCCCGGGCTTCGTTAGCATAGCTTCGCCCATCTCAACTTGGGCGACGCTGCTCACTTGCATGTTCATTCACGGCAGCTTGATGCATTTCATCGGCAACATGCTGTTCCTGTGGGTGTTCGGCGACAACATCGAAGCGACCTTCGGCCACGTCAAGTATCTACTGTTCTACATCGCGGCCGGCGTGCTCGCGACGCTGTCCCACTACGCTATCGATCCGTCTTCCCAGACCCCGTTGGTCGGCGCCAGCGGGGCGATTTCCGGCGTGATGGGCGCCTACCTCCTCCTCTACCCGCGCAATCGTATCCGCACACTGCTGATCTACATTTTGATCACCGTTGTCGAGTTGCGCGCGGTTTGGCTCCTCCTCATTTGGTTCGGCCTGCAGGCCATCCAGGGGCTGCTCTCCATTGGCGTCAGCCATGAGGTCTCCACGGCCTTCTTCGCGCACATTGGCGGATTCGTCGTGGGCGCCATCGTCGGGTTGGCAGTGCGCCCATTCCGGCGCGGCCCCAGCGGCAGGTCGGGATACGGAGGCGATGCCAACCAACGGCCGCCCCAATACTGGCGCGGCCGCCGCATCGACTGATTTTTGCTTACCCTGCGCCGCGGTCCACGGCGGCAGCCCTACCGGGCGTTACGCCTCGGGATACGGGTTCAACCCCAGCATGTCTCTGGCCTGCTGGGGTGTTGCCGGCTCTCTGCCGTGCAGCCGGGCCATGGTAACCGCCCACTCGATGTACTCGGCGTTGGATTTGGGCTCCGGGTTGTTCGGCAGGTACGGGCTGTCCTCGAAACCAACCCGCACGTGCGCCCCGGTGGCGATGGCGATCGCGCACAATGGGAAGGTTTGCCCCAGGCTGCTGTGCGCCAGCCAGGTTGATTCGGGGTAGCGTTCACGGATCGTTTCGGCGATCAGCGCGTAATTGCGCGGCGAGCCCACCATGGATTGACGTCCGTCGCCCCAGTGTGCGCCAGGCTCCACCAAGAAGTATCGCGTGTCCTTGATGTAACCCTCTTGCATCAGGGTAAACGCATTGTTTACGTCGCCCATGTCGTGCACCGCAGGCTCCGGAAACGTCCCGCGTTGGTAGCACGCGTCCAGCGTCGCGGTGATGTCCTCGAACGAGTTCGGCGAGATGCTGGTACGCCTCCTGCCCGTCTCTGGATCCACGGGCCACCGCACGCCCATGCCAAGGTTCAGCGACACCATCTCCACGGGTTGTGGCGTCTCCAGTAGATACCGCGTTACCGCCGACACCGGGACGTGGGCCTGCCGAGCGGTGGTGTGATTCAACACCAGGTCGCATTGCGCTCGGATCATCGCGGCCGTCTGCGCGTACCACGCCGGGTCGTAGCTGATGCCCCCGTCCGGCGTCCTGGCGTGGATGTGCACAATGGATGCCCCGGCTTCGTAGCACCGGACCGCTTCTTGCGCCACTTCTTCCGGCGTCCAGGGAACGTTGACGTTGTGTTCTCTGCCGCGACTGCCGTTCAGACACCCTTTGATGATGATGGTATCCATGTTCCCCGCCTCGTTTTGGAAATATTTGCACCGCCTGGCCCGAGTTGATATTGCCGTCGATGCCAGCCGTTTATCGCACATTAACATGGGACTGGAACCGGCCCGTCCCGTCACTTTCGCCGCTATGCTATCATACTGCCGGCACGGGATTTCGGCGTTTGTCGCCCCCGTGTCAGACCCGAAAATGACGTACCAGCCGGAGGAATATCTAATGCTGGACTACACACCCAATATGGTCCTGACTAGCGACAAAGAATACAAGGTAGTCGGGACCCGCCCGATCCGCCACGACGGCGCCGACAAGGTCACCGGCCTGGCTCGCTACAGCGCCGATCTTAACCTGCCCGGTATGCTCTACGGTAAAGTGCTTCGCAGCCCCCACGCTCACGCGCGCATCAAGTCCATCGACACCGGCAGGGCCGCGGCCATGCCCGGCGTCCGCGCGATCATCACCGGCGCGGACATCGTTGAACCCACCGGCCGTGCCTCTGACTTGGCCGAAGGCGCGATGGTCAACTTCAAGTTCCTGAGCAACAACATCATGGCCCAGGACAAGGCCCTTTATAAGGGACATGCCATCGCCGCGGTCGCTGCCGTCAACGCCCATGCGGCGGAGGAAGCCCTGGGCCTGATCGACATCGAATACGAAGTGCTGCCCCTGGTCATGTACGCTGGCGAGGCCATGGCTGATGGCGCGACCCTGGTGCACGAGCGTCTCGCGGCGTTCCGCACTGCCGGCACTCGCGCCGGTGGCGTTTTGGACGACGACGATGACGCCTCTGGAACCAACATCGCCAACCACTTTGAGTTCCGCATGGGCGATCTCGACGCCGGTTTCGCTGACGCCGATGTCGTCGTGGAGCGCAGCGTGTCAACCTCCGCGGTCCACCAGGGCTACATCGAGCCCCACAGCGGCACCGCCATGTGGCACGACGACGGCAGCCTGACCATTTGGTCCAGCAGCCAGGGCCACTTCACGGTTCGCGACCATACCGCCCGCCTCGTCGGCATTCCGGTTTCCAAGGTCAAGGCCATTCCAATGGAAATCGGTGGTGGTTTTGGCGCCAAGCTTGCCGTGTATATGGAGCCGCTGGCCGCCCTTCTGGCCCGCAAAGCCCACGCTCCCGTCAAGGTCGCCATGAACCGCACCGAGGTTTTCGAGGCCACCGGGCCCACCTCCGGCACCGAGATCTCCTGCAAGATCGGCGCGACCAACGACGGTAAAATCACTGCCGCTGAGGTTCACTTGGTCTTCGAAGCGGGCGCCTTCCCCGGCTCGCCCGTCGCCGGCGCGGCCAACTGTGTATTTTCCGCCTACGATATCCCCAACACCTTCATCGAAGGCTACGATATCGTGGTCAACCGGCCCAAGACGGCGGCCTACCGGGCTCCCGGTTCCCCCGCCGCCGCCTACTGTGTTGAGGTCGCCCTGGACGAACTCGCCGAGAAACTCGGCATCGATGCCGTAGATCTGCGGCTCATCAATAGCGCCAAGGAAGGCACCCGGCGCCCCACGGGTCCGCTGACCCCCAAGGTCGGCTACATCGAGACGCTGGAAGCCACCAAGGCGCATCCCCACTACAGCGCGCCCAAGGACGGCAAGAAGCGCGGCCGTGGGGTGGCCTCCGGTTTCTGGGGCAACAACACCGGTCCGGCCGCCGCCGTCGCCCTGGTCAACCCCGATGGCACCGTGACCCTCACCGAAGGTTCTCCTGACATCGGTGGCACCCGCGCGTCGGTTTCCCAGCAGTTGGCGGAGGTGCTGGGCATCGCCGTCGAGGACGTCAATCCCCAGATCGGCGACACCGACAGCATCGGTTTCACCTCCAACACCGGCGGGAGCAGCGTTACTTTCAAGACCGGATTCGCCGCGTACACCGCAGCTCAGGACGTCAGACAGCAGATGATGGCCCGCGCAGCCCGCATCTGGGAAGTGGAACCTGAAGACGTGCTGTACGAGGACGGCGTTCTCAAGCACCGCGCCGACGACCAGTTACAGATGACCTTCCAGCAGCTTGCCGCGCGCCAGGTGCCCACGGGCGGACCCATTGTCGGCCGTGGCGGCGTCAACCCCGGCGGCGCCGGCCCCTGCATCGCCGTCCACATAGTCGACGTGGAGGTTGATGAGGACACCGGAAAGGTCGAAATCGTCCGCTACACCGCTATCCAGGACGCTGGCAAGGCGATCCACCCATCCTACGTGGAAGGTCAGATCCAAGGCGGCGCTGTCCAGGGGATCGGTTGGGCCCTCAACGAGGAGTACTACACGAACGACCAGGGGCACATGGTCAACTCCAGCTTCCTCGACTACCGCATGCCGACGAGCCTGGATCTGCCCATGATCGACACCTGCATCGTCGAGGTGGACAACCCGAACCATCCCTACGGCGTTCGCGGCGTGGGCGAGGTGCCCATCGTTCCTCCCATGGCGGCTATCGCCAACGCCATCTACGACGCCATCGGCGTCCGCTTGACCGTTCTTCCCATGAACCCGGGCAACGTCCTGGAAGCCCTGTGGGAAAAGAACGGCTCATAAACTCTGTCCGGACCGCACGGGGCGAATCATTGTTCGCCCCCATGGCGGTTGACCCTGCGGTTGCCGCCTGTCACGAGGGGATCGAAATGCCTGATGTATGGATACCCCCGCAGATGCAACGTATCATCGGCGCCCCTGACCGGGTCCAGGTCGCTGGCGCCACGGTACGCCAGGTCATTAACAACTTGGAGCAGCTCCATCCTGGCATCAAGGAACTCCTCTACGACGAAGAGCTGGATGACATAACGCCCGGCCTGGCGGTGATCGTCGATGGCGACGTCAGCCAGCTGGGCCTGATGGAGCGGGTCAGCGAAGACAGCGAAATGCACTTCCTCCCCGCTATCGGCGGCGGCTGAAAACCACGTCATGGCGAATGCGCGAAGGGGCAACCAAGTCGGTTGCCCCTTCGCGTTGGATTGCACCAAAGTCTGCGAGCCGGTAACGCTTGACCGTGCTCACTCGGGGAACAAGGTGACCACCGCCGATCCGCGGCTGTAGAGTTCTCCGTCGTCCGATCTCAACACGAACACGCCCAGCCCGTCACGTATGGCCTCGTACTCATCTTCTGCCACGCGCAGGTCTTCCCCGTCCAGTTGGTCGATGATCCGGTGAGCGTCGATATAACTGAGAAATCGTCGGTTGTCCGGCAGAAATTCCATCGCGCGTTGATACTCCGCGTGTGACGACAGGCTTTCGCCTTGCCCATTTTGCAGTCCCACCGCGGTGGTCAGGGCACGCTCTGTCGTACCGATCGTCAGATACTGATCGTGCAACACGTAGCCGGGTCGGTAACCGGTCTCGCCGCCCATCAGTATTCCCAGCGAACCCAAATCAAACACCGTCGCCGGCTCCTCGGCTCCAACGTCGACCATCTCGAAACTCAGCCCGGCGCTGGTCCGAACCAGGTCCGACATTCGGCTCATGGTATTTTCGAGATCGTCCCGGCTGCCTTCCTTGTAGGCGAGCATCGCCACCGCGTCAACCGGATTTCCTGCCGCGTCCTCTCCGACGGCCGAGAAATCGAAATCCCTTATTGCCAGGATGGCTGTGCCTGCCAGGTGATCAAAGAACTCCGTTTCCAGGTCTATCCCGGTGTTGTCCTTCACCAGCGCAAGCCCCAGATCTAACGCCTCCGCCAAGCTGGAGTCTGCATCCAATTGGGGCGTTTCCCCGCTCCGCCCGCCGTGCAACAGGCCGGCAATCCCTCCAGACAATCCGGGTTCAGGCAGCACGTCCGCCAATCGTCGGTCTGCCAGCGCTGCGCGCCAGTTGTCCACGTCTGGGTCGAACGCAGCCGCGACGAACCCGAGGGTGTCCTTTGGCAGCAGTCCCGCCGGGTCGTCCAGGTCCGCCGCGTCCAATCCGTCCGTCGCATCCGAAGGGGTCACCCACTCCGTGACAATTCCTCGGTCAACCCACGTCGCCGCAACCCCCACCCATTCTGTGGTCTGGCCCGATCCTATGGCCGAGTTCAAAAGCCCCGGCCCTACTGGAGCGAACTGGCTTTCGAGCATTTCGATGATCTCGGCGCTCCTGTCGTAGTCCACGTATGTCGAGGCAAACCGACGGTCTGCCAGCGCTTCCCGCGCCGCCTGAAACTTAGCGTCGCGCGCAAGCGATCCCTCGCCGCTGTTCTCAATTCGGTCAATGATCGCGCGCAGCGCGGCCTCGTTGGTGGCGTATACCAGCCAGTCGTCGGTCAGAGCGTAGTTTTGATCTTCGACCTCGGAAATCCAGGTGGGGTGGTCTTGGTACGGTCGGGTGTCGAACGCCACGTTCCCCTTGGCCGCGACATAAACAATCCACTTGTCAAGGAAGTCGGCCGCCGCATCTTCATCGCGAACGCCGATCAATACTGCCCAGTCCGGTTGTCGCGTTTCCGCATCGATGCCCAGAAGCCCTGCGGATAACTCCGGTCCGATCCATGTTGCGACATCCTCATCGAAACTGATGCCCGTTTCTTCGGAAAAACCCGATTTCCAGTCGTGGACGGCCCTGACAAACCCCGGATACTCGTTGAATCTCCGCCAGATTTCACGCATGTCCCGGATTTGTCTGCCCCGCGGCGCCAGCGTTACCCAGGTGTATGCCGCAGTGTCGGCGGGATAATATCGTGCTGAAAATTCCGATTGGGCAGTACGTGGGAACGTTCCCAGGAGCGACATCGGGAACGGGATCACTCCGAAATATAATCCCAGCGCGATCGCCATTGCTGCCACTATTATCAGGTTCCCGGCGAGAATATAAATTCTTATTGCCATTCGTGCGTCTCCTTGCGTTATCGAACCTGTACCCGGTGACTATGGTGCATCGCCGAACTGCATCGTCTCGGCGCAGCAATTTGTGGCTATGGTGCCTTTGACTATATTTACGATCCGGGATTGGCTTCGGATGACGGCCCGGTCATTCGGTTGCCCGGTGTCCTGGAAAGACATGACCGGCCTCGGTCGATGGGGCAAGCGTCGGCCTCTACTCCCGCGCAGTGCCGCCGCCGTTGACAAGCCGCAGCATCCGGTCTACATTGACTGCGCGGTTGGACCGCACATTAACATCCGAAAACCAGACACTGGGCGCCATTCAATCCCATCGGCTTAATTGGGAAGGCGGTGCGAATCCGCCGCGGTTGCGCCACTGTAAGCGGGGAGCCGTACGACGATCGGCCACTGCCGTCCGCCCAGCGCGGATTGTGGGAAGGCGTCGGCACGGTTTGGAACCGCAAGCCAGGAGACCTGCCCGGTGTTGCCTCGGAACTCTGCTCTGCGCTCAACAGGGTCGTTCTGGTTCGCGCTTTGGGACGGTCATTTCCCCCCCGTGCGGACTGGCGTAAGCGACAACTCTGGACCCTGGTGGAGCTGCTTCCCAGGGTCTTTTCCTTGTCGAAAATGCGATGATATCTTCAAACGCAGGAATCAAAATGACTGTCGTGGGCGTCGGCCCCGGCGATCCCAACATGCTCACCCTCAAAGGCCGTGAGGCCATCGAAGGGGCGGATCTGGTTGTAGGCTTCAAAACCGTCCTTGACGTGGTGGCAGGACGCACTGGCCGTGCTGAAGTGCGCCCCATGGCGTACCGGGACCAGGAGGCCGTGCTGGACTACGCGCAGGAGCAGGCCCGGCAGGGCAAGCGCTGCGTCGTCTGCGTGTGGGGAGATCTGAACGTCTCCGCCAAGGAGTTGCTGAACCGCGTCCGCCGCCGCGCCGAAAGTGTGGAGTTGATTCCCGGCGTCAGCAGCATCCAGTTCGCGTGCGCCCGCGCCGGAATATCGCTGGAAGAATCGTTGTTCCTGACCCTGCATCAACGCTGGGATCGGGGCTCCGAATTGGGTGAATTGGTCGACACGCTGAACCGGGACCGACGCAACGTTATTCTGCTCCCCCGTCCCTTCGACTTCATGCCGCCGGCCATCGCCGCCAACGCGATCACCGATGGCGCCGACCCGAGTCATCCCGTAGTCGTGTTCCAGCGCCTCACGTTGCCCGATGAACAGCGTTGGGACGGCACCCTGGCCCAGCTTGCCCCGGTCACCGACGAATTCAGTGACCTCTCCATCATGGTGTTTCCCCGAACCGGCGATGACGCGGACTGATCCATGACTACCGAAGCGCAGACCGCGGCCGGCTCCATCGTACTGGTCACCACCGCCGACACCGACATCCTCACTGCCGAGCGCGCATTGGTGGGTATGCCGTGGGGCGACACAATCAGCGTGCACGCGTTCAATCCGGTGGCCCTGGAAGCCGAGACGGACGAAGCCGCGACCGCGCGGCGTGACCTCCTGGAGGCTGTGGACGCTGCCTCCGTGGTCGTGCTCCGCTTGCTGGGCGGCCGTCGTGCCTTGGGCGACGTGTTCGATCCGTTGTGGGAAATCTGCCTTCGCAACCGCACCCCGCTGATCGCCTGCCCGGGCCACCAGGAATGGGATGATGACCTGGTTGCCGCTTGCACCGCTCCGGTCGTCGAAGTAGAGGCTGTCTTCTCGTACCTCATGCGCGGCGGGGTTCTCAACTTTCGCAACCTTTTCCTGTTCCTTGCTGATACCTATCTTGGCGGCGATTTCGGCCACGAAGCGCCCGCGCCCATGCCCTGGCAGGGCATCTATCATCCCGAGGTGGCCGAAGGCATTTCCGTCACCGACTACCGCGCCGCCCGGTTCACTCCGGATCGCTCTTCCGTAGGCGTTCTTTTTTACCGCGCCCACTGGATGAGCGGCAACCTGGCCTTCATCGACGACCTGATCTCACGGTTGGAAGCTCAGGATGTCAATGTCCTCCCCGTGTTTTCCTACAGCCTCAAGCATCAGCCTGAGGAAGACGACGCCGGCGGCGGACACACCCTCACGGAATACATGGTCGATTCGGACGGCGTCCCGCACGTGGACTGCATCGTGAACACCATGGGCCTGGCCATGAGTGATCTCGATCACCAGCAAGGCGGGACCGGCGCCACCGTTGCCACCGGGTGGTCCCAGGAGTTCCTTGATAACCTGGACGTTCCGATCATCCAGGGGATCGTCAGCACCGGCAGTCGTTCCGAGTGGGAGGCGAGCTCCCTGGGCTTGGGTCCCATCGACACGGCCATGAATGTTGCCTTCCCTGAGTTCGACGGACGTATTATCACGGTGCCGGTGTCGTTCAAGGAGGAAACCGGCGCGGCTCCCGACACCCTGTCCGCCGGCCGGATGCAGCGCTACGTTGCCCAACCTGATCGAATGGACTACCTTGCCCGGTTGGCCTCCCGACACGCCGCGCTCCGCCGCAAGGCCAACGCCGAAAAGCGCGTCGCCATCATCCTGAGCAACTACCCGACCAAAGACGCTCGCATTGGCAATGCCGTTGGCCTCGACACTCCGGCGTCCGCCATCCACCTCCTGCACGCCCTGAAAAATGCCGGGTACAAGGTCGAGGACATACCCGCGGACGGCGACGACCTCGTCCACCGCATGATCGAACGTTGCAGCAACGACACCGATTCCCTTACGGAGGAGCAGCTCCGCCTGGCCGCCGGGCACGTCGAGCGCCGAGACTACGCCCGGTGGTACGCGGGCTTCCCCGATTCGGTCCGCGCCGAACTCTTGGAATCCTGGGGAGAACCGCCTGGACATGTGTACCGCACCGGGGATCGCCTCGCCATCGCAGGGCTCCCCATGGGAAACGTTTTCGTCGGTTTGCAGCCGCCCCGCGGCTTCGGCGAGAACCCCATCTCCGTCTACCACAACCCGGACCTGACGCCCACGCATCACTATGTGGCGTATTACAGGTGGATCCGAGACGTGTTCAAAGCCGATGCCATGGTCCACATCGGCAAGCATGGGACGCTGGAATGGTTGCCGGGCAAGGGCGTTGGGCTTTCCCAGGCCTGCTATCCCGAGGTGGCGCTGGATGACATACCCCTGTTCTACCCGTTCATCGTCAACAACCCCGGTGAAGGCACCCAGGCGAAGCGCCGCACCCACGCCACCATCATCGACCACCTCATCCCGCCCATGACCACAGCCGACTCCTACGGCGACATCGCCAAGCTGGAGCAGCTCATGGACGAGCACTACCAGTGCCAGACCCTCGATCCGGGGAAGCTGCCAACGCTGGAAGCCCAGATCTGGGAGATGGTGCAGCAGGCCGAACTCCACCGTGACCTGGGTGTCGATGAGCAACCCGACGATTTCCCCGAGTTCATGCTCGAAATCGACGGCTACCTCTGCGAAATCAAGGACGCCCAGATCAAAGACGGCCTTCACACCCTGGGCCAACCGCCCACCGACGAGCAGATGGTGGGCCTCCTCTGTGCCCTCACTCGCCTCGATAACGGGGCCGTCCCCAGCCTGCGTCGCTCCTTGGCCGAAGCCCTTGGTTACGACTACTATGCCCTGCTCGAAGACCCGGCCGCCGCGGTCAACGGCAGCACTCCCTCGGTGTTGGCGAGCGCTGACGGCGATGCGCCGATCAGGAACGCTGGGGATGTGATCGAGGCGTTGGAATCCCTCTGTCGCCAGGCTTACCAGCGCCTGTGCGACGACGCTTTCGCCGCACATCTTATCCCGGGTGTGGTCGCTGAAGCGCTGGGAAAGCAAGACGCTCGCGTCGAAAGTGTGCTCTCCTACGTGGGCCAGCACGTCTATCCATCGCTCCTTCGGACCACAGACGAAATCGACAACTTGTTGCGCGGCCTCGCGGGCCGGTTCGTTCCGCCTGGTCCGTCCGGCGCCCCCACCCGTGGCATGGTCAACGTACTGCCGACCGGCCGTAATTTCTACTCAGTTGACCCTCGCGCCCTGCCCTCGCCCACCGCGTGGGACGTTGGCAAATCCCTGGGCGACGCCCTCTTGCAGAAGTACCTCGACGAGGAGGGCGATTATCCGGAGATGGTGGGCGTGGTCGTCTGGGGCACCTCGGCCATGCGCACCCACGGAGACGACATTGCCCAGATTCTCTACCTGCTTGGCGTCAAGCCCGTGTGGCAGGCCGAAAGCCGCCGGGTGAGCAGCCTGGAAGTGATACCCATTGCCGAGTTGGGTCGGCCTCGCATCGATGTTACGGTCCGTATCAGCGGCTTCTTCCGAGATGCTTTTCCCAACCTCATTTACCTGATCGATCAGGCTGTCGCCCTCGCCGCGGCCCAGGACGAGTCCCCCGAGGAAAACTACATCGTCAAACACGTCCGCGAGGATGCCGAACGCCGCGCCGCCGCACCGGATCCGGAAACAACCGACAGCTCCGGTGACCCGTCCCTCTTCCGCATCTTCGGAAGCAAGCCCGGAGCCTATGGCGCGGGTATTCTGGGCGTCCTGGATGAGCGCAACTGGGAGACGGTCCACGATCTGGCGGAGGTGTACACCTCCTGGGGTGGCTACGCCTACTCCCGGCAGGACTTCGGCGTCACCGCCCGGAACGAGTTCCGCACCCGATTCGGCCAGATCGTCATTGCCGCCAAGAACCAGGACAACCGCGAGCACGACGTGTTCGACAGCGACGACTATATGCAATACCACGGCGGCATGATCGCCACCGTCCGCTCGCTGACCGGCCGCAACCCCCGACAGTTCTTTGGCGACAGCAGCGACCCGTCCCGTGCCCGTGTGCGGGACCTGCAGGACGAGGCTCGCCGCGTCTTCCGCAGCCGGGTGGTCAACCCCAAGTGGATGCAGTCCATGCAGCGTCACGGCTACAAGGGAGCCTTCGAGCTGGCCGCCACCGTGGACTACATGTTCGGCTACGACGCCACCGCCCAGGTCATCGAAGACTGGATGTACGAGGACGTCACCGAGGAGTACGTCCTGAACCCCGAAATGCAGGAATTCTTCCGGCAGAGCAACCCCTGGGCCCTGCGGGGCATTGTCGAACGCCTGCTGGAAGCTGTCCAGCGGGGCATGTGGGAAAATCCACCACCGGAAATGCTGGACGAGTTGCGCCGGATGTATCTTGAACTGGAAACCGACATTGAAGCCCGGCAGGAAGCCGGCGCCCGCTCCAATCCCACAGCCACCTAGTGAGCAGGAGGAAGCGGAATATGGAAAACACCTTGGACTTGCTCAAGGAACTCACCGGTGACCCAAAGGTAATGTGGGTCGTCGGTGGCGGTTCAGTGGTCAGCGAAAACCACGCTGACGGCATCACGCAGCCGGAAGTGCACAACGGCTGGGCCACCATCGAGGCGGACAATTGGCACTTCCACCTGCAGTTGGAAAAGATCGACGGCATACAGTTCGTCGAGGCTACGAGCCACGGCGACCTGAAGTCCTATTACGTCAGGTTTTCCCACAATTGGGACGAAACCCTGGTGCGCTGCTATTTCCCTAATCCCTATCTGGACGACGATGAGAAGCGTACCGAGTTCCAACCTGAAAAACTGCGCGCCTTCGAAGAGGCCCGCGACCGTTTGGGTCGGTAAGGAGGACGACCTTGTCTTCGTCGAACGCTGATTAGCGCGATCACCGATATTGTCGCGCTGCCGGTATTGTCCAACCGGCGGTAAGGTACTAAAATGCCATTCGTTGATGCGACGCAGAACGTCCATCCAGCAAGAGGAGTGAAAACATGGGTATGATCAACCGTTTCCTGTCCACCACCGACACCGCTGCATGGGCCCCGTGGCTGGTCCTCGGCGCCATGGCCCTCTACATAGTGGGCTACGTGGACGCCGGAGTGCACGCTGCTGCCGTCGGTTCGCCCGGCGTCCTGGGCACCGTTCACGAGTTCTTCCACCACGCCCGCCACGTTGCCTTCATGTGCCATTAGGCTCTGATACGGCCCGGTGTTGATGTGACGCCGGGCCGCGTTTTTCTTCCGGCGGGAGCCGGAACGGGATCGGCAAGTTTCGCCGCGCGAACGCTCCCCGGAGCGTTGGAGGATTGCGCCCTGGATCTGCCCGATCAGTCTGTCCGTTTACAACGCGGTTGGCCAGTTTGGCCGAACGAGCTGATCAGTCAGAGAGTCATTGGAGGACCAGTATGACGCGTATTCTTCCCACTGCCCTGGTAATGGGTGTAATTGTAGGCCTCCTCGTCGCCGCCTACATGAACGTGTTCAACGTGCCCGTCATGGAATGGGCCATCGCCCTTGAAGGTTGCGACATCGATCGGGCCGGCTGCGCCGCGCAATTGGCGGCAGCGGAAGACGAGGCGCCATTGCCCCTGTCTTTCCTGACATCCCTGGGCGGCCAGCGCATTGGCATGAGCGTCGGGCTGGCCGTGGTCGGCGTCCTCTGCGCCGCCGTTTTCACCGGTTTGTACCATCTGATGCGCAATGCCACCCCGGGCTGGAACCCGTGGGCATGGGCCGCGGTCGCCGGTCTGTTGGGTTTCTGGGGCGTGTCCTTGTACACCCAGATAAAATTCCCGCTCAACCCGCCTGGCATCGGCAGTGAGGGCACGTTGCTGGCCCGTCAGGGCTTCCAGTTCCTGTTCATCGCGGTTTCGACCCTTTCCGTCGCGGTCGTGGTGTACGGGGTCGGCGTGGTGAACCGGACTTCCGCGGCTTCGGGGCGTTGGCTGCGATACGGTGGTATCGGATTTGCCTACACCGTGGTGGCCCTCCTCCTCGCGTTCGCCTTGCCCGGTGTGCGCGACGCCGCTCCCGACTGGCTGCCCCCCGAACTCACCATCATGTTCCGCACCTTCACCGCTGGCGGCCACTTCCTTCTGTGGATGGGTATCGCCTTCGCCACCATCGGTTACCGCTACTATCGCGAGCGTGACGTTCATGCCTATCCTCAAGTTTCCGGGCTCGGCCCGGGCCACGTCCGCCTGATCCGATGCTCTCATCCGCTGACCCGGTGATCTCGTGACCCAGCCCACCATTGCCCGGGAACCCAGGTTCCCCTTCACCGCCATCGTCGGTCAGACCCCGATGAAGCGTGCGTTGCTGCTCAACGCCATCAACCCCCCGTATCGGTGGCGTGCTGGTTCGGGGCAAGAAGGGCACCGCGAAGAGCACGGCCGTCCGTTCGCTGGCCGCGCTGCTGCCCCAGGTCCCAGTTGTTCCGGGATGCCCCTACAGTTGCCAGCCCGGTGCTCCCCAGGATGTGTGCCAGTGGTGCCAGCAGGCCGGAATGCCGGGCGGTCCGTCCGCTCGCCAGGTCCGTATCGTCGACCTGCCGGTTGGAGCCACCGAAGACCGTCTCGTCGGTTCGCTGGACATCGAGCAGGCCATCAAGTCCGGCGAAAAGAATTTTGAGCCTGGGCTGATCGCCTCTGCCCACCGCGGCATCCTGTACATCGACGAGGTCAACCTCCTCAACGACCACCTCGTCGACGTGTTGCTCGACGCCGCCGCCATGGGCCGCAACTACGTGGAGCGCGAGGGCATATCGGTCAGCCACGACGCGGAGTTCATGCTGGTTGGCACCATGAACCCGGAGGAGGGCGACCTCCGCCCTCAGCTCCTGGACCGCTTTGGGCTGGCCGTTGAGGTTGACGGTGTTTTCGAACCCCCCGAACGCCGCGAGGTCGTGCGCCGCCGCATCGCTTTCGAGGGCAGCCCCTTTGAGTTCATGGACGGTTGGGCAGACGCCGAACAGGCCGAGCGGGAGCGGTTGCTCAGCAGCCAGCAGCGCCTGGCCGAAGTGGTCGTCCCCGACTCGATCCTCGAGCTCATCACCGACATCTGTGCCGAGTACCAGGTAGACGGTCTGCGCGGCGACATCGTGATGTACAAGACCGCCAGTACCATCGCGGCCTACGAGGGTCGCACCGTCGTCGACGTTGAAGACGTGCGTGAAGCCGCGCTGATGGCCCTCCTCCACCGCCAACGTCGCCAGCCATTCCAGCAGCCCCATCTCGTCACCGAGCAGCTGGACAATATGCTCGACGACTTCCAGAACCAGCAGCGCGACCGGGAGCCGTCAAACGACCAGGACTCTGGTAATGACGACCCCGGCGATTCCGATAGCGATAGAGAACCCGACCCTTCCGAAGATCAGGCTGAAGAACCAACCGACGCCGCCCTCGGCGACGAATGGTTCGAGGTAGGCGACCCTACGCTGTCCAGAACCTCCAGGTCCAGCCTCCCCGACCGGCGTGCTCGGCACTCTTCCGGTCGCCGCGCTACCACCGTGAGCGGCACCTCGGTCGGGCGTTACGTCGGCGCCCGCCTCCCCGAAGGCTCCGTCTCCGACCTGGCGCTGGACGCCACCCTTCGCGCCGCCGCTCCGCACCAGCAGTCCCGCCGCCAGGCCGCGGACGGGGACGCCTCAGCCCTCCTCATAGAACCTTGGGATGTCCGTGAAAAAGTCCGCGAGACCCACACCGGCTCGCTGATCCTGTTCGTCGTTGATGCCAGCGGTTCCATGGGCGCACAGCGTCGCATGGTTGCCGTCCAAGGGCGCGGTCATGTCGCTGCTGCTCGACGCCTACCAGCGTCGCGATCGTGTGGGATTGATCGCTTTCCGGGGAACCGGCGCCGAGGTGCTGCTTCCACCCACCGGCAGCGTCGAAATGGCCCAGTGGTGTCTCCAGGAGATGCCCACCGGCGGGCGCACTCCCCTGGCCCGCGCCCTCTATCTCGCCATGGAAACTCTCGAAACCGAACGCCTGAAGGATCGGGACGTGCTGCCACTCCTGGTGCTGATGTCCGACGGCCGCGCCAACGTCACCCTCGCCGGCGACCAGTCCTCCAACGTCCTCAACCTTCCTGACGAAGTGCGTCACCTTAGCGAAACGGTCGCCTCCGCCAAATCCCCGCCGTCGTCGTGGACACCGAGCAGGATTTCATCAAGCTCGAGCTCGCCAGGAACATCGCCGACGCCATGTCCGCGCGCTACATCAAGCTCGACGACCTGGCCGCGCAGAGCCTCGCCGACGCCGTCCGCAGCGAACTGCCCGGCGATCGTCCGGTGGAAGATATCGCCCAGGCTTAAACGCCTCCTCCGGTTCTCCCGCGTGACGTCATCTTGGGCGGATCTTCGTCTCCGATTAAGCCGGATCCGCCACCCCGGCGTTGATCCCTCCCCGCTGCATTCAACCGCGCAGTGATAACATATCTCGATCCTGATCCTGATAACGAGGTCCCAGTATGCCGCGCACCCTCCCCTATGCCGATATGGATAAAGTCCTGTCTCTCTCCAAGCGCCGGGGTTTCGTTTTCCAGTCCAGCGAAGTGTACGGCGGTCTCGGATCTACCTGGGACTACGGCCCTCTGGGCGTCGAGCTCAAGCGCAGCGTCAAGGAGGCGTGGTGGCGTTCCGTCGTCTCCGAGCGCGACGACGTGGTGGGCCTGGACGCCGCCATCCTGATGCATCCCCGGGTTTGGGAAGCCAGCGGTCACGTGGAGAACTTCAGCGACCCGCTGGTCGAGTGTCGCCAATGCCACCGCCGCTTCCGGCAGGATCAGCTCGAAACCGACGCGTGTCCCGAATGCGGCGGTGACTTCACCGAACCGCGCCGCTTCAACCTCATGTTCCGTACCTTCATGGGCCCGGTCGAAGACTCCAGCAACGAGGTGTTCCTGCGGCCCGAAACCGCTCAGGGCATCTTCGTCAACTTCCAGAACGTCCAGACCGCCACCCGCAAGAAGCTGCCCTTCGGCATCGCCCAGATCGGCAAGGCCTTCCGTAACGAGATCACCCCCGGCAACTTCACCTTCCGCACGCGCGAGTTCGAGCAGATGGAGATCGAGTTCTTCGTCAAGCCCGGCTCGGACGACGAATGGCTGCAACAATGGGTGCGCGCCCGTTTCGACTGGTATGTGAACTACGGTATCCGCCCCGGCAACCTTCGCCTGCGCGAACACTGCCGGCGATGAACTCGCCCACTATGCCAAGGCCACCTACGATATCGAGTACCGCTTCCCCTGGGGCTGGGGCGAGCTCGAAGGCATCGCCAATCGCGCCGACTTCGACCTCGGCCGCCACAAGGAATTCAGCGGCGAGGACCTCACCTACTTCGACGACGAACTTCACGAACGTTATCTGCCCTACGTTATCGAACCCTTTCGGGCGGTGTCGACCGCGCCACCCTGGCCTTCTGGCTGGACAGCTACGACGAGGAACCCGACGGCAAGGACATGCGCACCGTTCTCCATTTCCACCGTGCCCTCGCTCCTGTGACCGTCGCCGTGCTTCCCCTCAGCCGCAACGCCCGTCTCGCTCCTACCGCCCGCAGCGTCTATGACCTGGTCCGCCGCCGCTTCCGCGCCCAGTTCGACGACGCCCAGAGCATCGGCCGCCGCTACCGTCGCCAGGACGAGATCGGCACGCCATATTGCGTCACCGTCGATTTCGACACCCTCGACGACCACGCCGTCACCATCCGCGACCGCGACACCATGACCCAGCAGCGCATCCCGTCGCCCGCCTCCTCGACGTCCTGCAGGACCGCTACGACCACGGCTGGTAGGCGCGCTCGCGTGGTAGTCGATCTTTCGGATCCGCATAACGACCAAAGTTTGCGGCCGATTGATGCTTGAGACGGATGCTTAGTTTCTGACAGTCGTGAGGCTGAGTGCAAAATCGCCCATGAGCAAAACTGAGCATAACCACTACTTGGCCAGAAATTATTTGCGAGCATGGGCGCCAACCGGCCAGCAGATTTACCAGCTCGATTTGTTTGCGGAGACACCTAAACCTAAGTTGGTCGGTGTCCGACACGCCGCCGTAGAAAGATTTCTGTATTCCCAGGAAGTGGAAGCACATTTTGAGCGACGCATTGAGAGACCGGCTTGGGGAGTCCTTGACAAGCTGCGCGCGCATGCGCCAGTGATGTACGCCGAGTTAGAGCCGTTGCTTGCATATTTGGTAGCGCAATTGGTGAGGACTCCCGAAGCGAGGGACTATTTGAAAACATTGAGCAATCCTTGGGCGCAAAACATGATCCAAACGTACCAAGAACAGGGCATCGATCTCGCAGCCGAGGGTTTCGGCGTTGATCGCTTGGTGTCAATGCACCGCGAAGAGATACCTTTTGCGCACTCCCATCAATCTGAACCGGGATTGCGTATCCTACGAAGTTTGGAATGGGCAGTCTGGCGTCTGGGCCCGGTTGGTGAATTCATTACTTCTGATAAGCCGGTCACCAAGGTCGTTGATCGGACGGACCGTCCAATATCTAAACTCGCTTTCCCACTGTCTCCAGAATCACTTTTGGTAGGAGGGTTGGGCGGACCAATCGCCCTGGACGGCGCTCGTTTTCCAGCCGGTTCGGCAATACGGTCCTCGAAAGCAAGCGCGTGTCGGAAAGCGACGCGCAATCTGTGAATCGCAACTCGTCCGCTGGCGCGAATCGTTTCTTGTACGGTAGGTCACCCTCCGCTTTAGTGGCGGCACTACCGCCGATGAATCCCAAGCTTTACTGATGTCCCCCTCGATCGTGGCTCAAATGCTCCGCTCCGGCCTGTACACCGCCATCATCGGCCGTAGCGTGCGCTTCTACCAGTCCACCGGGTCCACCATGGACGATGCTGCCGAATGGGCCTGCGCCGGTGCCGAAGAGGGCGCTGTTGTCGTCGCCGAAACCCAGACCGCCAGCCGCGGTCGCCTGGGCCGACGGTGGATTTCCGATGAAGGCAACCTGTACTTCTCCGTTCTGTTCCGCCCGGAAATCGATGCGTTGCCGTTGCTCAGCCCGTTGGCCGGTGTGGCCGTCGTCCGTTCGATTCGTCAGGTGGCGGGACTGTATCCCAGCATCAAATGGCCGAATGACATAACCATCGGCGGTTTGAAAGTCGCCGGTATCCTCGCCGAAAGCGCCATGTCCGGCTCCCTGATACAGCAAGCGGTCGTTGGCATTGGAGTCAACGTGGCCTTGGACGTTTCAACAGACGCTGAAATCGCTGCCACCGCCACCAGCCTGAACGAACTCGCGGAACCCCAAGTTGACCGATCCGAATTGCTTCGCCGCATCCTCCAGCACATGGACGCCCTGTACCTGGACGTCCGCCGCGGACGTTCGCCCATCCCGGAATGGCGCCGTTGGCTGGATACGTTGGGCCAACGCGTGACCGTGACTCACCACGGTACTTCCAATGTCGGTCTCGCCGAGGATATCGACGATCTCGGCAATCTGATGCTCCGTACCGACGAGGGAGAGTTGTTGACCCTTACCGCCGGAGACATTACCCTCCGTGCAGCTCAAGGAGAGCACGTCCCCAATGCTTGAAAACCTCTACCTCGAAGGCAAAGTGGTTGTCATTACCGGGGGCGGCACCGGTCTGGGTCTGGAAATGGTGCGCGCCCTCACCCGCTCCGGCGCCAACCTCGTCATCGCTGGTCGCCGCCCTGGCCCCATCGAGGCCGCCCGCGACGAGGTCATCGCCGCCGGCCAGGACGCCATCGCCGTGCCCACCGATGTCTCCAAGTCGTCGGATGTCGACGCCCTGGTCGCGGCTGCCATGTCCCATTTTGGACGCGTTGACGTGCTCATCAACAACGCTGCCATGGTCGCCGAGAACGTGCTCAAACCCATCTGGGAGATCACCGACGACGATTGGGAATCAGCGATGTCCGTCAACCTCTCCGGCGCTTTCTACTGTGCACGCGCCGCCGCCAAGCCCATGGCCGACGCCGGTAAGGGCAAGATCATCAACGTGGCTTCCGGCTTCGGCCTCCGGGGTGGTCGCGACATCTATATGTACTGCTCCTCCAAGGGCGGGGTGATTCAGCTGACCCGTGTCCTGTCGTTCAGCCTGGCCCGCTACGGCATCACCGCCAACAGCATCGTCCCCGGCTTCATACCAACCATCGACCCGGGCGCCGACATCAATCGCACCCTGCCCCAGTCCGGCGACTTCCTGCCCACCGGCAAGCTGGGCAAGCCCGAGGATCTGGGCCCCGTAGCCGTCTTTCTCGCGTCCGATGCCTCCGACTACATGACCGGCGAGATGTTCATCCTCGACGGCGCCGGCCTCGCTGCCGGCATCACCCCCACTGGCCACGCGCCTCTTGCCGCGCTGGAACCGTGATCCGACCGGCGTCAACACGACTGCGCCAGATCCACGGAGTCTCGCGAAAGTCATCGCGAGAACACTAGCTGGCTCAAATTGGGCCTGCCCAACCCTGCACCGCTCTCAACTGACCAACGACGATCATCGCGAGGAGCCTAGCCCCGTGGCAATCCCGTCCCAGTCACATCTGCCCGCTGAGTTCGACCTCGCCGGCCACACCGCCATCGTCGCCTCTGCCGGCGGTGATGAAACTCCTTTCCTCGCGGCCGCTCTAGCCGAAGCCGGCGCTGCCGTATTTGTCGCCGCCCGCCACCGTTCCGCTGCGGCCGCCATCGCGGATGCCGTGACCGCCGTCACCGGCCGGGAGACCCATCGCCACGTGGGACGTTGGGACACGCCTGCGGATGCCGCCGCAGTCCTCGAATCTTTTTCCACCGCCTACCCACGCGCCGACATCCTGGTCAGCGACACCCGCAGCTTTTTCGCCAAGCCCGCCGCCGACATCGAACTTGCCGAATGGGACGAGCTGCACGCCCGCAACGTCCGCGCCACTTTCATGCTCAGCCAGGCCGTGGGTCGACGAATGCTGGACCAACGCTACGGCCGCATCGTAAACGTTATTTCGAACCTGGCCGAGCGTGCCGTCATCAACTGTTCTGCATACAGCGCGACCCAGGCCGCCGTCCTGTCCCTCACCCGCTCCCTCGCGGTAGAATGGGGCCGCAGCGAAATCCGCGTCAACGCCGTCGGTTCCGGCTGGTCAACCGCGGAGGACATCCCGCTGGAAATCCAACGGGAGGAACTCCTGGTCCGCTACACCCCCATGCGTCGTAAGGGTCATCCTCGCGACCTGGCCGCCATGCTCGTTTATCTCTGCTCCCCGCATTGCGATTACCCCTCGGGCCAGCCCGTGTACATCGACGGCGGCCTCAACGCCCACCCGTAAATAGGGGTCAGACCATGCCCGCACTGGATACCATCACAGTCAGAGGTTTCAAGAGCATCAAGGCCATTGAGCAGCTGAAGCTTAATCCCATCAACGTGCTTAGCGGGGCCAACGGCTCGGGCAAGTCAAACTTCATAGAACTGTTTTCTATGGTGCGTGAAGTGGTTAGCGACCGGCTGCGAGATTTCATTGTCAGGGCTGGCGGGGCAGATAGAATTCTCCATTTGGGATCACGCACAACGGGACAGATAGATATCGTCATCAATCTGAATGATGGCAATTGGTACGAGTTGACGTTGGCACCTATCGCTGGCGATTCGTTGCGCTTGATTCATCAGTCTGCCACTTATTGGCAGCCACCGTTATTGTTGGACCCAGTGGTTTGAACGATGGAAAAGTCTGGCGGCTATTGATCCGTAGCTCGTTTCATTGCCTCCGGGGCGAGTCGGCCCGGTTTCGCGTAACGCTGCCGGTTGCCAGATGCTACAATATCCTGCGATGATTTCCGCCGTTTCTACCGACCGCCCTAATCCGGTGCGCCGCTTGCCCGGCATGCGTGATTTCGACGCTGGCGCGTGCCGGCGTAAGCATGAAGTCGAGCGTCAACTTGCCGAGTTCATCGGTCGCTTCGGCTACTCCATGCTGGAAGTCCCGGTTCTGGAGACCACCGAACTGTTCCTGCGCAAGTCCGGCGGCGATCTCGCGTCCCAGATGTACTCTTTCATCGACCCCGGGTCCAATGCCGTCAGCCTGCGCCCGGAGTTCACCTCCGCAATCATGCGGCACTACCTGGAGATGACGAGGGACTCCGGCGAATCCTCTTTGGTTCGCTGGCAATACTGTGGCCCAGTCTTCCGCTACGACACTGGCAGCGCCGCCGACACGGGCGAGTTCACCCAGGTGGGCGCAGAGTTGGTCGGCTCCAACAGCATTCTCGCTGACGCGGAGCTCCTGACCATGGCCGCCGGCGTCCCCGACCGGTTGGGCATTCCCGATTATCGGATCCGTCTGGCCGATTTGGACGTGCTGGATAGCGCGCTGGACACCGTCGGGCTTTCCGACCGCGCTCGCGAATTCATCGTGGCCAACATGAACCGCATCGGCGAGGATAGCGACAGCCTTGCGGCGACCTTGCAGCGCGCTGCCGAGCTGCACGTGATCGCCGGCATTGGTTTGCCCGACGAGGAACAGCACCTGGCCGTCGCGGTTAGCGGCCTTCCCGACGGCGCGGCGCGTTCCGTGTTGTCCGGTTTCATGCGCTGGAATACCTCGGCGGACATGCCCTTGGGACGCCGTTCGCCCGACGAGATCGTCGACCGCTTGTTGCGCAAGCTGCGCGGTGGCGACGCCTCGGGTGCTGTCGAACGCGGCCTCGCGCTGGCCGGCCAACTCGCCTCCGTCAAGGGTGACCCGGTACATGCGTTGCCCCGGGCCCGGTCAATCGTCGCGGCGGCGGGCGCCGATACCCGGGCGATAGACCGGCTCATTGATTTAACCGCCCTCATTGGCGAGGACCCGGCGGTTTCCCGGCGCCTGGAAATCGATTTCTCCCTGGCCCGTGGCATCGCCTACTACAACGGCATTATCTTCGACATCGTTCGCGGCGACGCCGGCACCTCGTTGGGAGGCGGCGGACGGTACGATGCCCTGGCTCGCGCTCTCGGTGGTACGGCCCCGGTTCCCGCCCTGGGTTTTGCCTTCACGTTGGAAACACTGCTGTCCGCCATGCCCCCGGCGGACCAACCGTATTTTGACCCAGACGTCGCAGTGGTATCTCCCGACGACGCGGGGTCCGTCGCCAAGGCTTTGCGCGCTGTCGCTGATATCCGCCGCCAGGGAGGCGTTGCCGTCCTGGAGATCCGCGGAGACAAGCATCATACCGGTTTGAGCGGAACGGTTACCGAGTAGGTACGGAGCAGCGCCTTGAGACTGGTGATACCAAGCGACGGCGAACTGGGCGAGCCCACAATGAGGTTCCTGGCGTCCTGTGGCGTCAAGGTGAACCGGCCCAACTCTCGCCGCTACACCGGCTCCATTCCGTCTCTGCCCGGCATCGACGTTCTCTTCCAGCGCACTGCCGACATCACCACCAAGGTGGAGGAGGGCAGCGCCGAGATGGGTGTCACCGGCTACGACCGGTTGATGGAGTACCGCCACGACGACGACTCGGTGATCCCGGTCATGGAAGACCTCGGATTCGGCGGCTGCGACTACGTGCTGGCCGTACCCGATTCTTGGCTTGACGTAACGTCCATAGACGACCTGGCAGATCTCGCCCTCGAATTCCACGAACGCGGTCGCCAGCTCCGCATTGCCACCAAGTACCCGCGCCTCCTGCGCCGGTATCTCTTCGAGCGCGGCATAAACTACTTCACCCTCGTGCCGGCCAGCGGCACGCTGGAGGCTGCTCCCATCGCCGGCTACGCGGACCTCATCGCCGACCTGTCCGCCACCGGAACGACCCTGCGCGAGAACCGCCTGAAGATCCTCGACGGCGGCACCATTTTGACCTCTCAGGCTTGCCTCATTGCCAACCCGTCCGCCTTGGCCGGCTGCCCGGCCGATCTGGAGCTCGCCCGCTCCCTGACCGAAATGCTCGAGGCGCACCTCCGCGCCGACCCGTACTACCGAATCACCGCCAATGTTCAGGGCCGTTCCGCCGATGACGTCAGCGCGATGATCCTCGCCCGCCCCGAGATCGCCGGCATTCAGGGGCCCACCGTCGCCCGCGTGTTCAGCGTGGAAGAGGAGGACTGGTACGCCGTCTCGCTGTTGATCCGCAAGAACCGCCTGTTGGACGCTGTCTCCCACCTGCGGGAGTGCGGTGGCGTGGATATTGCCGCTGCCCAGCTCTCTTACCTGTTCAAGGGAGAGTCCCAGGCCTTCGCCGGCTTTATGGACCGCATCGCGTCCTTGAACGGTCGTAGAGATCATCATGCCTAACCTGCCGATGCACATCTACCTGTGCCAGCAGGTATCCACCGAGCTGGATTGGGGTTACGCCCACGATCACCCCGGCGCGGCGTACCTCGGCTCCACGACGCCCGATATTCGCGCCATGACCAAGTGGGACCGTGCCCGCACCCATTTCTCCGACCTGTCAGTCACCCACGTTGGCGCCGGCGTCCAGCGGATGTTCGAGTTGCACCCTCATCTGGCCGGCTCCGATAACGGATTGTCCCCCCACACCAGGTCGTTCCTCCTCGGCTACGTGAGCCATTTGGTCGCCGACGAAATGTGGATCACCACCATGTTTCGCCCCCACTTCGCTCCCGATAGCCGCGTCACCGACACCGACATCGAGGCGCACATCTGGGATCGCGCGCTCCAGTTGGACATGGACCGGGCGGTTCTCGACGGCAATGCTCACCTCGTGATCGAGAATGATGCCATCGCCGCGGTCGACCGGATGCCGGCCTTGGAGTTCCTTGAGGACGAGCTGATCGACGAGTGGCGGAGTTGGGTGGCTCGATTGCTCGGTTGGGACTTCACCTGGGAGCGCCTCAAGCGCGCCCTCAACCGCATGTACCGCGACAATGACGAAGTCCAGCAGGTTGTGGACGGATTCCTGGAGCATATGCCCCAGAGCCTGGAGCGCGTGTACGAACGCGTCCCCCGTGATCTCATCGACACCTACCGCCAACGGGTCATCGACGAAACCAAGACCCAGGCCCGGGAGTATCTCAGTGCGACTTAAGATGGTGCGCGGGCTGGCCGCCGCCGAATCGGTCCTCACCCGCATCGACCCGCTCGATCTCTCGTCGCTGCCCGAGCCCGCCCTGCAGCGCACCCGAGATCTCTTCGGCGTCGACGCCACGCCGGAATCGTCCGTCCTGCAGATGCTGCGCGACGTTCGCGCCGGTGGCGACTCCGCCGTGCGCCGTTACGCCAGCCTCCTCGACGACGCGGACTTGGACACGCTGGAAGTCCCCGAGGCCGAACTGGAAGCCGCTTGGGACGATACTCCCGATGACCTCAAACAGGCCCTCCAGTTGGCCGCCCGCCGTATCACCGAATTCCACGAGGCCACCCTGCCGCGCGATTGGGTTGACCTCAGCGGCGGTTTGGGTGAATTGGTGCGGCCCCTGGAGCGTGTCGGGCTGTATGCCCCCGGCGGAACCGCCGCTTATCCGTCCACCGTCCTGATGACCGCGATCCCGGCCCGCGTCGCCGGCGTCAGCGAGGTCGTCCTGGCGACGCCCCGTCGCGGTCAGGAACCGTTGAATTCTACCGTCCTCGCTGCCGCCCGGATCGCCGGCGTGGACGCGGTCTACCAGGTGGGTGGCGTGCCTGCTATCGGGGCTTTGGCCTATGGCACCGAAACCATCCGCAAGGTCGACAAGATCTGCGGTCCCGGCAACGTATTCGTCGCCTACGCCAAGCGCATGGTTCAGGGTCAGGTCGACATCGACGGCGTATTCGGCCCAACTGAGACCATTCTCCTCGCTGACGAGAGCGCGAACCCGGTGTTCTGCGCCGCCGATCTCATCGCCCAGGCCGAACACGATCCCATGGCCTCGGCTATTCTCGTGACCGATTCGCAGAACCTGATTTATACCGTAGAAGCCGAACTTGACGGTCAGATTACCGGTAATCCTCGTGCCGAGACCATCCGGCAATCCCTCGAACGGCAAGGATGTATCGTTTTGGTGGATGACTTCACCGAGGCCATCGCCGTTGCCAACCATATCGCTCCCGAACACCTCTGCCTCATGGTCGCCAACCCTTGGGCCTGGGCCGGTCAGGTCCGCAACGCCGGCGGCCTCTTCCTGGGGGAATTCTCGCCCGAGGTCATGGGCGATTACATCGCCGGTCCTTCCCACGTCATGCCCACCGGTGGAACCGCGCGCTTCAGTTCCGCCCTAAGCGTGCACCACTTCCTGCGCACCATGCCGGTGGTCGGGCTCAGCCTACAACGGTTCACCGACCTCGGCGCTGCCGCCGTCCGCATCGCTGAAGCCGAAGGGCTTCCCGGGCACGCCGGCGCGGTGCAGGCCCGCCTTGACCACATCGCTGCAATGCAAACTCGCTAACCTATTTGGAACACCCTCCCATGCCTGAAATTGAAGAGCTTCTCCTTCCCCACATCAGCCGCCTGAAAACCTACCAAGGCGTGTCCCCTAGCGAAACGCTGGCCGAGGAGGCGGGTATCCCCCTCGAGCAGGTCATTCGCCTGAACGGGAACGAAAACCCCTACGGACCCTCGCCTCAAGTCGCGGAGGCCCTGGGTAGTTTCCGCGACTACAACCATTACCCGGATCCATCCCAGCGCCGCCTGCGTGGGGCCCTGTCCGATTACCTCGGCGTTGCTGAGGAGAACATCGTTGCCGGTAATGGCAGCGACGAGATCATCGACCTCCTGATGCGCATGTTTCTCGCCCCCGGCGACGAAATCATCATTCCGGTGCCCACCTTCGGCATGTACTCCTTCTCTGCGGATGTTGCCGGAGCCCAGGCCGTGGCCGTCCCGCGCGATGACAATTTTGACATCGACATCGAAGCCATACGGGGCGCTATCACCCCGCGCACCAAGGCGATTTTCTTCCCGACCCCGAACAACCCCACCGGCAACGTGGTCACCGAGGCCCAGGCCCGCGCCCTGCTGGACACCGGCCTGCTGGTCGTTTCCGACGAGGCGTATTACGACTTCTGCGGCCAGACCCTGAAGCCGTTGCTGTCCGAGTACCGGAACCTCGTCGTTCTCCGGACCTTCAGTAAGTGGGCCGGCTTGGCTGGTCTCCGCATCGGCGCCGGCGCCATGGATGCCGAGCTCGCCGCGACCATGATGGGCATGAAGCCGCCGTACAACGTCAACCTCGCCGCCGAAGTCGCCCTCCTGGCCTCCTTGTCCGACACCGGCATCCTCCTGGATCGCGTCGACGCCATCGTGAAAGAACGCGGCAGAATGTATCGGTTGCTATGCGAAATCCCCGGGATCACCGTGTGGCCCTCCCAGGCGAACTTTATCCTTTGCAAGATGCCTGATGGTCGCGGCCTGGAAGTGTACGAAGCCATGTGCCGGCGTGGGGTTTTCCTGCGCTACTTCGACAACGATCTCCTGCGCGACTACATCCGCTCCAGCGTTGGCAAGCCCGAGGGATGACCGACGCCGTGGTCGCCGGCTTCCGCGCTGCCTCGGGGTGGACTAACATGGCCCAACCGACCAAACCGCGGCGCGTTGCCAATATGGAGCGTTCCACCGGCGAGACACGATTTCCGTATCGTGGACCTGGATGGACAGGGCCGGTATGACGTTGACAACGGCAAACGGTTTCTCGACCACATGGTCAGCCAGATCTCGCGCAACGGCCTTTTGACAT